TGGCTCGGAATGAGTGGGGACATATAGTGTTTGATGCGACACTCGACTAGAGAACGCAACAAACCGTCATAGCTTTATCTTATCTGTACTTTTCAAACCCCGCCTTGCTTTTAGCCCTGAAACTTCTAATCCTCTGGGTATTCATCTCGCACATTGCTCACAAAACAACGTTGTCCATCGTCCCAGCGCTTGAAATGGCGGCCAGCGAGTTTCAGCAACGCCTCTGAAGGATATGTATCCTCATCAACGGGCTGAATGTTCTCAGCAGCAACGTAGCGAACGGATTTGTCACAGACGCTACTTTTTATTAGCACAGTATAATAGAGACACCAAGAGAACAACTCACAGTACGTGATAGAAAGCTTGATTCCTGCCGTTCGACAGGGAATCCACACGCATGTTTTGGATCCAATCCTCATTCGCATCGCAGACGACATCCCAGCCCGTGATGACACCCTCATAGCCATAACGTTTGTGTTGGAATAGCTGGCCAACTTTGAAAGCAACATTCTGCGTGCGCGCAGAGCGATTGGCAATAGGCTTCCGCACTGAATCAACTTGATGCATGCTTTGCACAAACTGAAGTAGGCGACGACCCTCGGGCTGATTGTAGAACATGGGGATGACGTAGCGTGATAGTAACGTCACGTCCCATGGGTAGTGCATCTGAAAATGCTCGAGCAGGTACGGCAGATACTGGCGACGACGGATCTGGTTATGTCCAGGTGAGATATGGTCGTCGTTCGGCCCAAGGAGCAGCATGGCCCAGATGGTTGCGTAGAACGCGTTGTCCATGTCTGGATATGAGTTCATCCAAGACGCCTGGATACTGCCCATTCCAGCTTCAGTTTCACGAATCGTTTGTACCGAGTTCATGATGTTGCGCGCGGTGCGCATCACCATTTCTCGGGTGTTGGTATCGCTCAGGAAGCCGTGGTGTTCGTCCCTTGGAACACCCATGTCGCGTAGGATCCTCTGTAAATCGCCCTGTCGTACTTCGGAGGAAGAGCGAAACGGATCCAGGTACATGTAATCCAGCTGTGTCGAACTGGTCGGCTTGTATTCCCCATCGAGATTGTAATTCTTAGGCGCATAGACAAGAGTGTAGACGTGGAAAAGGAACCCACAAGGTCGTGCATCAAGGCCGATCCGCTTTGCCACGGCGCAATAAATGGCGACTGAGATGAGTGGAAGAGATTCGTGCGTCGCCGAACGTATGACAAGGCCAATAAAGGAGTTCCGAAGTGCGCGATAGGACGTGTCTGGAACACCGTTGAAGCCTTCGTCACGGAGGTAGGACGCCAAAGTCGAAGCCTGTGTTCGTGGACTCCAGCTACGCAACTCAGGATATGTTTCCAGTAGTCTGTTGGCTAGTGCAGTGATGTCTTCAGCTACCACGTCAATGTCTACATCTTCGCCCACTCTCGCAAACACATCGTATGCGCCCAGAGCTCTCTCTATCGATATGTCCTTGCCGTCATGTAGATCCGACCACACCTTGATGGCGACCTCGCGATGTATGCGCTCCAGTACGGCATTGGCGTAGTATCGCCTCGCTAGAACGTCGTGTGCATCGTCGGGGCATGCGCATTCCTTCAACAGGGTTTCCTTCGCATCGTACCCAAACTCTGCAATGTCGTTGATACATCTTATGCGCCCTTGCTGGCTATTCACAATGCGGTTCAAGAGCTCTTTGGTGCGACGCTCGATTGTATGCTTTGTCATGTAGAGGGCGCGCCAGTCGACATCGGACAACGGGGCTGCAAACTTGGCGATAATGTTGTGGCGAGCGTCCCATGTCTTGAATTGCGTCTTGCACAGATGGCGCCATATTATAGGTGCATCAGTCGTGAGCTCCTTAATGAGTTTGTTCGTCTGCGAGACGGATGCGAGGGATCGCGGGTCGAGATGTAGGAAGACGGCTTCGAGGATCTCGGTGGGCAAGTCAGTGAAGGAGGGGCGTTGCATGGTGGGCCCGGCGTTCAGGTGGTGTAAGGTGGGGTCGTTCGGCGTTTTCGGGACGTGGCAGAGTCGTGGAGAGAAATGCAGAATGCATGGGTAAATGGAGGTTCGGTGTGGCGAGTGAAGGGCGTGCTTGAAGGTTCCGCCGCAGATGTCGTCAACATTGGAACATGGGCGGTGATGAGCGCATGGCTCGCTAAGATTGACTAGCCTCGGCAGCTAAATCGCGATAACGCACCTTCAGTCAACCGGCGTTCTCTGTCGTATCGCGGGTCTAGATATACGATCCCGTCTCGACAAGGATGGGACTGAGCTAAATCTATGCCTTGTGTCTCAACCCAGTTAGAGACGTCTCACTCATGGATGCAGAACCTACTCAGTGGAGCGCTTTTCTATCGTGCTATAGCGACACGCTGGAGAGCTACACAGTGCTCCTGATAGGAGCGAAGCTCTGTCACATTGCCCACTTGACCAGTCGCTGAGGAAGATTGATCGCGTTCTGATAGACATTCTGGTCGCTCTTGAAACTACCCCCAGAAATAATTACATTTGCTATTGTTAGACTAAGCAGAAGGACGGCTTGATAACTCGCCATAGCAGAAACCCGTACCACCCGGCTTTCTTTCCTTGATGCTGACATCTGCAAGTTAGGTCATCATTGTCAGCACGAATTCCTTGGCGAAGCTCCGGCTTGCAGCGGAAATGAATGACAAGGCACTCGAAGCAACTCTGGACTCATCGTGGCCAATGCGGCAGACACGACTCAGGCGCAACAGTCAGATATGTCCGTGAACAAGCAAGACCCTCATATGGTTTTTCCACGTTTGGTCCGGATAGCGCGCAACCGTTGCCGAAGCTCGCTGTCCGCGAGACCCGATCTGCAGCCACAGTTGATGTCACTGCCGCACCGCCGCATTCATTACCATAAACATGACGCCCTAAAAACTGAACGGTCTGGCTCACCACTTTTTATCTTTCCTTTTGTCCTTGTAATCCTACACTCCTACATTCCTATCACATTCCGCCATGGCCGACCTCAGTAGAGTAGAGTCGATGCAGTATCCTGCGGGGCATCTTTCCCATCTCACCGAGAATCAAGAAGCCCAGCTTCTCGAGTTCAAGAAGGTGTGCCAGGAAGCAGGTTATTACACACCTGCAGCCGGGCCGGTGCGAGCCAGTCATGACGACGAGACCATGCTGTACGCGCAAATCGCGAAGTTGTTGATTTTAGCGGGGCACTGACTGCTTACAGGCGCTATTTGCGCGCGCGTCGTTTTGTTCCCCAAGAAGCCTTTAAGCAATTCAAAGACACGGAAGATTGGCGAAAGGAGAACAAACTAAGCGAAATCTTCAACACCATCGAGGTCGAAGAGTATGAGCAAACGCGTCGCTTGGTAGAGAGTCCCGCATACATGTGCTGTCATCCTATCTGACAGCCTCACGTAGTACCCGCAATGGCTCGGCCGACGCGACAAACGCGGCATCCCTCTCTTCCTTTTCGAGGTCGCGCCGCTGAACTCGAAGAACATCTCCACGTACGAGAAACAACTCGCCAAGTCAAAGACAACCATACCCAATGTCGCGACCAAGAACCTGCGCCTATTTGCCCTGTATGAGTCGCTCACCAGATTCTACACACCTCTGTGTTCCATGGTCCCTCGCAGCCACCCGGAAACACCAATCTCGCAAAGCAACAACATCGTGGATATCAGTGGTGTTGGACTGAAGCAGTTCTGGAATCTGAAGGGCCACATGCAAGATGCTTCGGTCCTGGCCACAGCACACTACCCTGAGACCCTGGATAGGATATTCGTATGTACACGCGTCTTCTTGAGAGCCATGCAAGTAGAACTGACCGAATTGCAGATTGTTGGAGCGCCTGGCTTCTTTCCCACCGTCTGGGGCTGGGTCAAGCGTTGGTTTGATCCCATCACCGTCTCCAAGATCTTTATCCTCTCCCCGCAGAACGTCTACTCTACGCTCTCTCAATACATCGACCATGATAACATCCCGAAGAAATACGGTGGCGGTCTCGATTTCGAATGGGGACAGCTACCAAACCTGGAGCCAGCCATCGAGGCGCAAATGAAGTGGGAAAACCCAAATACCCAAGGCGGCCGCAAGACGTTCCCTATTGGGCCGATAAAGTGGGAGGAAGGCCAGAATGGTGAAATGGAAGCCTGGGGCGTCGGCAGCGAAAGCGGAACACCGCGAAGAAAACTAATTTTCTCAATTCCCAAGCCTGTAGGATACAAGCAGGGAGATCTGATGCCGCCTACACCTGCGACTCAGATAGGCGACCCTCTCACAACCGCAGGCACAGCTACTCATCCCCCCGATACGAACGAGCCGGAAATCGACACCCCACCCTCTGACACCGAGTCGCGCCAGTCCACGAGCGTAGCACCCATTACTACAAGCCTACCGATTCGTGCGGGCACATCAGAAGCACGGTACGAGCAACAGAATCAGACACACGCATCTGGACAGCTCGCAGACGGAACACCCGAGGCAGCAGTAGTTGACCATGGGCATGGAGACAAGACAGTCACAATGGAGCCCAACACGGTGGGTCAAGCACCGAAAGAGGTACCGCTCCCCGATCGTGAAGAACCCGCTGCCCCGGGCTATTTGGACCAAGCTAAACAAGCCGCTGCATCAGCCTCCGCTGTAGTCACCTCGACTGCTACTTCTGCCGCTGAAGCCGTTGCCGGTGTCATTGGTGGAAACAATGGGGAAGAAAACAAGATTGAAGAGCCTGAGAGGACAAAAAGTCCCCAGGAACAAGAGATGGATCGCCAGATCGATGCGACGAGTGCCAAGGACGTTGAGGCGTTTCTGAGGGCGCAGACGGCTAGTGGGGGCCACAAAGCCAGTTGAACACCTTCAAGCCCTTGAATATGTTGTACGTAAAGTCAAGATTGCATAGATGAGCAAGATATTGATACCACACTCGTAAACATGCCATGAGCTTGAATTGTCTACAAAGCAATTTGATTCATAGGCGACGTAATTCTGCTACTATTGGGCCAGCTTGATAGTGAGACGTCATCAGTGTGTGCACGCTGTGAGAGAAATGCTTCAGCGATAGCCTCCTTGAGCGTTGACGTTCAAGTCTCCTTCAAAGTATCTATCCAGCTCAAAAGGTGAGGAGCACAACATCGATTTTCATTTCCATGATGGATGCCCATGACCTCTTGAATATCCGATTCATGACAAGAAGTGCCAAAACACACGTACTGTAGCTCACTGCTTCATCGTCCTGAAACTGGGTTGTGCGAAGGGTGATGCCAAACTCGCATATATTCGCCACCATTGTTACACGGTCTGACACGTACTTGCAATTTCGCGTGTTCATGCCCCTAACAGTTTCCATAATCACGTAATCTCTGTCCCTCACGGTTTCCACGTCATTCAAACCTCTTTCCTTGACGACAGGTACACCGGGAGCACGCGCACCGCGGTTATGAGAACGGAAATTGTTAGTTAATAACCCAGACAGATCCAGACTGCGCAAACGCCTCCAACACCATCTATCAATACTTGGAGGAAGGGTGCTAGGCATAAAGATACTTGTTCGCTCTCGTCCAGTGGTGACCTCATTAGATGGCTGATCTGGTAGGATAGGGATCAGATAGCACGAAGTCTTGGAACAACGTTGCTCTTGATATGTCCAGGCACGTGTAAAATATGTATCTTCGACTAGCCTCTTGAATATTGCGTGTAGCGGAGAATCAATGGTGCCTGCCTCTCGGAGCTCTTCTTGGAGAATGCTTTCCAGGTAATTGTTTCTGTAGTGTAGGACCAGGCGATTCATCGCGGCTTGGTTAAAACTCATGACGGGATCAATGCAATCTTCCTGCTGATCACCTTGATTGGAAGTTTGTTCCCGCGTGTCTCTTTCATGGGCCTCAATGCAGCGCTGCAACAAGGTCGCGTGGCTTAGGCTCAAACTTTGCGACAGAACGACAGCGGTGCATTTGGACCGCTCATAAATTCTATGCATGTGCGCGATATGTTCATCGCGATCTATCGAATCGTCTTGATCGATACACTCTTGGTCTATCCAGAGGCGACCAGTCTTGGTTCCCTGGATGTCGTATTGCAATGCCCGGTGAAGAACAGATTGAGGGCAACGTGGCGGACGGGCTTCCATGTCGTCGATCCAGATCTTGAACTCTGGCGTGTTGAATTGAGCGGCGAGACTCTCAGGTTGTGCCCAAGTGTATGATACAGCAACATATTCCCAATCGGGATCGTATTCCGCTCTCTGGGTAAGACGTAGATGGACCTAAGAGCAGGTGCACGAAGTCAGCATTTACCTCAGATACAGCTTGTACAGTTATAGTACTAACTGTGTTTCCCAGAGGCTCTAACGGCGGACTGTCGCGTAGAGTGAGAAATCGAAGAGGAATCTGTGTATCGGAAACCGTTTCCTTGTATTTTGTCTCGAGCTCTGTCAAGGCTATTTGAAGAGCTTCGATACTAGGATACAGATCGCCAAACTTCTTGTCAGAATCAAGCTTCATTTGGAAATTGCTAGAGGGCCAGGGTACTGGAAGGAAGTAGAAATCACTCTGATGGCAATGAAGTCGACGATATGGTTGGCAGCCCGGAGACTAGGGATAGCCTCCGCCCGAGGCTGAGCTGAACATGGACGTATAGAGGCAAGCTTGATGGTCAGCGACGCCATCGTCTGCAGCCTCCCACATCACGCAAGGCTGTCGGCAGAGAAACTGTTCGTTGGGTATGCGGCACTGTTCATCACAGGCAGCAGCCATGACTTCTTCGCGCAATTTCAAGGAGCAGGGTGGATTGACCAGAGCCTCCGGAACAATGTTGAAAGGCAAGGCATGGGAGTTGAAGGAGATGCTCGCGCTTGGTGAACTTGGATGGAGCCCCACCAAGCTGCGCACAGATGCTACACCACCAGGCAAAGAGCGAGCTCCGTCACAGCGCGCCTGACAGAGGCAAGCCCAACGAAGGATTCAATCATGCAACCGTCCCATTTCTCAACAAGCGCGCAAATGCTACCTCGGTTGACACTGACCATCAGCCCACCTCATCGACCTAAGATCCAGCCACACTAACAGTCCTCCAAACCTCAGGTCAGACTCCTCATGCGACCCATACCCCCAATACAGCAAGCGACCCATCAGCCTCGTGCCGCCTACTCAAACGATGTAGCAAATACCGCGCCGGCTAGTCGAACGCAAGAACGCGTGCGCCTACGCTGTCAGCCCGTTAGCCTCGTGCTACATAGCGAACACTGGGGTCCCTATCTAGAGCTGAGAACAGAACGCGGCAATGGATTTTAGACCATTGTGCAAGCGGACGCTTGACACGCCACATAGTAGTCACAGCTCGTGGTTCAAGTCAAATTCCCATACTGCTGGACGCACGCATAGAGCTGGAGATCTCAGGTGGTGAAGTAGCTACCATAACGAGCACTCTGGATTCAGCCTCAATAATACGCTTTACAGCAATCGCAATGTGGAGAGCGTATTGAAAACCAGTGACAAAGGTTCAAGTATGATATTCCACTACATGTAGGACTCCATAACATTGAGTGCGAGGTAGCAGGTCCATGCATTGCAGCAACATCTAGTGACATCGGCGGTTCTATATATTGAGTATCCCTTTATTACACCTCGTTCGAGCCAGATAGCTAGACGGTAGTGGTCTCGTGTTTGGTGGTGAGATTCTCAAGAGGAATCTCGATATGCTTATCAGCGAGGTTCATGTCACCAGCGAAGGTACTGTGAGGCTTCCATTTGCGGGAGGTGCGAGGGGTGCTCTCCTCCAACATCTTGTCGACTTGCTCAAGCGTAAGACCTTTAGTTTCGGGAACAAAGAAGTAGGCGAAAAGGACTGTTTGTGAATTAGTGACATACTCCATGTTTCCCTCTCGGACTATGGGAGACTTACAGGAAACGCAGCAGAGCGAGCCCCACAGGAAGAAGACATTTGATCCCATACGAGCAGAGTCATCACGGTCGGCAACGAGGTAAGGGGTGATGATACCGATGATACAGTTCCAGAACCAGTTACTAGCCGTGGAGAGACCGACGCCGCGAGATCGAATAGTCAAAGGAAATATTTCCCCGATCACAATCCAGGCGCACGATCCCCAGGTGGTAGCGAAGACGGAAATGTTCAAACAAATGAATGCGATCATAGCTCTGGTGGTATTCGGGTTGGCAGGATGGTCGGCGGTGTTTCTGCCAGCGGTGGCTCCGATAGCTCCGACGATGAACTGCATGATAACCATGCCAGCAGCTCCAAAGACAAGGAGAGGCCGTCTTCCAATCTTCTCGACCATGACGAACGAGGCAGGGGTGGATAGCACGTTGACAAGAGTTGTGACGAGAGAGATGAGGAAGGGATCGCTAATAGAGCCAAGCTGCTGGAAGAAGACTGGATCGAAGTAAAAGATAAAGTTGATGCCAGTCAGCTGCTGCATAGCCTGCATGAAGATGCCAATTGTAGTGCGACGGGCGCTGGATGAGGGCTGAGAGAGCTTTCCCTTGAAACAAGCCATCCATGAGCCGAGATAGCTACCCTGATGAACAACAGACATCTCGTATTCGTGATTAGCGAGAATCTCATCGAGTTCATCTTGGATATATTCGGAGTCATGCGTCCCGGTGAGGGTAATACCACCTCCTGGCATTGTCGCTGTTTACTTCAAGATGACTCGAACAAGAGGTTATTGTGATGAAAAGGTTCTTTGCGCAGCGTTGAAGAAGCAGAAGCTGGAGAAGTTTGTGGGGCGCAATCGACGATGGGATACCCCAGCTTTTAACATCACCTCCTGAACAGCGGTGATGCTGCAGTGCGGTGCGTGTGTGGCTTTCTATGGTAGCATTGCAAAATCTTACACTAGGCCTGACCAGGTGACTACTCCGCACTTGACGCTTCTGGAAGGATTGATACCATTCTACATGGGCCGTTGGTGTCTGCCAACGGCTAGTGAGAATGTGTATGTCCGCATGTACTATTGGCATACGGCCGTGTGACCTGTCATCGATCAACCCACACTATTGCAGAAATTCCATATCGAAGTCTGCACTTAAGCTCTAGACAACTGTTGATCCGCTGTAGACGACCGGATATATCGCTAGTTCAGGCAGTACAGCAGTTGACCCGGAATACAGATCGCCTGGTAGAAGCGCCAAAACCTGAGGGCCAAGCTCACTCAAGCTCGCTATGAAGCCCGTCTTAGCGGTTGAGCCCTGCATATCTGCCCCAGTAGACGCTGGCTATCACTTACATGGGGAAGGAACAGGGTGCGAAATGCATGTGAATGGGCACTAGTGGACGCCTCTTCGGCCAAGAGCTCTCATCGTTCTATCGATCTGGGGTAATGTTTGGTGCCCGGTACACCCTGTTGATCTCTACAAACAGCACGAGCAATACACGATTGTGTACATCGAACCAATTTGTCCTTGTGATGGCTGTGGTTTTTCGGCAAAGCCATTGCGCGTCGACACCTGATCGTCTCTTTATTCTTTGTCCAACAGACGACGATCTACAGTATCTCGCTTACGCGACTTCGGGCATGTTAATATCCATCACAGACGTTTTGGTAAGTATCCGGACGTAGCAGACGTGTCGCGCTTCAACATTCACCCCTTGTGATGGGTCGAGAACATCCTCGAGCATATGCATGAGCATGTTGATTCGTTCGCGTCGACGAAGGAATGGTAACGATTCGAAGGTCACCAATAAGCAGGACGTGCCCGAAAGTTGGTGTGCCTCGTACATATTGCATGCCTGTCTTGTCGCCCATAGGTCAGCTATCGGAACATCAGAGGCAACTGAAGGATCACGCTCTCTCCCCAAGTGTGTTTAGCCAGGAAATTGGGATAACCAGAGATACCGGTGGCGCGTCTCGCTTTGTTGTCACCTTACCTTTTTGCTAGCAACAGACTGTAGAGACCGGAGAGGTAATGAGCGAATAAGCAAAGAACGGCTGCTATCCCTCAGGCATGCTATCGTATACCTTGTTTGATGCCCCCATCACACGGTCATGTGACAGCAGCTTTATCGCGGCCAAATCCAATGCCAGATCGCTCGCAGTGGCAGGCGTGACGGGCTCTTTCTCGATTGGTCCTAATTTCAACGCAGGTGCAAGGCACAATCCGCGTTCATCTAGTTGTAAGAAAGCATGCGTCGACATTTGTAAACAGATTGAATGGTAGAGAAGGGGTACAGAGATGCGCTCCCTTGATGGGTTCTAATGGCAGTGATGACTGGGATGATATGAGTGTCTACTTCTTTCGAGAGCTGGCCTAGGGGTGTCGCGAAAATGTGCGAACTAGTTTTGTCTTTTCAAATGCTCATAATAATATCACCAGCACCAACGGAAACATGTAAGACACGAACGGAGCTCTGTTGGATCGGCGCATGAACTTGCTGAGGTCGGCGTTGCTGTAGAATCGGCCCGGCAGCCGTCGAGGGAGAACATCGGGCTGAGCGGGTTATCTTATCAGAGACCCACATGCCCCTCACATGACTCGCAACATTCACGCGTCAGATCAAAACAACGCGTCTCATTCACCAAGTTCAGAGACGCGTAACGTTTGAGGTATGTGTTGATTTCGATTGCTTGAGACGATAGCATCACGTCGTAGCTAGCCTCCTATAACGCCAGATTGCGACGCTGAAGAGAACAATGACAGTAGAGTAGACATCCATCCGCAGTGACAGACACGCGCCAGAACGCCCGGCCAACATGATATATCCCAGGTAAGAAAATCAGGGACGAACACCGTAGGCCTGCCTCGCCATATCCGCCGGTGGTCGAACCACGCCCACCTGTAGAACCCATAGACTAGTAGTGTGACAAAGGGAATACGTGAAGAAGATGTCGTCTAGCGTACGCTCCGGAGCTAACGCACGGTAGCATGGTAAAATAAAAAAGGTTAACAGGAACAAAGAAGCTTAAGCTGAAACAGCTCATGCCTTAGCCTTTGGTGTTGCCTTCTTGGGCGTCGCCTTCTTCTTGGGTGTGGTGGCCTTCTTCGCTGCGGCGGTCTTCTTTGCTGCTGGTGCCTTCTTTGTTGTCTTGGGTGCGGCGGCGGGAGCCTTGGTCTTGGTGACGCGGCCGGACTTGGTCTTTCCTAGCACGCGCGATACCTCTTCCTCGACGGCGGGGGCTGCGGTTGGGGCAGTCTTGCGGGGTTTGCTGGCGTTGGCCTTGGGCTTAGCGGCAGGGGCAGCCTTGGTAGCAGCGGCTGTGGTGGTGGCCTTCTTCGGGCGGCCGACAGTCTTCTTTGGAGCAGCCTTGGTGGTGGTGGCGGTGGTGGCCTTGGCCTTCTGTAGAGGAAATCAGACATGAAGACTTATGACAGGAGGCAGATACTTACAGTGGTCGTGGCCTTCTTGGTGGCGGGTGCCTTCTTCTCAGTAGTCTTCTTCTCGGCGGTCTTCTTCTCCGTAACCTTCTTCTCGGCCTTGGGCTCAGACTTCTTGGTAGCGGTGGCAGTGGCAGGCTTAGCCTCCTTCTTCGCAAGCTTTACTGGTCCAGACGTGCCTACATGACGCGTCAGCAAGGTTCAAAATGACCCATGATACGCGCGCGGAAGTTATACAGCAGCGACGTGTTGAAGACGTGGTGCCGCGCAGATTTGGTGGAGAGAAACTTACCCTTGGGACGTGCAAAATCACCCTTCTCCTCGCCGGAAGTAATAGCACGGTTGACGTGACTCCTGAAGGCAGCATCGCTAAGGTTGCCGACCTTGTTGTTGGCTTGGATGTACTTTTGGATAGCTTGACGGCTGTTGGCGCAAAGTCAGCGTAAGTTCTTAGGTACGCGCTTTCAGACGAAAGCATGCCGTGACGCATGAGCGTCAGCATGTGGAAATTAATGTGACTAACCTTGATCCATTTCGTTCCTTGAGCTGTAACATGCATAGAGCGCGTCAGTAATCATGTTCATTTGGTGCAGCAATGTTGTTGAGCGTTGTTGTAATTCGCGCTGAAGTTGGCGTTGCGACCTGTCGCAAGCTGTCGCAAACTCAGGTGCAAGGCAACACGCCTAGGAAAGACTCACGTTGATGATAGCATCCTTGACCATGTCTAATAGAGTCAGCATTGATCGGCGACAAAGACGCGACTATCGGGCAACCGACGCGACCGCGTTGGGCTGAGATATCATAGTACATACCGATGTAGGAGCCATGGGCAGGTGCGGCAGCGGCGGCCTTGGCCTTGGAAGGGGTGGTGTTCTTCTTGGGAGGCATTGTTGCTAGTGGTTTGGGTGGGAAGATGGACGCGTTACTGATGCTTCGAACGAGAGGGCGAACGTGAAAATCGATGGAAGAATGGTGGTGGTGGGAAGTCTGGAAGTCGCTGAGTTGGGGCAAGCACGCGGCGGGTGGGGTATGCGCCGTTCTTATACTTTTCAGGGATCAGAATCGGCGCCCCCAGATCACCAACTCAAAGGCGCTAATCTTCCAGGCCTGATCAAGATGCGCTTCAGTTTGATCTCATGTTGCAATACTACCGCCTACGCTGACTAGGCGCCGTGCGGCTGCTGTCCGTTCGATTTGTTGGGGGTCTTTCCTATCTCCCTGCTGGAAGCGCAGCCCTTCACCCCATCTCCTCTCCTTCGAGTCGCTCTTTTCATCTTGGTGACGCTCGACTATGGCCAACGCATACCAGGAGCCTTACCGCTGGCACCTGTGGCCTCGAGCTTCAGTCCTGCCAACGGCCTCTGCTTGTTGTTTTATCTGAGTCATCTATGTCATTTCACGATAGTGATGGTCTGCGCCTTGACGACCTCGCTTTTGCGCAAGCTTCCGCTCCAGGAGACCTTGAAGTCTATTGCCGGGACACGTTGCTACATGCATACTCTTTTCTTTTTTTTCTATCCCAGTCTTGTACTCGATGGAATACACTATGATCTCGTTCGGCTTGATTGGCCCTTGGGACCCGAGTCTAGTCTTGATGGTTGAGGTTTTGGCGATACATGCGTCGCGTCATCTACTTTCCATGGTGTTTCGCTCTGCGCGTCGACACCTCGGACACGACCCGCCTTCACGCCTATAAATAGGCAAACCAAAGATATACTCCTCATCTTTGGGTATTGCGCAATGTCTACATAGATTTTCAGAGTATTCCCCTGAGCGTATGGGCCAGCATGGTGTTGAATTGATGACGTGTTGCAGTGTGTCAGGCGGGGTGATCACGCGTACAATTCTATCGCTACAAGTCCTCTTCCGCACAACGTTTCTTGTTACAGAGTAATTGAATACCTTGAGAACCCAAAGCGCATGCCTAGAGGCCCTTTCTCTGAGTAACAGAACCATCGAACCTATATACAACGCGTTGTGGCTGGCATGCGAACGCGGCGTTATTTCGCGGCCCTTAGCCACCCGGGCAGACGGCGTGGTACAGTCCAGCTCTGATTGTCAGCAGCCAGCACACGGAAAATCGATATTGACCACTTGTAGGAGATGGCTTAGAGCAAACGCAAATAGATGTTTAATACAGTCACCCCCACACATACCTGTTCTTTCGGATATCATACGATGCTTCGACATCTCATCTCATATTATTCTGCAAGGAGGGGCCCGGCCTATATAATGCCATTGACTACTACAACTGTCCTTGGGCTTCTGTGGATGCCTCTCTGGAAACAACAGCAACAGCTCTACTTCATATGAGGCTCAGTTCATAAAGTGTTTGGTTTCAAGTGGCTGCCGAATTTTTATTGGCTCTAATATCGTCATGAGAGAGTGGGTTTTTGCGAAACTAGAACCCACTACGAAAAACGTTCAAAAATTATAACGCCACCACATCCGCCAGAATAGTCCAAAAGCGGTTGGATTACCAAAATACTGCAGCTAAAGAAAGCCTATATTTCTTCAATGGATTGTAAAATGCTAGTTTTATACATGTAATGATGGTGGACCTGTGTGGTGCACAATAATTCTGTAATACCAGCAGTACAAGTACAATCGCAGCTCAGTAGAGACTTCCTAGTAAGTCTTACAGTATGAACACTAATATGAGGAGTATTATTGTGAGAAAATGACACATAGACATATGGACAGCACAAACCACTACAGACGCGAGAAGCAATAGAGCAGCTAGGATCGGTCACTATTTAAGATATTAATCCAATGTTATGTGGGTGCTCAAGACCCACGGTCGCTATGCAAGAACTACATTCAAAGGGGAGGAGCGTATGCTGCAAGATCTCAATGAAGTTCTCGCGGTATTGAAGCAGGTCGTCTGCTTCGAACTTAAATCCGTCCATGTCGGAAAGAGCGAAACAAACAGCCAGCCCCCAGTCGCTACGAACAAGAACATGGGTTCTGTCTGGTTGCAAGATTACAGTAATCATATCAAATCGGCTGATTTCACTGGAAACCACACCCCGATGTGTGTCGAGCTCCCACAGGATGACCCTCAGCAATCCATACTGGTTATCTCACCATTGAAATCACACAAGCTTGCTGCGAATGCATTAACACCACCTAAAGAAAAGCAAGACGCCGCCTGTGTCGGTCATTATTTGATGGCGGGCCAAGTAATGAGCAAACAAGCCAGCCGTTTCGCGAGTGGTTTGGTGAGCTCGAAAAGATATTGTGAACCCAAAGGTGGTACAGTGGGGTCGTAAAGACATTGTATGATAATGTAAGGAGGAGATTTAACGAGCAGACAAAAGTTGCGGACATAAAAGGGTGGCGTGACGCGCTCCATACCGTGTTGCTTGGGCTGGTTCGTTTCGGTTTCGGAATGAGCGGACAGATAGGTTGACGTAATTGATGCGGAAACCCATGCGGCGATAGTCTAGATGCGCATCTCAATAGATGAACGCGATGTTTAATAATTGCCTCATGATACGGGATTTGTGGGGTACGACTTGTGCTCTTGTGAGAATGATGCTTACCTTTGTACCCTATGTATGTGCCATCTCAGTACTAGGTACGATTGTGAGTCTGCCGTGTAGCCCTCACCGACCTGGAACCAATTTTCGAGCTGGCACTATGATACGGTCTCATTACTTCGAGCACGTTGGAAATGTATTTTCCGAAGACGCGTGGAAGGTTGTGTTCAGCTTGATGCACAAATCGCCGTCAGTGCCGAGGCGCTTGATTACCCAGGAATCGCTTCCTCGCGCACCCCTTTTCGCTACACCGCCATGCAAATATGCAACCCGAACAGAACACGAGCAACGACAATTGTCGCCCATCCCAATGTTGTTTCGACCGTGAAGGTCGGTCAAGGAGCGTTCGGTCATGCGATCTATTCTTGTGTCTCGCCTGTCGGCCGACCAATAGGATCCCGTCGGGCTGTTAGCCCGGGTTCAAAATTGGCAGCAGCTAGCCAGCCTCAGTTAATTCGTTGCTGGCATCGGCCCGTCGACGTGTCCACCGCTGCGTCACTCACCACACGTTCCATTCGACGTTTTGCGCACACGCCACGATGCTTGCCGGCTTTTCGGAGAATAGGCCTCGCACGACCCTGAATAGCAGAGGCCGTTGTGGCGCATGCATTATTCGAGACCAAAATATGGAGAATACGGAAGATTCTATGGGCCAGTGCTCGTGTTCGGATCGAATGTGACCTCATGTTGCTGTATTGTTGGGGTTACTTTCGTACTACCGTGAGGAGACTATATACGAGGTCACTGTGTATATAAGTGCCGAAGATCTTGCTCTACAGATCATTATCCAACAAAAACATATTCAAACATCAAGACAACATCTACCTACCAGCTTACCATCTTCACCCTACACTACTTCCACACCCAACTCCAATCAAGATGAAGTTCACCACCGCTGCCATTGCTGCCGCCGCTGCCAGCCTCGTCACTGCTCTTCCCACCGACTCCAAGATCAAGGATGGCGATGTCTTCACAATCCAAACCATCCGCTCAGGCAGCGACTTCCAGTACAGCACCTTCCAGGCTGTCCAGAACTCCCTTGTGATCAACGCAGGCGAGCAGAACGCATCCTGCGGTCCGGAACCCCACAACTACGCTTCGTTCCAGCTCAGCAACGGCAGCCTCTACCTCTACACTGCCAACCCTCCTCAGCAATTCTTCGTCGACAGGTCCGGCATGGGTCAGGGCGTTATCCAGTACACCACCGGTGCTCAACCCATGGTGAAGAACGGAGAAAGGACCACCTTCGCCATCAATGACGACGGAAACCTTGTCTTCCGTGACCAGACTGGCGAGGACATCGAGTTCCAGGCTTGCCAGCCTTCTATTGGCGGCGGGTACTCTGTCTGGTTGGGCGGCGTTACCAAGCCTGCTGGAGCCGAGGAGTGCTACGGCTTCACCGCAAGGGCGATCAAGGAAGAGAACCCCACCAAGTGCCTCTACACCCAGTACCCATAAGGGAACTGCAACGGACACTTTGGCTTCGTCGATCGCGGATCGTAAAGACTACCTACACTGTAAATATTTGAGCGGCAATCTTTTCTTGTAAATACAAAACGTATATAGACAACTTTATTTCAACCCAAACAAACCCCGATCTTGACAGTGATTTCGTCTGTAGTAGGCAGTTTGACCTGCTGTTGCCCGTGGTATGTTGTTGTGGCGGGTTTCCTACCAATCCACCACACAGCCGGAAGGGAGAGATGAATCGGTATTGAGATAGAAATCCAGCTCATGGAACGAAGATGCTGGAAACTCATCGCGACAGTGGACGAACAGAAACCATCGAAGAAGAAAGAGGGAGAATGACGCTCACCCCAAAAGCAACGCGATTGTGGTGTGAACTTGGATAGGAAAGTGGAGAGGTTCGGACTACGCCGAGCGATCTTCCAAGGTTGACTCGCATACTGTGCAGGCTAGCGCGCCATGCTGATAAGCCGCAGGGTCCGCTCGTCCCTGGCCTAACGCAATCGTCGTCTTATCGCCAGGCACGCGTTACACGTGCCCCCGTCACATTCGCCATGAGACGCCATCTGACTGGTTCCCGAGCAGCAGATCATCATCATGCCCCAAACGCGGCCCTGCGTGACCTCGCCCGGCGTGCTGCCTGGTACTGCGCCATGAGTGGCTATGTCCTCTGTCCCTTTCATCCCCCATAAACACACCTCCCCAGCGCCATCGTCGGGGTGGCCATAGTACACCTACGCACTACCTTACCACGCCCCGACCCTCTTCCACCAGTCGATTCGTCGAGAAGACATCTCGGGCTCTCCGCTGACGCATCTACGGAAAACGACCCGGCGGCGACAGACTAGACTAGAGGACCGACCTTCCGCATCGAGGAGCAGTGTATTCGCTGCCTGCGAATCAGCGACAGCAACGTGAAGGCGTGTAATCTGAGCTGCCGTTACGGGAGGGATCGACCCGCGAAAGCTTGTGTAGTCTTGTTGTACAGCGCCAAATTATCTCCTCCGTCCTTGCAGTAGTAGGAGGCGAGCGGGAACATGCCGGCCATGCTAGACTCCCTGGTGGGAGTCGCGAGGGAGAAGGTACATAACGTCGCGGTTTCCACTGCAGAGATGTTGGCAGCAGAAACAACAGCCATGCCTTCTCTCAAGACCCTCAGCAAGATCGCTCTTGGTGGTGCGCAAGTCATCCTCGGCCATGGAGGACGCGTCATGGGCGACTTTACCCAAAGCTGCCCCAATGCCCAATTGAGCTGCCACAACACCACCGCGGTGGAAAACCTGTGCTGCTTCAATGCGCCGGGTGGTCAGATCCTCCAGACGCAGTTCTGGGATGCTTCGCCCGCTACTGGACCAGAGGATAGCTGGACAATCCATGGTCTATGGTAACATTGCCCTTCAACTACAGCTATCTATACATACTAATCATTCTATCCAGGCCCGACCGTTGCGACGGCACCTACGATGCCAACTGCGACTCCTCGCGCGCCTACTCCAACATCACCGCCATCCTCAACTCCTTCGGCGCAACCGACCTCCTTTCCTACATGTCCACATACTGGAAAGACTACAAGGGCGACGATGAGTCCTTCTGGTACCACGAGTGGGCCAAGCACGGCACCTGCATCTCCACGCTCGAGCCCGAATGCTACGACGACCACAAAGCCACAGAGGAGGTGGTTGACTTCTTCCAAAAGACTGTCGATCTCTTCAAGACGCTCCCAAGTTACGAGTGGTTGAGCGCGGCGGGCATCACACCCAGCACAAGCAAGACATACACTTTTGCTGCCATTCAAAGCGCCATCCAGGCCAAGCGCCCCGGTGTCGAAGTCACGCTAGGCTGCAAGTCCGGCGCGCTCAATGAAATCTGGTACCACTACGATGTTCGTGGTAGCGTACAGACTGGCGAGTTTGTTGCTTCAGACCCCGATGGCACCAAATCGACATGCCCGCAGACAGGCATTAAATATCTACCCAAGAACGGGGGATCCTCTCCTCCCTCTACCACCACGACTGTCGGTGGACCTGCACCAACATCTGCACCGGGAACGCCTTTCAGCGGTAAAGGCTACCTCAACGTTGTCGTCAATGGCGCGAAGAAGGGATGTATCATTTCCAAGGGTACTTGGTACACAACCGGTACCTGTGCCACTTTTACCGCTACCGAGGCAGACAACGGCTTCACTTTGTCGAGCTCAAAGGGCAAGTGCGGCATTGTCGGTGGAGCGCTGGCTTGCGATGGCTCTGCGAGCGTAACTGGTTTCACAAACGCGGACGGTAACTTGGCTGCTGGCGGCAACGCGCAATGGAGCGCAGATAAGGTTGCGTCGGGCAGTACGCAGCAAACTGTGTACGCTGGCGGAGATCACTCCGCTACCTTTTCGATTACCTGGCAGTCGGCGTAAACGCCACAGGCCTCAGTATAGACTTCTTAGCATTCAATCCATGACATCATCTCCTGTGAGAATTGTGGCAGCCAAGCTTCATGAAGTTGTGATTTACATTCCAAGGTTGACTCTCACGAATCTGGCTTCTTTGATTGGAGAACGTCGCCTCTGATCAACAGCGCGACTCACTACACGGATTCTAGATGTTCACATTTACGTAGGGCTTTATGCCTACCAAAAGACATCAAAGCTACATGCACAATCCACGGGGCGCAATGGTCTTGGAAGTTGAAGTGAATTGTTCTACATTTGTGGATCGAGATTTGCTGGTTAAGCAGCGTATCCTATCCCATCAAGAGTCCAGGGCACGCTAAGAGCATTTCATCGCGTGGAATCCCTGTCTTCAGGTATCTTGTTTTCATCTCCCTAATCATGTCATTCCTCGTAAAATCCGATGGTGTGAGCTGTTGAATATGCCAGTCCAAATCTGCCTTTTTGTTGAAACACCGTAACCCGCTTGGACAAAGAAACGCCTGTGTACGCCGCCTTCCCTTCAAGAAAATTGTATGTAGACTTAGATGGGCAGAGGGAAGGTGACGGCCCAGGCCGCGATCTCCTTCTTGAGGTCGTTGATCTCCTGTACCTCGCCACTGGCGACCCTGCTCTTGAAGTCCTTGAGCTTGTTGTTCTCCTTGGGGAGCTCACTCTGGATCTTCTTGCAAAGCTTGATGCACTGGTCGATGTAGTTGGCGATCTTCTTGAAGTCCTCCTCACCCAGACCACGCGATGTCATGGCTGGGGCTCCGATACGGATACCCATGGGTGTGAGAGCTGACTTGTCACCAGGAGTGGTGTTCTTGTTGCAGGCAATGTTGACTTGCTCGAGAACAGCCTCAACACGGGCACCGTCAAGGGCGAAAGGCTTCAGGTCGAGAAGGACCATGTGGTTGTCGGTACCGTCGGTAACAAGCTTGTAGTCCATACCCTTGAAGGCAACCTCAAGTGCCTTGGCGTTCTTGATGACTTGCTGCTGGTAGAGCTTAAAGTCCTCAGACTGCGCTTGCTTGAGCGCAACCGCGAGCGCGGTGATGGTGTGGTTGTGGGGGCCACCCTGGTGACCGGGGAAGACGGAGAAGTTGATGGGTCCCTCGAGGTCGTAGAGTGTCTCCTTGCCGGTCTTGGGGTCAGTCTTGCGAACGCCCTTGCGGAAGAAGATCATAGCACCACGGGGTCCACGAAGGGACTTGTGGGTGGTAGTGGTGACAATGTCGCAGTATTGGAAGGGTGACTTGTTGACACCAGCAGCGACCAAACCGGAGATATGAGCCATATCCATCAGTAGGTAGCAGCCGACCTTATCAGCGATCTCGCGCATGCGGGCGTAGTCGATCTCACGGCAGTAAGCGGAGGTACCGGCGACGAGCACCTTTGGGCGGTACATGAGGGCATTTTGCTCGAGCTGTTCGTAGTCGATGAGGCCGGTGTCGAGGTTTACGCGGTAGGGGAAAGTCTCGAAGTATGTGGAAACAGCAGAGATCCTACTTGTGGTCAGCATGTCGTCCTAATCCACCTTGCTCGATCTGTACGCACTTCCTCTGGGGTGTTTGGTAGCCGTGGCTCAAATGTCCACCGTGTGGCAGGTCAAGACCCATCAGCCTGTCATGTGGCCTCATGATAGCCTGGTAAGCCTGGAGGTTTGCCGGGCTACCACTCAAGCACTGTACGTTGACACCCCACTTCTCCGAGTCGAGGCCGAAGGTCTCAAGAGCGCGCTTCTGGCACAGCAATTCGATCGAGTCGATGTGCTCGTTACCACCGTAGTAGCGGGCACCAGGGTAACCCTCAGAGTACTTGTTGGACATGGGCGAGCCGAGCGCATCGAAGACAGCGCGGGAAGTGACATTCTCCGAGGCGATGAGGAGGATGGACTCGCGCTGACGCTGGATTTCCTTCTCCTACGGTGTTTGTTAGTACATGTAAAGTAAGCAGGTAATGACCTAGTCATACCATGATCTGAGCGACCTCTTGGTCGGTGTCCACCAGGGACTTTTCCATAAGCTGTGCCAGGTTAGCATTGCGCATCTTCCTCGTGACGCGGGGCAACATACGTCCTGGTGGGACTTGGGGAGTGCGTAGCTAGACATGACAGGCAAGCAAAGGTAGATGTGGTTTGGAGAGAGGGGGAATGGAAGAAAAAGGTCGGAAGATAGCAGTAAGACTACAGCGCCTTTAAGCAGTCAGAGCACTAAATGTCCCTCTCATGCCAACCCCACCAATTTTTCTGGACGCGACAAAATGCCCTAGGCTCGCTTAGGTATGGCGCCATCGATAATTGCACTCTGCGGCCGGTCGTCGGAGGGACTCGGGCAGGCTTTGCGACAGTGTGCAGTCAGACCTGTTCTTACGAGCTGTGTAGATGTTGCATACGAGTGCGCATTTCATGACAAGATGAACCCTTTCCCGTTTCGGGACAAAAAGGCAGGTGGTCTGGCGGCTCCGCTACTGCATTTCCCCGCGTTATGCGAGAATACCCCGGATGTCCATCGGGAGATAGGAGCCCTCGCGGGTTTCCATCGCTCAACGGCCATGGCTTTATTGCCACTAGACGAAAGAAGGCATTGCATGTAATTTCTTTGACCGTCGCCCGTCGGCCAAGCATCACCCAACTTGAGGCAAAAATGTTCTGACTTGACGTATCCAATTCTCATTCTTTCATTTACTACATAAATACAGCCCATCCAAGCGTTGCTTTCAGTCGAGTCATTCCTCCTTCGTCTAACCATCGTTGGTGAAAACCAACCTTCGCTCATGGATCAAATTGATCTGATGCAACAGAATTTCCAACGCCGGGTATGCCAGAATAATTGTTGTGAGCAGCAAGCTGCCACCGCGTCGCCCAAAAAAGGTAAAAGGGTATGTAACTGAGTTGAAGAAGTGAAGGCCGAGTAAGCTCGGCGCCAAATTACACAATCGCGCCAACAGAATGCTCATCCTTTCGTAATTATGTTTTGAATGTATTCGCAGCCGATTCGGTCCTCTTAGTCGTTGTCGGTAAGACGGTCGAGAACAATGATGCTGAGAATCATAACGAGCAACCCGATGGTTACTATTATGAGGAGTACGAAGCCGAACCAACCAAGTACCATGGCCGATGTACCGACACCAGACTTGACGCTGCCGTTACCCAGATCTTGCACGATGGTTGCTGCTGCGACGGATGCTGTGTGTTGCCACAAGACTGACACCAGGACGAAGATGGATGAGGTGAAGATGAGCGCAAGGGCGACTTGGGAGACGGGTCGCGACGGGAAGGGCTTGACGTCGACGTCAGATCCGGTTCGCTCGTCTCTCTCCTCGTGCCAGCCGGGGAAGGTGGCAAGGAGGATGAAGGTGAAGAAGGCGAGGATGATGGCGACAATGAGCAGGTAGGGGAAGACAACGGCGTCCTTGAACGTAGCGGCGACCCAGACAAGGTTAAGGGGGTCCTGGTCGACTGAAACGTTGTCGACGAGCGCAGTAGCGTTGTTGGAGCAAATGAAGCCACCGCCGTCTCTGTTGATGCAGATACCGAAGTAGCCGACGCGCACGCCGAGCTGCGCGTTGCCGACAATGTTGGCAATGGCGGCTGTGACACCGGGGTCGACTTGTTCAGGTGCGTAGGTGGGTGTGAACTTTTCGTACCACATGGAGATGAGGAAGATGCCGGGGATGAGCGGTGATGTGGATGAACATCCTGCGAGTAGCAATGCTGCGAGAACGTTAGCTGTGGTCGTCTCATGTGGTTTCGTCTCCACTTACATAGCAATATTATCGCAATTGCAATGAGAATCATGAGAACATGGTGAAAGCCAAGAAACGGTATTAGCCCTGGAGATTGTTAGTCTTGATCGTTTTCCTGGAAGCCGCGCTGTACTTACGTTGCATGCTAACCGCGAACCGTAAGTTCGCCATTGTGAATGTGTCTCTCCTTCAACTGCCTCCTATGGGCCTTGTGTTCTCCCTGCGCCCCCAGAGGGCCGGGTGAGATGAGCGGGGAAGTGCACTCAGACTGCGGCTGGTGGTGGTCTCTCTCCTGTCAAGGTACGAGAGTGGAAGCGATGGCGTCTTGTCCCAAGTGTACTGAGTCGAATGCGGGATGCGGGTCGATGTTGGTACGCTCGGCTGGATGGCTCTACAGCGGCGGTGGATGCACTGCGACGACGATGGTCAGATGTCTCCTGTGTGGAAGAATATTCAAAGTGTGGGTGGTAGCGTGGAATGTGACTTCTCTCTTTGCCTGCAGCGACGGATAGTTTTGCTGTTGCGAAAATGGTGATGGCTGGTCTGAAGTGGCTGGAGGTGGTTGGCTTAGTCCATCAACAAAGCGGGTTGTCGAGGGGACCGAACACGAGCATCCTGCCCCGGCCGCCCCCAACAGCCAATAGCACGCCGGGCTACTGCTGATCCGAGCGCGTTCCTGCGTTAGAGCCTCCTGGTAATGTCCCTGTCCAGCCTCTGCATTTCCTGCGACGACGTGGCGCCTTGCGTACGGCACCGCCTAGAGCCCTGCCGCGACCGCTCTTTCGCGTCCGCCATCGCTGTCAGCGCAGAACGCGTCGTAGCGCGATGCACTTGAAGATACCCGCTTCGACAGCGCATACCGCCATATACGGTATATAGCAGTCGGTGTGCCGCAGACAATGCGCGGCCGGAGATTCAACAATAAAAAGCATGATGCACCTCTATGAATCTGAGCATCCTGCCATGCCACCCGTTCAACATCCATGCATGTCGGACTGCGCACTCCAGTGTGTTGAGTCCAGGCACATGAAGAGGCCATCATCGATACTATCACGTGACGGTCTTGAGTATTATTTAGATATGGAGGCAAGCAGCTCACAAGGTGACCTCCAACTCGGGGCTGACTGCTTCCATGGCTCGGCATCGGGCCCTGAAGTATTACCCGGTGGCCCTGCAGCGACTTCTCCCGAAGATGCACACGGCGGAAGCTTGCGCTGCACCCTGTATACATGGCGGCAGACCACTTCTTTCATAGCCTCTAGACCTGCCTGTAGAAGATCGTTGATCAGGCTATGGTGATTGCGCATTCAGAATCTCAACGTACGTCAGTGATCAGCAGATTCATTTCGTGATCATGACAACGCGAAGCTAAGTGCTGGATAGAGGCAAGCATGGGGCTCCGTTGACCTGGCGATCGGACTTGAAGCTTGATTGTTACACCCTGTGCCCTTGGAAAGACGGGATGATGTCACCGCTACTACACGTGGGGTCGCGCGTCCGGCGCAGGGACGCAGGGACCTGCCCCACCACCCACCAGGCATCAAACTTCACCCAGCAGTTCACGATGCGCATGCTCGACTACACACGACTAATCTTGATACTCACTTGATCAATGATCGCGACGTGGCAAGTGCGCTCAAGGCGCGGTACAACGACCGCAAACATCAATTGGCTAGCTCTTGTCAACACGGCTCAGCCACCGTGGAAAGCTTGCTTTCATCGTTGATCTATTCTTCCATCCCTGCTCATTCGCCTCTTATAGTGATATGCAAACAAGCGAACAAGGACGACCTATCACGAAAGTAGATGGAATCTAGACCTACTCAGATTGCCAACTCAATGACGTCCTGGACGTCCTGGGCATACGCCGTGGTTTGTGGCTGCGCTGTTTCATTCTGGGCACATGTCCAGTCAGCACTCCTGCTGCGGTTGCGAATGGCAGTCACCAACCATGACGTAGCTGCTTGAGATCAGGGGAGCATATAAGCAGTGCTCACCCTGCACTCCAGATAGACCTCATCAACATCGACACCTGCAACTTCAATCAATTCGAATCATCAACCACCCACATCATACTACCCCAAACCAAACCAAACCAAACCAATCAACCGACTTCAAGATGACCGACGCATTCCGCAAAGACACCCACACCAAGCTTGGTGAGAAGATGGTACGCCACCTCCGCCTTCCTCTCTCCACCACCTTCACTAACACCCCCGTCAGCAACCTCAATCTTCCAAGTCCACCGGCACCAAGATCAAGGAGTCCCTGACCGGTACCGGCGACAAGGTTGCCCGCGAGCTCCAGCCCGACTCCTCCAAGACCAACACCCAGTCCACCATGGACAAGCTGGGCCGCAGCAAGGACAACAACGTTCACGGCTCCACCGGTGGTAGCATCGTCGACAAGGCCAAGAACACTCTTGGAATGGGTCACCACACTACCGGAACCCACACCACCCACACTCACGGTAGCGGCTTGTAAGCACTGTGCTTGCTGCTCAGAGTGGAGGAAGGAATGAGATACCCATGAAAGGCATTATGAGATACCTTGCCTGCGGGCTAATGAATTAATATCCTACTACACTACCATTTGATGCCTGTGTGTATATTCGACCATGCTGCGTACGCTTGATCTTAGTGACCTCCTAGTATTGTGAACTGTCACTGCCTATCACCTTAACGTAGCCAATGTACAGGTCCTGTTATTCGCAAGTGATGTTAGGACAAACCCGATTGAAGCAATCGATGGCGGCAAGCCATAGCATATATATATACACATGGCATTAGACAAACTCTCGTACAGCTTGTTGCTAATCTACATAACTTCGTAATAATCTTGGAAACTGCGCATGTACGTGTGCAGTTGCTCGCCAGAAACGTGAACATGGAATTAGCGATCAAGTAGGCATCGCCATTACACCATTCCACCCACCCGATGCGCCTGTTCCCCCGCCTCTACCACTGCGGCCAGGAGGCCTACCTGCCGCCGTTGCGCCTCCCGATGCCCTGCTGCTACTGCCCTTCGACGCTCGCTTCTTCACACCAGCAGAACCCTTGCCAAAGCTCGCCCTTTTGCGGAAAGAGCCCTTCTTGAACCCGGACCCAGAGGCTTTCGATCTACCTCTTGCTGTTGGTGCCTTCGTTGCTCTAGATGTAGAAGGGGCTGCACCACCACCGAGCTGCGTATATCGACTGTTGAACTCTGCCACGGCTTGGTTGGGGAACTGACTGAAGTGATGGCTTGTGTGAACTGCATCATCGTCGTCTTCGTCTTCATCGCCGAACTCACCATAGAAGGACTCTTCTTCAGATTCTTCTGCAACGGGTACCTCCTCTTCCTCCTCACTACACAGGTCCACGACGAGCCGGTGATTCTGGTCGACAACTTCTTCGTCATCGTCATCAATCTCGTGAATGACTCTGGATTGCTGGGGTCGACGATTACGAAGCTGTGGATTCCGAGGTACTGGTGTGTCGTCCCCGTAAAAGTTTCTGGTGTTGTCCACCAAGGCCAAGAATTGCCTGCCATATAGATCCACCATCTCAGGCCTGATACCCGGGATACTCTTCATCTCATCCAGATCCATAGGCAGATCAAGGCCCATTTCACGTAGTACTGTGTCTGTGAAGATGGCTTCACGGTGATTTTTCTTCTCTTCTATGCCCTTCCTCAACTGCTTGGCTCCGTTCATGAAGTCTCGTAGAACATCAGACTGGAATTCGCTGAGTCCTTCGGTGCGTTGATCTGTAGTAATTGGAGCTCCGACACCCTTTGCTTTCGTGCTTCTCGATGGCTTGGCAACACGTATTGGCGCAAAGTCGTCATCAACCACGAAATCGTCCGCCTCGTACCCGCGGGCCGTCTTACTGCGGGCGGGGTGTCGCGGAGCTTCGAATGCATCGTCGTCATCGTCATCATCGTCGTCCTCTTCGTTATAGGCAAATGATCGGATCTTCTGCTTCGGTGCGCGCACGGGGGAGGGAACATTGGTAGATGGAATCTGAGTCTGGATTTTCTTTGCCTTCTTGACAGTGGGTGCTTTCGCGCGCGCTTTCTGTGGCGAAGAACGAACTTGAAGCTTGAGTTGCTTTCGTTTGCTCTCGTAGTCGTTGCGTGCTGAAGCAGGCTGCAATGGTCAGTATGTGGAACATAGTCAGGGTAGTGAATACATACGTGTAAGTAGTTCGTCGCGAAGCCAACTTTGTTCACCTTGCTTCTTTCCTTGAAGGCCCCAGCGTCGAGCAGGTGTTGGAAGATGCGTTCGTTGTCACCGCGTTCCAAGTCCTTGCCGTAGCCCCATCCATACTCTTCCAATCCAGAGCGTTTGATCTTCGCACTGCCCGCACCACGGAAAGCGTCCACGCACTGATGCATCGTTACGTTGTCCTCGTGTACCTGACTCACAAGCTTGATGGCCATGGCAGCGTACTCCGTAAGGTCTTTCGTAACAAACGTCGCATCTGAGCGACAATTGTCGCACGTCGAGTTGCACTTGGAGGCATCGAATGCTTCACTAAAGTATCCGAGCACTTGAGCGCGGCGACAGTCTGCTTTGTTTTCGCAGTACTGGATGACAGTTCTTAGCATATCGCCCAGTCGCTGTTTCTGCTCCCAGCTACCTTCGCCTTCCTCGATCATCTTGCGCAATATTCTTGAGTCGGCATACTGATAGTACAGGTAGCACTCTGAACGCTTGCCATCACGGCCAGCTCGTCCGGTCTCTTGGTAATAGCCTTCCAAACTCTTGGGCAGCGAGTGGTGGATGACATATCGTACATCAGCCTTGTCGATACCCATACCAAAGGCGATGGTAGCCACTATGACATGATATTCATTCTTCTGCCATTTGCGTTGGACTTCGGATCGGTCCGCGGACTCCATTCCTGCGTGGTAGTGATAGGCACGGATGCCCGTCTCGGATAGCTTCTGGGCCACTTGCTCACAGCTCTTTCGTGACAAACAGTATATGATGCCGGACTTCCCAACGTATCTCTCTTTGATTAGATCCGCGATGCTGTCGATGACACCTTTGGCTTTTGGCAGAACCTCGTAAGACAAGTTGGGGCGGTTGAAACTCTGGGAGAATTGACGGCAACCCTGGATACCGAGATTTGCTACTACGTCAGTGCGAACAAGCTGGGTCGCAGTTGCGGTCAGTGCAATGACGGGCACTCCTGGGAACTGACGAACGACGTCTCCAAGTGCCTTGTAATCTGGCCGGAAGTCGTGACCCCACTGACTGACACAATGTGCTTCGTCGATGACGATGCGGGCAAGATTGCCTCCAGAATGCAATTGCTGGAAAGCACTGATCATTCTCTGATTCTTGCTGAGCATCTCGGGGGTCAAATAGAGAATCTGTATGAACTGTTGGGGATCCCGCTGACGTAGCCCATCCATGATCATATTCTTTTGCGCTGCGGTCGATTCTCCGTTTATCAGAAAGGCCTGCATCCCAAAGCGTTGTTTACAGGCCTCCACTTGATCCTCCATCAAACTCAAGAGCGGAGATACTACGATGGTGACTCCTCTTGTCTTGCCTGAGGTAATTACTGACGGAAGTTGGTAACAGAGGGATTTGCCACCTCCCGTAGGCATCAGCACAAAACAATGTTCGCCAGACAGCGTCGTATTGATAGCCTCCAGTTGTCCTGGCCGGAATCCTCGCAGACCGAAGCGGCGAATAAGGGCGGTTCTGAGATCTTGTGACCAAGGAAAGTTCATACCAGGATGATTCTTAGCAGGCATATTCAGCTGCTGTTTCTTTGGTGAAGCTTGCTGGGCTGGTTTGGGCTGGGCTTTGTTGGTAGAAGTTTCGCGGAACACCTCACGGGATTGTGTAGTGACATGATTCCCAGCCCGCTCGCCTTTCCAATCAAAACCACCTGGTGCCTGATTCTCAATGTTGGTGATCTCGTGAAGGAAGTCATCATCGTCGTCGGGCCCAAATGCCTCGCCGAAATCATCGTCGTCGTTGATCTCAATGGGTTGGTGAAGTTCGCCCATGTTGTTGCTGAATAGGGTTTCGTTTTCTTCAAAGTCAAGCTCTCCAAACTCGTCTGGTGTGTGTTGCGGAGCTACTGGCCTGGGTTTCTTCGGAGATCGTCGGCGCTCTGGCGTCTCAGGCACTCTATGGGATCGCTCTTTTGACTTCGCTTTTTGCTTTCCTGTCGTACCATCATCCGCAGGGGCACGAGAGCCTAGATTTGGGGGCGGTAGTGGGGACGCGGCTACTTGCTCTTCTGCGAAACGGATATGCCGAGTAGGCGTCCACAGTTCCTGAGCGGGAGCGTCGGGTGGCCTACCGTATTGTGTCTGGGGGATGCGATGTGATCCTACCTCCCTTGACGCTTTTGGGTGCGAGCGGACCGGGCTTGCTTGGGTTGATTGTATGACCACATTACGGCTGATTTTCGTTTCGTTCTTCACAAGAGGTGTTGACTGCTGCTTGATGGCTGCCGCATCCAGTAGGTAAAACATCTGGATCAGAACATCCTCATTCATCTTGAACAGTCTGCTGAGGGTTTCACCGTCCGCGGCATCAAACTGGCCGATGTTCAAGTCATCCTCTAGCTTCTGTTTGACCCTCTGGCGCTGCCCCATTAGTTCCTCGTGTTTGGATTTCAAGGTCATCAATTGCTCGACTGCCTCTTTTCGTGAGCGAGCGCGTTCCATCCTTTCTTGTTCGTTTGGATCAGGCTTCCCAAACTCGGAAAGATGTGCTACAAATGCAGCCCTGGCGTTATCCCATGCCGAGCTTGCAGCGTTGAGGTGTTTCTGCAATCTTTGGCCTTCAGTGCCTAGGAAGGTATCCATGGATTCTCTGATAGCATCTCTCCTCTCCTTTGGAAGCTCGGAAGAGCTGGGTATGCGTTTCGTGGATGCAGGCACTGGTGTAGGTGTAGGCCTTGCAACCTTTTTTGGAGACTGAGACTTCGCTGGAGTGGGCATAGAGTCCTGTTCTGGCTGATATGGGCTTGGGCTTCTTACGGTCTTTGAAGGCGATCGTATGGGAAGCTGCGTTTGACTGGCACCTCTAGTGAGTTCGGTCATCGGTGTTTTCTCACGCGTTTTCTTCCTCGTTGGGGTGGGTGATTTTGTCCGGGATTGGGTATCGATATCCATCTCATCCAATGCACCAAATTCGTCATCCTCCGAGTCCAAGACTGCATGCCCGACCCTCTTCGTGCCAGGTGTGTCCAAACGTCGATCATTTCTAGCCGTGGCCCCGGTCTTAGCGAGATCGTTCTTCTGGGGCGAAGGACTACGCGTTTGCTTCCCCATTTTACGAACGGGCGCATTCTCCGAGGGTGCGCGGCTCAGCGACTTGCGTTTGCGGGGTTGTGAGGCTATCGCACTCTCTGTGTTCGCCATTTGTCTCTCCTCTTCTTCTAATTGCAACATAGCTTCCAGGTCGTCGTCTTCTGCTGTCGCGATGTGCCTTGATTGTTTGCCTACATCATCTACAATGGTTGAGTATGGTGGGGGAGGGCTGTCCGGAGCCATGACCATATCGTCGATATCGGGGAAGTCATCGTCGTCGACGGGCTCTGGACTGAGCGCGGGAGCCTTCCGAACAGGTCTGGGGGACTTGGTGCGACGGAAGTCTGCCTCGTACTCGTCGCTCTTTCGTTTCCGACCCTTAGAGGTGCGCATTGGAACAGGAGAGGAGCGACCCGCGTCGTCACCAGTGAGATCGATTGAATCGACATCAATTGGCTCGCGGTACTTCGTTCTCGCGGTAGTATGTTGAGAGGCAGGCGTGCCAGTGATCCCAGTGAAATTCCTCACATTCGCCGATTGATCTTGTATGCTGTTCCTGAAGCTCCCAGCATCACGCTGTTCCTTTCGTTCCCTGCCTGCTGATTTAGAGGAGGATACATGTTCAGGCAACCCCGCTAAGATGAGTCTAGGCTTTCCACTCGCTGGAGTATTCCTCAATCTTGCCATATCCAGGGTCGCGTCTTCTGCGCCTGGCGGGTTGTGTATATCAATAGTCCGTGTTCGAGCGAGAGCGCGGGGTGGAGCGGGACGTTCGACTGGTAGTGCTGGTGGGGGTGGTGGCGCGGAGGCAGCTTCAGGCTCATTGTATTCTGCGTGGTCGTCCAAGAAGGAAGAGTGCTGTTGTGGAATCGTAGCTGAACTCGTCGGAACTGCGTCGGGATCGTATGCAACGAGCGAAGCCGCGGGCGGAATGAAAGGCTTCTCTGCGATCAACCACTTAAGATGTTTGCTAAGATTGTTCTGAGGCATGAGAGCGTCGCATCGTATTTGTGAGTCCGCATGAATATTTTACGCGTCGGTCCGTGTAAGCATCGCGGTTTTGCAGGCGTGATGGTGGCGATGTCATCGGTAGCATCGTTGACCGTGTTGTGCTAACTCCGGAACGCGCCGCGCTAGCACCAAGTCACGTGATGGATGGATGCCGAAGAACCTCGAGTGGACCTGCCGCTTTGGAGTCAAACATGCCGCTTACTTCACGAACCCGCTCAAGATAGCCAATCGATCCGCGAGAGTGGCCCACTCGATGGATCATAACACGGCGCAGGTTGCGAAGGCACATGTCGCTTCCGGCTATCCTAGGTAATCACCGCGAAATCTAGACTCTTCATAGAGTCAGACGCGTCCCGTCACTCGTACAAGAACTTCTCGCGCCAACGATTGTACGCTGCATTCCTTTACGTTCCAGCATCCACCCCGGAAGCGAGCCGTGAATAATTTCAGTTCTACCTTTGTACGCATCAATCCAATTGATCATGGATGTCCCAACTCACGAGCTATTCCAAAGACTATCGACGTCAATCTTAAGGTTACACTCGGATCCCCCGCCTGAGAATGTCCTTCCATCTTCGACTGTGTTGAGTGCTGCTCGCGCTATGATTCATCCCCACCTCCAGAGCCAGGGCGTGGGTCTCGAAGAAAGCATACGACACATACAAGAAGACCTCGCCCCAGCCTTCAACAATAGCTCTCGCTCTCCTAACTATTACGGCTTTGTGACTGGTGGTGTGACACCGGCAGCACTCCTCGCCGACAACCTGGTCACAGCGTATGACCAGGTAAGTTTCGGGTGTATGAACTGCATGGAAGACAAATGCTAACTTCGTATGTCCATTGCTGCAGAATGTACAAGTTCATCTACCAAATGAGACCATCGCCACAGAGGTTGAAGATCGAGCTCTATCTCTATTGTGCGAGTTGCTCAGTTTCGCACCAGAACAATGGCCACACCGCATATTTACCACAGGTGCGACGGCAGCCAACATCCTGGGACTGGCGTGTGGACGAGAATATGTGATTGCTGAAGCCTCGGCACATCGTACAGACGTCGAGATTAGCGTTGGCGAACTTGGTATCATGGAAGCCATGCGGAAAGCTGGTATCGACGAAATCCAAATCTTGACCACGGTACCGCACTCATCGCTGAGCAAGGCCGCAAGCATACTAGGTCTGGGGCGGACGAGCGTTAAGTGTCTAGGACAACCAGATGCGCCGCACAAATTTGACATGCAGCTACTCAAGAAGTCTCTCGAGAGGCCCGGTGCCGCATCTATCGTAGCTATCTCTGCATCGGAAGTCAACACAGGAGTCTTTGCGACTTCTGGGTTAGAAGAAATGCAGGAGATGCGAAGACTGTGTGACATGTATGGAGCTTGGATACATGTAGATGGTGCGTTTGGGCTCTTCGGCCGTCTATTGAGCTCACCCGCGTACTCCTCCATTACTCGAGCTTGTGAAGGGCTTGAGCTTGCGGATTCGATCACAGGTGACGCGCACAAGCTGCTCAACGTACCATACGACTGTGGCTTCTTCCTCTCTCGACACCGCAACATCGCTGAACGCGTATTCCAGAATCCCAACGCAGCATACCTCGCTTCTGGGAACGACGTGAACGCCATCATGTCACCACTGAACATTGGACTCGAGAACTCACGACGATTCCGAGCGTTACCGGTTTACGCCAACCTTGTTGCGTATGGTAAAGACGGCTATCGTGCGATGTTGGAACGTCAGATTGAACTCTCGCGAGGAATCGCAAGATACATTCTGGAAACTGATGGATATGAGCTCTTGCCTCAACACGATACTTCTCAGGAAGACGTCGTAAACAGTATATATATCATTGTACTGTTCCGTGCAACAGATGAAGCACTGAACAAGCAATTGGTCAACAAGATCAAGGCAACGAGGAAGATATACGTATCAGGAACAGCGTGGGACGGAAAACCAGCATGTAGGTTTGCAGTCTCGAACTGGATGACGGACGCTGAGAGGGATTTGCCTATCATCAAAGAGGTGTTGCGAGACGTGTTGTCCTATAAAGAGGGAGAATAGTCGAAGCAGCTTAACTTTAATCGACATAATCAAACAAGTAAGAGTGTGTTACATGTCCTCCATCTTGTACACTTCGTATACTGGCTCTTCGTATGGGTGTGCTCTGATACTATCAGCAATCTCGATTATCACTGGAGATGGATAGACTCACTTTTTCAGCGCTTCCACGGCTTTGACAGTTATGTCGCGTCCCATGCACATGGCCTCGACTCTGTACTCGTCCACTTCCTGTAGTTCACCAGCCTTGCCAATCTAAGGGCCGTTGTCAGTCTTGACTCTTTATTACACTGTGGCTCTACGTATGCCTAAGAAACCTACGTGAGGATCGGCAGCGTCGCCGGGTCTGAATTGCCCCGTTCCTCTGCTTGTGAAGCAAACTTCAGTGTAGCCCCCTGGGCCTGGATAACGTCCGGCACCGGCACCCAAGACAGCGGTCTTGCAGGCGTTGAGAGCGGAGGGAGGGACAAAGAATACAAGCTTGAACTTTTGCACAGTCGATGCCATGATGACGCAGGCAGGAAGAGATGAGTATAATAGATGGATTCAACAGACGAGCTTCCTCGCAGCCTTTTGGTATCAAATATATGTAATTGAACCTGAGATCCACGATGATGTGGATGTATCCAATCGCAGCGGTGCATGGGGTGGGGCTACCTTCATGGCAGTTGCACCGCACCGCATGTGGTAAATATTAGCAGTTTGGTGTGTATGAGGCAGAATTAATTAGCGGAACGCGAAGCATAATGATGGAAAGTTTGCCAAGGAACAAAATCAAACGCGGCCAACTTCGCATCATTGGGATCCTCTCGAAGCTCGGTGCAGGCTGGCGGTTGAAGGAAAGTCGGCGGCACGTTACTGTAGCCCCGCGCCCCACTACAGGCAGAGCGCACGTGTCAGGGTGTTTGTTTACCTGTGCGCACAACACTAGGAAAGTGTCAAGTTGCACAAGGATACTCCGCGCAATCAGCGCCCGACCACAACCAGCCCACAGCCATAGCAATCATGGCTTCCGTGTCCCCGAGGAAATCTACGCGCGCCGCTGCGACGCGCCGAAAAGCACCCGTTGTCGACGATTCGGACCACGAGGAGAACAGGACCCCGACGCCCGAAGTCAAGCAGGAGGAAGAGGAAGAATTCACACCGGCCCCCGCACCACTCAAGACGGGACGGGGACGGGGGAGGCCACGGAAGGCTGCAGCCCAGAATGAAGAAGCGACACCCAAACCCGCAGCGAGGCGGCGGACTCGCGCCACAGAGTCGGTCGAACCTACGCAGACGCTCACACCCGCGGCAGAGAGAAGCACCAGGGCAGCTTCCCCCTCCAAGGCGGTACCTAAGAAGCGCGGAAGGAAGCCGCGTGCTTCTGTTGCTGCACCGCCGGCTGAGGATACCTCTCACTTGCTCACGCCTGAGCCTTCAATATCGCCTGAGCCTGAAGTCGAGCAGCCGTCCGAAGTCACCGTTACACCAAGCTCACCGCTTGCCGATACTACAAACGACACGGCCGACGATCCTAAGAACGACACAGTAGTCGATCCTACGAGTGACGCTGCGAGCGATGTTACCATGACTGATCGAACGCCGGAGCCCACACCCGCACCCGAGCCTGTCGCTGAGGTTACCCAGATAGAAGCAAAAGACGAGACGCCCGTTCCGGAGCTGAAGGTCGAGGCTGAGCCTTTATCAGAGCCTCAGCCCCCAGCCAAGGTCATGGAGGAACTCGGCACACAACAAACTATGCTTGAGCCCATAGATATTGTGGTCAAGAGGCGAGCGGCAGGCATCCCCGCGCTGCATGAGCCCGTGGCGCCCAAACAGCGGACAGTAATCACCTGGCTTGTCCTCAACAACTTCAAGAGTTATGCTGGTCGACAGGCGGTTGGGCCTTTTCACGCCTCGTTCTCCTCCGTGGTGGGACCGAACGGCTCCGGAAAATCAAACGTCATCGATTCGCTTCTCTTCGTCTTCGGTTTTCGCGCAAGTAAGATGCGACAGAGCAAGCTTTCCGCCCTTATTCACAATTCCGCGGCGTTCCCAGACCTGGATTACTGCGAGGTCGAAGTTCACTTCCAAGAAGTCAAGGACCTCCCAAACGGCGGCCACGAAGTCATCTCTGATTCAGACCTCGTCGTCTCTCGAAGGGCGTTCAAGAACAATTCGAGCAAATACTACATCAACAGGAAGGAGTCTACATTCACGATTGTCACGACCCTGCTTAAAGACCGCGGCGTGGATCTCGACCATAAGCGTTTCTTGATCCTGCAGGGTGAGGTTGAATCGATCGCGCAAATGAAGCCAAAAGCACAGGGCGAACACGACGATGGCCTGCTTGAGTATCTCGAAGACATCATTGGCACGTCCAAGTACAAGACACCCATCGCAGAGTCCGAGGTAGAAGTGGAGACCCTAAACGAAGTCTGTCGGGAAAAGAGCAGCCGTGTACAGCACGTCGAGAAGGAGAAGAGCAGTTTGGAAGAGAAGAAGAACAAGGCGCTCGCCTACATTCGTGACGAGAACGAGCTGGCCTCGAAGCAGTCCACCCTCTACCAGATCTACGTATCCGAATTCGACGATCACATTCAAGTCACACAAGAATCTGTCGGCCAGCTCCAGTCGCAGCTTGATGAGGAGTTGCAGAAGCACCAGGGCAACGAGGAAGAGATCAAGGGACTTGAGCGACAATACAAGGCTGGCGCGAAAGAGTGTGAGCAGCTCGAAAAGAAGAACCAGGAGTACCAGAAAGAGGTGGCCCGTGTTGACAAGGAGACGGTCAAATTCGAAGAGAAGAAGAAATTCTTGGCTAATAAACAGAAGAAGCTGGAGAAGACCAAGGAGACAAGTGGCTATGGTCGATCGGAAGCAGACAGCCTTGCCAAGCAGTATGCCGCGGACGTCGAGCGCTACAACGAAGAAATCGCCGAGCTCGAGCAGAGCATGGAGGTCGAAGCGAAGGAGCTCGAGACGATTCGCAAGAGCTTGGCCGGTAAAACACAGGGTCTTTCAGATGAGATCGCTGCAAAGCAGAAAACTTTGGAACCCTGGAGTGCGAAGATCAACGAGAAGCAGTCCGCTATTGCAGTTGCTCAGAGCGAGCTCGACATTATGCGTGAGCGTGAGAATGCCGGTGCCAAGGGTATCGCTGAAGTCGAAGCAAAGATCGAGAGTTTGGAGGAAGCCAAACAGGCAAAGGTTGCAGAGCTCGATGAATGTAAAGCTGAAAGGAAGCGTGTCGAGAAGAATGTCCAAAAGACACAGGCTAAACTTGAGGAAATAACCCAACAAGAGCCGGCGCTGAGGTCGAAGCTATCTGGCGCACGAGCCAAGGCAGACGAGGCTCGGGCAAGTCTCTCCTCAGCTCAGACCCAAGGCAACGTTTTGACGGGTCTGATGCGTCTGAAAGATTCAGGACGTATCGATGGCTTCCATGGTCGACTCGGAAACCTAGGCACCATCGATCAAAAGTACGACGTTGCTATCTCTACAGCCTGCCCGCAGCTGGACAATATGGTTGTAGACACAGTAGAGTCTGGTCAGCAGTGCATTGAGTACCTGCGGAAGAATAACCTCGGTCGCGCCAACTTCATCCTCCTGGACCGCCTCGCCAAGCGCGATATGTCGCCCGTCCAAACACCCGAGAACGTGCCACGTCTTTTCGACCTTGTCAAGCCCAAGCACGAAAAGCTCAAGCCTGCATTCTTCCAGGTTATGACGAATACGCTGGTCGCCGAAGACCTTGACCAAGCTGAGCGTATCGCATATGGCGCAAAGCGATGGCGAGTCGTCACCCTGGATGGCAAGCTTATCGACACTGCAGGTACCATGAGCGGTGGTGGAAGCAGAGTAGTCAAGGGAAAGATGTCTTCCAAGCTCGCGTCGGATGTCTCAAAAGATCAGGTCACAAAGCTTGAGCACGACCGTGAAACGCTTGAGCAGACCTTTGCGGAGTTCCAGCAAGAGCTGCGGGAGCTTGAGACTGCGCTGAGAAACCTTAACCAGCAGATACCCGAACTAGACACCAAGTCACAGAAACTTGCGCTAGAACTGGAAAGTTTCGATCGTAATATTGCGGATTGTCAGCGTCGCATCAAGGAGCTGGGTAGTGAACAGACATCCACAAAGACCGACAAGGGACGCATCTCGTCGCTGGAAAAGAACATCGCTTCGATGGAGAAGGAGGTGTCTAAGCTTCGAGCAGAGACTGAGGATATTGAAGCTGAGATTAAGGCTCTCCAGGACAAGATCATGGAGATTGGAGGAGTCAAACTACGAGGTCAGAAAGCCAAAGTCGATGGTCTCAAAGGACAGATCGATACATTGACCGAGCAAGTGTCCAATGCACAGGTCGCAAAGTCAAAGGAGGAGAAGCAGCGCGTCAAGCACGAGAAGGCACACAATGATGCCATCAAAGAGCTCGAAAAGCTTGCTCTTGATGCCGAGAAGGTTGAAGAGGACATGGCTTCACAACAACGCGACGTTTCTGGAATCCGACAGCAGGGCGAAGAAGCGCAAGAGCAGCTCGAAGCCAGGAAAGAGGAACTTCAGTTGGTCAAGAAGGAGCTCGACGAGAAGCTGGGCGAGCTCAACGAGACGCGTGCGGTCGAAATTGAGATGCGCAATAAGCTCGAAGAAAGCCAAAAGACTTTGAATGAGTATCAGAAGAAGCAAGCATACTTCCATGACAAGCTAAGCAAGCTCGCATACCAGAATGTTACCGACTTGGGCGAGGAACAAGAAAACGAAGGTGAAGGTCTCCCATCCTACAGCAAAGATGAGCTTCAAGACATGGACAAGGCTACTCTCAAGGACCAAATCGCCCACTTGGAGAAGAAGAATGAGTCCACGCAAGTCGACCTAGCGGTCCTCGCCGAATACCGCAAACGTGTCGAGGAGCATGCTGCGCGCTCCACAGACCTCGCTTCTGCTGTCAGCGCCCGTGACGCTGCAAAGCACAAGTGCGAAGAGCTTCGACGTCTTCGAAAAGAAGGTTTCAAGGCTGGTTTCGACATCATCACCGCGCGTCTCAAAGAAATGTACCAGATGATTACCATGGGTGGCAACGCCGAGCTCGAATACGAAGATACACTCGACGCCTTTTCCGAGGGCATCCGGTTCTCAGTGATGCCTCCGAAAAAGTCATGGAAAAACATCAGCAACCTGTCTGGTGGTGAAAAGACATTGAGCTCTCTAGCTTTGGTGTTTGCTTTGCATCACTACAAGCCTACACCGTTGTACGTCATGGACGAAATCGACGCGGCGCTAGACTTCCGCAACGTGAGCATCGTGGCGAGTTACATTAAGGAGAGGACGAAGAACGCACAGTTTATTGTTATCTCACTTAGGAACAACATGTTCGAACTTGCATCGCGGCTGGTCGGCGTGTACAAGGTCAACCACATGGTAAGCTCATTTAAAGTGCACACTCAATGGCTTGAACATCGTTTACTGACTGTATGTAGACGAAAAGTGTTACGATTGAGAACAAAGATTATATCATTAAACAGGCTTGATGATTGGTAGGCAACGAATACTCTTGCGATTGATGTTTGGTGTTAGGAGTAAATTCGTGGGCACGCATTCGGTATAAAGCGGAAAAGGTTGGGCTGTTTATGATGATACCATACTGAGATACATGCGGTCTGGTACTGAACGAATGCAATGTTGAATGTCATTATATATATATATATAAAACCTCGCTTTGAGCACTGATATGCCTGGTCGAGCTTCCAAGTTGCGCGAAGCTACAGTTGCGCGAAGCTACAGTTGCGCGAAGCTACAGTTGCACGAAGCTGTATCGAACTAGCTTTCCTCGCTCCCTTCCCTGAAGCTCTTTAAGTGGCAGCAGTGTAGTCGGTTTCACTTCCCGTCCTTTCATCAGCCATAGCGTCTGCCTGCGCACACAACAAAACTTCTCGACCGAAGCGTTGCTAGGGTTTCCAACTCCCACGCAATCGCCCCTCGCCACCTTGGACCTCTACCTCATATACCGCTTGCACTTGGTCTTAGCTTTGAGCATTGTTACTAACCTACTCAAGTACGTCAACACGGGTTACACCAACTTTGAGCTTACACCACACCCACCTCCTGCCTCTGCCTCTACCTATACCCACAACCTACCTGCGAAGACCTGTAACCACTGCACATTCTCCACCAACGCAAGAGCGCGGTCCTACTTCACCAATTTTCCACCTTCTCGGCGCGCTACCATCGCTCCCGCTTACGACACTATCATGTCCCACGTCACTGGCCCCTGTCCCAATCCGTTGGAAGGATATACAGCTGTAGATGTTAGCAGTGCAGAAGTAACCGTGGTAACTCCTGCATCCAAAGCGAAGAAGACATCTGAGAGCCCTCGAGTCGAAAAGAGCAATGGTCAGACTACGCCTAAGCGAACTCTTCGCAGTACTAGGTCTACTCAGAATACCCCGACAAAAGACCCCAAAGTCAAATCCGTCGAAGTGGCCGCTGTATCAGAAGGATTAGACCTATCTGCATCGGCGGCAAGCAGCGATGAAGGAGTTGCTACAGGGTCAGCGTCCGGGACTGAAGAGAGCGCTCGCGCAGACCGCCAGGCCAAAAAATTCGTCACCACTTCGAAAGACCCTCGCGCCGTTGCTCAGGAAGAGTTGTCACACGGCAAGAAGCGCGCAGCAGAAGACAAGAAAGGCGGTCGAGTGAAGCGTCAAGTACGGTCATCCCAGGAGCTGGGTCTAACCTACAACAGCATCAAGGCAATCAACATGCCGCCGCGTGGTCTCGCACCTGGCCAAGACCCTCCCGTCCCCACGCCTGGGGCGTTTCTCTATGGTGACACGGAAGATCACCAGAACAGTATGATCATCTACTGGCTAGACGATTTGGAACACACATATTCGGCGGCGACTATCTTATACAACAAGGAATTCCCGAACGATAGCGTGACGGATGAAGCTGTACGTCGCCGCCATATTCGGTCCCTCGAGCGCTTGCAGAAGCGCTATGGTGCAAAGCCTGCTGCGCAGATTGGCGTAGTCGGCAGGAACATCTCGAGACGTGGAAGGCCGCGTGCGCCCCGTCTCAGTGGTATCGAGCCCGAGAAAGACTTCGTTGCTCCCTCTGAGGAGCAGAACGAAGGCGAAGGCGAAGTCTCGGCCCTTGAAGAGACTTCGGCTGACACATCGAATTCTTCTTCGAAGGGTAGCTCGGCCAAGGCCATGAAGCAGGCTCAGCGCGAGAAGCGGAACTACAAGAGCCACGAGTTTGACAAGGCCTGCATCGTTGTTTGGCACGATGCTAACAACATGTCGTTCAAGAGCATCCGCAACAAGCTCGAGGAGGGTGGATGGTCCCTCGGCGTGCCCACGGTCAAGAAGGAGTATGCCAAAGCTCGTGCTCGCATCTGGGGCACAACGTCACCAGAACCTGCCGCCGCCGATACCGAAGAAGGTGAGGGAGAAGCGGTCGAAGATGGAGAAGACGGAGGCATGAACATGGAGGGGGAGTCACTTGAGGGGGAGTCAGTTGAGCAGCAGGAGATGTGAGTTGGAGACGACGGGGTGGCAGGCGTCACCGTGCAGCGACCCGATAGTACAGGTTGGAGGGCGACAAGGACTGGACATGTGATTGTAAACGTAGCAGTGCAACCACCCGATACACTGCAATGTTCTATTGAGAATAACCACATCCGTGCACATTGCGTGAAGTGAATGTTGAACGCGGCGATGCTTGACCGTTCTCTTTGACTAGTTTTAGCTCGGTGCACGGACCAGTCAGCCGCGGCCTTGAACCGCGACTGGATTTCATCACTTGTACACGACACGGAGCCATTTGGCTATATCGACACCCGCGCCTCCGACCGACCGAGAAGCCCCCCGAAGAGGCACTCGAACAACCGACGCAAACACCCGGCCTGTCTCTGTGGCGCCTCGCAGTCTTTCGAGCGCGGTGACAGCGTGAATGACGGCGCGCGCACCCCTCAACCGCTCTGCTGCCTCCCGGCGCGCTTTCACCTTTTGCGCTTGAGTCACACGCCTATATTAATACCTCGACTCACCTCCAACCCCCGAACACGTCCGGCTCGACGCTTAGCTACCATAATACCACACGCGACCATGGCTGACGAACACCCACCCCAAAATGTCGGCGGCGACTCCAACGCAGATAACGATGAGGAGGACTTCCGCAAGATCATGCAGCAAATGTCACGGGGCGCTGCCGAAGGCGAGGAGGATCTCTTGGGCGGCATCGCGGACCGACCGCTGGATATTGGCGAGAAGGCCGACGACGCAGTCGACTACGAAGACATCAGCGATGATGACTTGCCAGACGAGGAGTTCGCGTCAGGCGAGGGCGCCGATAGCACCCAGAACTTCAGCGGAACTACCCTACAAGAGTCTGGCGGCGCGCATGACAACGAAGACGTCGACATGGACGACCTCTTCGGCGACAACCATGACGATAACGATGATCTCTTCGGCGACGACCCCAGCCACTCCGACCCGGTGCAGGAGTCTGCGCGACACGAGGATGATCCTCTCACCTCCATCGAAGACCTTGTCCAGGAAGGCTTCAGTACCACCACAGACGATAAGCCACAGTCTGCTACCCGCAACATCGCCCCTAGTGTCGCACAGCAAGAGGTGGAGGAGGAAGACCCCGAGGTGCGTGAGCAGCTGGCTCTATTTGCACAGTCTTCGCGCAAGAAGGACGAGCCGGCGGCTGCACCCGTAAAGACATCGCGAGAGGAGTTCGAGAAGATCTGGCCCAACTTTGAGGCGGACAAGCCGCCACGCTTCTTCAGTCTGGTACCTCGAAAGCGCGCTTTCTATATCCCCAAAGTTCCGCAAAAGACACCGAGACCATTCCAAACGAACAAGCTTACCTTGGACCTTGCGACGGACCAAGAAAAAAGCTTCCGGTTACATCCTTCGACGACCACCGCGAAGTCAGGCCGACAGCAAGAGGAGGAGCAGGGTGGCCTCATTCATATCACCAATACCGCAGACGAAGATGGCGATAGCGAAGACCAGTTGGAGTTGGACAACCTTGACACTATCGACGACCGTGAGATGATCGGCAATGTATCCTGGAGCGACCTGCGGATTGCCTGTGAGGATTGGGACGTGCCAGATGGTGCAAGCGATGCGACCATGTCCGACGAGAACCAAGCACCAACGCCTCCTGACAGTATGGGGAGCATTGACTTGGAGCAATTATCGCCGAATAAGAAGCGGAAACTTGGAAGTCGTGAGCAGCCCGTCCATTTCTCCGTCTACGATCACATGGACCTACCCACCTGGGACGATCCTGAGCTTGAGACAGCGCGACTATCCAAGAAGATCCTTCTCGACATGAACGACCCCCATCTCCTGCTGGATGTGCAACAGCCCAGTGCAGAGCCACCGAAACCTCGGACATTAGGTGTAGGTCTCAAGCGTGACAGCCGCGGAAGTCTTGCCAACCCCATGTTCAAGCGCTACAACATCTCCAACGATGAGGCGTACGACGCGCTCAAGGAAAGCAGCCAACAGAAGGTCCGTAGTACGATTGGCCACATGAACGTTGAGCACAGCTTGCCCGCATTGAAGTTGCAATATCCCTTCTACAAGGTCGCGCTGTCCGACCGCGAACTCCGGTCCTTCCACCGTCCTACTGTTACATTCAAGCCTGGTGAGCGAGCTAGTATCTCAGTACTCAAATCCGTCAAAAGGAAGCACAAGAAGAATCTCAAGCCATCCGAAGCTTTCGCGTCAGCAGAAGACCTCAACATTGGCGATAACTCTGATCTCCTCCTTGCCGAGTATTCTGAGGAGTACCCTACTACGTTGTCCAACTTTGGTATGGGTGTCAAGATCCTTAACTACTACCGTCGGAAGGACATGGAAGATACTGCGCGACCAAAGCCGGAAGATGGTATTGGTGAGACCTCAGTGTTGCTGCCGCAAGACAAGAGCCCATTCTCGCTGTTCGGTCAGGTCGAGCCCGGCCAGCAAGTGTTGACGCTTCACAACGCCATGTACCGAGCTCCCGTGTTCAAACATAAGCCCGAACAGACCGATTTCCTTGTGAGCAGAAGCTACACTGGTGTTAATGGCCCCAAGTACTACATGCGAAACATTCCAAATCTCATGGTCGTCGGTCAGCAGTTTCCGTCTGTGGAAGTGCCCGGTACACATGCCCGCAAGGTTACGGAAGCCTCGAAGAAGCGATTGAAGATGCTCGCGTTCCGCCTGTACCGAAAGGGACAGCAAAAGAACGCGCGTCAACCTTGGGTCAGCAACGAGATGATCAAGCAGCATTTGCCCGGTACCGAGATCGCTCAAAATCGCTCTCGAATGCGAGAAATTATGAAGTACCAGAAGGACATTGGTACTTGGGAGCCGGTGCCCGGGGAAACTGTTCCCGAGGAGCCGATTCTACGCACTTGGATCAAGCCAGAAGATGTCTGTCTGATCGACTCGATGCATGCTGGCGATAAGCAACTGCAAGACGCCGGCATCAAGTCGAACGAGATTCGTGATGACGACGAAGAGGCCGACAACGAGAACGCCGATGTCAAGCTCGCGCCCTGGAATACAACAAAGAACTTCCTCAACGCTTGCGCCGGCAAGGCTATGTTGGAGCTCCATGGTGACGGCGACCCTACCGGTCAAGGTCTGGGTTTCAGCTTCATCAAGGTTTCGATGAAGGGTGGTTTCAGGGACGTTGGTGAGAGCGCAGCTGATCGTCTCGATAACAAGAAGATGAAGGAGCTCGGTGGCCACAGCTACAATGTCCAGCGCCAACAAGTCATGTACGAGAACGCCATCAAGCGCATCTGGAACAAGCAGAAGGAGAGTTTATCCGCTCAGAACCCACCCTCCGACACCGAAGACGATGTGGACTCTGCCGTCAACCACAACAATACAGGCCGCCAACGTTCCGAAGTCGGTACACCGGCCGTACGTCCTGATGATGAGACCATGTCACAGATGTCTCGCAATAGCAATGCGGACAACAGCGGCAAGAAGCTCAAGATCACTCGCACTATCAAGAACAAGTATGATGAGTACGAGGATGTCACAGAGGTCATCACCGACCCCGCCGTTATCCAGCTTTACATCAAGCACAAGCGACAGCAGCGTCTGCTCAACATGCGCATCGAGGACATCAAACCAACTGGCGATCCTGAAGTGGACAGGGCCCAGCAGTTGAAGTTGAAGGCAGAATTAGCGCGTCTAGCTCGCAACATAGAGCGCCGTGAAGGTCGCGAAAAGGCAAAGGGCATGCACAAGTCGCAGACTGGAGAGGGCGGTGCGACCGGTGGACCAGGCAAGGGCGGAGCAACACCTCGCAAGTGCGCCAACTGCGGCGAGGTGGGCCATATCAAAACAAACAAGAAGTGCGTAGGCAATCTTCCCTCTCTTTGACGAGTTTACTAACAAATCTTCCATCAGGCTCTGTCCGCTCCTCAACGGCCAAAGGAAGCAGAACGATACTTTTAGGGACGCAAGTGCTGCATCTCCCGCCACCGTCGTTCCAGCTACCCCCTCCTTCGCCGGCTCACCGTCATAGAACGACGATGTCATTAGTGGTACAGTGACTGCCTCTCCATCCACTGTTCATAATTCCGGGGCACACCATTAGTAGAGGACATGATCAAGATGCAACAGCTGCTACGTATCATACCTGGGTTTTCAAGTTTGTGTAAGGACGCTCGGCCTGCACGGACTATCCGACTATTAACGCGTTATATGTCGTGGTATGGGTATGGGGATTTCGAGTCTTTTTCTGTTTGAATGCATAGCATGGCGTTGGGCGGATCAGGTCAAAACGGTATTCGGAACTTGGGCTTACTTCGGTGGCTCTTATGGCGTTTATTCTTTTCGGAGCACAGGTTTTATGTGCTCTGCTCGTTACCACTCGGGCAAAGTAATCTGTATAACATGCTCCATGCAGAAGGGCGGAATGAGAGTAACCATTCATAAATTGTGTTTGTCTGCGTTGGTGACCGTGTCATTCCTTATCGACAGATGATCGTGCCAGGTTGGTCAACTTGATCTGGTCACCCACATGCCATCTATTTCAGTAGAGGACGTCACGTACTTTGCGAAGGAATACACGATATTGCATCCACAGTCTCATACATTGACTATACAAGAAGATTAAAAAAAAAAAGATTTGGTACAGACGGCAAGAAAAAATCGCACAAAATCCATGTGAACTCTCTCGCAATGCTATGTTCACTTGAAGCAAAAGTGCTTTCCCATGCAAGTTTAGTCTCCAAACACCTCCGCCAATATACACGTTCCTATATTCGCCTAAAACCCCACCCCTCTTATCCTACACCACCCCATTATTCATCCAGATAGCCGATTTTGCAAAATTGGTTCAGACTCCGCACGTCCAACTGAGCGGTAAGCAACGCGCCGAGCATGGTCTCTTTCCGAGGTAAGATATCTGCCTTGACTTTCCACGAGCTACCGTTGAAGTTGAAAATCTCCATGTCGTCGTCTTCATCTTCGTCAAAGTCGTCCTCATCATCATGTTCCATGTGCCCGTTTGTTTGCTGCACGCCCTTGACCAACGGTTCACCGCCCTTTGACTTGTCACCAAGGCGTTTGAGGGTTGATAGCGCGCGATGGACGATGAGTTGGAAACCTTCCCGGTCATGGTCCATGGGCCGTTGGCCGCGGTGATTTGGCGGTTGTGGGGGGTGCGGGATGGCGGCATCGGTAGCGGATAGCGACATGGCGAACTTGAGTAAGCTATGCGCCCAGCCGTCTTCCGACTCGAGCCACGAGCGACAGATACCAGTCTCGGGCCCTGGAGCTAAGCTGGCGAGTATGTCTGCCGCCAACATGCCCTGCATCAAGTATGCTTTCCGTGACTCCGCAACACGCGCTTCGAACATGCGCACCTCCTTCGGACGTGGCTCTTTCATCTGGTACATTTTGTTTTCAATGTAGTTGCGGTCCGGCACAACGGAGATGGCGAGGGCGAAGGAACGCGTTAGGAGGTCATACGCAGGAATAGATGTTGCCTCGTTAATGAATATTTGCTTGTAGTAGGTTCGGTTGGGATCGTCGCGAGCAAGGAGTTTGGCAAGACTGTCAACGGCAGAAGGGAGATAGCGGTGGATTTGCGGGTTGAAGGGGGTGAATTTGACAGGCTCAGCAGGTCGTGGAACTGGAGCAAAAGCGCAGAGAAAGTGCAACACGGCGTATGCGTCTTCACGATTTGGCAACACAACCTTCGCGCTTGTGTTGGAGAAGAAGGTGACTACATCCTTCATGAAGTCGAAGGTGTTGATATGTGATCGTAGCAACAGTACGCGGGTTCCGACAAGCCGTATGAAGTTTGCGAGGAATTTGATTACTGGAGCGCTGACCAAAGAGTCGTGGTTGACTTCGAGGAAAGAAAGATTTCGGAAGATGGTGGTGATTGCTAGCAGCCGGTCTGCAGTACGATCGAGCATGTATTCCTTCGTACCAGCCTGTGGGAGCTCTTGTAGTGCCGAGGCTTCCTCGCGACAGTGATGTAGGACATCTTCGTATGGGGTGAGATCGATGATATCGGTGACTTCCGGGTTGTCGTTGCCTAGTATCTCCAGCTGATCTTCCGCGTACTCCACCAGCACTTCTGTCAAGTCGTCGCAGTGCGACAAATTAAACTGTACGGTATTGTCATACGTTATCCGCGTCAAGGTGTCCAGCCCCAAGCGCACCTCCGCATGTAGTCCCGACTTGATACTCATGATGATGGCTCGAACGTCGATCACACCCATCTCCGGTAGTAATGGAACATTTGGTTTGTAGTTTGTGATGGTATCGATCATGTTCTTGAAGTTGTCGGAGTCAAAGTCGAGACCTCCCCATGTATCTTGCGTCCGGTAGGCGGGTTGATAGACCCGCGTACCATCATCTTGCTCGATTACTGGTTTGCGTTTCTCGGGCTCCTCAACGGCGGCCGAGGCTGATTCTGCAGCGACATTCTCTTCCTGCTTCATTGGTGACGACTGCGATTGGCCTGGCTCTTGTCCCTGAGTGGGTGTCCCTTCCAGCTGTCTGCTGAGGCTTTTCCGCGCGTTTCCGTCCGGCTGTGGTGTGGTGCCGTTGACGCTTGGAAGCGCTGCATTGCTCTGTAAAGGCGTTGACTGGTGTGGGTGTGGGGAAGGGTCGAGTTGCTGATGCGGCTGTTGGGCAGGCGGAAGCGATTGCCGTTGCTGCTGTTGCTGCTTCATGGCTTCCTGTGATCTCTGCAGTTGCTGCAAATATTCCTGATGTCCTGCATTGGCTTGTTGTCCAGGCATAGTCGGTCTTGTTGGCGACATCTGCTGACCCACGGATCCCATCTGGCTTATCTGGCCCATTTGACCCATTTGACTCATCTGGCCCATTTGACCCATCTGACCCATCTGTCCCTGCGGAGGCATACCCTTCTGTTGCATTTGCTGTTGTCTTTGCAGATAGGCGGTCTCGTAAAGGCTTAGATTCTGTTCGTATATCTGGCGCAATTCGTTGGGGGCGTTTGGAAACTGCTGTGGATGTATGTTCATCATTTGCGCGATTCTAGGCCAACCGTTTTGTTGCGTCACAAATCGATGGCCCTTGAAGCGCATGACAGCCGCGTAAAGGTTCTGGAGATTTGTCGGCCGACCGGCGCAGAGTGGCTGGTGGTTGAAGGGTCGGTTATGCTGGGCCATCAGCGCCTGAACGTTCTTAATGAACTGGTTGTACTGTGACTGTGGGTTCTGTGCCTGCCCTTGGGCCTGCATCATGTTCTGCTGCATGCCCGGATGCTGCATTGGGTTTTGCATTGGATTCTGCATTGCGCCAGGCATCTGCGCGCCTGGCTGCTGTCCTTGTCGCGCAGCCATGTTGCTCGCGGCAAGATTGCCCAACTGCTGCTGCTGTTGCAGGCGCATTGCGTATTGCCTTTGCGCTTCTTGCTGCCGACTCTGGAGATTTTGTGATAGTTGCACCGACTGCACGGGGAACTGATTTCCGGAATTAGCATTGAAAGCTTGGTTCATAGGTGAAGCCTGGAAGTTCATGGGTGACATCTGCGGCGCATGGGGATTTTGCGCAGGTGAGGCCGTGTTCATGCGCTGACCTCCCATCTGGCCGGGCGCGAAGTGCTGGCTCTGCATGGTGGGCGAGGGCGTGTTAGTGAAGCCTTGCTGGTGCTGGAAGCCGAATTGGGCTTGCTGTGAAGGTGTCTGAGAGCGCGATAAAGACAGAGCGGCGCCGGACGAGTCTCTTTTCTGGGGGACTGAGGGCATAGGATTGAACGGGCGCGCGCCATTCATCTGGGGTGTTGCGATTGCGCTCGGGTCGATGAAACTCGAGGGATCGTACATGCCGTTCTGAGGGGATTGGAAGTCCATGATAGTGCGCTACTGCCGCGAGCAGTCAAGAGCGGCGGTGGGGAGGGAAGGGGCAGTCGCGTGTAGGTAAAGACGAGGAAGAGAGCGATAGGTGCACGTGAGTGCCTGGGTTGGATATGGCTAGTGGCCCGTCAGCACGCATGTTGATGTTTAGATGGACGCGCCTCTAGCAGCAGCCCTCCGACGAGACGAAGGCGCAGGACAGCGACGCGGCAGACGGAGGCAGGATGAGATAATACACACCGGGCGCGACAATAGACCGACGCTAAAAGGATCTTCTCATCAGGGCAGGACGGATAACGAGTGGCTTTGAATGCGGTCGATAACTTGACGCACCGCAGACGCGCTTTGCGGACTATGCGTTGCTGAGAGCGGAGGAAGGAACAGTTTTCTTGGCGGAATCCCAGCCTCTACTTACTCTAGCCTTGTCGGGAGCATCACGAGACCTACCAGTGTCCGCGACTCCAGAACAGAGCGCACGTCGCCCGCAGAGCAGAAGCAGCCGCAGAGTCTCCAAAACATACACGCAGGCCACAGTCGCATCCGGAGCAGTAGACGCGTTCGCGCGTTGCGACAGGCCAGTGGAGTGCCTGCGTTGCCGGCAACTCACAAGCCTAGCCTAACTCAATTTGATTTGATTTCTCCGGGTCTTTGGCCGTCGTGACACGGAAACACACGTCTCTCCACTTATTACATCACTTTGTTCCTGCAGGAAATGGCGCTGTTATCGCACAGCTGGGCGTCGAGAGTGGGCACACCCAGACCGCTTGACTCTGCGTCGAGAGCCTAGCCAACCGTTGAACCGCCCCAAGCTACTCCCAGAGTCAGTGCACCAGTGTCCTCGTCCGATACTTGACGCAATCCAGCCTCTCTGCTCTGCCCTTCAATACGATGCAAATTCGCAACAATCCTATACCCGTCGGTGATCGGCGCGTATCACACGCCAGCAATCTACCATGGCGACTGGGGGTATACATGTCAGATTCGGCGCTTGTGCCATCATACATACGTATGGAGGCCCATATTCTATGCTATCGTCTTCATACTTTATAATTCCCACAAAGCATTCATGGTTCAATAGGGGTTAAGTAATTAGTCTCCGGTCGTTGTCGTGAACCGGCGCGGGATTTAAACACTTCAAGGGGGTAGGTAAAACTAGACTTTAGAGCTGATTCGTACTCCACATATGCTTCCAGCCAAAAGGAAAGGTCACACCGCGAGTTGGCTACTGTCCCTCATACAGGCCCATTGCATAGCTGTCTCGAGCCATGAGCAAGGGTCTTCGACTATCCATCTAGCATATGGAAGCCCGGTTACAGTGGGGACAAGTATTAACGCGCAATAGCGATGTGTTACAATCTCAAGCCTATACTGTACTAGTGTATCAGTCTACCTGCGCGTAATAAGAGCTTCGTGAATTTACTTTTTCACGTGTCGCAACAAATGGCATCTGAGCTAGCTGGCTGTAGTGATCGTCGAGCTCACGTGACGTCGGCGGCACCGCCTCGCATTGCCCGATCGCGCCTTCCATGAGCTTCATCAACATTGCGACACACAAGCACCGCCTTCACCAACATCCCGCCACAAACTATCACCACTGACGAATACTGCCTCTCGCTGCTGATATCCCCCACCGACTTGCAAATATACAAAGTCCATCCAGCTACTATCGTCATGGCTGATACCGCCATGGAGAACCCGGCCAACACCGTCCCGCCGCACAAGAAGCAGCTCCCATCGTCGATACCCAACTTTGATACCCTGGAGGGCTTCTCCACTGAGGGCAGCGATGACTACTCAACCTTCAAGAAGCTACAACGGCAATTAGAGTTCGTAGCGCTCAGACACATTGAACCGCAGGTGGCTAACAGTCGCAGGTACATCCATCTACAGGAAGAGTACATCAAAGATGAGCAACGGAGTCTGAAGCGAGAGTTGGTGAGAGCACAGGAGGAGATCAAGCGCATTCAGAGTGTACCGCTGGTGATAGGGCAGTTCATGGAGGCCATCGACCAGAAGTAAGCTTTAACACAGGCACAGCGCTTGCGTCATGACACTAACACGCCTAGTACCGGCATCGTACAATCGTCCACAGGCTCCAACTATGTCGTTCGCATCCTCTCCACTCTCGATCGCGAACTCCTCAAGCCATCCTCGTCCGTCGCGCTGCACCGCCACTCAAATGCCCTCGTCGACATCCTACCACCGGAGGCCGACTCTTCGATTGCCATGCTTGGTCAAGACGAGAAGCCAGATATCACGTATGCCGACGTCGGAGGTCTGGACATGCAGAAACAGGAGATCCGGGAAGCTGTCGAACTGCCGCTCACACACTTCGACCTCTACAAGCAGATTGGTATCGACCCACCGCGCGGTGTACTGCTATACGGACCTCCGGGTACAGGAAAGACCATGTTGGTGAAGGCTGTAGCAAATAGCACGACAGCGTCCTTCATCCGTGTCGTCGGTTCGGAGTTTGTACAGAAGTACCTGGGTGAAGGCCCACGTATGGTTCGTGACGTGTTCAGAATGGCGCGCGAGAACTCACCATCCATCATTTTCATCGATGAGATCGACGCTATTGCTACAAAACGTTTCGATGCGCAGACAGGTGCCGATCGAGAAGTTCAGCGTATCCTGCTCGAGCTGCTGAACCAAATGGACGGTTTCGACCAGACGTCCAACGTGAAGGTCATCATGGCGACGAACCGTGCAGATACCCTCGATCCTGCGCTGCTCCGACCCGGTCGTCTCGACAGGAAGATCGAGTTCCCTTCGCTACGCGACCGCCGTGAGCGCCGTCTCATCTTCTCCACCATCGCCAGCAAAATGAGTTTGTCGCCTGAGGTAGATCTTGACAGCTTGATCGTCCGAAACGACCCCCTCTCTGGTGCCATCATCGCAGCCATCATGCAGGAAGCGGGTTTGAGGGCTGTACGCAAGAACAGGTACAACATCATCCAGAGCGATTTGGAGGAGGCATACACCAGCCAGGTCAAGGGTGCGGCAGAGGCCGACAAGTTCGATTTCTACAAGTAGACGCATCGCTACTTGGAGGGGACTTGAGAAGGGGCATGCAGCATTGTACTACTAGATAGGCTAGGCCCTGGGGTCTTGTACCCTATGCGGCTATATACCGCGGTTGCTTGGGTAATGCATGAAACAACATAACTATCATCTTGACTTTGCCTCAATTGTCACAGTGTGTTTTCTACGCTACTCTTCATTTAGACCTGGGCTTGTACACTGCTAAACTACATTCTTCATGCACAGGTAAAAAGGAAATGCATAAGAAGACTCTTATATCTTTCATATCAGTCAAGAACGGTCCATTTTTCATACACCATGTCTATTTCGTACTGCGTTTATCGGATTAAACATGTCTCCAGGCATGGCTATGTGGTTCTAGTCCGGAGATTAAATATATCAAGATAGTCTTTGCTTCTACTACTACGGCAACAATCCATGTATCATACAAATATTGTTATTGGCGAGTAAGTGGTGTTGAAAAGAACATCACGTACCAATGTAAATATGAGACTACGCGTTACAGCACAGGGCAGCCATTCTAGACGGGAAAAGCTCCAGGTATTAGATTGTGGTTTTGTAGTGATTGATATTGTATCCAGCATACTACGCGTTGACATCGACTTGTCGTAATACATAAACCAGTCTATTCACATAAAGTCAAGATCAATGCAGACAAAGTTATTTAATTATATGCATTTATAACTTCTTTCGTCTATCTACCAGATATGCCACCAAACGCTCCTCTCTGTCAGCATACCCGCTTCTTCTTCCCTTTCCCACACCGTCTCTTCTTGGCATCAACGGCACCTGACAACCAAAATCCCCCAACGACTATTATCGCCTCTTCCTCCTCCATCCACCAGACTAGAAACTATCCTACAAAGACACGCAGCAGCGGCAACCGACTCCACGCACTAGCACCTCAAGTTCGGCAGAGACAGAGGCAAAAGACAACAAATGCACCACGGTCCGTCCGTTCCATTCCGTGATCCAACAATAAGCAAGAAGAACTACATATCTCCCAGAAAGGAAAGAGAGAGAGAAAGAAAAAAGAACAAAGGATGACAAAGGAAAAGCAGGAGCGACTCGACGCCCTATAGTAACGGGCGGCGGCTCATGGTATCATGCATTCGCGACGCAAGGGAGCGACAAAGGAAAGGTCCGGTGGATTGCCAGACGGTATGCAAAAGGCGTTGGATGAGAAGTTATGGTAAAATGAAGAGTTCGGTACAGATTCGTTAACCAGTTTAGCCGACCCTGATAGTGGTCTCTAATGGCGTGCGCGGTAGATCTTTATCCAAAGAGGCTCTGGGTATACCTCCTCTCTTGTCCTCCTTTGGTGGTGTGGGTGGTCCAGAGTGCCTGTTGGGCATGTATTCGGCGTCCTTTGCCGGTGTAGGCGGGCGCCCGTCGCTACTTGCAGTGCCAGAGTCCTTCGGCGGTGTCGGCGGCGGCCTGCCCTGTACATGATCCCTGTCCCTGGATGTAGACCTGGCTCTGGATTCAAGTCGTGGAGGGCCGAGGTAGGGCGCTCCTGTGGGTGGTAGTAATGATGACTTCTCGTTACCCGTATTGGCAGCATGGCGATCTGAGGCACTCCGGTTGCTGTGTCCGCCAACACTTGAAGATTCACCGGCCTCTTCCACCACAGGCAGAGTGGTCCCGATATCTCCTCTTTCCGCCGACGGACTACGTACTGCCCTCAAGTGTAGATTCGGTATGTTTTCTTCACCATGACCTTGTCGCCGCGAGCGGTCAGCTTGATGCTCGGCCTTCTCCAGGACATGGTCGGTCGAAGATCGCTGCGCAGCAGTCGCATTGACACCGTCAAGCGAGAGTTCGTTGAGATCGTTTGTGGCCTCTTCCATCTTCTCACGCTCGGCTGCTTCTCTAGTTTTCGTGACACCACTGATGAACTTGATGAATCGATCGCCGTATCGCTCGGGAGGTATAGCGGATATTTGAGACTCGGTATTAGCAATGCCTTTGATAAAGTGTTCCATGCGTTTGATGAAAGAGTACTGGAGCGCAATTAGTATTTGACAAGGCCTACGCGCCGTGCGCTGCAAACTTACGTGTGTCAGACAGTCGATAATGCCAAGGTAGTATATCTCTTCTCCGGGGGCATCGTCCTCATGAGTGGCTCGGAAGCCACCATCGTCAGAATAGAAGTAGAAGTTCCGGTTAGGATCTTCCAACTCATTCGGCATCTTGCTGGACGTCTGGCCCATGGGTACTGGTTTTTGTGTCTTGACCATCTGCCTCAGTTCCCTTGCTTTCCGAGCACTCTCCAATTTCGAAGGTGTACGCATAAGCTGATTCGGTTGGGGCTCTGGTGCCTCTTCTCCACCCGGTGAAAAGACCTTGAGTGTCTTGTCTCGCAGGTTCTCCTCGTTACCCTTTTCCAGATCGTGGATACCAATGAGGAGCGAGTAGTCCATTATATGTAAGCGCTGCAGCAACTTGACGTCTCTTTGCATCTGCTCGATAAACATCTTCTTCTTGGACGGTCCTAGCTCAAGATGCTGGTTTCTGCGTAACCAATTCAGGTCCTTGAGGGTTGCGCGGGGGTTGGTCGCCAGATTCTCTTCCTTAAAGTCTCGCCCAATCGTAGAGCCCTTGAGGTCGAATGTGCTGTGAATATCTCGATGCGGGGGGAACAGGTTGTTCATGACGACGAAGTGGATTTTGCGTCCATAGGGTATCTTTACGCGATGCAGGCCGTAAAACTGGGAAAGAAGGGTGTTCGGGTTCTCTTGGACGTGGTTGTAATAGTCTTTGAGAATCTTGCGGAGGAACTTGTGTTCAGCGTGGTGGATTGTTTTGATAATGTACTTGTAGTCGCGGGAGAAATAGAAGAAGCTGCCACTCTTGCCGGGAGAGCCAAGCTCGGAAAGGATGTATTTGCTGGTTAGCGACACGAGATAATCGGCAGGGTCGAGCTTAAAGGTAGTGCGGAGATGGCGGAAGACCCATGGTGCATAGTCCTTGAACTTGAAGTCGTATTTGGCGGAAGGAGTAAGCTCGTTACCAGTTCTGTTAAAGTGTCAGTGTTGTGCGAATGAGCATAGAACAGAGGTCTGCCAGACGAAGTGGAGATGAACTCTAGTAGGTGCTTGATGTTGCAAGGAAAGCCGGCCGGCACGTACATGTCAAACGAGAACTTGTGCTTCGCGTCAAAATCGGCATCAGTTAGATCTCGGTCCATCTTGGCGTTGGTTCGCGAGACGGTGAAGCGGATACCCGTCAACATGTTGTAGGCTGTCACCCAGTTGACGTGGTTCTGGTCGACCTTGGTGCCTACCACAACGCGGTCTTCGTCCTCGTCTTCTTTGCGCTTCCGCTTGCTTGCTCGCTTCTGGCGGATGTGCTCAGCCCAGCGCGCGGCCTCGTCGTCCTGGGGCACCTCGTCGAGATGCATGTCGGAGTTGACGGAGCGTGTGGTCCGACGCACAAGCGACATGGAGCCTCTCCGTTTGTGCGGTGTGGAAGGCGAGAAACGTCCACTAGCGCTGATGACGTCGTCGGTGTTGTTCTGAGGTTCGCGGGCGCGCGATGTTTGCAACTTGGGGACTTCGAGGGTATGACGTTGCTGCAGACGATGAGGTTGTTGGGAGGGGCTGGGGTTGTTGTGGTTGAAGGCAGGCGGGGAGGAGACGCGATGCGCTTGGGTCGGTACCTGCAGGCTGGACGTGCCCTCGTCGGGTTGGGGCTGCGGCGACGTCGACATGGGAGGATGGGAGACGGAGCCCACGTGCGGAACGTAGAAGTCCTTGCTTGCTTCTTTGGTGCCGTCTTGAGCATCGATCTGGCCGAGTTCGACGTGCGTGGTGCTGCCACAGAGGCGGTCCTTGGTCTTGCTGCTGTGTATCGAAGCGAAGTAGCCGTCGTCTCTGCTCGGGCGCTCGCTCGACTGCCTCTGCGTGTCGAGCGACTTGTTGTTGGAGCTGTCCGCGTCCGTGTAGTCTCCTCTGCTCCGGGCATGACGTGCGTCGTCCTGGGACAGGCGCTTGTCGATGCTTGCGGGTCTGGTCGGGCGGCCGTTTGCTATGGACTGCATTCCATTGGACATCTTCCCGTTCATCGCGGCAGCGGTGCCATTGGGGGGCGAGCGGTCCGAGGGCGAGCGCGCGGGGGCAGGTGGTGATGTTTGTGCATGTGCAAAGGAAGAGCGGTCGGTTGCTTCGGCGCCATACGAGGGCATCATCTGCGACTCATGGATGGTTACGCTCATCAAAGAGGCAGCCTTTCCTGAGCGCTGCGGAGGAGGGGTCGGCGGAGCGTGAGAAGCCAGTGTGTGTGTGTGCGACGTGTGGCTGGTGAAGGTCGGGTTGGGCGTCGTCCGGGGGATTGCGTAGTGCAGCGCCGGCAGAGACTAGGTACCAGAGCGGAGCAGAGCAGAGCAGAGCAGCGCTGAGCGGACGCAGAGGCGGGGCGGCAGGCGCTGGAGCAATGGGGTCGTGATAAGAAAACGGTGGGCGCAAGAATGGGCGTGGATGTGTCGGCAGGCCAGGAGTCGAGTCGAAGCTGTGATGCTCGAATAGTTGGCACTTCGCTCAGCCCTTCGCTCGCCGGGCGCGATCCGACTTCCGTCTTGCGCTAGCCTTGGCAGGTGGACAGTGCCTTATTGCGCGCTGCGAAGCCACCAGCAACATGACCACGGGCCAGGCTCCTTCTGCATCACGGCAGTTTCAATGCAGTCAGACATGCGTGCTTCCATGCACCACTCCATTGCGCTCCTTCTCACACCCCCCACACGCCGTGGCTGCGATATCTGGATGTCTTGTCTGCGTCGCGCGCACCCGTAGAGGGAGATTGCGCGTCTGGATTAAGAACAGGCGGCATGCATCCCTCAGCCACACAATAGTCCCAGCAGCCCGGGTGCGGCGTCATGCTGTGGCTCGCAATCACCCTATTCTTAACCATGCCGTGCCAAACAGAAGGTTATTTTCTACACCAAGCTGCACCTTGCTATTGCTATGCAGTCCCCATCCATGCAGCCCACGTTGTCGCCCTGAGCACCGGACAACAGAGGAGGCGAGCCGGCCTTTGCCCTGCGCCGCACTCTGCCCACTTGTCTGTGTTCGGCTCTATTTAGCTCCAGCTCCACTCCCAATCTCCTGGCTAACCCAGCCCTGTTTTCGTCCGCCCATCACAGAATGCGCAATACCGAGGCGACCAAGTAAGGGTCCAGTGCTCCATCATAGACATGTCCTCCCCGCAATGTCCAGCCGTATACACATCGGACAAGTCTGGAACATCCTCGTCCACTACACAGTGCACTTCTGTTGAGTATTGCGCACTCGGGGTCAAGATCAGCGCTCTCCACGCTAGCCATCTTTGGCTTCCCTTTATGTGCCCTGCACGCCAACATAAATACCCATGCTTGAGCATGCCACTGCAGCAACGACGAATTCAAAGTGCGTGGCCGCACCTGAGATGAAGAATGAGATTTCCACATCTCAATACCCATATCGCGCAGTCGGTGTATGGCTGGGTGTACATGTAAGCAGTAACCGCGCCGTGCTTCATCCCACAGCAATCCGATGCTTTTCGCCGGCCCTCAGCGAACAGACTTCAGTGTTGGGCAGCGTCTTCCTGATGACACCCTCTTCCACCATCTTCTTCACTTCGTCGACCGCGTGCTGTGCAATCTGTGTCAACTTCACTGCCCAACCCCGATTGTCCTTGTCTGCATCATGGGCAGATATCCAGGCTTTGGCGTACAAACTCTTGGCGATCTCTGTGCCGCCGGGACTGCCAGCTGATATGTTACCTCCAAGCCACCAAGGGTTCTCAACGCAGTCAAAAGAATGTAGAAGCGCTGTGAGAGGAAGCGCGGATTCCGACACAAGGTAGGAGCTTGCGTAGGGACGAATTACGTCGTACGAAACACCATGAGGCGAGTAAATGACAGACAGTGTCTTTTCCCGATCATTGTTTGGTGACGGCACCAACGTACGGGGCGATGAGGCAATTGTCATTGGCGATCCTGGAGAGGGGGGCGGGCTCATAGGCAGGTCGATGTAGTGCATTGGGCTTAGCGACGAGAGTACGGTGCAAGGAGGCCGATATGTTATCCCGATCGCGTGATGTACCTTGGAAAGGTCCCGCTTGGCTGGAATCCAAGTCACCGTCACCTCACCACATGTGCCTCGGGGAGACGGCGGCGGTAATACTATACGGTGTATGGACTGGCCGTCTCCCTCGACGTACTTTGGCAGAGCATGCACAAGGCTGGGACCAAAGTGTTTCCATGAGCGAATCTTCTTGGCTGCAGACGGTATGGCTAGGATAGTCGCTTCGCAGTCTGGTGGAAGTTGGCGCAACGTAGCTTCATGGCAGTGGTCTGGCTTGTCTTGGGATATGAGCACGAGGTCGGGTTCGCGGTCAAGGTCTCTCAGGCTCGCGACGGACGGTTTCGCTCTCTGCTCAGAATGCGAGAAGATGGAGTTTAAGATGATGGAGGGCCCTGAAAGCCAAGCTGGTCAGGAAATACATTAGCACCCATCTACAAGTCGGCCTCAGACAGTATCAAATGCGATCTTCAAAAACTTACGGTCAACCAGAATCGTAAAGGATCCTGGGAACAATCCCGGCGACGATAGTGGGGCAGCGGGTGGGTCAAAGGTAAGGAGAAAAGAAGTGTCTCCATTCAACGACTCGACGGAGAGAGCCATACTAGCGGAGAACAAGTGCAAGACAATGTCGGCAAAGCGCACGACAGGGTAACGGCAACGCAAGACATGAAGAAAGGGAGGCGAGGCGACGGGCGACGCGCTGCCGTGTCAGTCAGTGAGGCCCATGTCAATGATGATTGCGGGCTTGCGCGCCATCGCCTTGGAACGCTCAGCAGAAGCAATTGTGCTGGAAGGTTGACGCGAGAGGGTAGTCGCAGACGAGCACCAAGGAGAAACAGCAGGTGCAGACGAGGTGCATGTGACGAGATTAGAAAGCCATAGGTAGCAATACGCTGCTCCTGTCACTCAACAATTTCCACCCCCGGCGCGTCAAAAGCTCGTCTTCTCGTGCGTCTTCTTCACTCTCTGTTCCCTTCTTCTCCGACGTTTCCCACCACGCTTCCGCCTCAACCCAAGTCTGTTGCCGAAATGTGGTAGATGCAGCTCCCTGCAACGAAGTGCAGCTTTCCTGGACCTGCCGCCGGCCGAAACTGGCTTTAGCTCGCATCTGAGGAGCAAAAATCTTCATGGCGCCGTAGCCGATGTCCTGGTGAAGAGTCCGAGCAGTAGATCGCATTGGTCAAAATTCTTTGCATGCACGGGACTTGAGCTGTGAGGAGGCTTCTGCGCCGTCTAGCTGATTATGAGTCGTCTTGCTCCCAGCCATCTCTGATTGGAGCGCGCAAATCCCCATTCAAGCGGTAGGTCATTGGGCAGCACGAAGCTCTCCAAGCTATCAGCTTCTTCGCCTCAGCTCCAGGGCAGCCGTCTGATTGCTCCTCCGCTCGAGCTTGTCGTGGCGATACAGCTCTACCCTTACGGCAGCGGTGCAGTACCATTGCTTCTTCTTCCACATGGTCAATCGTGATTCTTGAACACAGCCTCTACTTGATCACTTTCTCTCGAAGCCCCGCCGCCGTTTGCAGCTGCCCCGCATCCAGTTACGTCTATCCGCAGTAGCAGCAACTTCAGCTCAGAGCTTCTTCCACCCGCCGTAGTCACCACACCCGCTCCTGCCGTCACTGTAGCCTCCACCCTCAGCTGCGCAAGCTCGGACTGAGCTTCCCCGTCCCTGCGCCTCGCTTTCCACGTGCCATTGCTTCGTCGCGAAGCTCCTGCCATTGATGCTCGCAGCCATGCCTCCGTCGCGCGCAGCACCGCTGACGAGCTCCTTCTCCGTCAGCGATGAGAACAATGTCGTAGTGTGCCCGCTGCGAAACCACGACAGCTCAGCCTGTCGCAAGCGCTGCACCGGGGTAAGTCTCTCCCGTTGCTGCTTGACGTTACAGCAAGCTTCAGAGCTCCAGAGCTCCGGGGTGCAGACTAACACATGCGTAGGAGAAGCGTTTTCGGTCCATGCAGGAGCACATCCGCCGCGCCCATCCTGAGCATTACATCTCCAAGTTGCCGGCGACTGAGGTAGGCTTGTCCATGGCCAACACTGGGCGAACATGCTGCTGACTGTTCCCGCGTGCAGGAGAGCTTCATGCTTATGGTCAACACACCACCGCAAGAAAGACCCCCACCTCCACCTGCGACGACCTCAGCACCGCCCCAGCAGACGTACGACTATGGCGGAAGCGAACACAACTCCTTCTTCGAGACCGACTTCGGGACGAATCATCTTCGCACATCGGACGAAATGCGCCGGCCGTCACTCTTACCCGCCGCGACTGCAGCGGCTGCCCTGGCCTCGTTACACAACCATCGTGCCGAGTACGACTGGGACTCAGATCCGGTATGAACCCGCGTTACACCTCCACACACAAGACCAGGCTAACAACTGCTGTGAACAGGATGCAGCATCCGATCCCGATTCAAAGAACTACAGGCCTCGCGCACGATTTGCTCCGACCACCATAGAACAACACATCAACGCCGAAGAACCTTACTATACTTCTACTTCCATACAGCAAGAGCTGCTCCCTTCCTCCCTCGCCCGATCGCCTCCCGGGCGCTCCTCCACCCTCCCTCCCGGCGCTCACTCTCTCAAACCGAACAGACCCCGCAAGTCATCCGTAGGACAGAATGCTCGCAAGGGCAAACACGAGCGGCAGAAGTCCAAGGACTATTCGCGCAGGCTGAGCTACGACAGGAAGGCATACTCGGCTGAGCCGGCAACCGCTGCGGCCATTATGGGTAAACGGTGGGAAGACTTGATTGATGCTGCTGCTTCAGCCACAGAAGAGGATAGTCGAGATCTCACGCCGGTTGGTGTCACACTCTGCTATGCTATCCCATCTAACATGAACAGGTGCCACAGTCGCCAAACCAATCTCCTCACATGATGAACAACAGAACCTCTCTGCCTCCCTTCAACTTTGCTTCACAACTTCAGTCATACACGGCATCACCTTTGAACAACGCTCTGACGCCTCCACCTCCGGATATGTCGGACCTTCAGCCTTTCCCTTCCGTCGAGTCTTCCATTGAATCAGCCATGTCCGGCCAAAACTTCCACATGCATTCCCAAGGTCTATCCGATTCTTCTCCTAGCTCTCTTTTCCCTGTCCAGATCTACTGCGCTGCATGTCGGAAATTGTCGATATTGCGCGACAGCTATGCATGCTCAGAATGCATTTGCGGTCTGTGTCAAGAGTGCGTAGATGTACTTGTCAGTGAGCACAACCGCGGCCGTGCGCCGACATGTCCGCGGTGCAGCACTATTGGAGCCAAGTTCAAACCCTTCCAGCTGGATATAAGATGAAGCAAGGTTAACCATGGCGTTTTGGGTATTACATCATAAACTGGCGTTTGTTTTTGCGTACCCCATACTTTCCCTCGGCCTCGTGCCTATTTCCGGCTTGCTAGCTCCACGAGCCACATGGGCGTTCACACGGTCTGTTTTGCGTGGCCTGTTCGGAAAAGACTGCTCGAAAAGCAAGTCGGAGTTTTGATTTGGGTGTTACGAGGGACTCAACCGGGCCTCCTTCCCTCACAAAGAGATCGCAGAGATAGACTCGCCTGCGAATACAATACTTGGGTGTACCTACACCCCATATCGTTTCAACCTTCGATGTTTCCGCGACCATAGTCCGCTGTTGCACTCGCAGGCTCGTTCAGGGCCTATTGCACGATCGGTTCCACGTCTATGTTGACGTAGTGTTCAGTCAGCGTCAACAGGGCTTGTGCAAGGATTTACATGCGCCCGATTTGGAACCACTTCGGCAGTGCGGTAATGCGGTGAATGAACCACGGTTCATTCTGCCCAGGTGGGCTTCGGTGGATGTCAACGTACGTCAGGTGTCAGCCGCTCGAAAGGGTGGAGACTCCCGTCATTGCCGGACGCAACACTACTCGGAACGACTGCTTCCCACATGATTCAAGCTCTGAGCGGTCTAGAAGTCCAGAAGCTTGGATTACGAAGAACACAAGGGTGTAGATTACGAACCACCTCAACGTTTGAAAGCGGGAGGTCTTCCATCTGGTGCAGGACAGTACATGTCTATTTTGGCCATCGTCGCTGCAGGGACAAGAGCGATGTGGATAAACGTGTGTGAATGAAAGCGTCGGTCTCGGGAAGCAACGGACGTGGCGCCGTCTTTGCGATGCAAAGGGGTGCCGCGGAGCGGAGCAATGGCCGACTTGTAAGGACGGCCGGGAATGTTTTGTTCTGCATTCCTGCGCTGAGCGCGTTCGATACATCCCATCATCGATTCTCTCGTTGGACCCGATGTGCGGCGATCCAAAAGGCTGGTGCAGGGAAGGCACGAGGTTGACCGGGTGCTGAACTCGTGACGCTCTTTGGGGGAATTGAGTGTGCAGTCATGCGGACGACTGCCTCGACAATGTTTCCTGCTGTCAACTCAACACCTTTACTGCCAACATGCTCCAATCACAGCAACCACAAAGCTTAAAGCCGGCAAAGCACATATGGCGGTGTAGTGCGTCTTCGCCAGCGGAAAAAAATGCCAAGCCCTTCTCCTTTTACCCCGCTGTGCAGCCAATCGCTTTACTTGACCGCAACGACACAGCGTATCCTGCGACGGTGAGTCTAAAACGCCAACTGCTTCCGGCGACGCATCGGCGCTGGGCATATACCTAGGTAACGTGTGCGATCAGCGTTGAACGGGAAAAGCTTGGTCTCAACCATCAAGGAAATTATGGATGAAAAGTAGTCCATGCCTCTTTGCCATGATCGCGCAGAACAAATGCGATCGCCCTGCGCCGCGGGTATGACCTTGCAGCCATGTGATCTCCTTGCAAGCTCAGGAACGAGGTTAATGTGGGATCGGCGATGGCTAGCGCAGGGTCTGGCCTTGCATCGTCAACCCGAGTACCCACATTAATCGACAAAACCCATAGCATGCCGGTCTAGACGCACACTCGTTTTGTGGTTTGCATGGAACCCGCGGTTTGAAACTACTGCGCCTGTTTATTGACAGTTGGGTTGCTGCGGCTGTGGGAGCAACGCGGATTGGGCATAGCCCTGCGTGGCGCCCGGCCCCTGACGTGGTATGCTGGGGTGCTGTAGGCTGCTTTGGGATGAATGTTATGCGTCGGGTAGAGGTGTGTGTGTGGTGGGGGAAAGGGTATTTAGCGGTCGCGTGCCTCGCGTTGTTGGTGCTCTTCTCGTTGGGATATTACCGTTTGTCGATACATACCTCTTGCTTCCTTTTTACTTGTCGCATTGCAATAACACGAGTTACTTGTTCGATTCAATACATGCAAATACTCGGGTCCGCATATTACTACTACCATCTACCAACAACTTGACACCAAGATACCACGATCAACGACAATCGCAACCGAAACACTACAACCAACACTTAGAGCAACCGCCCAACATGCCCATCTTCCGCACATTGACCACCAAAATCAAAACCTCGCTCTCTCCATCTTCCTCCCCAGAAACTTCACCAGATGGATCGCCCACCTCACCGCAAGTGTCTTCCTTCGAGAGGATCAGCGGGCGCAAAGAAGGCGGTGTGAGTGGAGCGGTCAAGAGACCCGAAGTACAGACCAGAGTCGACTCCTACATGACTCAGGGAAGCAATGCGAGCAACGAGAGTGTAGAGGAGAAGAAGCAGCGCAGGCTGAGTCGGTTCAGGGAAGAACTAGACTTCGAGGCTGAGGATTGAGTAAAGAGACGTGTATTCTCAAAGGTATGTTGCCATTCATCGTTTCTGAGATGACATTTGCTAACTCCAATCCAAGTTTACGCTGCTTCTGAATCTGCTGTACCATCTGCATTGCCATCACTTTGTACCGGAGTGCCTGTCCTGCTCGCACTTCCACTCTTTGGCGGGCCTCTAGGCGGACCACCAGCCTTAGGAGGTGGTGGTACCCCAGTGCCTTTCTTCGGCGCATAGTCCTGCTCCAGACTCTTCTGCTCCCCTTCTTTGAAGTAGTCGTCCAGACCACCGCCCCCACCACCCGCAGGGCTAGCGACATGATGCGCTCTGCCCTTCCTCTTTGGCGGCGGCGCCGTGCCTTGAGGCGGTGGTGACTTTGACGGTAGCGCCATGTTGGCTGGCACGAACAACTCTGTCGGTGCACCCTGCGTTGGCGCAGCGGGAAAATCAACAGAGCCAGTCAAAGGACGTTTCTCATCAAACGATGTGGCGCCGCTAGCATCGCCTGTGGAGAAGAAGGTCTCGCCAGGCGCTGGCGGCGGCTCGTCCAAACCCGCTGGAATTCGATGCAAAGCCCCGAAACCCAGCACACATCCCAACGCTCCCTCACCACCCCAATTGCGCGTCGGCGTAATGGTAACGGGACGGGTCACGTTGTATTCGTGGTTATACACGTATAGCCTCAATGGCCTGTTTAGGAAGTCTTCCACAAGTTCACCCAAGCCAGACTCGCCGCGCACAAGCCCTTCAGGGCTGCCAATGACGTAGTCACCGTAGGGCAGCAATCCTGCGGCATCGGCAGGGGAATTGGGAGCCACGTCTAGGATATGCCAGACGTCCTCCGCGATGGCCAGTGGAGACCATTGCAAGGAGATGCCTAGAGTTGGCTGATCGGCGGGGATCTGTAGATAGACTTCTCGGATCTTTTGGCCCTACAGGGTGTCAGACATGTAAAGATAGTTCAATTGTCAGTGAAGTTAATTGTGACTTTTGTTCTCCCAGCCTTCTGTGACGGTCCTTCCTTGCAAGCGTATAAAACGTACTGGAACGATGACTCATGATATCTTAAATGTATCGTGGTATGAGAAGGAGCAGTTAGAACCTACCTTTGCGCTGAACACACCCAGGCTGATGGTCGCGCCAGCACTGTTCCGTATCTCTGTCGCAAAGAGACTTGGATCTGGGTTATCCTGTTCCCAGAGTCAGTATAAAGTCCACATAGTCTTCCTGTTTCCAGTCGATGCCATATCGTCGAATAAGTGAACCCCACTTGGCCATCTTCTACCTTCTCCCGCTCTTGAAGTCTTTGCTGACATCTTTCAACCGAATGGGAAAATACGTACAATAGTTCGTCCATTGATTCCAATGATGAAATCGAACCACGGCTCCAGGGGAACTTCTAGGTTGGCGTTCCTTAGCACCTGGAAGCCGTACGCGCCATTCGTAGCGGACTGCTGCTCTTCATTGAGGGGCGCGGCGTCTAATCGCGATATGAAGCGGTTCAACGCTCCGAACATGGACATGATGAGAGGTGTTTACTTCGATGGTTCCCTCGGAAAGTTGTTGTATGGTGATGACGACAGAGAAGTTGTGTAGGTCGAGGTGTCGTTGTTGGTGACTTGGAGGTTTTGGAAGGTGGCCATAGCTCGGGATCTGCGGCGCGCTAGCGGGGGCAGGTGCAGTAAGGATGGCAATGTGTGGTTAAAGTTGAATCAGAAGTAATCGTAGTTCGGGCTGTCAAGTTGGAGACCGTATCATCTGTAGTGACCTACTTATATGTATCGCAACGTATAGCACTTCACTGTCTGAGTAGGCAGTCGCGTCAATCTGGACTATTCCTAATCAGGTAAGGCGTGTCAGGATTGCTCTCACTCTTCCACAGTATCTGCTCGCTTTGCTCATCATCTACAAGTCTTCTGAAGTCAAGTCCCTCTATTTGTGGGCCTTTGAGTCTAAGCTACCCTCGTAAAGTAGTACATCGCGCTTGCTGCGAAGATGAGTGAAACATCGGATGAGAAAGGCGTAGACCAGTGGTCGCGTGTCGAACAGTTCCCTGAACATTTGAAGAAGTACAGCCCATCTCTACCGCTCTCAAAAAAACCTGAAATCTAACACGATCAGATACTGGCACCAGCGGTTCAAGATATGGGAAAAGTATGACCAAGGGATATGGATGACAGAAGACGCCTGGTTCGGCGTGACGCCGGAGCCCATCGCCAACAAGATCGCAGCCCATATATCTGAGTCAGCGCCCAAAGACAAGACCGTTATCGTCGACGCATTTGCTGGTGTCGGTGGCAACGCCATAGCACTAGCGCGCTCGGGACGCTGGGAACGCGTCTTTGCTATTGAGAAAGATGCAAAAACATTGAAGTGCGCAAAGCACAATGCCGAAATATATGGTGTGAGCAACAAGATCTTTTGGCTCAACGCAGATTGCTTTGATGCCGTGAGCAGATTCTCGGGTCAGAGCAATGTCGTTGTGTTCGCTAGTCCGCCATGGGGAGGTTCGTCTCTTTTCCACGCCGTCATTCGATATAAGCTGATGTGTATAGGAACTGAGTATGGTGCGGAAGACGTCTTCGACCTCAGTAAGATGGAGCCGTACAACCTCGAAAAGCTTTACAAGAGCTTTACGAGTATTAGCAAAGAGGTCGTGCTGTATCTGCCGAGAACGTCGGATCTTAATCAGATTGCGAGATACGGACAAGATGGGGAAAAGCTGGAGGTTGCGCACTATACTATGATGGGTGCTAGCAAAGTAAGACACAGAAAATCTTGACGCTAATCTCTAAACTGACTTTGCGCAGGCACTCTGTGTGTATTTTGGTAACTTCAATTTCGATATGGAGCATGAGTCATAATGAAGGGGCGGATAACGGAACGTGGTCACCAAAATTGACGCAAGTCCATCTTAGTCTATCTCCGGTACTACCTTCTCCAAGAAGGCACACAAATCCCGAAGCTCAGCTCCGGCCATGACATGCCCCATGCCCTCATATTCTTTAATCGTCACCCTGTCCTGCTCGATACCAAATCCATATAATGCCTCATAACACATACGATGCAACCGCTTCGGTACCAATCTATCCCCTGTTCCTCTTGCCAGGAATATCTCTCCGTTGCTACCCACCTCCTTTGGTAACCCAGCTTGTTCTCTCAGCTTGGGTATTTGATCTGCCAGAGGAAGGTATCCAGATAACCCGACCAGCCCTCCCAGCTTCCCGGCATACTTTGATACCAATCCAGTCAAAAGTGCCATAGCATGGCCCTGTGAGAACCCTCCCAAGACGATCCTTTCCGTTGGAACGCCCTGACCGACCAGATCATCGATCAATGTTGTAGTATAAGATACAGTAGCCATCATTCCCTCCTCATCTTCGTCGTCTTCGAGCTCAGGTCGCGATGGTGGATAAGGAGAGAGGCGTGTGGGTAGATACCAGGCGGTGGTAGCTAGGTCATGGTTCTCTAGAGCGTTGGGTATAGTCCAAGACATGTGCGGCAGTTTATTCGCGGATTGGAATTGGCGAGCAACGCTTTCCAGCCCTTCTGCTTCGTCACCAAGACCATGGATGAAAATGAAGGCCGCAGACTTAGAAATATCGCTTGGTGGGGTTGTTGGTGGGAGTACAATAGGCGGTTTCCTTTCGGGCGCCATGATTTGGTTGCAGGGGCAATGTGCAGTTATCTGGAGTTGTTCGGGCAAGTCAGACAAACTTTGGCCAACAGCTTTCTAGGGCTATGCATGTTTAAGATTTGCCGAGGATGTGATACACCTCTGAAGATCACGGCTAACATCCGACGAGATGATGACAAGATCGGAAGTAATCCAGATAGTGTACGTACCCCGCATCGATCATGCAGGTACGCGGCATCTGGACTTTGCGACGCGTCGGCAGATGACCCATAATTTCTACGCCGCCGAACTCTCCGCAACATCACCTCCTACACTCCGCACTCTACTATGCCACACGTCGAAGTGCTCCCAAACTCCACGGCGACCGTCGCACCTGGATGGACTTATGTCGTCGACACAGGCTACGACCCCTCCAAAGTCGCCATCAACCCCAAGAACAAGAAGCGCGCTGCCGCAGCAACACCTGGCGGTCAACGGGCAGAAAATGAACTCTCTGCGCGACAACAGACAGCCATAGCTCGACGCATAACAGAACTAGAACGCGACAACGACCCCAAGCAGCTTATCACGATACCCGGGAAGCCGAGCGTGCCGAAGACACAAAATGCAAGGAGGATCATACAATACCAGCGGCAGATCAAGCATTGGCTCGACGATGAAGAGGCGCAATTAGGGCAAACGACAACTACATCAAGGGGAAGCGTGTCTCAACCCACAGGAGGAAGGGGAGCCGCACAAGCCTTGCGAAGGCAAAGCACGTTCGCTTCTGTGCCTGCGACGCCAGTAGAAGCAACACCAGGGCCTCCAACAATAGCGCAAACGCCATCGCGACTCGAGGATGCAAATGCAGACGACGCGCTGCTCTCTATCGACGACTCCATACCCGCGCCATTGAATCCCGCTGAGCTCGAGGCTCTACTTGCCGCGCCGCCGCTTTCCTACGCTGCAAGCCACGCTGCGCCTCCTCCCACTGGCGGTCCACCTCAGAGACAGTTTTGCGACAACTGCGGATACTGGGGACAGATCAAGTGTCGCAAGTGTGGAGCGCGGGTATGTGGATTGGAGTGTAAAGACGCGCACGAGGCAACACGGTGCTTGAAGTGGGCATGAGAACAGAAGGCGACTGAAAATAGCATTGCAATGGCATTGGTATGCTTTACGATACCCAGATAGTTTGATCTATCTACAGAGCAACCTTTTGCTCAATACACGAATTCTTCTCCGACGAGCTTCTCACTCAGTTTCCACAGCTTCTCTGGATCTTCCGGGTTCGTGGCGGTCGGCTGCACCTCTTGCGGCGCCACGTTGGCGTTGTCAAGATACGCACCGTTGTAGTTGTCCAATCTCGTATCGAAGGCGGCAACAACATGGGTAGCCGCGCATTCATCGAGCGACTTCAGGTCAAACTCACGAGTCCAGCCGATCTCTTTGTCCTTGGCCACTATATGTTTGTCAGAACGGCGATTGTGTCAACTCTCAACGACGACAACTTACCGACACTCGTCATGTCTTCATCGTCGAACTTTTCAGCAAGAGATGTCCCAAGCGTCACTCCCGGATGCAGACTGAACGCTTTCAATCCCTTCGAACCCAGCTTCTTTGCCAACGCATAAGAGAACAAGATGTTTGCCGTCTTACTCTGGCCATATGCTTCCCACTGATCATATACTTTGCCATCTTGGAAATTCGGATCGTCGAAACGCACACTGCTGAAGCGATGACCGTCACTGGATATGTTGACGATTCGGGGTGCCTTGGCAGCAAGGATCTTAGGCATGAGAAGGTTCGTGAAGAGGAAATGCCCGATGTGGTTGCATCCGAATTGGTTCTCGATACCGTCAGCTGTAGTACGGTAGGGGCCCTTCATTATGCCTGCAGAGTTGACGAGGACATCGATGTGGGATTCTGGATACGCGAGAACCTCATTCGCGGCTTCGCGGACTTGCTTTTGCGATGCCAGATCGAGTTTCAAGATGCGCACTTCGACCTTGGCGCTCGCTGGGTTGGATTTGATCTTGTCGGCTGTGGCTTGGACCTTCGATGGCGAGCGGCCGGCGAGGATCAGAAGAGCGGGTTTGTGCTTTGCGATCTCTTCGACGAACGTTGCTCCTAGGCCGCCTTGCGTTACGCCAGTAGTCAAGACGATCTTGCCAGCTATGTTGGATGCGTTGTCGGCTGCGATGGTTGAGGCAAGCGCATTCCGGCGATTGTAGGGTAGTGGTGAAGACATGGCAGTACGCAGTTGGGAGGAAAGATGAAGAAGCTCCTTGTAATTATAGACAAATAGATATAGTCAGGGTTATTGGTTTTTGATTAATCACGGCAGGACACTTCTCTATATATGTTGTTGATCGGGAAGCCGCCTACACACTGTCATGCCGGTTGACTTAGGCTTAACTCCGTCCGCTGTAAGTCCGTTTCTCCATTGAGAGCTGTTCGCCGATGTATGCGAAGATTACTTTGAGACATTTCAGAGATGAATAATCCAAGGAGTTTCTGCATTTACTACTCGCACGTCTTCTTAGTGATATGTGGCTTCAGCGGGATAAATGTCACAGTGCCCGGATACTGAGTAGGGGATGTGACGTCACAGATTGTAGATACTGAGAATACATGCCGCATGCTCTGCTATGCGAGTGTTAAAATCGAGAGCAATACACTCAGTATGGTGATCTAGGGTAGTATCATTTGTTGTGTTGTTGAAACCGAATAACTGGCGGAGTGTTGGTTGTAAAGTGTGTCCACTGCAAGGACAACATTACAATCTGGATAGTATGAAGCCGATGAGACTATACAACATGCCTCTAGGCGGATGTCTCAACACATTACACGCGAATAACATGTTACAGGAAGACTCAGCCATGGGACATATGGAGTACTTGTCATCATCTGATGGTGTGCATGGTAACATATATTGTAGAAGCGATCTAGGGTATAACAACCAGCGCATGCGTTCATGCTCCACTGCCTTTTCCTCTTCTCCGGCATAACGTAGCCGTGACTAGGCAGCGCCTGACGCTTTCGCCTTTTCCTGGGCTTCGAGCTTTCTCCGTGCTGCCAGAATCATCTCCTCTCGCCGTCTTTGCAAGTTTGCTTGCCTCTCACTCTTGTCTGCGCTCCATGACTTCGCCTTTGGCTGCTCCTCCTGTGCCGGCTGCGAGACTTGACTGAGCTTCGAGGACAGATTGTATCGTGTTATCAGATCGGGATGTGCGGGTCTTGCTGGGGCTGGGGATGGTCGCGCTGGTGTAGCTGCGACTCGCGGTGCCGGTGTTGGTATTTGGAAAGAGGCTGGTGCCTGTGCATGTGTTAGCATATGTCGACCGCACGACAGAATTCAGATCAAGAGACTTACCGTGTCTAATCCTCGCCCGCTCAGGGCCCGCTCCGTTGTCGCCGCAACGTTTCCGCCATTTCTCTGCAGATCCCATGCAATATCGCGTCTGCTCAACTGGGGCAGCATCTCAGCGACTTGGTCTATTTGCGCAGGGCTTACGCGGGGTGCAGCGCGGTTCGCCGCAGCTCGCGTGCCTGGGGCCGCCGCGGTGGGCTTTCTCAAGTACCATCGCACAGCAAGGAACGTGACGACGATGAAAACGATGACTTGGGGAATGTTGATGCTCTGTTCCGCCATGACTCTATCTGCGGTATGAGTCGGAAGCTGCCCAGGTGGTGAGTCGATGCGCTGTGATTGTGTGTGTACCGAGGTGCGGCGTAAAGTGCGTTGGTAGCAGTCGAGACTCGCAAACGGGTACCAAAGTTGTAGTTATCTAAGCAAACGTGAAATCAGATCACCGATTGCTTCGAATCTTAAAGCGAAAGCGAAAGCGCGATAGCGATATAAGCGAGTTTACGGACAGTGTATTGAACAGCGTTCTGTCAAGTTCAAGTGAGGTCGCCATGCTCCGGACGAGCCTCGGCGAATAGCGAATCTCCCAAAGGCCAAGGATCCGCGCTGACCCCTTGATTCCTTTCACTCTCGCGACCCACAAGTTCGCGCCTTCTCCATACTCCACCCGATTCCTTCGTTTCCACTCACGTCGGTCCCAGCCGTCTAGGCGTACACTCATTTCCGACGACAATCGCTTCAATATGTTATGACGTTTACATGCTTTGAGATACCCCCAATAGTCTATTCACGTTACACACACGCTACGCGCTTTTGATATATAGTTATGAATGCTCCAGTAATATCACGGAAGCCGCTTCCAGAGGCAGCCCAGGCGCACTTGAAGGACCCGTCCAATTCCACTACTACAGTCGGGTCGAAATGGGAACTACCTTTACCGCCAGGTCAACAAACGAAAGATGCGATTAGGGTCACCGCTCCACGCGAAGTGACCGCACCTGACGATAAGTCACTTCACAATGGAAGGCGGTATGGCTTCACCTGTGGTATTTTTCCTGGTACAAAGACCAGTCCTTTTGCTTCGACACTCTCTCGTCACTACAACAACTTCCTGCCACCACACAAAAGATACTTCAACAACCACATCAACCGCCGTACACTACTCATCATGATCGGCATCACTTTTGTCTCCCTTCTGGCTCTCATCATCGGTCTCGCAGCAGGCTTGGTTATCCCCTCCGGGTGAGTCTCTGTGTTTCGCCTTTTCCCCATAGCCTCTGCTAACAATACCCATAGCAACAATGCCGTGTCTCCAGCCGTCGGACCCCTAGTTCAAGGTCAGTTGACGTTCTACAACCCGGCGATGGGCGCTTGCGGTCATGTGAACGGCGACAATGACGCTGTCATGGCTGTTTCCCACGGGCGCTGTAAGTGTTGATCTTCACCAACTTATTTGCGAGAGCTATACTAACACCATGTTTCAATCAGGGGACGAGAAGGGAACTCCCAACCCCAACAACAACCCGCTTTGTGGTAGGCAGGTTCGAGCTCACCGCGTGGACGAGCGCACTGGCAAGGATGCCAGCATCGTTGTCACCATTGTCGACAAGTGTAAGTACTCAGGATGGGATATCCCGTCTCACGCCACTTCATATTGTTGTTGCTAATGTTGTGCCAGGCATGGGATGTGCTTACGACGACATCGATGTCAGCCCTGCCATGTTCAACAAGTTGGCTGATAAAGGCAAGGGCAGGGTCAACGTGGAGTGGTCCTGGGTCTGAGCATTGTCACTTGGCTCCCGTTACACAGTCATGACTCAGGGTTGGGTCGACTGTGACACATTACGGCATTTCCTATTACTCACACACTGGTGTGGCATATATATGCTTTCCAATTCTACTGATGATATACTCTTCTTCTACCTTTTGCCTGATACGTGAACCTGTTTACATTGACAGTAACTTTATACGTTCTGATAACCCACCTCATTCTCGAAAGTGCACTGGTATATGCCGCACTGTGCGTAGACATCCATGGGTCTCAGCAAACGGAGCAGACCCAGTTCGTCCAAATCTACGACAAGCGAGCGACCAGTGATAAGCAGTCTCCTGCCGCCGGGAAGTGCGAATCTCAATACCGAAAAAGGATCACAACAAATTCCCGATACTCCCCTTCAAAGAAGCGCCTCTCAAGGTTTCTCGCAGAGAGGGATTGCTGACTGGGGCCGACCCACAAGCTACGATTTACGACAAGACTTCCAAGCTCCACAGGCAGCAGCAAGAGATTCGATCGCCAGTACCAGGTCATCAACGTACTCAGTCTTACCGGAACCGTCTTTCCCAAGCTTCGGATTGACGTCTAGTACTTTATTCGAACTAAATAACGCTTCCAAGGGACCATTTTTCGAACAGCAGCCTCCTGGTATCAGGCCGGGGGAAGCATTTCCAGAATCACCTGAACTCGAAGACGTTTCTCTTAATACTGCGGCTCCAGAAGTAACAAAACCGCTTCCGCGCAGACCAATTTCCCTAGGTAAAGGAGATACAGAAGCGACACTACCACCTACATTTGACAAAGTCACTCTTGTTAATAGAGCTTCCAAAGCGACAGAACAAATAACTGAGATGGCAGGATCAAAGTATAGTGTGAAAAGCCGTTTGATGTATGCCCTCGAAATCGCGGCTATCCTCTCCATAGGTGTTGCCGCTTACGTGACGGCGAGCAACACAGAGCATCAATTAGCGTCATTGACTGCAGGCGATAAACCCAATGCAATACCAGTCACGACTGCGACACCAGTTACATCCTTTCCGTCAGCTCAGCAAACGATCGACACCTTGGCCTTGCCGCTGGACAGCACGAGCGCCATAATTGTCACATCTATTCTCGAGACAAGCGAGACACCATCCCCAACACCTACACCAACGACCACCCTCGGATCCAGCTCGGTACAATCATCAAGCCTCCTAGGTAGCCCATCCTCCCAATCTTCTGTCTTCATACAAAGTACAGCTGTACTGGAGAATCTCGTTGGACGGAGTGGCTATCTAGACCCACGTCATGATCCCTTCCTTCGCGGTTCGGATCTGGCCTTAGATCCAGATGACTGCGAAGATACTACCATAACAACTACTACTACATTGACAACAACGATCACAAGTACTATCCGAACATCTAGAATGGTAGCTTCGAGTGCTGGCAGCGATTCAGCTTCGGCACAGCTTCCCGAGACCGAACCCGCAGAGGCCGTTCCAAAGTGCATAACAAATACCATCTTTCATACAGGTGATCCGTCCACTTCTAGGGATTCCTCACATCATATCGATATCCCCAGCATTGAATCCTCGTCTGTTGCCGCGGACTCGACGCCTAGTCCAGATACGACACCGCCGCCTACCAAAACTTCAGCCACTCGGTCTGTAGGTGAAGAGACTAGAGTCATTTCAACGTCTTCCGTTGCGCAAGCGAGACGACTAGTAGCATCGAATCCATGGAACGGTTTACGATACCTCCGGCGCTTTTTGCCGCCGATCCCTGGGAATGACGAGCAAAACCGGCATTTGTTTCCTTCTCTGATGATCATGCTGACTGCGACAATGGGAAATAATGACGCGGATAATAGATACAGTGTGAAGATTCTGAGTACGACAAGCAGCAATGCCGCGGTGCGTCGAGAAGCCCAGCATTGGAATTTCATGGGCAAACCGAATCCCACGGTGCCTTCGAGGGTTCATGAGCGCCGCGAAGTCCCTGCCCAATCACCTTCTTTGCCAGGTCCAGAGGTAAAGAAGACGTACTGGCAAGTATATTGGGAGTACCGGCAACTGGTTATACAAATGTGCTACTCCGTCAAATCAGAAATACCCCCGACATCTGGGGATCTCAAGATGGGCGAAACGCTTAATAAGACCATATGCGATAGCTTCGAGCAGGATTTTCCAGCAATAAACGAAGGAGCAAAATGCGACTATAAAGAATTTTTCGAGAGGCTGGACAAAGAGATTAAGGCACTTTGTGCTTTACCTAACGAAGGCGAGAAGTATGTACAAAGTCTGACTTTGCTTTGCCACGTCCAAGACACTCTCAAGGGGAAGGTGTATGCATGTGGACGGCAAGAAGAAGGAGCGGTGATATCCGGCACAGGTACGATGAGTGCTGCGTCCTTGATGGAGACCTTCGATAGCGGGCGACTCACAACTAAGGAAGCGCCTGCACCAAGTACAGATGTCGAAGCCACCCCATATAGTGGCCATGTTGCGTACAATGTTCCCAGCTTCTCACTACAACAAAACGCCGTGGGGGATACAAACCCTCCTCCTGTCGGTTCCTCTGCTAGTCCCGTTGCTTTAGCCAGCGAGCCTCAACTCATAACCTCTGTCGCTAGTCTTCTCACAACGTCCGTCCCCCCCCCCCCCCCACTCCACCCATACCCGGGAACTCGCCAGTTTCAACTCCTCCAACTCCAGCTACTGGCCTTGGATTTGTACCACCTCACCCATCTCTGACGCCACCGGCCGATTGGACTATTTCCATGCTTACCTACAGCACACAAGCCGCCAACTATAGTAGCTTACGTACCATGCCAAGCAACGCTGTGGGAACGCCACCAGTCTACAAAGGTCCACATCTTGCCAGAGACTGGCCGATCAGTTATCCCTTCGCCATTCCCACAGGTTACGTAGCTCCTAACATCGTGCCTGCAGACCATCAGGTCGGACAGTTGACCCACTTTGAAGAGGGTCTAGGAGCATGTGGCCGGCCAGGAATGATATCAAGCGACTTCGCCGTTGCTATAAGCTGGGAAATATTTGACATTGGCCGAGAAATTGGAGGTTCCTCTCTGGAAGACGGATGGAAGTCAGAAGGTGTCAATCCAGATGGAAAGCTTAGCACTTGGCCTATTGATAAGAGCTCAAGTGCACTATGCAATCAAGGGATTCGGGCATGGATGGCTGATGACGAGGATAAGAAGTTGGTGGAGCAAGAATTTGTGGTCAGAGATCGTTGTGCGGCGTGTAACGTGTCAGACCTTGATATCCAGAAGGGCATATTTACCAATTATTGGGGTGCAGAGGCGGAGGGAAGAATTCAAGTCACATGGGAGTGAATGCAGGAGGCACCTACTGACGTGCCAGGATAGAGTCTCAGATTACCCAGCTTCCTAGTAGGGTGTTCAGTTTGGCGGTTTTGCAATACTGTTATAGGGCCATATATGTAGATGTAGAAGCAGGTTCTGCCGTTTGAATGACTCCTTATCCCGCGTTACCTTCAGCGTTGGTCCAGTGCTTCGCGATGTTTTCGCTAGGCAGTACGCCATGATTCTGCTTCATCGCATATACCTTCAATGGCCCACCTTTCTCATCGTAGACGAGTATGGCTGCGTGCTCCTTTGTACGCGCGACGTCATCCCTTAGGTCTGCAAGCAAACTCACCATCTTGCGGAGCCTGTCTTGGTTGGCTTCCTCCCATCGGGGGTATTCCTTCTCAGCATGACTGATGCTCACCGAGTGCACCGTACCCTTGTCATGGTTGCCGTTCATAAAGTAGGGCGTACGGCCGAACCAAAGCTGCGGCAGTGCTTCTGTGAGACGTGCGGTCTTCTTGGCTTTGATCTCCGCGAGCTTGGACGGGTTGATGAAGACTCCCTTTTCAACAACTACAGTAGGCTTATCGGCGGGAGTCTTTCGAGGATTGGTTGGAGTTGGTGGCAGACCTGCGATGTTCAGCTGTGCCATAGCAGCGCTCGCGGTGCCAACGGGCTCATCCACAGGCTGTCTGAACTTTGAGTCAAGAGCAACATCCAGGTCGTCATAATATGCATCGACTTCAAATCGGACAACGCAGTCCAAAGGGCCGATATGGTACCGAACGACCCTGTGATGACTGCTAGAGTTCCCCATTTCATGATCAGGCACCGTGAAGGTCTTCTCGAAGTTATGTCCAAAGCCCGCATTCGGTGAACCATGAATCATTTGCTGAGCGTTCCGTTCTTTACGGCTAATGATGAGCGTTTCGCCAACCATGTGTAAGCCCATGCAGAAAGTGTCCAGTTTCCTCCCAGCGGAAAAATCCAGTAGCTTGCGCAGACTGTTGCGGTTGGCGATGATGTGGACTTGGTCTAGCATGACGTTGGGTCCCATCACAGCAAGGGCCGCGAAGACGGGCTCGAAAGGATACTTGGGCACGCGAGATGCGTTCTGATCGACGAAGTGTCTCCCTGAGTCCTGAGCAAGAGTGGTCGGCAGTGGTGGAGGATTCCACCTTGGGGGTGCACCAGGAACATATATGGATCCATCACACTGCCAGTTGTAGCTACACAAAGTCTCGAAGCCACGCGCAGACGATACCTTGGTGGTATCTGGCTCCAGTGCTGATGCTTCTATCGTGCGAACAGGCGAGCCGGTGGTCTCTCGGTACATCCATGATGTTTTCCAAGAAGGCGCCTGCAGTGAAGGCTGTGCCCGGGATTGTCCTGCTTTGGCAGTTTGAGTCTTTATTTCCTTTGATGGAAATTTTTCGCCTTGAGCTGATCTTGGAAGTCTTCCCTTGACTGCTACCGATGGCACCTTCACTGTTGCGACTTCTGCTGACGCGAAAGAAGTCGTTACAGACGGGGATGTTTTCGCTCCATTTCGCCTAGCACGCTCTCTATGTGTGAAGTCAGACTTGAATGGAAATTGAGGCAAGATTGGCCTATTCACAGTTTTGAAGGACGCGCCTTTCGTGCCTTCATCTGTAGAGCATCGTCCTCTTTGACTACTGCAGTCCCCGCCGTTGTAAGCTGGGGAGCGCCGTCAATAACTGCCTCATGGGCCTGTAGCGCATTGGATGCTACTGAACTCTCGGCTTCCACTGTTGCTGTATCCAGGTACTTGTGCTGGCTGCGCTTTTGTTAGCTGTCTGTACACTTGTACAGACTAGTGTCAGCGCAATACTTACCGCTTTCTACCACGTTGGCGTTTCTTTATCGGGGCGACCTCTTGACCTGACTTCTGCTCCCCAGTGGCTATTGGGATTCCACCTTCGTCACGAGTACCTGATCTTGTAGCGAGAGGCTGAGCCACGGATTGCGACATCCTTGGTTGAATTGTTGGCTTGTTAACATAACATTTCATGTGCCAGCGTGACAGAAGTAGCATGCGTCGAGTAGCAACTGCAAGGCAGAACCTGTGTAGCGGGGTAGCTGATGCGCGCGTCAGGCTTTGCTTGTACAGCCTAAGTTTGAGACTGCCAAGTCTGTGCGCCATTAAAGTCAGCTGGATTGGCTGAGTGAAGGTGAAGATGAGTGCGCAGCCTTGGATGCCTATGCATTGGAGAAGTCATCATCGATAACACGCAGGATGAGGCGCGTCTGATATGCCTATCATCCAACCAGTCCACTCTTTGCCCATGGCATGGATGTTACTGGAGGCGATGAAGCTGGGGTCGAACAATGTAGGGGTGGTGTTTGTGGAGGTGCATGTCTCACGTGCGCAGGCGATAATGATTGGCAGGGTCTGGATCGGTTACGCGTCATTCCTCTCGGAGTCGGAAGCACCCTTCAACTTAATTCCTACGATGCACACGACCACCTCCTCCGGGCTTGATGCTTCACTTCTACGCTTCTTACTTCGCCCTACTACTTTTAATGTCTAGTTAACTTCTGCACACGTCTCTTGGCCTGTCGTCGCCGCATGCTTGGCAAACCTCCTTCGCCGCAGCGCTAGGCGCACTCTTTCCAATGTCGACCGTCTTCGCCTCCCTTGTACGCCCGCCCAAGCTGCGACGCGCTTCTGCAGCTACGCAGCCAGCGATCCAGCCTCCGCCCTCTATCGACAGTCATGGCCTTGATGAGCCCGATCTCCGCGACCTCAATGCCTCCCTGCAGGCGCTTACGGATATCTTCCCGGACATGCAGCCCGAGGTTTTCCGAGAAATGCTGTCTACATTTAGCGAAGAGAGCAGGCTGCAAGTCGTCACCGAGACGCTATTGAAGCATGGCGACAAATACGTGCGGGGGCGTTACAGGAAGCCCGCCGAGCAGGAAGAGCAGCGGGAGACGGCGCAGAAGTACAAATACCGCAAGGAAGACGCACCGAGAGACACACGGGGCATACCGCTTGCGCTGGAGGAAAAGTTCCGGTCACGGCGATACAAGGAGGCCGCCAAAGAAGCGCTGTATCAGGAATTCAAAGGCCTGAGCCACTCGACAATCAAGGCTGTGCTGGCTGAATACAACTACAGCTACACGCATGCACGCCCGACGCTATTGGAATTGTCAACTAGAAGCTGGAGGTCCAGCATCACCAACTTTTTAATGCGACGGAAGGCGCCAACGGCCAGTGATCACCCCCTGGTCATATGGACTCCCGCCGACGAACGACTGAACCGTCCGTCTATGCCGCTTCTAGTAAAGACACGAAGCGACGAGCTGAATCAGGAGCTTTACAACGCACTCATTGTACCGGAACATGAGAAACATCGGAACGCGCAGTTGCGACAGGACTACGACTTGGCCATGCAATGGAACGAAGAGGAGGCCGAGCGTGAAGGCGAAATGTATGACTGTGAATGCTGCTTTATACCCAACACGCTTCAGCAAATGTCGACCTGCGATATCGATGGCCACTACATCTGCTTCCGTTGCATACGGCATGCCATCAACGCTGCCCTCTATGACCAGGGCTGGGCGCGCAACATCAACACGGATCTATGTACCTTGAAATGCATAGCGCCTATGACTGGTGGCTCCGAAGAGTGTCGTGGGTGCATACCCTTCTCCTTTGTGAAGCGCGCACTCTTGGAAGAGCAAGATGGAAAGGATAACCTGGCCAAACTCAACGAACGCTTTGCTAGCGATGCGCTCACCAGATCCCAGCTACCACTCGTACAGTGTCCATTCTGCTCGTATGCTGAGTTGGATGACCTCGCGCTTCCAGACACCAACCTCTTCGCCAGCCTACGTTTCAAATCCCGCCCACTAATACTGGCTTCGCTGGCATCTGTGCCCTTATTCGAGCTGCTGTGCTTCCAAGCTACGCGGGCCATACTTTTCGCATTTATTCTTATCTACACCTTCGTAACTATCGCATTTCGCCTGCCCGTCATCGCACCCTTTCGATCCGCCCTCAGGCGTGTCCACCTAAAGCGCCGCGGCCTTCGGTTTCAGTGTCTCTCCCCAAGCTGCGGTCGCGCATCCTGCCTTTCGTGTTCCCTTCCATGGCATGACCCCCACACATGCTTCTCTTCTCAACTCACTTCCCTTCGTCTGACACTCGAACGTGCTACCACAGACGCTGTCAAACGCACCTGTCCTCAATGCAACCTAGGCTTTGTAAAATCCGAGGGCTGCAATAAGCTCGTCTGTCTGTGTGGGTACAGCATGTGCTACATCTGCCGACAGGGTCTTGCAAATGAGGGATATCAACACTTCTGTGGACACTTCCGCGAACGGCCCGGACAGCCCTGCGGCGAGTGTAACAAATGTGATCTGTACCGCGTCGAGGACGAAGAGAGGGTGGTCAAGAGGGCCAAAGACAGGGCTGAGGCAGAGTGGTGGGAAGCGCAGGGCGATGGTGCGAAAGAAGGGCTGCAGAAAGAGGTCGGGAAGAACGAGGGCTCCGCGGCAAAAGGGGTGGCGGTGCTGAAGAGGGGAAATTGGGAAGTCTGGATTGAAGGCGTACTGGATAGTGTGCTTGTTTAATTATTTGCTGTTGGCGTTCGGATTTGGCCACAGATCGTCAGAAAGATTGATACCCAGAATTCATATGGTACAGCGTCTCTTGCGGACGCCATATTAGCCTCAACTCTTTTGCTCAGTACCGGTGATGACAGCCCTTGCATGGAGGTCTTCTGTCATTCCCCAAGGCTTATTTTCATGCTATTTCGGTAGAAATGAGTACTATAAAAGACAAATCTCCTTCGCTTGTCGACCTTTTCAGTACACGAAGCACCTTCTCTTATGCCATCGGTCTCCTCTCCCACCCTGAAAACTTCCGTCCAAAAGGAGATGTCGGTCCTGTCACTAACATCAACCGTTGCTTGCAACCTCATAGCCTCTTCTTTGATCCTGAGAACCCGCACCACTTCTCCCCCAATGCGCAAATTTTGAAGCCAGTCATAGGCGGCGCTGTTGGTGGAGGCGACGTCTCCATAGATCTTTGGGCGAGTGTTCTTGGTGAGCTTGCTCTTGTCGAAATTGTAGATTTGGAGTTGGACTTGATATCCGGGCTGCGACATCTTGTTAGTGTGGGCTCTTGAATGTGGATGAGGTATTTGGTGAGATGCTTTGGCTGGGTGAAAGTTAGGAAGGTAACGGAGACATGGAATCAGGAAAAGAAGGTACGAAAGAAGATTCAGCACGAAGAGCAGGTGCCTGGAAGAGTCATTTGTTGCTGTCGGATACACGTATGAGACAAAAGACAGCACTGGCCGTCTTTCACATAAAACAACACGCGCTCACTAAGACGTGACACTTATAACACGAAGGCTGTTGTGACTACCAAACAAGACAATACGGTAGACACCTCTTATTCAAGTCGTTGCCTAGAAGAGTCACTAAACCTAAAGCCTGTACCGAGATGCCTGAATGGTGACCAACGAGTAATTGACTGGTCTCCAGAATTGAGCTAGATAAATTGGAATGCCACTTTTCTTCAAGGTTTTCACGACACTTACACAAACGTGTGCCGTCAGTAGTGAGGCATTCTTCAAGTGTCACTTCAACCTTCGATATTTGACGTGTATATTCTTTGTGCAGGACACGATGGATTTCTCCCCAACTCTTCCAGCGAAACGCCTGGCATATACGCGAAAAAGAAGACTGCATCACGCTTTCTTCCGAAGTCCAGGGTTCACAGGATTGTAGAGCTTTTGTTACAGCGGAAGTGGTGAAGAAACTTGTGTTGTCCCGTGTAATTCCGCTCTGCAGGGCTTATTTCCGAGATTTTACCCTTACCTGATGCAATTGTTAAACATACAAAGTCTGTAGCTGCTCACGACGTTGGCTACCATCGTACCCCTCATCAGGGACCAACACACCACCTTCCTAACCCCACCTAGCGCCCCGCAAGCAACGGGGAGCGTTATCAGCCGCGATCCTATCTCCACTGACATCATCACGTCTACACATTATCAATCTGCTATCACACGCTGCACTCTTGGCTATTCCTCGGAAGAAAGATCTCGCTATGTCGCCTACGATGCAGGCTAGAGATCCGGGACCTATCGCGCATTCATCGGCTTGTCGGTACAGGGTTCATGATAAGGGATGCTGGTCGGAAGAAACGATGTTTGGCTGGCATTGAGAATGCAGAAGCGATCTTCGATAGATACTCCTTGATAGGCAATACTGTATGCCGGGTGTGAGGTCGGCATGCATGTGAGGGGCGACACGGCAATGCAGATGTTGAGATGGTAGGGTACGGGGTTGGTTACATATGTCGCACCGCATGCTGCATGAAAACTTCTCAAGAGAATATCTACTTTACCTGTATTTGACTCTATATCGGCAAAATGAGTATCCCGGAGAAAGAGATAGCCCACGAGTCGAAATCGGGCGACACTTCTCCGTCGCGACCGCATTCGGACGTCGAGATTGGTACGGTCGAGGACCCATCCAACAACGGCGATGAGGCACTCAAATTTCTCAAGAATGCACACAATGTTGGTGCTTTCACGCCAGAAGATGAGCGAAGACTGGTTCGAAAGATTGACTGGATGATCATGCCACTCATGTGGTGCTGCTACTGCCTGCAGTACCTAGACAAGACACTGGGTATGTCAGCTCTTTGAATTACTACATTGCTACTATGCAACCACGCGTACTGACAGTTCCATGCTAGTGAATTACGCGGCGGTAATGGGTCTCTACGAGGACGCGAACATCAACACGGCACAATTCTCTAACCTCGCCCTCTTCTTCTACGTCTCTTACCTCGCACTCGAGTTTCCCCATGGCTACGGTATGCAGCGTCTTCCTACGGCAAAGTATCTCGGCGCAGCTGTCATTCTCTGGGGTGTCGTCACAGCACTCACATGTGTGTGCAAAAACTACGGCGCTCTAGTAGCTACACGCGTACTATTGGGTTGCTTTGAGTCGGCCGTCGCGCCCAGCTTGATCCTGATAACTTCGATGTGGTACAAGAAGAAAGAACAACCGCTGCGAACCGGTATCTGGTATCTTGGAGTTGGTAAGTCCTGGCTGTACGAAATGCATGTGAGACATACACTGACTTCGTACCCCTACCTCTGCAGGAACAGGAACGATGATAGGAAGTTTAATCAGTTTCGGGTTTCAGCACTACGACAGTGACACGTTCACTAGCTGGCAGATCATGTTCTTGGTTGTGGGCCTAATTACTGTCTCAGTCGGCATAACTGGTATGTTGATCACTATTTCTGGCTCTCGAAACTGTACTGACTTAGTTAGTGGTGTTGCTTCTTCCCGACAACCCGATGTCTTCTCGCCTAACCCCAGCAGAGAAGGTATGGGCCATCGAACGCCTACGCGAGAACCAAACTGGCATCGAGAACACGCATTTCAAGTTTCACCAAGTGGTCGACTGTTTCAAAGACCCGCAGACATGGATGTTGTCGATCATCACCATATCATCCAATGTACCTAATGGTGCAGTATCTTCCTACCAGGCCACGCTCATCAAGTCATTCGGCTTTAGCCCTAAGACCACGGCTTTACTACAACTACCCTCGGGCGCCGTCAGCGTTATATCAATTCTCATCGCGACATACCTCGCCGGCCGTTTCAATCAACGCGCACTGAACGTCGTCTCATTGCTTATACCCGGCGCGCTGGGAGGCTGCCTCATGGCTTTCCTCCCCGGCGAATCCAAAGTGGGAAAACTCATCGGGAACTACCTCACCAACTGCATTGGCTCCAGCTTACCGCTTCTCTACTCCTGGGTGGCCGCGAACATTGCCGGTCACACGAAGAAAGTTACCATGAACGCTATCCTGCTCATGTCATTCTGCCTGGGAAATATTATCGGACCGTTGACCTTCCGACAAGGGGATGGGCCTGACTTCATACCAGCTAAGATTACCATTGTGGTTACTTGCGCCTTCGCGGCGGCAATGGCGCTGGTGTTGAGAGCGTATTACGTGTGGGAGAATAACAAGAGGGATCGAGAGGATGATGGTACACACCTGGAGAACGAAGAATTCCTTGATTTGACGGACCGCGAAAACAGACGATTCAGGTACAGGTTGTAGATCGATGCCAATTTGCATGTCATATTACATCTCGATTCCTCATTGCGTGCTGTAGATGTGTCTGTCTCCCCGAAATTCGACTCAGTTTATTAGAGGGAATTAGGTGACTAGGATACAGTTATAATCACACTTTAGAATGCTACTCGGATCATCAACCATACTGATCATACTAGGTCGTACTTTATAAGATGCGAAGAACTTGTAAGTTGATTAACGCTAATCTACATACTACAGCCCATCCCACCCTACGGGGTACCGGCGCTACCTCGTAGTTCACTAATGATGATATCTGCTGCCTTCTCACCAATTACAAGCGCCGTGTTGTTCGTGTTACCACCTACGTTCTCAGGAGGAATAGACAAATCTGCAATCTTCAACCCCTTGACGCCGTGCACGTTCAAGGAAGCATCGACAACACCATCCTTCTCCTTCGGCGCCATCTTACACGTGCCAAGCGAATGCCACGTTGTATTGACGTTCTCACGTAGCCACTGCTCGATAGCAGCGTCGTCTTCCTTACTGTATACCAGATCCTTGACGTCTTCCAGGGGCCCTTCGACATTCTCTTGTACGGCGACCGCGGAATCGGAAGCGAACTTTGGATGACCGGCAGCAAGCTCGCCACGGTAGAACTTGGTACGTCGCAAGATCTCGCGTTGCTTCTTGTACGCCCAGAGTTGTTTCTTGAGATCAATGTCGTCTTTATCGTTGAAGAAGCCGACGTCAAAGTCTAGTGGGTCATCGTGCTTCGGGCCGGTGATGTGCATGTGTCCGCGCGAGTAGGGGTACGCGGTATAGTTACCTGCTGTGACGTACTGGCCCGCAGGTATGCTTGCTGGGTCGCCCAAGAAGCAGGATACTAGACCACATAGCATTAATGGCCGGTTTGGCGCATCCTTGAAGTCGCGTTTCCACGCTTCCTGGAACTCTGGTCCGAGGGAAGCGACTTCTTCCTCAGTGGGGCGAAGCTTGGAGGATATGTCAATACCGTTCCAGCCTAGCATAGGGTCCTTGTTCTTCATCATCTCGGCAACGTCAGCGCGTCCGCTGAGGATGCCATCGATCGTTTGGTCGGGCGCTAGCGCAGTCTTGTAAGGATAGAGAAGGAGGTGGTGGTCTTGGTAGTCCTTTCCTACACCAGGTAACTCTTCCACGAGAGGTACACCAGCACGTTCGAGGATCTCCTTCGAGCCTAAGCCCGAACGTTCGAGAATGGGCGGTGTACCGCAAGCACCAGATGTGACGACGACCAACTTGCGAGCCTTCACGGCCTTCACAGGATGCATGCTCAAACCGATTTCAGCTTGGAACTCTGGATTTGGTGTATATTCGACACCAGTGGCACGCTTGTTCTCATCAAACAGTACGCGTACCACCTTCGATTCGACGAGAACGTGAAGGTTGGAGTACCGCTCATCCTCGAGCTTCGGGTGGAGGTATGTGTGTGCGGTATCTTGGCGTTTGCCCTCTGGTGAGACGTAGCGTTGCCATCGCGCAATACCGTTGTTATCGTCCAGGTTCTGCAAATCTTCGATCTCGGGGTAGCCGACCTTCTCAGCTGCGCTTATGAAGTCGTCTTCAGCAGCCTTTGCGCGATAACCTCCGTCTGAGACATGGATTGGTCCGCTGTGGCCGTGGTGCTCTTTCGCTCCGGGCCCATGATATGTCTCTAGTTTCTTCAGATGCGGCCACATCTCCTCTGCTGACCAGCCAGGCGTGTTCCAGCTATCGAAGTCTGACCTTTGTGCTCGTGTGTACATCATGAAATTGATTGAACTGCCTCCGCCCAAGGTACCACCACACGGTACGATGGGTTCGCGATCGGCTAGCTGCTTCGACTTGTTTCCTTTGTAGAAGAGAGCGGTCTTGGTGGCAGGCAGTAGGTTCTGCAGGTAAAAAACAGGATTGACGACGCTGGCAACATCTTTGTTGTTTGCGCCCCCTTCGATTACAAGAATAGAGAGGGAAGGGTCATCTTCAGCGAGTCGGCCGGCTATGATACAACCTGCTGTTCCGCCTATGAAAACACGTCAGTAAGGGAACACATGGGAGCGAATACAGACATGAACGTACCTCCAGCTATGATAACGTCTACCTCATCGATCTCTTCTGCAAGCTTGTTGTATATACCCATGATGAAAACCTGTTATGACTTGGGGACTCTGAGAAGATGTTCAGATACCAAATGACAAGACAAATGTCAAGAGTCAGATTTGTGAGTCCAGCAATCCGTTTAAGTAAATGTTCAGTATTCCTTTGCCCCACTGCGAACAAAGTTCGGCCACTTACAGTCCATCGCGCACAATTTATCGGATGCCATAGGTTTTTTAGGAACATGAGTACCGCACTACCCCATCTTCTGCTCTTTTCGGCTTGGCGTCGGTGATACTAGCGGACCCTTTCCGCGCATCTAGATGGCGACCCGAAGGCCTAAGGAAGCGCTACGAGCTGTTAGCTCTCACAAAGATTAAACGATCTCCCATATCGTCCATTCAGGATAGCCTTGCGTTTGCGCTATCGGCCATGGTGGTAGTGAATAGCACATCAGGTGTCCTTTCCCCGCATTCGTTGGCCGTAACCTAACGGCGATCATATGCGCCTGTCCGAGAACCGCGGATAACAATCGTGAAAGGAAGAGCATAGAGAAGTGCGATCTAGAACGTTATGTTGCTCGTTAATTTCAAAGTCTGAGCTGCTGGTTGTGATATTAACATTTCATTCGTACAGCTCGAAAGATATGAAAGGACGATGAAAGAATGTAATGAGGCATCTTCGAATTTCCTGAGGCCTACTTTCGGATACTTGAACCCTACAGCCCACTAACACTGCGCATTCGGAACCCTGGACCGATGTACAGTGACCGCAAGAGCCAATGGCATGTGTAGGCTAAGGCACTAGGACGCGAAGTCCCGGCCTTCTGGGGCGAAACTTCATGAAAGAGGAAAGCTTCCCCCGTCCATATCCACATGTGGCTGCCTTCTTCAGAAACGAGAAGAGACGACAACCGAGTTTTCGCCGTACGATGATGCCAAGCATCGCATCTTAGAAGAGCCGATCGAGACCCATGTCAAGTATGTTCTGAAACTCGACGCGACGCTTACCAGCAATACTATGTTTCTTGGGCCTGGCGTCCGCTGCGATGTAGTGCTCGATGATGTTGACGGTAGCAGCCAACGTGTGGAAGGGCGCAAGGTTGTCGAGCATGAGGTTCGCGCTCTCATCATCTTGAACAGAGTCGTGCCTTAGGGGCGTAAAGTCAGTGATTGTTCTATAAGTATATCGTACATCAGGCTGCCTTACCAGTGAATGACGACCTCCCGCAAATCTGGCGCCTTCAACAAAATCTCAAATACAAAATTTGAGCGCTGGCGAAGAAGGGCGGGGAAGATGGCCGCGATGGAGTCGGTAGTGTCGGCGCGGATCCAGGCCGAATCCCAAACGAAAGTAATATTAACCTTTCGGATATTCTCCATAGGAGAAAAGGCAGCGTCAGTGATCTGACTGAAAGCCTAAACATTGGTGTACAACGTCAGTACATGTCACACATTAATTCGTTCAGGGAAATGACTTGCCTCCTCGAAGAAAGACGTATGGGCGAAGCTACCAGTCGCGTCGATACGTAGAACGGCTACATCGTAGAACCAGTTCTTTGCCTCGTTGTTCAGCTGTCGGGAGGTGAGCAGGAGTTGGACCGGCGGAGGACAGTGAGTGATGCGCATGAAGTTCGGTATATGGCGCCACTTGTTGTGGGGTCGGAATACGGGTGCTGGAGGAGGAGGAGGAGGAGGAGGAGGAGGAGGCTGAGCTGTAACGACTATAGCAGCAGCGTTACCGCCGTCATCGGCCAAATCTTCGTCGTCCTCGCTATCGCCTTCGGCCTCTTCCTCATTGTGTAGCTGGGCACCCTCGGTCTCTTCGCCGTCGTCGCCCTCATCCTCGCTTTTGCCCTCGCCGACACGTCCTTGTCCAGGTTTTTCCTCCGCCGTCTCATCTTCGGACTGGTCGTCGGGGTCAACTTGAGCAGCAGCTTGGGCTGGATGGACGCCAGCGGTTGCTGGCTGGGTATCGTGCGCGCCGGCGACAGCTTCCTCTACCTCCTCATCCTCGTCTTCGCCGTCAATATCGGACTCAGACTCATCTTCAGCTTCATCTTCGTCACTGCCATCTTCCTGCTCTGCTCCTTCGTCCTCATTTCCATCTTCGTCTTCCTCCTCGTTCTCGCTGTCTTCCACGGCATTCTCCTCCTCTTCTTGATCCTCCTCCTCCTCACTGTTATAGTCGCTTACAGCACTCTCTTCGTCGTAGTCATCGTAGTCGTTGCCGTATGCGACTCGCGGGGCGGGACCGTTGGGGTTGTCAATTGCGTCTTGGGCAACGAATTCCTTGACCTCTTTCTTCTCGAACCAGTAGCGGAGCAGCTTCTTAGGCTTGACGCCGCGCGCAGCCACATGCTCGAAAATGGAGTGTCGCACCTCGAGCGGGAGGTCCATGAAGGCGGGTACAGCCTTGTCGTTGGTCATGGCGGCCAGTTGATCGCGCGTGATTTTTGTAGAATGGGCTGCGCAGGGAGGTGTAAGGTAGAGAGGCTTGCGAGCGCGGTTGGCAGCAAACTAGAGAGGGAATACGGGTGAGATCAGGGTTCAAGTAAAGTTGGTGCCGCAGGTGCCTGCAGTGGGCTGCGCGGGGCTTGCAGGCGTTTGTGTAGCCAGAAACGCCCGAACGCGGAGCGGGACCCAAAGTGAAGGAGCGGTCGAGAGGGACGCCTAAGCATCGAGAGGTCCATCATGACCAACAGGGCGCTGCCGTCTGGATGCGTCGTTTCGCAGTCGCTGGTAGCTATGGAGTCGCAGTTGACCCACCGTCGCGCCTTCCCCACGGAGCTTGACGCGCTACGTCAGTCCCTCGCCTCATTGGCTGCAGCCATCTCGCGACTCCCAAACAGTGTCATCTGTTCCATCGCGTGCCACGGTATTTCGACATCACCAACATCTTTGATTCGCAGCGCAAGCCCCTAGCCACCAGGCAACACGAGGTCTATTGCATCTGAGATCCCAGGCGCAGGCATACGTATGCATACTGAACATCGTGCTATGCATTTTGATTGCAGATCATAAATATAGGGTTCAACTCCTTCATTCTTCAGTTAAAAGAAATGCTCCTTTTATGACTCTCATACATGGACACACTCATACACTCGCAGTGCATCAATTCATCTCTTGCGTTATGCTATACACGCAGTCGATGGGTACCCGTACGCTCCTTCCGAGTTGCTGACATCATGCTCATTACGAAGGAGCACTTCCGCGATAGGCTGTAACGGATGCAGCCACGCTCTCGGGTATCACACTTCACTCTAAGGAGTACCTTCCCCTTTCAATACTTGTGAATTCTGGCCCGACTATTGTTGCATCATGCCCATTGCCTAGACTATGTTCGGGTACTTGGTCTATCGAAGCATGTGACGGAGACTACAAGATCATGGCACTGGCCGCTTCTCTCACGAGGAGATTCGAGACTTCCCTAACTACCACGTGTCGGAGTAAGCCTTGCTCTCTTCAGAGCAGAATTGGCATGTTCCTACTCCTTCCACCTACAATAACAGTAAACATTAATGTATCATGGAGCAGCAGCACCTCACTGCTGCTGCCCGCCTACCAGCTACGTGCATGCCCATTCCAGAGTATATAATCCCGTCCTCGGGTCTTCATCCTCCACTCCTCTCTCACATCACAACTCAGCCCAGCAACTCTACCAACAACTCTTCTACCCAGCTCATCCATCCATCATCCATACCTAAGCCCACCCCATCAACGCATCCCACCGGTAGAGCTTGGTTCCTCCAACCACACCCCACGTCATGCGCCTCAACACCAGCGTCATCGCTGGCTTCATCGCCTTCGGTGCTGCTACGCCTGCCGGCTTCGCAGTCAAGCCAACTTCCACTGAAGACCCCGTCGATGCTGTACCAGCCCAACACACTCCCGTCGTGGATGGAAACTGGCACATTGGCTGCGACAAGAACAACTACTGCTCCTACTACCAGGGAGACGATATGGCTGTTAGAAACATCAACTCGGTGTCCCCTCGTACCATTGCTTTGTCGGAAGCCACGTGCAAACAGTGTTCAAGTCAGGATACCTGCCGCGTAAGTTACCCTTTTCTCCCGTGCATTGGTGGAGAAAGTCTTCACTGACCTTTTGGCTGGTAGTATTGTGAAAACGCACTCGGTTTCCGGTGCCGAGACTGCGACCACTACCAATGCGAAGACGTATATCTGAAAGGTAGTACGACATGCTTCGACATCCAACCCGAGCTTGCCGACGCCATTAGAAACCACACAGTCACAGCCACCATCCTCGAGACTACCATCAGCACCTCTGTCGTAACTGTGACCGCCATGCCTACTTCTGAGGCATCGATTTCCGACATCATCACTACCATCACGCTTGCTCGTACAGCCCTACCCCCGAGGCATACTGGACCACCCCCTCGCGATGAGGTAGCCTCCAACGATCGGGACAATCAATCACCCACTCGTCGCACTGCTTTCAAGCAGTCAGAATGCTTCCCTTGCAACGACCAAACTTGCCCAGTACGTTGATTCGGCTTGGGTTTCTTGCCTAGACTCCAGCTTGTTGACTCATTTTTTCCTCAGGAATGTCACGCAGACTGTGCGGAGTGCGACAAGTATCTTTGCAACAACTTGGCTACTCACACGACCGTGTGTATGAGCGTCCGTTCCAAATGGCAGCCTCCGGGCTTCAACGTCTCTGCCTCCGGGCCCAGTGAGACCACAACTACCACCCAGACAGTGGTCATCTCAACCATCGTCCCCACGTCCTCACCAGTCGTCACAGTTACCGTGTCTGCCCCTATCACCAGTACCACTACTGTTGTCGTAGCTCCTCAGAGCTCCCCATGCACTACGACCACTACTTCGATACCTCTAGTAACCACCAGCACTGTGACAGTAGTTACTCAGCGTCCACAGACCAGCACCGTGACAGTTGTTGCTCAGCGTCCACAGACCACCACTGTAACAGTCGTTACTCAACGTCCACAGACCGGCGTCGTAACAGTAGTTGCTCAACAACCTCAAACCAAGACCGTCACTGTGCAGAAGCCGGCTTCTACCGTAATCTATCAGCAACCCGGCACCACATCCATCGTCACCGTACAGAACCCAGCCTCTACCGTCATCTACCAGCAACCAGGCACAACTTCAATCGTCACCTACCACTACCAGGACCCAGCTTCCACCATCGTCCTCCAGCCACCAACTGTTACCGCTTCGCGCTCACCACACGTACTTGAGATTCCCGTCACTGTGATCACGACCGCGACCCACACCGTAGCCAGGTCAGTTCGTGCCAACCAAACTCCTGCGCCCATGTCTCGCCACGATAGCATTATCGCCAAGCCAATTTGTGACGCTTGTGACGACAACCCGGAGTGCGATGTAAGTTGAAGCACCAGTCCATCGTGTGCTCATGGGACTTCTGACTGACTTCCGCTACCAACAGAGGTGCGATTTCGCTTGCGACCAAGGCTGTGAGCGCTTCCTATGCAAAGACCCTCTCAGCGAAGCGGAACTCTGCGTAGCCTACCTAGAGGACGCCGAGGCGTCCAAAGCATACGCCACGTCCATGGCTTCTGGCGATTTCCTTGGCTCCGCCGCTATGCTTCTGGTGCTCGCCGGCGACGAGACCCCTTCTTCCAACACTTCGACCACCCATTTACAGCCAGCGATCTCCAACGGAACCCGGCCAAACTTCTCCTTTGCCGAGGAGGATTGCTACCTGTGCGAGTCCGGTGATGAGTCTTGCGATGTAAGTCACTGCCTTGCCCACCCACCCCCTGCATTGTTGGATCATCTTCATTGGTATAGTTCGTCGACTAACGCCTCCAAGATGTGCGACTGGCAGTTCACCTGCGGCATCAAGAAGAAGTGTTTTCACAACGGCGCGCGCGAGGTTGTCGAGATGTGCTTCGAGAAGGGCGAAAAGTGCCGTCCTTGATCGATTTCCCCGGACATATCTCCACCTCCCGACTCAAGCGAACAATCCTGCGATGCTACGAACCGATGAGGTAGCTGGAGTTTTGAGTTTGGCATGCTTGTCTTCTTCCACGTTTCATTGATCGCATCGCTCAGCTTCACGCTAGTGCGAACTTGCACGGGTTTCTGTGTTCTTCTCCCTGTTATTTTCTTCCCCTTTGTTGCTCCGTGTTGTTAGTTTGTAGCTTCTTCCGAATACATTACATCCTCTTAATTTTGAGATACCTGACTGGTTGTTGATGTATGCTCTTCAATCGCCTCTCCTCACTGCTGGCTTGCTTGCTTGCTTCGCAACATTCCGATGGAGCCCGCGTTGGTCAATTCTTTCCCAAATGGGGCCGCTCGCTCGACCCATGATTGCTTCAGCGACACTGCCCTGCATCCAAAGCATCTATGCAATTGACCAATACACTTACAATGACCACTGAATAACGTGGAACCCGAGAAGGAAAAAGGTCTGTCACGGAAGTTTCTAGCCGCATATAGATCGGACGTTTGATGCCAGTGTATATTTCTTGTGACACATACTACTTTCCTAACCCAGAGACTTCATCCAGTCAAGGACATTACAGAGCCATCTCACTCAACCCCAGATCAAGTCAATTCTCTCGCCCTTTACTTTCGAATTAAACCACTCGTAGATCTCGACGTCACTCTGTACTACACGCGCACCATCAAGAACCCCACTTCTACCTAGCCTCTCCGTCGCGAATTGTAACTCCATGGTCGCCAAGTTCCTGGCGATGCACGCTCTACTTCCCGCGCCAAATGCGAACCAGTACTTCGACATAGCTTCTGTTGGGTTCAGCCATCTTTCGGGCTGGAAGCTCCTTGGCGAGGGAAAGATATCCGGGTTGAAGTGCAGCTCATAGGCTGAGCAGCCGACAATGGAACCAGCTGGAAAGCAGGTATTTTTGAAAGTCCAACCTCCTGCAGGAACGGTGTGAGGTAAGCGTGTCGGATTTGCCATGCTAATTCGCAGGCCTTCTTTGACAATAGCGTTGAGATAGGGTAGCGCTTGAACGTCCTGTGCATCCGGGCCAAGGGCAACGTTGTTCTTGATCTCTTCCTTTAGTCTCTCGTACATATCTGGGTACAACGCTAGATTGCGCATAATCGTTGCCAAGTTCATCCCCGTAGAGTCTGTCCCTGCAAAGATGAGATCTTTGCACTGTGCCTTAACTTCGGAGTCGCTGATTCCTGCAGCAAGTAGACGCCCTGGGTATGTCGTTGACTTCTCGGAGGTATTTGCTACCAGTGTGGCAATAAACTTGTCAACAAGCATCATGCTGTCATCAGTCTCTGGATCAGGCAACCATTTGGCAACGGTCCATTCCAACCATGTGAAAGCGATATTAGGGAGATAAAAGAAGCGGCCGACAGCGACGAACGCGTCCACAAATGCGCTCACGCTGAGTACTGGGCCGCGTTCGCTGACCCCATCGTAGTTCTCCCTGAACAGGTGCGTAGAAACTGCGTCCACAGCCAGGCTTCGCGTCAGGTTGAGCACGTTGACAGGCCGCTTTGTCGCGGCTTCGTCCCTCAATCGCTCGACCATACGATCGACGCATCCCCAGATTGCTCTCTCGTTTTCTCTCAATGCTTTTGTTGAGAAAAGCGGGACCACAGCTTTCGCTCTCGGGCTCCTATAATCCGTATCGATAGTCGAAAAGATAGTCTTGTGGCCGTCAATGTCGAAATTGGCGTAGCATGCCGCTTTTGGGAAGCCTCCTTTCGACACGTAGATTGCGGGTATAGCATCCGCGTCACTTATGTCGACTTCATTCGGTGAGATTCGGACATGAGGGCCGTATTGTTTGTGGAGCTTGTGGATAGTACTTGCTTCGTCTCCGATGTAGGCGTGGTAGTGAAGGAAGATGCTGGTCAGCTTAGGTAAAATGGGTCCAGGGATGTGGGAGAGAGGGTGAAAGTAGATGCGATACACCAAGCGAATCAATACAAGCAGAAAAGGTGTGAAGAACAATGTTGTAATGGGATGAGCCGCTATCGCGCCAACGACGAGGCTTTGGAGCGCCATTGGAATTTCGAACAGCTGGACGGCTACATTGACGCCCTTGCAGATGTCGTGTGTTTTATATGAGTCGTGGTTGGTTGAGTCACCATAGCGTTAGTGGGGTGCTATCAACGGCGATCATGGAGATAAGACCTCGGAACGTCATCCACTCCCACTTTGAACTCTCCTTGAGATCGCAGAACCTTATGACGCATTATACATTATGACTCTAGATAAATACATGTAGTCTATTTTTCACCCCATCATTACTCACTTTCGTTCCCTTTGATGCTGCTGGTGTGATCAACCCGCGAAACCCGCCAATGGCAAGCACAATAAACGATGCCTTCTTTCCCTTGCAACACATTACCTCTTTCTTATAGATCACCATCTAACTTAAATCACTGGCCCTACCATCCTTGGTCGAAGGCGTCAACTCCACATCCGCAGTATAGCCAGCCCTCTCACCCTTCTTCGACCTCCTCCACCGATGCACAGCAATGCAACTCAGCAAAGCCATTCCCGCGTATAAAAGGCCTATTACCCCTTGGAATCCCACCTCAGCATATCCAAGGCCGTCCCAATATGACTTGTTGTAGGTGTTGCTCTCATCGTTGTAGATGATGAGCGTGTGTAGAAAGCAGATGGCTGCATAAAGACACACCATGACCAAAGAGAAAGTGAGAGCAAGGATGGGATGAAACAAATTTGGTGCGGAGGCTGATTGGGGTATAGCCACGAGGCTGAAGAGGGTGTAAATGGCATCTGGGATCATTGCGAATCCTGTGCGGAAGAACCAATCGTTCCTAGATACACAGTTAGTATGCGCTTTATTTGATCGGTCTGGCTATTGAGATGATTGTAAGTGGAAGGACTATGTGCCGTGACTTACGCGAAGCTTTGCCAACGGGGGTCGTTGTCGCGGTCGTTAAATCCGTACTTGAAGGAAGCATTGTGGGAAATGACGATGATGATAAAGATAAAAAGGATAAACGCCTTTACGAGAAATAGATGGTGATGTAAGCGTTGAGGTCCTTGCCAAAGTGGACTTTTAGGATTAGTGAAAGATGCTAAGATACCCATGTTTGGAGGGACTTAGGTAACGCGTAGATAAAGCTGTGGAGGAATCTTGGGAGTGCAATATATCGATACTAATAAAATGAGATGCGAAATCGAGTAGATGTGTTTTCACTATAAGTACCTCTACGTAGCAAGGCGCAAAAGAGAAAGTTGATCAACACACAGGTCGCCTTATTGTGGCGCGTACCTTCAACGCAGGTCCCGTATCTGTGCACTTGACGTCTCAGCCTGATGATCACCTCGCAGTTCCTTGACTATTTCGAAGATCGACAAAAAGGTAAAATAGCTGGCTTGTGTTGGTTGGTGTCAAACACAGCCTACCCTGCCAAGTTCGGGCTGTGTTGCCGGCCAAGCATAGGTACCGTAAGCGAGGCGCGCCACTAGAGAAAGATGTGTGAAACTAGCTCGTGTACGCAGTAGAAAAGAATGATGTAATCGTCGAAACTACTTTCGAAAGATGAAACTGAAACGGAGGGTTATTCGTGATACTGAATGCTCGATTGGGGCAGCAGCCTACGGGCCGATATGCGGCATTACATACCACATACTGGCCTGGAAAACCCCATACACGCCCACTCCAACATCACGGCATGGTGTTCACTGGTCCGGCAATTGACGTGCAACGTTGACGGCATCCAGCTTGTCTTTCAGATGAGAAGTCTAGTTTTCAAGGTGAACACCTAAACATTCATTAGCCCGGAGCAAGTTCGCAACTGCACAAATGACTTACTATCAACATTATTGTTGTAGATCATCTTGGTGTTGTTGTTCTTGAGGTAGCAGTTCTCGTCAAACCAAGTAACGGCAACACATCCTGGTGTGACAGAACACACATCCACACACTTAGTCATGGACTCAGTCGACTTGTAGGCGATGTCGCCGCCATAGTAGTCCCAGTTGCACTGTGCAATGAACGGCTTCTGGTTCGCAGTGGTGTACCTGCACTTGTCGTCGGTAGGGCAGTCGATGACGTCGGTGCATGTCGAGGAGCCAGGCGCGGGGTCTGCGATGGTTGGGCCCTTCAGCTGAGAGCCGGTGGACACGTTGGTTCTGCAGGATGAGTTGGAAAATTGTTGAAGTAAATGAACACGTTAAAGACAAACTTACGCTGGCCGGGCAGTGCCCTTGGGGGTGCCCAGAAGGTAGCAGAAACTTCCCTTCATGTTGAATGCAACGCAGTCTTTGTGTCGAGAGCAAGCATCAGCGCAGTCGACGAATACATCGGCCTTCAAGGGTGTGAGTAATATTCTAGTCTTTTTCGGAATTCAACGTACCTGGGCGGAGTCGATGATGGCGCCATTGTAATCGGTCGCACAGGTGAGCTGGAATACAGCACCGTTGGTGGAGGTAGATACGCAACCGTTCCAGCGAGGGCATGTAGGTATGGCGGGGCAGTTTCGCATCTGGCGCGGAATTAGAGCTGAAAGTGCAGCCGTCGAAACGACGAGTATTCCGTGCTGTGTCATGGTCAGTATAGCTCATGGAATTGCGCATGTAGCCTCGAAAACGCTGCTTGGATGCAAGTTTTGTATCGCAGCTTGTCCAGGAGTGTTGAAACTCTGATTCGAACGCAAAATATGCGGCATGTCTGCAGAATTGAACAATTGTGCCTTACCATCTTGGATGGTGGTGAGGATAGGAAGGAATGGAGGAGGAAGTATGAGCCGGAAGAGAAAAGGTTGGATGAAGGGATATGGGCTACGTAGAAGCCTCAGAACGTATCTGTCTTGTGGTTGAAGCTAATAGTGATGCGGGCTTTCTGACGAGGAGCGTGGGGCATTTGGAACTGATACCATGGTCCGGTGTCGCCTACAGCAAATGACAGGTCTTCGGATGCGAGCGATAACAACGACCAGACCCTGACATGTTCTTGTGATCGTAAAAGCTCACATTCTCCAATCGACAAACCTCGTGGGCCTCCACCACATCCCAGACACATGAGCCTAGATCTGAGGTATCCTTATAAATGCGACCGTGCAGCCAGCTGGATTCATACCTTCTCCACCGGCTCTCCAGGAATCCACGTGCCGTTGCCAGATAACGTACCTGGCCTGGTATAATCCAAGGTTCTCCCATTTCTTACATAAGCCCATCGGAAGTACTCGTTGATCCCACTATCAACTGGCCTGCGCCATTCAAAAGAAGCTCCACCTAGCCCATCATCGTAGAACGCACGGTCGCGCTCAACATCATTTACTAGGACACTTATGCCGTCAATTCCGACCGGGTGTGCTTCATACCGAAATGTCGCAACCAGCGCCTCGGTACCAAGGTTGACGGTGGCGTCCGTTATCTTGGGAACCACCGAGTTAAACTTCGCATCAGCGCGAAGTGCAGCAGAAGTTTGCAAGACGGAGTCAAAGTCCCAACGCGCTATCCCGTTAACGAAAAGACCCAACAGAATGCCCTGGTACAGTAAAGACGGTCGTGTCTGCAAACTCGTGCCCGGTAGCAACAATATCGCGAGGATGTAATGGTGGATTCTTAGATTTACGCCTGGGATAGTCAAGCAGACAACAATTCCAAGAACGAAGAGTCCATACAAGCCGAGGTAGCGGGGCAGCCGGCCTTCGAGCCAGAAGTAGTATATTTGCCCCACGATGATTACCACCAGCACCAAGACGATGATTGCCAGGGCTAGCTTTGCTCCAGGTTGTTGTTCCAGATCGTGCGCGGTAAGTCGCGATATCGGTATCCAGTCAAAAGTATAATTTGAAAGTGCTCCAAACCAAAAACCGCCAAGCCAGAAGAGTGCTTTCTCGAACTGAGCAGTCATGCCAAGTAATGACCTCTTCACGGTAGTAGAGTATATGACAACGGCCACAAACATTGCCGGTAAAAGTCGCTTCGCGAACATGGACAAGTGATCCGGAAGAACAGTAGTGTTTGTGGAGGACGCCGACGGTGGATCAGAAACAAAGCTCACATGGGCAAAAATGAGGCTGAAGATTGCAAAGAAGATCTTTGGTGACGTGGTGAAGATAACAAGCGCAGCAGTGACGAGGAGTGAAACAGGAAGCAAGCCCCACCGAGGGTCGGAAGCAGAGCGAAAGCTATTGTCATAGCCCACAGAAAAGGCAAGCGGAAAGTACGAATCGAAAGGTAAGGATTCGATGCCGTGTCGCTTAGTACTGGCGAAACTATCATGCTCACCAAGGAGAGTAATTCGACCAGAGCCTATAAGGGTGAAGATACGAAGTCAGTGTATGTCTTACAGGCAGTTTGTAGAGGCAGTTCCCTTACCACCTTTCCGGCCATCCACAATGCCAGCATGGATCGCGGATCCGCAGATAAAACTGTCTCCACGGTAAAATCCCGTCCCAATGACAAACGGCCGGTAGTTTACTTCGAGAGGTCCAACAATGTGCGGATTCAATATCTGCACGTCGCCGCACTTCGCTGGACACCGAAAAGCGAATGAATGGTTGCTGAAAGGACGGCAATTGATTCCATCGATTCCGCATTCGTTCTTTCGTTTCCAGAGCGTGTCTACGCAATCGAGATTGATCACACTATTGCCGTCCCCATCGCGAAGCGGTAATTGCGCAGTGAGAAACCACATAAAGATTAGAAGCCAAAGGAGTAGCACAGAAAAGAGCCAGATGGGTTTGTTGAACCTGTGTGCTTTCATCCATTGCGCCGGACGCGCTTGTATGGAAGGAAAGACTGGCTGGATAGACTGGATACGAAGTGGCTCTGGACCGTGCAAGAAGTTGAGGAAGCTACGTCGACCACTTCGCGTAGTCAACACGTCATCCTCGAAGTCCATCTCTTCTCTTGTCAATAGATGGGCTTCTTCGTCCCTGTCAGCCGCTCCGGTAAGAGGATGGTTCGCGTCATCTTCCACGTCGTGGTCGTTTCGACTGCTTTGTAACGAGACACGCATGCTCAGCTGCGGCAAATTGCATGTGCATAAGAAATGTAGTTATTGATAACCGACATTGTGGTTTGAGATGAAACATGTTGAATGATCAACAGCTCCATTTCCTCAAGGTGCCTTATCGATAACATATCTCACTCAGCGTCATATGGTCCTGGCCACCTTCGTCTTTTGAACAGGGAGTTGAATGGTTTTGCAATATATGGTTTTATCTCGCGTGTTTGCTGCTTCTGACGGTATTCTTATACTCGGATTCAGTTACACAACTGACCTCACACGGGAGGCACGTCGTACACCTTTGGCTAGCCTCTTCGGAACACCTACCTCATCATCACATCTGCTATCTCCGCTCTTGTACCATAATAGATCAATAACGATCAGATGCCACAGGAATGGGCTGCATTTCTTGTTGTGATTTCATGATAGGTTTATGCTTTGAGTTGATACCCACACCTCCTGTCACGGGCACAGACCAAGACCTTTAGATGCCGCTGGATCTACAGAAGGCTGAACATTTGCCAAATACAACACCCGACTTGCGCACGCGTCCACGACTCTATCCACTTTGCAAGCAACCAATTGCTCGCCACAATGGACGCGCTACAATCCTATCTTCCTCAAGCGGAGGGTTTACTGCCCAAATGGCTTCTATTTGTATGTCCTCTTCTCCGGGCTTGCGACTGTCATTCCCATACTGTCTCTCTTGGTAGCATAGGCTGACAGTCCTCACAGGTCGCCATAGTCTCTGTTGGCAACAGCCTCCAATGCTACGCCACCCTCTCCTTCACTTCGCGCGTATACAACCCTACAGCAATTGATCCGCCCCCTACCACGCCGAAACACGTAACCGCTCTCTCTTCGCGCACATTCGGCACATGGACATTCTTGACGGGCATGGTACGACTTTACGCCGCATATAACATAAACAATCCGAGCTTCTATCAATTGGCTTTGTGGACTTACGCTATAGCCTGGGGACACTTCATGAGTGAATGGTTCGTGTATGGAACTACAAGATGGGGAAAGCCATTAGCTGGGCCAGTGATAGTCGCAACTTCAAGCTTAATTTGGATGTGGATGCAGTGGGATTTCTACGTCAAGGCCTAGCGTAGCGGGCTGGGGAAGATGGGGTATCGAAACAGAGTTAGTGATGTAATGTTAATGTGTGCTAGACGCGTTCATGTTTTGTCTTTTCTCACGACTTGGACCAGGGACATCTCAAGGTGCAGCAAGACGTGATGTGATGTAGTCACTAATCGCCAGGGTTCCCAACGCAAACACATGTACCAAGATCCATCACGCTGCAGCATGAACAGCAATGGACTTTTGACCCGCCTCGGTGGCTGTTTGACCACTCGAGGACTTTCATTGATCGTAGCTGAAGAAACATACATGGCCCATGGGACTCCGATACCTCAATCCTTGATGCCGAATTTTGACGACTATATCGAAAGCCGTCACACTCCGCCTCAACCAAGTTTCTTTCCGTTGCTGATCATGAACCGTTACACCATCCCTTTTCTATGCACTTAGAACTTGTTGAACTGCTTAGCAGCCTTTCCCTTTCGGGGGAGGACACGGAGGACGTTGAAGCGGACGGTCTTGGAGAGGGGCCTGCACTGGCCAACGACGACCTGGTCACCGGGCTCGACACGGAAAGCGGGGGAGACGTGTGCGGCGAGGTTCTTGTGGCGCTTCTCGTAACGGGAGTACTTGGGGATGAAGTGAAGGTATTCACGGCGGATAATCAAGGTGCCTGCAATCCGTTAGTTCTTGCTGCCAATATCTTTCTGATGTTCCTGTTTGAGCCCTGTGTGCGCGCTCCAGAAATTTGAGATTGACGTACGGTGCATCTTGGTGGACATGACAGTTCCGGTAAGGATACGGCCACGGATGGAGACCATGCCGGTGAATGGGCACTTCTTGTCGATGTAGGTACCCTCAATGGCGGTCTTGGGCGTACGGAAGCCCAGACCAACGTCCTTGTACCATCTCCTGGCGCGGGTGTTCTTGCGGGGTCCGCCGACCTTGTGGTTGAGGAAGATGTGAGGCTATCGCATCGCATTAGTATCGGATGTGCTGGGGGCTCGCGAAATGGGCGTGTAGTACCTGCTTCTGGAAAGCGCGCTCCGACTGGACACTATTTCGCAATCAGTATATGTCGAGAGTATTCGCATTATCGCACAACGTACGTGAGTTCGGTCGCCATGGTTGCGGGTCGGGTGGTATTGTCGAGCTTTCGGTGTTGCTCTAGGATCGCAATATTCGATCGCTTGTGTGGAGAAAGGTTCCTCCGGTGCCGAGGGCTAGCGCCACCCTAGTGGCCAGCCTCGGCAGGGCCCAGAGCGAAGCCGTGAGATTGTCGCGAGGGCTAAGAGAGTGTACGAACTTCAATGTTGCAGCCGCTTGCAACTGCTCCTTAGCCTTACCAACCCAACTTCTGGCCGCTCCGACGTTCGCTCCTCATGGCAGGCATCCTCGAGCCGTTCGGTGTTCACATCGACGCAAGCAACTCGTTCGTGCAGGCTGCTGTCTATGGCTTCCTGCTCGTAGGCGTTGCATCTTTTGCAGCACCAGTCATTAGCACCATTCGAGTTCTTCTCAGCTTGTTTGTGCTGCCAGGTAAATCTGTATGCCTTTCCAAGCATTCCTGACCCCTCTCGTATATATCTAACCCCACCAGCTGAGCACATTTGGACCCCGCGGTACCTGGGCCCTAATAACTGGTGCCTCTGACGGCATTGGCAAGGAGTTCGCCCTCTCCCTCGCAGCCAAGGGCTACAATCTCATCCTCGTTTCGCGTACGCAATCGAAGCTCGACTCTCTCTCCGCCGACATCACATCCAAGTATGGCCCTAAAATCGCCGTCAAGACGTTGGCTATGGACTTTGCGCTGAACAAAGATGCCGACTACAACAACATGAAGAAGCTCATTGACGGTCTCGACGTTAGCATCCTGGTCAACAATGTTGGCTTGAGCCACAGCATCCCAGTACCGTTCGTCGAGACACCCAAGCAGGAGATGAACGACATCATCATGATCAACTGCATGGCCACGCTTCGCGTTACGCAACTTGTTACCCCCGGCATGGTGTCTCGCAAGCGTGGAATCGTCCTCACCATGGCCTCCTTTGGCGGCTTCTTCCCTACCCCGCTCCTCGCAACCTACTCGGGTAGCAAGGCTTTCCTACAACAATGGTCCACCGCGCTTGCTTCCGAACTCGAGCCCCACGGCGTGTACGTTCAATGTGTCCAGTCTCACCTCGTCACCACGGCCATGTCCAAGATCCGCAAGACGTCCGCACTCGTTCCGAACCCCAAGCAATTCGTAAACGCAACACTGAGCAAGATTGGAAGGAGCGGAGGCGCACAAGGTGTGGCTTTTACGAGCACACCGTACTGGAGTCACGGACTCATGCACTGGTTCCTTTCGCGCTTCTTGGGTGAGCGCTCGGATACTGTTGTCAAGGTGAACAGGGGCATGCACGAGAACATCCGGAAGCGTGCGCTACGAAAGGCTGAGAGGGACGCTAAGAAGCAGTAAGCTGTCCGCTTGGTGGACCTGTCTTCTGAACCCCATAACGAGTCAACTCGAATCTCAACTACTTGAGATGCTTCCGGAGTGGGTGCTTTCGTCGAGCTCCACTACTTATCGATGTAATGTTCAAATGCGCAAGGGAATGCGTTTTTCGCGATCTACCAATGTGTACGAATATAAATTCACACAGAATAAGCATTCAACTAAGACCCCTGCGCCGTGCTATAGCAACAAGGATATAACTACACCGCTTTCTCCATACTAAGGAAGAGGATATTCCGCCAACTCAATTCATATAGTCATAGGAAAATTGCAACAAGGCCAAGCATGTGGTCCAAGGATTACGCTAAATGTCCTTCAACTTTTTGCTTCTGACAACACGTCTCTAAGACGACTTGCCATAGGCCTGGTCAACTTCCTTCTGGTACTGCTTCAAGATGCCCTTGCGGTTGAGCTTCTGCGCGGCAGTGGTGAGGCCCTGTTGTAATGTTAGCACTCTGTAGACTTTCTTTCATGTTGCAAAGGTACTTACGTTCTGTGGTGTCCACTCCTCGTCTGCTAGCACAACACCCTCAATCATCTCGAAGCCAGCCAGACCGCCCTTTTGGCCAGCCTGCTGCAATTGCTTAAGCACAGCAGAGTTAATCTTCTTGTCGTGAACAAGTTCCTCGAGGTGGTCACCCTGGACACCCTCCGCGGCGGCAATCTTCTTCAGTTGCGGTTCGGTGGGCACGATGATAGCGACAGGCTTCTGGCGATCTTCCGCAGCGTAGACGCAGATGTTTGCGACAATGGGTGCGGAGCGGTATACAGACTCGAGCTTCTCGAGCGCAATGTACTCTCCAGCAAGCGTCTTGACCAAGTTCTTCTTGCGGTCAATGATGCGGACTTCACCGTTGGCGTTGAACTCTCCGACATCACCAGTCTTGAACCATCCGTCGTCGGTGAAAGCCTCCTTGGTCTCTTCGGGCATGTCCAAGTAGCCGTCTACGACACCACCGCCACGGATCCAGATCTCTCCCTGAGGTGGGTTGTTGGTGGAGAAGTAGCCGGCATCCGCGAAGTCGACGAGCTTCATTTCGATTGAAGCAGGCATCTCACCGAGAGCGTGCTCGTTCCAGGCCAAGGGGTCCATGAGCGCACCCATGGCGCAGGTTTCGGTAAGACCATAACCGCTAATCATGGGTGTAATGGCAATGGAGATGAAGCGCTGCGTCTCCTTCGAGATGGGTCCACCACCGTTCAAGCAGATTCTAAGTCTACCTCCGGTGGCTTCCTTGACCTTGTTGAAGACAATGGCATCGAGAATACCACTGCCTGGCAGTCCAGAACCAAGGAGGAAGCCCTTGGCGGCGAACGCACCCCAGAACATGTTGCTCTTGACAGCGCCTCCAGCCTCAACCTTGTTGACAATGCCCTTCTTGATGGTCTCCCATACCTGGGGTACACCGACCATAACAGTCGGCTTCAGCTCACGGATATCACCAGCACAGTTGCGCACGGACTGATCCGAGAGCGTCCTGATGGTTCCGTAGCCCATGGTACCACCCCAGTAGAGCACGGCATTTTCGAACACGAACTCGAGAATATGCGCGGCGGGGAGGTAGGTGATGAGAACGTCGCCCGGTCCGAGGTACTTGCCTACAATGACGTCGACACCAGCAACTGAAAAGGTCAGTACTTTGTTTGGATGTTCGCAGCAGGAGACTTACTAGCAGCAATGACGTTGCGGTGCTTGATCATGACTCCCTTGGGAGTACCTGTAGATCCAGACGTGTACATGATACAGGCCAGGTCGTCTGCCTTGGGCGGGATAGGCTCCGCAGGGCTCTCCTCGCCCATCTTGACCAGCTCGTCGAAGCTCATGACCTTCAAGTGCGGGTGCGCCTGGGTGAGTGTATCAATATCCTTCTGCTTGGGGTCGTTCTTGGTGCAGTATACGACGACCTGGACGTCCTTGGCCTCCTTCATTGGGTTGACAAGCTTGGGCAGCAACTCGGGGTCGGTGAACATGACCTTTGCGTTGGTCTGAAGCATAGAGTGCCTGAGACCCTCTTCTCCGAGCGTGTCGTATGCGGTGACAATGGCCATGGATTGGGAGATGGCACCTGTAAGCATGATGAGTTCTTGGTTCTTGTACAGATACACGCGATTGCTTACCATGTGCAGACGCCAGCCATTGCATGCTCGTAGCGGCGAACAGGTGCAGCCTGTCTTGCGGGTTAAAGCCCAGCGACTTCAGACCCGAGCCGACCGCGAGCGCCATCTTCTCAAACTCGACGAAGCTCTTGTACTTGTACGGGCTGAGCTCGAAGTACTGCCACTTCTTGTCGACTTCCTGCTCCTTGCCATCGACCATCTTCTTGATCTTCTTCGTCTCCTCATGTATGTTGACGATGCGACGCGCACCGACGGCCTTTGCATTTCCATACTTGGCTGCTGCGTGTCGCAGCACGTCGTACAATGTCTCTACGTTGTCGTGGGGCTTCAGTACCAGACCGTCTTTCGCGGCGAGGTTGCGACGCGGCACCGTCTCGCCCTCAATCTTCTCTGCATTCGCAGCTTCGCACGTGTAAGGCCCCGACCGATGGTTCTTGGCCTGGGGCATCAGCTTCTTGAGGTCTTGCGGCATCTTGGCGGCTCTGGGGTGGGCGCTTTCCAGAGTGACGACCGTGTGTGTTGAGTGTGGGTGTGTGTAGGGATATAGTGCAAAGGGTATCACAAAAAGTGCAAAAAGTAGCGAGAGGGTATATGGAGAGTGTGTCGTCGCCAGCGGGGAATGGCGGATGTGATGGAGGTTGGTGTGTTGGGGAGCTTATGCACTTGTTATGCTTTCCCTGTCGCTAAATCGACGACCTGCTGGGGTGGCCGAGCTTCTTGATGACCTCACTCAGCCACCGCAAGCTCTGGGCAACTGGGGCCAGCCGCTTCTCCACTTCTTTTCTGTCGAACGAGATGCGACTGAAGATCGACAGCGCAGCACACATCGCAAGGTCTGCCAGGTCGTGTCGGCCTCCCGTCGTGTCCTTGCGACGTATTCTTCGCGCTGCAAACCTGCTCAACCTCAAGTCGTCGTGAGACGCAGTTGAGTCCGCCTGCAGCTGGCCAAGGAATCCGAGACTCTCCCAAGCCGCGCAGTCTCCTTTTGACGCTTTCGCTCCGTTGCCAACCTTCACGCAGGTGCAAGGATCGAGCGGATAATCGCAGGCCGCTATCGCCTGAGCGTTGCCAAGATGCGGAGTCTTACGGAAATTCTGGCAACGGGGCCCATTCTGGACCCTGAAGAAGGTGTGTAAAACGCCCTGGAGTACACAAATGCAACTCATCGAATCACACCCCTATGCTGGTCCTCGGCTCAACGTATTACTTTGTTGTCGCGATTCGCTCTCACGCATGCCTAAAGTGGAATATGTCGCAAGACTGCAAACAAGTCATCATCGATAAGTTACTCATCAAATCACGCAGAAGCATTCGTTGTCTTTTCGCAAGATATCCCTTCTCAGTCTCTTGGTTTCATCGACGAGCCAGCCGCAACTCTAGACCTCAGCGTGGCGGGCCACGATCTGGTCATCCACCACTCAAGAGGTCTGCTGACTTCCAGCCGTAAAGAAGGGACGACCGGTGCCGGTAAGTAGTACTGAATTTGCCATGGTCTTTTACAGGGTGATACGTTGCCCCAGACTTTCTCTATTACAGTTGGACTCGACCTTCCATGGGGGGCTACTTTAGCATCTCAGCTACAGTGGCCTGGTTTAGCGATGCAGAATCAATACATAGCCCACCAAATTCATTATGATGATCTTTATTACAATCCTCCAGCCATCATTCACTTCGCTCCCATCGACTAACATCTGAACAGTAGTGTGGAAAGTCACCCCGTTATTCGCAGCATGGATCGCCTCCCCAACAAACTTCCTTTTCGCATCCTCTCTTCTCACACCCAGCTCCAGCATCCTCGAGCTCGGCGCAGGCGTATCCGGTATCGTCGCACTCTGCCTAGGTCCCCTAGTCGCAAGCTACACAGCCACCGACCAAGACTATGTGCTCAAACTGCTACGGCAGAATATTGCCGAGAATCTCGACACCGTCATGCCGGCAAAAAGAAAGAGTGGGAGGGGAAGTAAGAAACAGCAGGGTCAGCTGAAGGGAGAAGGAGGAAGTGGTGGCGATCGCATCACGACACTGCAATTAGACTGGGAGACAGATGCAACTTCTCGTCTCAAGCCCGTGGACATGATCCTATCATGCGATTGCGTCTACAACGAAGCTCTGATTGAGCCGCTCAATACGACATGTGCTGCAATATGTAGGTTGAAAGATGACAAGGACGAGCCAACGCTTTGTCTTATTGCGCAGCAGCTGCGCAGTCCTGAGGTCTTTGAGACGTGGTTGAAAAGTTTTCATCGGTATTTTCACGTTTGGCAGGTGCCGGATAGGATGCTGGGCGAGGGGTTGAAAGAGGGCAGTGGGTTCGTGGTGCATGTTGGTGTCGTAAGATGATCATTCTCATCTTGAGCTAGAGCATGCGGGGGGCAATTGGTGAGTAAAGAAAAGGATTTCTTCTTGACAAGACTATGAGGAGACCATAACACTGAGATGCCCATTCGGTATGAGAGCTCGCTTTTCGTAAAAACCAAAACCATGAACAGAACAACGCTCACGCAGCCTTGCTAGGCTCAATATCCGAACTTGGTCGTCCTTCAACATCAGTGGCTCCCTTCTTAACCCTCGCCCACTCTTCCTTGTCGGCTGGCTCGTCGACTTCATTGGCAGTCAACTCCGGTGTCTCCTCATCCTCAATCTCCTCTGGTAAGACAAGGTTAAGTACAACGTTGATGAAAGCAACAACAGCAAAACCTGTCTCCAGGATCAAGATAATAGCGTTGTAGAAGCCCTGGAGTGCGTGGTTCGGTCCATCGTAAGTGAAGACGTGATCGAACCAGTCTGGTACCATGGTAGCGCCGAAGCCCAGGGTGAATCCTGCAGTGAGGATGAAACGGTTGCGCCGAGTGAAAGACATTGTGCTGATGATCCTGATGCCACTAACAGCAACGGCACTGAAGAGGAAGGTTGTCATTCCACCGAGAACTGCTGAAGGAATGGCAACAAGGGCCGCCGCAAATTTGGCGAAGATGCCCATGATAATGAGCCAAAAGCAGCACGCATAACCTGCCTTCCGGTTCGCACAACGCGTCAGAGCAATAACACCGTTGTTCTGAGCAAAAGTGCTCATCGGCGTGATGGTACAAAGAGCTGCAATCATGCCGTTCAGACCATCTGCGAGGACACCACCTTGAATTCGGGAATCGAACATCTCGCCGTCGACTTCGAGGCGCGAAACATCGCAGGTAGCGGTAATATCACCTATGGCCTCCATAGCGACAACCATATAGACTGCTAATAGAGGGAGCACAATGGGCCCATAGACAGAGAGCTTGAATGTGTGGACCCAGATGAAGGATACAGCGGGTGCGGCATCAATGGTGGACTTGTCAAAGTAGCCTGTCGCGCCTGCAATTATGCATCCAACCAGAAGTCCAACGACGACAGCGGTAGATTTCATGATAGGCGCGCCAAACCGTTCGCAGATGATGATGGTGATGAAGACACTGAAACCGAGACCGATAAACTCGGCGCTACCCCAAGGAAGAGGGCGCGGAGCATTGATGTTGGGGCACAGCTGGAAGAGTCCTGTTTCTGGTCGGGATTGGCAATCACCTGAACCACCAGCCCAGTTTTGAAGTCCAGTTTCGATGAGATGGACGCCGATGAGCAGTACAGTGGGACCGGTAACCAGGGGCGGGAAAACCTTCTTGAGGATACGGGGGCTGGTGAAGGACATGCCGATTTCTAGCAAGGCGCATACAGCACACGTGCCGAGGATAGCTCCGTAGCCGTCGGGGCAAGGGAGTCTTGTGCCATCAGCAGCAGTCGGACAAAATCCGGTCGCGTACATCTGGCTAAGGGCACCGGTCGCCACGGGAATGGTCGCAAAAGAAGTACCGACAACTGAAATCAGACCGGTTCCGATGTAGTACGGGGTCTTCCAGATATGGAAGCGCGTGATCTGAATAGAGGACAGGATTCCGCAAATCACCAGCGAAGTAGAGACGAGGTAGCGTTGCTCTTCAGAACTTAGATGTGCGGCGTTGGCGAGAATGATGGGCGGTGTTATGACACCTGCTAACATGGCGAGTGCGTGTTGAAATCCGAGAAGGAGAGCTAGTAGCACTGGCATGCGATCGTGGAGGCCGAAGAAGGGTGCAGCTCTTCGCTCCTTCTTCATGAATGGAAGGTTTGGCCGGAACAGAAAGGCGTAGTCGTAAGTACCAACCAGACCATCTCTATTAAATTTGTTAGACGAGACTTTGGCTGTGATATAAAAACATACTTGGTTGTAAAGGCCTTCATGGCGCGTCTTGCCTGCTCTCCAAAGCTTCGCTTTGGCGTATGGTCGGGACCGATCATGTCTGCCATGGCTGCTCAGAGACTTTGCAATCCAAATGTGCGTGTCCGAACACAAAAAGAGATGTCAAGATTGAGCCGGATCTTTATATTCGGCCGTTCAACTTCCGATAAGGAAGATCCTGATAAGATTGGCGAGGTGGCTGAAGATACCCAGCTGTACGACCAGTCGCAGTATCAGACGGGCTTCTTGGTCGGCTAAAGCCTGTCGCGCGCAGTGTAGCTCGCTACCGATGAGAAGCTCTTGAAAGGCTCGGATGGTTGTGTTGAAATTCGGTATGCGGGGAAGTGACGTGAAGATGGCGAAGCGTTAGTTCGAGTGGGAACGTTAGTCGCTGTGCAGTAGAGTGATGGCGTAAACCCAACGAGCTACTTGCTCATCTATATAGAACATGTGGAGAAAGAGTATTATCTCCTGCACCAACCCTCACGATACACAATTGTTCATCCACAACGTCTTAGCCCCGAATCCAAGGCCACTCACGGACCGCCGAAGATTGGAGCTGGCCGAAGATAGTCGTGAGCCGCCGCGAACAATTACTTTTCTCCACGGCAGATTCGTCGCTACGGCGCGCATTTCGCAGTGGCAGAGGGGCGACACCCGCGTATGTGCTAAAACGATCGCCTGTACTGATAGGCAGGAAAACGGTGATTGGCTGTTGGGCGACTGAATCCACTTGGCGGGCGGACCACTCCGACGATAGAGGATGGGAGATATTGCAGGAGAGGCCTCCCACACTGCACTGGAGGAATCTGCATCTAGATCTGAGTCCGATTGCTGTCAGAAGATCCTGTTCGCCGGATACCGATGCAGCGGTGTTCAGCGTGCCCATGCTGGGCGACTTGTTGTTCTGGTTGGCACCAGCCGGTGATCGGAGTCTCGCTCAGGACAGACTGCGCAGGACTACATTGATCCCCTCACAGCCTTTCCACATTTCGAGCAACTATACAATATCGCGTGTAGGTCTATGTACATGCCTGTGCAGAGCAGGTGAGTACGCTCTAGATGGATGTTCTGGCTTTGGTAAGTCTCAATAGTTGGTCTCTGGTTGATCGTGTTTCGGTTGCTGATGACAGAACATGGACACACACGGCTAGATGGGAAAATATGTACTGTGCTGACGTGGAAGGATGTAGAAGACAGTGAAGAAGCAGTCAGTTCATCAACGAAACGCAGCGCGCGTTCTGCCACAGACTGCGCCTTGGCAAGGGTCAACGAGGGCTACGCAGTCAGGGTGCCGCAACCAGCTTTCGCAAGAATGGCTCGTCATAGCTTGAGCGCACGCCAGTAGTTTGCCTTCAGCCCTACCCGTTGGGACGTTGGGACGACCGTTGACCTTGTGGCATGAGAATGAGACCACACGGAGAGTGCAGCGGGTGTGACACAACAGATTCCTGGAGCCGAGGTGAACAAAGGCACGTTGATTCGTAGACTGTTGCATGGCATCGACGTCGCGATGGTGGGCGCGCGTCGAAACTGATACGGACATGAGTCTGTATGGGCTGGAGACAGACAGAGCAGGTGTTGAGGAGCGCCGTTTCCCAATCGAGCAGAGCTTGCGATGGCACCCAGCACCCAGCAGCCGAGATTGGAGCGTGCCGGGGAATTTGCGCCAGCGGAAGAAGACCCTTCAAGGTTTCCACAACGTTGTGAAGCACTGACGATTTCTCCAAGCACAAGCGCCATCGAAAAAGTCGTGGACGTCTGAGACCCACTGGGTATCCAAGCCGAGCACTTTGCCACTGCGTGAAACATGTCGTCGCGGCCACGCTTCCCAGACACTTGGGGTTGGCGAGCGGCGCCCTACGTAAGGCTGCAGAAGACTTGGGTAGGGCGGATGCAGAGCGATATCAACAGTTTCCCAACGAACGTGGTGTCGCGCATGCATCCGGCTCACCCTTCGTCGACTGCAGGCGTGGCCCAGCGGGGCATCAAGCGGAGAGGACAGCTAGCGAGCTAGCGATGACGAGACTTGTGGCCTCACCACGGCGTGAGGTTCTATGCCCAGTAAGGCATCCTTCTCGCCGGCTCGCGCTGCCGGTGGTATGCACCAGACCGCTCTTTGCGATCGTCTTCGCGTTGTCGCGGCTAGAAGCAGCAGCCGGGCGATGTGTAGGAAATAGGGCCGGCGAGGGTGGGATTAATCAGAATCTGGGGAAGGTGGCGGCTTGGGATTGCTGGATATTCCGCACGTCTACTCGCGCACCGCCACCCAGACGCTGTCTCGATGCCGAGATCAGCACGACGTGCCAGTTAGGCCCGAAATTTTCTCGCGCTGTAGCAGCCAGCGCCGTCCCTCGTCCTGTGCGGGACCCTGAGACAGCGGTTAGTGCGCGGCGCTAGGCCACCTATGACCAAAGTTGCGGCGATTGCTGGATCTCGAGCGAACAATGCAAGGTCCCAGTCTTTCGCTTACACGCCCGCAGAGTGTTGGGATTCAAGACTGTCCCGCCGCCTTATTAACACGCTCGGCCGCCCGCTGTCTCTGCTTCCCTCTCATCCTTCCTCCACTGCTCCTTCCCTCACATCTTCTACCTCGTCATTCACTTGATCGTGGTGAAGCTTTCCATCGTTGCTGGAGCTTTGTACTCAACACCCCGGAGGCTGACCGGAGCTCAACTTTTTTGAGCTGCTAGTTGCTTCCCGTCGAATTTCTTCGACCTCCCTCGCTTCACCTACACAACCACCCTACCCACATCCTCACCATGCCTTCGCACCAGCCTACCGCCGGCATGATGGCCGTCGACCCCGAATACGTCAAGCAGCCGTCTCCCATGGCGAGCACCTCGGAGCCGAACCGCAACCCCAAGTACGACCCTAAGAAGCCACACATTACCGAAACACCCATCACCAAGGCCAACTGGTACAAGCACGTCAACTGGCTCAACGTAGGTTTGCTCTTGTCTCCAAATCAGAGCCATTGGCTAACACGGGATTAGGTCACCTTCATCATCGGCATCCCCCTCGCTGGCTGCGTCGCGGCTTTCTGGACCCCTCTGAAATGGCAGACCGCTCTCTGGGCCGTCGTATACTACTTCTGGACCGGTCTCGGTATCACAGCGGGCTACCATCGTCTCTGGGCACACAAGTCCTACAACGCCTCCCTCCCACTTAGCGTCTTCCTCGCCCTCGTTGGTGGCGGTGCTGTTGAGGGTTCCATCCGCTGGTGGAGCCGTGACCACCGTGCCCACCACCGCTACACCGACACCAACAAGGACCCCTACAGCGTTCGCAAGGGTCTTCTCTACAGCCATCTCGGCTGGATGGTCATGAAGCAGAACCCCAAGCGCATCGGCCGCACCGACATCACCGACCTGAACGAGGACCCCGTCGTCGTTTGGCAGCACAAGCACTACATCAAGGTCGTCATCTTCATGGGTCTGATTTTCCCCTCGGCTGTCGCTGGTCTCCTCTGGAACGACTGGAAGGGTGGATTCATCTACGCCGGTATCCTCCGCATCTTCTTCGTCCAGCAGGCTACCTTCTGTGTCAACTCCCTTGCCCACTGGCTCGGCGACCAGCCCTTCGACGACCGCAACAGCCCCAGGGACCACGTCATCACCGCTCTTGTCACCCTTGGTGAGGGTTACCACAACTTCCACCACGAGTTCCCCTCCGACTACCGTAACGCTATCGAATGGCACCAGTACGACCCCACCAAGTGGTCCATTTGGCTGTGGAGCAAGCTCGGCCTCGCCTCCAACCTAAAGCAGTTCCGTGCCAATGAGATCGAGAAGGGTCGCGTCCAACAGCTACAGAAGAAGATCGACCAGAAGCGCGCTAAGCTCGATTGGGGCGTTCCTCTTGAGCAACTCCCCGTCATTGAGTGGGACGACTACGTTGAGCAGGCTAAGAACGGCCGCGGTCTGATCGCTGTCGCCGGTGTTGTTCACGACGTCACCGACTTCATCAACGAGCACCCCGGTGGCAAGACCCTCATCAAGAGCGGTATCGGCAAGGACGCTACTGCCATGTTCAACGGTGGTGTCTACTTCCACTCCAACGCCGCTCACAACCTGCTGTCCACCATGAGGGTGGGTGTCATCCGCGGTGGGTGCGAGGTTGAGATCTGGAAGCGTGCCCAGAAGGAGAACAAGGAGGTCAACATCGTCAAGGACGAACAAGGCAACCCAATAATCCGGGCTGGTAACCAGGTTACCAAGGTCGCACAACCTATGCTCAGCGCCAGCGCGGCCTAGAGCATTGTTCATTTTGATTTAGCGATGCCCGGCGTTTGGGATGCCTTTTCGTTTTGTGTAGGCATAATTATGTTTTCATTTCGCTGCGTTCACTAGCAAGCATCATGGAGACGATGCTCAAGCACTATTAGATTGCGTATGTTTGTAGCCTTTGATGAGCACATGCTTTGAAAAGTGAGCTTTACGGTCCAAACCGAGAATGATATCCATTCACACTCCATACTTTATTATTTATTATCGTGACTGCTTATTTGTGATGTCTGATCGTTATCGATCTTTCTCTAGACTGCATCTATGTGTTCTTTCCTTATTCACATGACACCAGTGACTGCCTGCTACGGTCAAGTGGACCGTGCCTCCCTCCCTCCGTGTCAACAAGACGCAACGCGATTCCTGACACCCAACTCTACACAGCGCCGAACAAAGACTGATTGCGACTGCATCGTCGTCATCACGCCCTCACTGGGATGGCGTCTCAACAACCCGGGGATGCCCCGCCACCAAAACGCCGCAAGCTCGATGACGACCCCCCGAGCAGAGAAGTCACAAAGTCCGACATTCATGCAGGGCTCGACAAGCCAATCAGTCCCCCATTGCCACGGCGCAAAAGCCCCGAGCCACCGTCATTTACGCCGACTTGGAGTTTTGATGGAGTACCGAAACCAACATTGGCCTCGGGACCAGCCGAACCAGCAACACCACATCATGGGAGGGACGGGACTGGGGAACCGCAATATTGTCCTTCGCCAGTACAGCTGACCAGAATTGAGAAGCTGCCGGCGCATCAGAATATAGATACTGTGTGCTTGTCGGACTTGCTCGGTGATCCGTTGATCAAGGAATGTTGGAACTTTAACTTTTTGTTCGATTTAGACTTTGTCATGTAAGTTTCGTATCTATCGCCGAACCTAACGCGGCTCTGGGCTTGAGTCCTGATGCTAACCATTTCCAGGCAGCATTTCGACAGCGATGTGAGAGACATGATCAAAGTCAAGATCGTGCATGGCTTCTGGAAGCGGGATGATGATAACAGGATCGCCCTACTTGTGAGTACTCTTCCTCGCTTATTTTTGATAGGAGTTGACAATGTTCTAGGAAACAGCAGAGCGGTACCCGAATATCGAGCTTCTGAGCGCGTATATTCCGGATCCGTTCGGAACGCACCACTCGAAGATGCTTATCCTCTTTCGCCATGATGACACTGCGCAAATTATCATCCATACAGCCAATATGATCCATCGCGACTGGGCCAACATGACTCAAGCAGTATGGAAGTCGCCATTGTTACCTGTTTCAGTTCAACCAACGTCATTCCAGCCAGGCTCTCCTCTAGTTCACCCGGTTGGGAGCGGCGAGCGATTCAAAGTTGATGTCCTCCGATATCTAAGTGCATACGAGAAACGGTTGAGAGGGCTGACCACCCAACTTCAAGACTACGATTTCTCAGGTATTAGAGCTGCGTTCATTGGAAGTGCACCATCGCGACAGAAGCCCGCTACAGCTAGCCCTTCGGTGACCTCGTTCGGGTGGCTAGGCTTGAAAGAGGTACTTTCTAGTATTCCTGTCATGGGCGCCCGGGACTCTCTACGTCCTCATATCGTGACGCAAATTTCATCTATAGCAACGTTGGGTGCGGCGCCCACATGGCTATCGAACTTCCAATCAGTACTTGCATGCCAGTCGGCAACCACAGTAGCCAACTCCAAGGAACAATCATCTTCCTCGACGCAAGCCTCATCTTTCTTCTCCAAATGTGAGTCTAACATAGGAAAGTCGCTATCTCCTAAGTACAGTGTCATCTTTCCAACCCCAGAGGAAATCCGTGGTTCGCTTGATGGATACGCATCTGGTGGGTCAATTCATTGGAAACTTCAATCAGCGCAGCAACAGAAACAGTTGGAGTACATGCATCCGATGCTATGCCACTGGTGTCACGCGTCTTCTTCGTCATCCAACGACCCAGCAAGGCAAGAAGCGCATCGTGGCCCGGCGGCACCACACATCAAAACCTACATACGTTTCAGTAACGAAGAGCACAAGACCATCGACTGGGCAATGGTGACGAGCGCAAACTTGAGCAAGCAAGCATGGGGCGATGTGGTGAACAAGAAAGATGAGATCTGGATACAGTCGTGGGAGGCGGGGGTTGTCGTCTGGCCTGCTCTATATGTCCAGGCGCAGGAAGAAGTCGCCATGATCCCTGTTTTTGGGAACGATATGCCTGGAGCCGAGAGTCTCAGTGCTCATGATGATGGTAGCGGGGGAATGGCAGCTGGAGAGAAGAACACGGTTAAGCCGAGGACAGTCGTGGGTTTCCGCATGGCATACGACTTACCACTGCGGCCCTACTCGGCTGATGAGAGGCCTTGGTGCGCTACAATGCAACACTCGGAGCCAGATCGAAACGGGCACGCCTGGGGTGGCTACGGACGATGAGTACTGGTACTCGATTTCAGGACGAGTAATGCGAAGCACATGTCCTACACATATGTCGAAGAGGCGCTTCTTGTCGTGTGTCTTTATAACGATGTATAGGCGATGATACAGCCGTAGCAATACTATGATTGCACGCGAGTCCTGCCTTAATGATCTACCCACACCTAGTTGTCGTGCTTGGCCAATAACTGCTCACCCAACTCGACGTACTTGTCCTCGGCCTGCTTCTGGGTGGTACCGGCGTCAACAACCTCCTTCCACTTGTTGTACTTGGCCTTGCCCTAATCATCATATCAGTCTATGTCCTTGTACGTTTGTTGAGATTCGTCTGGAATATATGGGTGTCATGGATGGACGGTATGCAGGCTGTATATCGTGAAGCGGGGTACGAAGGGATAGAAAAGGTATGCGAAAACGTACAGCAAGATCGAACATGCCAGGCTTCTTGGCGTCGTTAATGTCCTTGCCCTCTGCTACCTTGGCGTACGCGTACAGCTAGAATTCACGACCAACTGTCAGCATCTGGACTTCGTGTAGTATATGCCGGGTGATATAGTAGAGGGGAAGGGTGGGGAAAGAAGGAAACACATACGTGTAGCTGCTCATCGTTGCTGGGACCCTGCTTTCCAGCCGCCTTGAGCTTCTCGCCCATGGCGCTGACCTTTTTGTAGGTCTCGGTGTACTTGGCTCCTGGCATATTGGTCTAGAGTCCTGCCGTTAGCTTCTTGTCTATTACTCCTGTATTCCGGCCGTGGGGTATTCTTACGGTAGTAAATATTCCTAGAGAGGTGGATGTAGGTGATGGTGATTGTTTGTCGGTGAGCTAGTTGGAGGAGAGCTTGAGGGTCTTGCTGCCGGGTGGTAGTAGCGCGGGGTCGAGATCAGGTTCGCACGATGATGGTGGGGCAGGGCAGCATCCGCGGCATGACGTTTTTAGCGGGACACAGCACATGGTACGGTTGCTCACGAGGCCATGCGCACAGTATGTGATACAGTTGAGATTGAACGTGTACTCGAGAAAAGACAATGTAATGCACCGTTATGCCTGCCAACGCCGCTGGAGCTCTCCGCTTTATGCAACTCTCTACGTTTATCGTGTATCGTGTATCGCCTTCTTGGGTATCTACTCTCCCATCTCCCATCTCCCATCTCCAATAGCTTGTGCACTTAGCATGTGACCAACCAGGCTCACAGTGTGTCGACTGGCCTATGTGCATGTAAAAGCAAGATTGAACAACTAATAATACGCGTCGGGGTTTTAGTGGTCACCGTTTACGCCGTTGGTGTCTGGCGAAGATGCGAGGTTCTTACGGTAAAGCTCACCGTCGCACGCCCTAAGACGCTCTGCAGCCTGCTCTGGGGTGATGTCGCGCTGAGGCTCGGCCATCATCTCGTAGCCAACCTGGAACTTGCGAACGGTGGCGCTTCGCAGTAGTGGGGGATAGAAGTGGATGTGGAAATGACTGGACTCAGTCTCGTCGGCTGTGCCAGTAAGGGGAGCCTGATGAAGACCCATGCCTTCAACCTCGTTAGCCATGTCTTTTCTATTGTGCCTGTTTTAGACTTACTGTACGGGAACTGGGTCTCGAACAGGTTGTCGTAGCGCCTCGTAATTTCCGCTATGCACTCAGCCAACTCCGCTCGCTCCTCCTTGGAGAAGTCCACCAGCGAGCGCTTGTGTTGCTTAGGAACAATCATGATCTCGAACGGCCATACTGCCCAGTAAGGTACGCCAGCCCAGAAACTCGCGTTCTCATACACAGTGCGGGTCTTCTGTTTCGACTCCAGCTCTGCATAATCGACGAGCATATGAGCGCCTCCGTTCTCTTTGCGATATTTGCTCAACTGCACCAGTTCCAAGGCGGGCTCTTCCGGTAGGGATGTGGTCGTCCAGACCTGGCCGTGTGGGTGGGGATTCGAGCAGCCCATGGCCGAGCCTTTGTTCTCGAAGATCTGCATATACCGATACTGAGCATTTGGAACTGCGAGAGCGCCTTGTGATAGTGGTGGTATAGTAGTGGCAGAAGCAAGCTTAGCCAGGGGCGACTTTGGGTCCAGATGCGCAACGTAAATGTTCGTCCAGGTCTCTATTATGGGAACGATCTCCGCCGGCGACATGTCGGCAAGAGTGAGGTTGTGAGACGGAGAGAAGCAAATAACATAGCACTTTCCAGTGACGGCCTCGGCACGGAGTAATCTAGAAGCGAGAGATCCATCTTTGTTGTCAGGGTTGTACTCTTGCTGCTCTTCCATGACGGCACTGTAGTCGTTGACAAAGACGAAAGTGTTGTCGAACTTGGGGTTGTGTTCGCCATTTGCCCGCGTGTTTGAAGGACACAGATAACACTGTGAATGATTAATTTCGCGATAATATCAGACATGGTCCGGGCGAAGGGATACCTTTGGGTCATAGTCTGGGAGCGTTGTCTTGGACGGCGACTCTTGCATGCCTCTATGAATTTTCAGTACATGGTCCCGCGAGCAGTATCATTGGTATGCTTACTGCCATGGTCGCTTGGTGCGGTGGGGGGAGACTAGTATCCAGCTTCCTCGAAGGAGGTTGAAGCGCCTGTGGGAGATGTCGTTCAAAACAGGGTCCGTCATGATGGCAGGAATGTGTGTGTGGAGTGTGTTTAGGGCGGACGATGGTGGTTAGGTGTATATATACCGCGTGCGAAATACGGCGAAACGGCCGCAGGGGCAGTATGCATGGCCGCGAGCTAGACGGTGGGAGTGACGCCCAGCCAGTGAAGGGCTGCACGCTAAGCCGCTCAAGCTTTCCCCGTTGGCGGGATGCTAGCCGAGTCGAGTAGCGCACCCTCAGGCTGGAGGTCCCGAGAGCTTGCGCGTAGGCTTGAGGACAGCAGAGCCTCTCCAACAACCCACGATAGCTGCCGATTGGAGCATTAGCCCGCGACCCGTGAACGCAGGGTTTTCAGTTTTCCACCATGGCGGCAATGATGCCAAGTGCCGCAACTAGCAACCCCTACGATAACGACGCCGTGGAGCGTGACCTGATAGACCCGGACGATGGTGCGTCGCATCCACACCTGCCTGCGAAACGAGACGGTGGACGAGGCTAACCATCACCAGCTACCCTCGATGACCTCGACGATCCTCTCCAGGGCACGTCGGACCGCGCGCCGCTGACGGGCAACATCCAACGCGACCCTGCGCAGACACAGTCGTACTTGACGTCGAGCATCCCCGGCGAAGACCGCCGTGCGCCCACAAACACCATCGACGAGACGGTATGGGACACGCTGTCCCGCGACATCTTCGCCATCTGGGAGAAGATGAAGCAGGTGCTGTACCCCAAGTACCTGCTGGGCGGCATCATGCAGCGCGGGGGAGGCATTGGCGCAGCAGAGCGCGGCGAGGCAGACGGCTTTGGCGGTGGGCTCAGGAACATTGCAGGGCGATGGCCGGATGCAGATGTCATTCTGCAGGGCGGCATGAGCGAGGGCCTGCGAGACTGGGACCTATGGGGCCCACTCATATTCTGTCTGCTGCTGAGCTTGTTCCTCTCGTGGGGAGCCAAGGGCGACCAGAAGGACCTGGTCTTCTCCGGCGTCTTTGCCATGGTCTGGATAGGCGAGGCAGTTGTGACGCTGCAGATCAAGCTGCTGGGAGGCAACATGTACGTCCACTCTGCACACCTACACCTTTTACATGCTAATCGTGTCCAGTGCCTTTTTCCAGTCCATCTCTATTATCGGCTACACGCTCTTCCCGCTCGTCATTGCCTCCATTCTCAGCGCTGTTGGCATACCCATGATCGTGCGCATACCCGTCTACATTGTTCTCATCGCCTGGTCGCTAGCAGCGGGTGTGAGTATCATGGGCGGCTCCGGAGTCGTAAGGAACCGCGTCGGCATCGCAGTATACCCTCTGTTTGTATTTTACGTTGCTCTGGGCTGCCTGTGCTTCATCAGCTAGTGCAGCATTGTTGTGCATGCAAAAGTATTGGGCGTTACGGACAAGCTGTGGAAATGGCTATTCATATCTCTTGCAAATTCACTCCAATACAATCAGTAGCACTTGTCAGACGCGTCTCGACATACACGGCTACAGTAGACTTGATGTACATGTCCTAAATAGCGGTAGACGCGCGAGTTGCTGCTATCCGTGTTCATGATTAGCCGTCTGTCTTCCCCACTTCGTCATTGGTCTTTGCAGCGACAACACACTCGACCACGACCGCCGACTGAAGCGCCAACACTCGGCACCCTAACCGCTCAACACACACGGCGCGCCTTGTCTGCATTCCTCTCGTTACAGTCGCGTTCGGGACTCGACGGTGTAATTAGACACTGTTGCATTCGGCGCATTGTAGTGGAAATTTGGTACTAGAGCGCATTGACCGACTCCACTAACCACAAGGCCCATCTGCTCTGCTTCCTTCCGCTCGACAATCCAAGCCTGCAGCTCATATCTGCACCCGTTCTCCGACATCGTCTGCCCACCTCACGCACAACGAGCCATCACGCTGCATTGTCCGCCCACAAGGTCGCCACTAGCCTCGCTGGAGCACTACCTCTGCGATTGTCCCTGTCGTCGACCGCAACTTGGTCTTCACCACGGAGCATAGTTACTATTGTCCTTATTCAAGCTTACACTATCTCAATTCACAACCCAAGACCACACAGGTACTTCAGCGACCGTCCAAGAAACGCCTTCTCACGCACCAACGTCTGCGGCTCTTTCTACTACTCTTCTCTACACCGGCCACAAAGCGCACTCCCGACCTTTCCCACACCTGGAACACAACCCGTCCTGCACGATGACAGACGCGCCAGAGAAACCGCAGGCGACAAGTGCAGCTGCTGCCGCCTCCGAAGACCCCACCAAAGCTGCGCCCACGTCCCCGGCACGGAGCGATAAGAGCAGCGATAGCGAAGGAAAGAATGTAAGGGAAAAGCTCAAGGACACACAGATCGATGCGCAGGCCACATCGGATCCCGTCCCGAGCTCCGATCGGCCCATGAACGACGCACCCAACGGCAGCACCAAAGCAGGCGAACACAGTGCTTCTGGCTCAGACAGCGAGCGCGGACGTTTACGACGCAAGCGCAGCCGGGAAGACTTTGAGGAGGAAGCCGAAGCGGACAAGCACCCAGAAAAGAAGGTTGAGCGACATGCGCGCAAGAGGTCGAGGGACATCACAGCCGACTTGGAGGCTACTGTGCCCGGGAAGCCTTCTCCCAGTACTATCTCAAGTATCCGAGAGAACGACGGGGACGAGCAAATGACATCGCCCAACAAGAACACATCCACAACCGCTACGGCCGACAAGGCTCCAGTAGCCGAAACAAGCCCCAAGAACAAGCGCACGCGCGATCAAGTCGAGAAGGATACAGAGGCTAGCGCAGAAGCGTCGGAAGACGCCTCAGCAAATGGAAAACCTGTAGAAAAGTCGGCAGGCGAGGAGCGAGATACCAAGCGGTTACGGGACAAGGAAGAAGCTCATCCAACAATGGACGCAACAGGTTCGAAGACCAAGGTAAGTTAACTAGCTTTGCGTGAATATCATTGACTAACGCTCAAGCCAGATACCGCCAGGCAGCGGGTTTGCCAATACTTCCGCTGCGTCGCCTTTTGCCGCCATGGCAGCGAAACCTCAACCGCCCAAGACTTCCGATAAGGCCGAATCATTACCTCAAACGTCGGACGAAAAGTTCAAGTCATCTGGCTTCGGCGGCTTTGCAACCTCAGCTGCGTCTCCATTTGGGGGCCTTGCTGGTTCTAAGCCAAGTTCCAGCTCGCCTTTCGGTGGGGCGAGCGCGGCCAAACTGTCCTCTTTCGCAGGAAGCGCAGCCTCCTCAACGCCATCAAGTGGTGGCTTTGGAGCGCTAGGAAGCTCTGGTACATCCGGTTTTGGAGGCAGCTCTTTTGGCGGATCGCTAGGTGGGGGCTTTGGAGGCTTCGGCGGAGCAAAGCCTATAGGGTCTTTTGCTGCTCCTGGTGGCAACCTTGAGATCAAGGGTCTTAAGGAGAAAGAGAAGCCCTTTGGTGCAGCCGCAATCGGGGAACCTTCCGATGATGAAGAGGGCGACGACGACGACCCAGAGAAGAGCACAGACAAGGAAGAGCGACAATCAAGTCAGCCGCTCCTCTCACAACAACGTAAGCCAATCACCGCCACCTCAAGTCATCCTGTTAACCTTCCTGAAGCACATGAGACTGGCGAAGAAGGCGAAGAGACCATCTGGGCCGGCCGCGCAAAGCTCTACAATATGTCTGGCGAAGGATCAAATAGAGGGTGGAAAGAGCGTGGCGTGGGAACGATCAAATTCAACATCACGGTCGACGAGCCCAAGAAGGCTCGCTTTGTCCTCCGTGCTGAAGGTACCCACCGGCTGCTGCTGAATGCTGCGGTCACAAAGAGCTTGGTATTTGGAGGCGATGCACAGGGTGAGAAGCCGAAGGATACCCGGTTGCTCTTCAATTCGCCTAACCTGGAGGGTGAGTTGGAGATGCACCTACTCAAGGTATGTACATTGTTTGGTCTGAAAGATAGAATGCAACTGACTGTCTACAGCTGAAAGCCGAAAACGCAAAACAGCTCTGGGAGGAAGTCACTAGGGTAAAAGAGGAGCAGCTATAGGATGCCTTTTCTAAAAGCCTAGGTAATTTCGGAAAGGAGAGCGGGTCCAGCCTTGAGATCTGGATATAAGTGTTGATATTGCGCCTTGGGGCTGTATTGGTCTGGCAAGTATACTTTGACGACAAAGCCACGATGAAGCATGAAGAGACAGCATCAGGAGGCACTTTGAGCGGCTTTCACTGTATTGTATACATTAGGAGGCTGCCGAAGCACAGGTCTGCCTGTAGAACAATTGTGGTTTGAAGTAGAATCGAAGAAAGAAACCAACGTACATTGTTACCATGTCTCTTGCTCGCACAATGTACCTCGTGATACCTGCTTCGCAAGCCTTGTTTCTCCTTTGTTTTTCGCCATGTCCACTAACCATTGCATCGGGTACCCAGATCAGTCAGTCATCTGCCGATATTGCTACTTCTTGTTTTTTCTCCACATGCAGCATCGCGGCATTGTCACAGCTGTCCCTGGACACCCAGCGCTATGCTTCGCAGATGTCACGCGTTGCGCTTGTTACCGCTTACAAGCAGAACCACATAAGCTTATCAGCGCTCATACTTGACAATTCTCCGACTGGTGCGGCTCTATACGGGAGAGGGCCAAAAGACACGATCACCCCAGGTGTGTCTAAATTAGGATGCGGCGCAGGACCCTGGCTGTAGAATGTCAGATTAGGAAGGGGGAAACGCCATGTATGACGTTACGCGGTGGGATCTGCCTGCTGCTGCTGCGCCGCCACTATACTTTGGGGTGAAGGTGTTTGGGTATATAGGAATGTGTCTCGCAGAAATCTGGTCTTGGATGTCTAGAAGGTACCTAGGTACGCTGGATCTCTTCACGCTCCAATTCTATCAACCTTCAACCACTCACCATTCACCAAAACTTTCCGTTGCGTTAATCCGTTCACTTGTGCTCGGGGAAGAGAGTCAAATCAGATGCTTGGCTTCCTCCTTCCTTCGGTATTCGCTTGTCAGTATTCGCATGCGGCCGTAGGGATATCTGCAACTACATCGTCTTCATCCTTGAGAACGACTCCATCCCCACCTTTGCCCAGCAACATGGAGGACCAGGCAAATTCATCACACCAATGTCGATCAAAATGGCTCTACCGAACACTCCTTCTTAAGATAGCGGAGTGGGCGCGAGAACCATCGTCACACTCTTATCCTATTGCAGTATACGTTCAAGATCCCGGGAAAGAAGAAGAGCAAGCGGGCGTCATGAAGAATAAGGTGCCAGTAACAGAAGACGGGAGGGTTGGAAACCGTAATACAGTGGGTATACTCCATAGACGAAGATCGCCGGTGCATTTTGCTGACTTGATGAACCCAGGGGAACGAAGTGACTGATAGTAAAGGCGATCCACAGGCGAGCTTTACGCATGCGCGATCACTAGAAGAAGGACGCTAATATTCGGGGCTATGTCATCAGGATGTGCCGGTGTGATCCATCTTCCTATTTGTAGCGTTTTGCCCTGGTTTAGGAACATTACACACTAGACTTCTTCGCTGGGCCCCTTCATCCCAGTTCTGCCTTATTATCACCACTAGAACATTAACTTTGCCGCCTTGGCTGATTCCCAAGCAACCACAGCCCCCAGTATCTTTGCTCAGATTCATGAAGCCTCGTGCCTTCCGCAACGATTTGACAAGCACTGATTCCTTCATGTTACCAATAGATAACAAAACTTGTGTCGCATTTGTTGCACACACAGTACTAAACCTTATCAAGTAAACAATATCTCATGATAATGTATACTTCTGCCTAGAATCTGTTTAGAGGAATTTCGAAATGCGAGACGAGTTGTCGTGCCCTAAAGACGTAACATTGAACTGCCGTGCAGGGCTATGAGCCGTCCATAATCTGTACCAGAGCAGCAGTATGTGTTTTCGGTAGGCAAGTAACAAGGCCCTCGTCCCTCGATAGTCGGCATCCTCCTGCAGTGATGAATGCCGCAATTCGACTTGTTGATTACGTTGTCATGTGCCTTGTGTGTCCGTCTCAAGTGGTCCTAGTATCGTGTCCCATGCCTGTGGTGATACCAGCACAGCTCCTACGGACGCCCTTGCTTGTAATCCTTCTTCAAGACAATTCTTCTTCCCTTGTCGCTTCTAAAGTCCTTGGTATGGAGACCAACGTGGATGCGCCATGATTTGTAATCATAAAAACGAATGAAACGACGGGAGAGGGTGGTTGGGAAGCGACGCCGGCGCGAATTGGTCTGGATATGGATGGAATTTTCTGCGACGTTATACTTTGTTGTCAGAATCTATTGCTGCAACAGTGTTGTTAGTGGCGCGTTGATGTTTGTTGACACATGCAGTCGACAACTTCTTTGGTACTAGTTGGGAGGAACCGGAACGGGTGACGCAACTGGTGCAGACGCAGGACCACGGTCATGATGCGATGCGGAGCCGGAGGACACAGGGCGGACGAAGTTGGTTATCGTTTGAGCGCGACAGACAGGCTCCGTGTCGACGACATATAGATAGCAGGCGGCGACGGTGGACCCCAGCCGTTGATGACGTTTGGGGTGGCGAAGCAATGCAGCATGTTTCATCGCGTTCCAGGCGGGGCCCTTATCGTTGTTTATTCGCTTCGGCGCATGCGTGCGCCTGCCCCGACCAGCCGCTCGCGCTCGCGCCTTCCGTGCCAGCACCGCACAACCAGACACAGCACGCCATGTTGATGCGACGCAAGAGACGTGGAATGAGGCACAGAACGACGTTGGGCCTACATTTCCTGGCAGCCTTGGGACCTGGCACGGCGCTCGGCCCTCCGAACTTGATCTGCGCGCGACGCAATCTGACCAGCGCCATCCGCATCGGGCATGGCGCGCCTGCAGGCTTCGTGCCGGCCGCGCTCTCATTCGCCCGTCGCCTTAGCCAGCCTCCAGGATTCCGCCGCTTCTTCTCGTCACATCCATTGCCCAAACCCCCAGGCTGTGACATGTTTTTGCATTTCCATTATCCTCTTGATGCTGCCTCATGGGCCATCTCGCATGTCCCAGCCACGGGATATCCATCTAGGCGGCGCCTCTGCTCGGGCGTCGACATGGCACCTCGCGCCACGAATTTGATCTCGCACTTGCTGTAACCCCTCGTTCACTAATTACATCTAGCGTTCACTCCTGGCCATGTCCTTGGTGGTGCACGGGCCTCGCAAGCTAAGCCCTTCTCGCTCGCGAGAGTTGGGGCCATTCATTCTCAGGACATTCGCACGCTCGATTCTCCACTGCCGTTCTGACTCCCAAACCGCCTGATGCCGTCGTTGCCCTGTCGTCGCCATCTGGAGTACTAACCGCACAGTCGCTCCGACTGTCGACGCCCTCGCCTCTCGTTGTGCGCGCGCCGCTTCCTTTGTGACAGCACGCCTCAGCCAACTCCTCCCTCCGAAGCCGCCTCGAGCCCTCCACCCTCACCACCCTGCCTCACCTGCCGGCGCATCGCCCCGACTCGAATACACACAGTCTCAATACCATCTCTTCATGATAGGCTTCCGATTCCACGCCCACAGTGACGTTCCTGAGCCCTCATCGCCCTCCTGCTCCCTATCCGCACACGCTGCGATCCGACACGCAAGCCTCTTCCCCTTAGCCACAACCTCTGTGTAGCTCGACGAATCGTCACAAAGCCCGGCACTCCGTTGACGGCGGTCACTTGATCAGTCTCGAGTCGCCGTCGGTAGCCCTGCTCTCTCTCGTCGCGCGTTGGGCGTCATGCGATCCTACGAACACAGAGCCTGAGCACCCACTACATGACACCACACACAAGCGAGCGTCATTGCCAGATTATGACAGACGTCTCGTCGGTTCAGGCGTATGCTGATCATCAGCCGGCTCCTCTCGCCCTCTACGCTGGCCCTCCACCACCCACCTTCGCGACCGCCTCGCCTCCACTCGAACCCACCGTAGAGGAGGAAGAGTCATCCACGATAAAATGCATCTGCGGATACTCAGATGACGATGGCAACACAGTCTTGTGCGAGAAATGCGATACGTGGCAGCACATCGTGTGTTACTACGAGTCTGCCCAACACGTTCCCGACGTACACGAGTGCGCAGACTGCCTTCCCAGAGCTATCGACGCAAAAAGCGCTTCCGAGAAACAACGCCTCCGAAGGGAAGTACACAGTATCGGCGAGCGCAAGGGCAGACCGAAAGCCTCCGCCAAGAATCCCAAGAAGCGAACCAAGGACGCCCATGGCCCTGGACAACCCAATGGGTGGCCAGTGCAAACCAACGGGGACCTACACTATACCCCCGACCGGAAAAGTGGCAGCCCGCGAGATCAGCCACCGCCAAATAAGCGTCCAAAGACAAACCATCGTCCATCGGGTTCCGTAGGCGTCGTTAGTCAAGCGCCGGCTCTCGTGCCAACATCACGGAAACGAGGCGCTTCAGTTATGCTCAACGGCCACAGTCCCATGAAGTCACCTACTAACCCAGAGGCTTCTATCGAGGACTACTCAACCGAGTTCATACATCTCTATCGCCAACCAGAACCACCCTCCGCCGAGTCCAACTCTTACACCCGCATCGACGTCGCAAACGACATAGCTATGTGGCTACAAGACCCGGAAGCACTGGCCGAAGCAAGCGGAGGCAAGAAACCACAGGACATCTTCTCACGCATTGATATGACCATCCAGGAACTCGAAACGTCAACTGCGCCAGAGATTATGAAACAGACAGATGTCGACTCGGGTGTACTAGCGCATGGTCTGCACCCACAATGGCACTTCATTACCGCCGAAACTCCGGTACCAGATGGTGGCTATGTTGGAGAGCTCAAAGGTCTCATCGGTCGAAAGGCAGATTACTACTCCGATGCATCCAACAGATGGGACTTGCTGCGACACCCCGAACCCTTCGTCTTCTTCCCACCCCATCTGCCAATATACATCGACACACGGCGAGAAGGCAACATCCTCCGATACGCCCGGAGAAGTTGCAATCCCAACATGTCTATGAAGATCTTGATTGACTCCAGCAACGACTATCACTTCTCCTTTTTAGCGACGCGCGAGATCAGCCCCGGCGAGGAACTCACAGTCGGCTGGGATATCGATTCCGAGGTACAGAAGCAGCTTGCCAGAGTCGTAACCAACGGTGCCAAAGAAGGGTTTAGGAGAATACAACCCTGGGTTTCTTGTGTCTTGGCAAACTTTGGAGGCTGCGCTTGTGATACATCCAGCGGCAACGAGTGCCTCTTGGAACGCGCTCGTCGCAATACAATTACAGAGCCAGCTACACTGAAGACCAAGGGCAAGAAGGTCAAAAAGTCACAGATCTCTCCAATGAGTACAGGCCACGCTACTAACAGCCGTGCTGGTAGCGAAACAGTCAACCGCGAGGCTGTCGACGAAGACCAAATGGACGCTCGCTCTACATCTGGATCACACAAATCCAGTAGCCGCGACATTACCCCAGCAACCCACTTCTCACTGGAAGGCGACAAACTTTCCGAGCGCGAAAAGAGAAAGATCCAGCACCAAGAACTCTTGTTCCAGAAGCTTGATCATGACGAGCACAAAGGCAAAAGGAAACGGACTAGTGCTGGATCGAACCTGAACACGCCGAGCATCTCTTCCTCGGTAAGACGCTTATCCACGTACTCGCTTCTTCCTGCTAATGCAGATACACAGAGACGACTCGGACACCCCGAACCTTCGCCGTCGGCACGGCACCGCGAACACAGTCACGGTGTAGCACGTAAAACGTCAGGCAGCTCTACGAAGACGAACGGCCGTCCTCCACCTCGTCCAAAGCCTGTCTATATCGATGCGTCGACGCAAACGATCGAAGACAACAACGCAAAATCTCAGGTCTGCATCAAGCCTCGCCAAATGAAACCACCACTTTCATTCAAGCGCAAGCTTTTGCAGCAAGCGCAAGAAGACAAGTTGCAGCGCGAGCGAATGCGGTCCACGTCAGTTAAGGTGGAGGCCAAATCACCAGCTTTGAAGGACGTATCGTCGAACAAGCCGTCACCGCTGCCCCCATCTCCACCGCTCGAGGAGCCCACAGCGATGGACATTTCCACCGACCCCGTACCCGATACAAGACACAAAGAGCTCACACCTGCAAAGGAGCCTACACCGCAGCCTACAGTTGACGTGGAGATGACCGAACCCGAGGACACAAGCCCCAAGACCTCCGACCCAAAACAAGAGGGAGCATCTGAGATGACTGCACCAGAGCCTCCCAAGGAAGCTCCACAACCATCGATACAACCACCCGATCCTCCGTGGTCAGCTTCCACGCCAGCTGAACCATCGCCCAAGTCTACCACCGGTCTCACACCGAAGGCTGCAGACCTACACGTCGAAATGCCCTCGAAGCTTGATTTTGGCACCACTAGTAACAACCGTGCCGTTACACCTGGATCGACTTCGTCTGTTCTCAACGAGAGCGCAGTCGCGCAATCACCAGGTATCTCAATAATTGCGTCGCCTTTCTCACCTGCTGTTAACAACGCCGTCAAGCCTGCGCCAGCACGCAAGAAGCTCAGTTTGAGTGATTACACAAACCGCAACCGAAAAACCAAGCTAGCGCAAACGCAGTCGACTGGTTCGAATGCTACACCTCCACTGGCCCAATCGCAATCAACCAGCTCACCCACGTTATCGACGGCTAGCCTGCCAAATACCAACTCACCACCACCCAAGGCAGTCGAAGCGATTCTCCCACCACTTACAGAGGAGACGAAGCCGTCTGAGGTATCTGTCGCGCCTAGTATGGCAACAACGTCCACTTCGACATGAGCGCTATGATTCACGATACCTTTGCTCCTTTTCAGAACCAACCTGCGGGCCGCAGGGCGACCCTTGGTTCTTCGATTCTACTTTTTGGAGTGTAACAACATGTAATGATTACAAGTCAAACGATCCTTTGTTTTCTCACTTTTCCCTATCAATCTTTCTTCTTTCTCATCTTTTACTTTCAACGACTTGAAGTGTTCGGTCGGTTTTACTATATATTGATTTGATGGGGATTTTCAAAAAAGCGGGATACTTCCAATGGGCTTTCTACTACATGCAAACACACATTACCTATCTACGTACGGAAGGATCTGATGTGGCATTGGTTGGCTCTCGCGCTGGGCATCTAAGAAACGAGGAAAGTGAGAGTTGAGAAGACGGGCAGCCCCGTCCTCCTCTACCGTGCGGCTTGGAGATGAGTAGTGAAGCCATGTCCTCTACTGCTGAGCGTCTGTGTTTAGCTGAGATGAAATGAAAACAAGAATTCAAATCAATATACTCTGAGATTCTACCTTCATTGGTATGTGTATCAATGTGTGTGCGCAAGCTAAATATTGTATTTGTGGACCGGGGAACGGCCTAAAGCATTCCTGCTTTATTGACCTGGTACGAAAAGGTTCTCAAATGGGGGAGTCGTTCTTGGATACGCAAGTCGAAACGACGATCCAACCATACTACCCTCAGTGAACCCTCAGTCGAAGCACCACTGTGTAAAAGAAGAGGCTGTATTCAAATACGAACAAACACAAGACCGAAGAAAAAGAAGACGGAAGTACAACCACCAGCATAAGAATGCCAACCACCTACATCCTCTAAGCCACTCCCCCACCTACAACCTTCTCCTCAACCTCCTCCGACCTCGCCGCCCCTGTCCTTCCAGGCGTAGTGTTCCCCATGAAAGCCTTCCCATCCATCTCTATGGGACCAATCCCCATGCCATTAATATGCTTGGGATCCCGTCTGTACATCGTTTCGTAGTAACTTGGTATCGTCTCTTCCAGGACGCGGGGTGGTGGTGGTGGTGATGCGTAGCGATGGGAGAGGGAAGGAGCTGGAGATATAATGTCAGGGTCGCTGGCAACGTTGGAGTTAGGATTTGGATTGTGGTCGTGATCGTGGATGTCGTGAGAATGGTCGTTTGGAGGACTGCGCGTGTAATCTCCTGTTGGTGAGAGTTCGTATGGTCGGCCCATGGAGCGGTGGGCGAGTGCGTAATGGATGTTGAGTGGGGATTGCTGTGGAATGGGAGGTAATGTGTGTGTACGGTGGCCGACGGAAGTGTTGACGTCGTATTTGTAGTGATGTGGATGATGTTGCTGTGGTGATAGCGGTGGTGGCGAACGGGAAGTAGGAGGCTGCAGCATGTAGTAGGATGGTGCTGCCGTTCTGTATCCTTGGTTGTAGTTGTATTGGGGATAAGCGGCGTCTACGGTGGGTGATGATAACAAAGATCTTTGCGGGTATCGATGATAAAAGTCTCCTCCATTACCGGCCATGGCAGTAGAATGGTTGGCACCTCTTTCCACCACGGTTGGTGGGTTCCTGTTATTTGGATCCAGACGAGGAGTTCCAGCTACTTCTGCTTTTCGGCCGACTTCATCTTTCAGGCTCTTTGTGCGGCACCAAAAGAAGTACAGTAGGGCCACAATGGCGACAACAACGACGCCTGTGATGGAGATACCTGCAATAGCGCCCGCTGAAAGATCAATTTTGGTGTCGTTGTTCATGGGGCTAGCACTGGGTGTCGTTGGAGTATTGGAAGTACTCTCTGGGGGGAATGGCTCTCCAGGATTAAGCATATAATTGCTGTCAAGCGCCATTTTATGTCTGAATACCGGTGTACGAAGTCAGTGTATGTCACACATGCAGTTCCTATCGGTATACTTACTGTTGATCGATACTCGTTGTTGTATTCGGGTTGATGACACCCACCATACCATAGCCTATGCAAGACCCTGGCGTTGAGCAGTAGAAAAAAATGGGATCAGTGTTTTCGATTTCGATGCTGTAGGTTGGTGGAGAGGTAAGGACAGAGTCGACGGGCTTGAAACCGCTGGAGAAACCAGCTTTACCCTGCCCTGTCATTTCGTATGGGATGCATGGGTAGCCGTATTCTGCGCGGACCACGCTGTGATTTAGCGGATAGAAGGCAAACTCTATTGTCTTGGAAAGTCAGTACATACTCCATCTATCCGTCCGCACGCTGTTCCAGGCCAGTCCGAGATGACGAATGGGGTCTTTACTTACATCACCAACACTGGCAGTGGTCGACTCGGGCCTAAACCTGTGATCCGCTAGACCGACTGAGATAGTGTGTGTCTGCACAGCTGCCGAGCTCGTCGAGCTTGACTCGCTTGCTGCGCTCAATGATGCCGTAGGGCTGTCACTGCTGAAGCCATCGCTGTCCTTCGCTAGACATGTCGAAGGAAGAAGACTGAAAAGCAAAGACAAGACGAAGAGTAAAGAGCTTCGGGGAAACATAATCAGTGCTACGATCGTCAAGATAGCAGTGTGAAATTCGAGAAAGATTGCAATCGTGCAGGGAAGACGACGGGAGTTCCAAGAGAAGAGAGGACCTTGGGACTGACGAAGACGAAGGCACCAAGAGTGAGAATCAATATTCAAAGATGCAATACATCAGCCTATCATGGCAGGGGCGATGCAAACAAGGGATCATAAACAGACCGAGCGGCCAAATTGACGAAAAGAACGGCACAGGATGAGACATGTATGCAACACCCGTAGTGGTACGTTTCTGTGGCTATGGCGTAGAAATGAGATTGCTATTCGCTAAAAGGCGGCTAGAAGTCGGCCTCAAGGGATGCTACGACAAAGAGTCATGTCTTTTGCAAGGGTTTGGTGACCTCATGTGATGATCGCAAGGGCGACAAAGATCAACAAAGCTCATCTGTCCTGTATCTCCACCAGCTATACATCTAAAAACATGGCCACCAGACAATTTGCTTGTGAAACGGATCAGGCATAACCGTGGTGTGGACTGCTTTTGCATGTTAACCTTTCGAACGCGTAACATGAAGTTTGGCAATGGCTAAGGACGCGACTGCCCCGCCGCGTCGTAAGACCAAGAAACATGTACATGTAAGCGAAACGACATCCACTCATAGTCAATGGCACAACTCGAGGCGCTCATTCCCACATCAGCAAAGGATGGCGGTACGCGTTCCTAACTCGCACGACATGAAACAGAGCAAAACCCAGAACAGGGAAGCACCGGAAGGTATTTAGGGGGGGGGGGGGGGGGGGGTTTTTAAAAAAACTGCTATTCACAGCTGAGATACAAGGAGAGGAGTGGTCCAAAAAATCGTACCATATGGTGATAACATAGCCCAATATGGCTTGGTATATTCCGCGCTGTTGGTTCGCATTAAATCATAAGCTTTCTACAGCATCCATCATCAAAGTCGTATGCCATGGCAGCCTGGGGTCATTGAGAAGGTTGCGCTCGTCAGTGTCGCTAATGACACCGCGTTGCACGCAATCTACTCTGTGTTGGGTTGGCCAGATGCAAAAGTGCAAAGCTGAGCTCTCAGCGGAGGCCTGGGTCGCCAAATCCGAATGGATCGTTGCTTGAGGAGCTATTGGACCCCGAAACATAGCCCGACGGTGCCGCAGATGGTTGTTTGCCAAACCCAGGGTCTGGCAAAGGATTCCAGACCGGAAAGCCCTCAGGCGGCTGACTCTCACCTAGTGGTTTGCCGCGAGCATAGTCTACGAGACTGCCGTTGATGCCAGTAAGTGCCCACGCAAAGACGGCGACATCGCGAATGCTCTGCATGAAGTTGTTCTGGAATTCCATAGACGGCCCTGCCTGCACCATGGCTGGGTGCCGAGCGCCAAGAGGGTATTGGGGCATTTGTTGCGGAGCAGGATGGAACACGGGTTGTGTTGCCCATGGCGCGGCGTAAATGCCGTTGTATTGCTGTGCTGGCTGGGCCACTGGCACGGTACCTGGCAACATTGGGCGGGCACGACGTAGACACACAACCAAGCCATCCGAGGTGCAGGATATGACAGCCTCGAGTTCGATGGGATCGTCGCGGAACTCGGAACGAGGCGAACTCACGGACGACAACGACGAGCGGGCAGCCGATCCACCGAACATGGTTTGGTGGGGATTGTTGGGGTCATTGTTCCCGCCAGAGTTGGTGCGCGACGCAGACCGCTCTGCACTGTTATCCGTGTTGCGGTTTGAGTCTGACGGATGTCTTGTGCCGTTGGATGTGGAATGGCCGTCTAGGCCCACTCCACCTTCGGATTCATCGTCGGAGCCTGTAACATCCGTCATGATGTCATCTTCGCTCTCAGACGAGGAAGCTTCAGGCGCGTCGTCCTGGCGCGGGTCCCGGAAGAAGAAGCGCATGTATGCAATGGAATCGTTGCCTTTGGCCGACTCGAGACAGCGGACTGCATCTTCAAGACAATTGGGAGCAATGCAGTAATAGAAGCTGCGTCCCTTCATAGCCTCTCCGGAGATGCCAATGATTTGCTCGATTCCACTGGTTGCGTACATGACGGTCAGGGTACGCGTGAACCTGTTGAGGAACAAGGCAGCTCGCGGCTCATGAGTCTGATCATCGGGGCCGAGGTCAAACTTGCTGGACAGGTGAGACAACATGTGGTAGCGCGGGTCCTTTGGCGACGAGGCGAATAGCTTGCGCACTATAGGAGCCTCGACTGCGCGTTCTGATTGGCTAGAATCAGTATGACGCAGGACCCAAACGGGTTAAAAGACTTACTTTGGCTCTGCATGCCATGTCTGTAGATGCTGGTGCAGCAAACGAGGACATCGTAGACGACGGAGAAGCAGCATTCACAACCGACCCATTCGCCCTGGCGGTTCTTCAGGCGGCAATAGGACAAGACAGCAGCCTTGTCCAGTCTCACGCCGCGGCTGTGATGGGCCCTGGCCAGAGGGAGTTCATCTGGATGAAAAAATTGCCACACGGACCGATTGACTACCTCGTCAGGCGTATGGCCGAGGATGTCGACAATCGAGTCGGAAGAGTACAAGATGTGGGCGTCATCGGAAAGGTCTGTCTGGAGTGAGAATTGGCTGGCAAGTGGCAGGGTCGACTTGACAAACCGTGAATGGTGATGAAGGTGGTATCCATGGTAGCAAGAACGGGGGTGGTGGTGGTGGTTGTTCCTGCTCTACCGCACGCGCCCTGGTCTGTCGAATCTAACAATTCGCTCTGGGACGGGCGGTGGAAACAAGAGCAAGTCGGGCGGTGGAGGCGAGGGACGACAGGCGGGTCAAATAGGCAGGGTGCAGGTGCCACAGAGGCGCACAGGTGCGGGTAAGGTGTCGACGAGGCCGTTCAGGCGGTGCGGCAAGAGCACGGGGTGAGATGGGATGGGATGGGATGGGATGCAGATGGCAGGTCGAAACGTATACGAGTCAGGAGCTATGATGTAATGGGCGATCACGAAGCACAAGGCGCCCCTCACCCGCGACGAGGCACGCGTGGGCAACGGCGAGGAATTGTATGAGAAAGCTCGCGGACTTGGGCTGCCGGAAGGGGCTAGCAACGAGCAGTCGGGTCGGGTGCATAAATCAGCAGAGAGAAGAAGCGGAAGCGTGACGACGGCCAGAACGGCGGGACCGGAGGGGCGCCAACGGGCTCTGGCAGCACGGCGCAGCGTCTGTGTCGGCAGCAGGGCCAAAGAGCGGGCGCAGCGGGCAGGCGAGAGGAGGGTTGCCTGGAGGGGACGCCGTGGAGGATGCGACAGGTGGGCGTGGCATGCAAGAGAGGTGCACAAAGTGAGCTGACGAACGACGAACGACGAACCCTTGCGGCGCCCAAGGATCGACGCGAGACGTGTGCGCAACGGCGGTTAGCAGCTTGTCGGCAGCGGCGCGGGGCACCGGCAGTCGCCCTGCCCATGGAGGTACCAAGTCGTGCGCATCAGGCCACTCGGGCCAGGACTGCCTCGAGTCGTGAGTTCGCGCGTTGCACACGCCGGGTGTGCGCGAGAGAGCCCAACTGTCATTCCTTGCGACTGGCCTTGGCGCGGCCGACGTCGATGATGCATAGCCATGGCCAAAGTTTGCATGCAGGCACCTGGGCAGCCTAGCGCCGCCGACAACCACGGCCAACCTGGGAACTGCGAACGGATGCCCTTCCGCCAGCTCTCCTGTGAACCTACCCAGTGCGATTGCCGCTGCCCACAGCATCGCCCGGCCTGCGCGTCTTCCTGCTTGGTGGCTCGGCACCTCGTCTAGCGGCGCGTGGTACGGACCTGTTACTTGTCATCCCGAGCCCTCAACCGAACAACATCATCGACGATCCTCCCCAAACTACACCACAAGCCACATGCAACACCCTCCCTGCCTCTCTCTCCACTGCTTCACCGTCTCCGCCTCCGAGACCCCTCCTGATTGGCTGCATCGCCCTTGTCCACCTGCTGCTCGCCGCATGTCTCTCTTTCACCTGTTTGCTGCAAGTGATAACATAATTTCCATGACACTAAAAGCCCTGTCCCTCGCCCTCGCTTCTTTCTAACCCCCGATTGGCACACACAACCTTGCACTTGGGTTACCTCACGAGACCCGCGCCCTGCATATCAGCTATTCCGGCTGTGCTTTCCGAGCTTTCCCATTGTATGCACGCCAAGATGGACTGCAACTTTGAACTGCCTTCGCTGAGGGCCACTTTGAGACTAGGCGTAACCCATGCCTCTCGTCCTGCACGAAGCCACCACTAACACCTCTCCAGGCCCCAACCAAGTCTAGGCTGAGCTCTAGTGAGTCAAGGAAGCATGCGCGTCAGCCATCACTCCATGCAATACTCATCACGTTGCAGCTCAGTTCTACGATGTAGACTTCTATCCCTATACCGCTCCCGGCCACGACCCTGTTTTCGCCGTGTGCGGAGGTCCATTTGTATGTATCACGCTGTGTGCAGTCTGCCGTGTACTGATTGGTCAAGACCATCATATGTCGGTGTAAACTCGACAGCAACGGAACCGTCGAGATCCTGCGGTGGTTTGAAGATGACGAGGCCACTACAGAACACGGCACCTCCGACGATAAGGTAGGCATGTACCCTCTGTGCGCGACCTGTCTAATCATCACCAGGTCAACTACAACAGCATCGTATGGTCTCAGGCTGAAAATGGCGACCCGCTCGTCTGCGTCACGGGAGACTCTCGCATCAAGGTCTTGAATGTCCAGACCGGGAAGCTCACAGCGGTACGGCCTATATCACTGATTGTATTGCATCCACTGACCTTGCACGCAGACCCTGATAGGCCATGGCGATGTATTTGATACCATCTGTCGTTTGCGGTGAGCTGCCTTCCTGACATCCTACAGTCTGTCAATGATCTCGCCATATCGCCGATAGACCCGACCATTCTCGCCTCCGTGAGCATTGACCATAGTCTCCGAATATGGAGCCTACACCCCGAGCACGAAAAGCAACCCCTCGGCGCCATCTGTTACGGGCAAGGCCATAAGGACCAGGTGCTTACCATTGTGTGTGAAGTGCAAATATGCCCAATTAATATACTGATATTGGCAGGCATACCACCCGAAAGGTCGGTACATCCTCACAGCGGGTATGGATACCAGGATCAATTTGGTAGGATGCATCACCCCGGCCTACTGACTGCTTAACAATGCTCTGACAAGTCCAGTGGGCAGTACCCGAAGACCTCAAGGAACACGCTGGCACCGACAAGCCGGCCATAGTGCACTATCCGCACTTTTCCACCACCGAGATACACACTGACTTCATCGACTGGTAATGAGCCCCTTTTGAACCCGACTTACAGCTGCTTACTTCGTGCAGTGTCCAATGGTATGGTGACTTGATCCTCAGTCATGCATGTCGCGAGAACAAGATTATACTTTGGGGTATCGATCGATTCAATTCCAATCGGTCTACGCCTCCTCCGCCAGTCCCCACATCAAGCGCGGTCCACAGTAGAACCCCTGTTACCATTCCAGCGAACTCGACCTCAAACACACGGTCGGCATGGGGCGGACGCTTTCAGAGACTTCTGCAATTCGAGTTGCCGCACACGAACCAGTTCTACATTCGCTTCTCCATCTTTCACGAGCTTGGCCGCCATCCGATTTTGGTCGCGGGCAACGAGAGAAGCAAGACCTTCTTTTGGGACTTACAGCGCCTTGAGAAATCAGGGACCGGAGAAGATGACTCTCTGAATTCGAAAGGCTTACCGCTCAGCCTGCCTAGGCATGTGCGCGAAGGAAGCTCGGCGTCTACTGCCTCATCCGCCATCAGTGCAGGCTCGGGCAACACTAAGACCAAACAAAAGCGGCAAAATGAGCAGTCTCACGATCGAGGCATATCCGACCCCTTTCGCTCGATCAAAGCACACAAGATTGTCGAGACTCCAAAGTATAAAGCCTTCGCGTTCCGTCACTTTGCCTGGAGCCGTGATGGTCAATGGTGCGTCGGCGCCGGTGACTGTGGGACCATCAATGTGTTTAGTCGTTGGACTTCCCTTCCTCCAATCGATACAGACAGGGAAATACCTACACATGCGGATGACGGCCCACAGATCAGTCAGTCCAACCGCACACCAACATCAGCCGCGCGCACGGCCGATGTTTGACTCGGCACGAGCGTTAACTGACGTAGTATGAGCAGACAAAGACAAGATCACCGACTCGCTGGACGGCCTCTGTGAGGCATATGCGCTCCGGCAACAGATGGCGGCAGATCAAGGGGAACCTTTTGACGAAGACCTGAGACCTCTTCTCGATGAATATGTGTCCAGCTTGCCAAGTCACGAGAGAGATTTCGCACGTTCAGTATGCGAGCGGTGATCCAGATTGGGAAGTAAACAGCTCCATACGTGTAAACACATGTGAACGCGGCCTCATTGTACCACCCACAAATGTTCGAACGCGACCGTAAAACTTTCTTGTCAACATGGTCTCAGTTATTGTGACTCATGACATCGGCAGCATACGCAGATGTGACGATTGGTCTATTGTCATTGAGATACAATAGCCAACCCACATCACCAAATGTGGGTTTCGAGGGTGACAACAGGAAAGGAGTGGAGGCGAAATGCTGGTGAGAATGCGATCACAATAGGGTCGTAGGCCGCCAACCACGTACTAGTGGTTCGTCACCCCAACAATACCAAACAGAAAGTACCCGTCTTAAATACTGTCCCTTTCCTCAAGTATCATTCCATCTCTAACACCACTTCTCAAACATTGCTCTGTTACCTCTGCGTTCTACACTGGCTCGATTTATTCGATGCATGCCATGAGTTCTACAATGGCTGGTACAATTATGGTAATGTCAACCAGGTGTTGATCAAGTAGATGATGCGGTAATATTCTATCTACAGGACGAAAGGGCCTATGATGTAGGCCGGAAAGCTTACTACCTAACAAAGAAACAAACTGATTATACATGGAATGAAAGCTGCAAAGCAACACCAGGGAGCCTCACTAGATTACACGCCTGAATGATGAGTGCAAAATGGAGGTGAAGAGGAAGAGAGCAGGACACCAGCGACGCGGTTTGTGGGACCCGCGCAAACCCTCATCAGCAACAGTCACACGCTCTATACTCATTATTAGCCTACTCCTGCGACAAGTACCTGCCATGGTCACGTGGAACTCGGAAATTCAGATAGAAGGAAGAAGCGCAATTCGTATATCGTCGCGAGTGCGCACCGCCGCCTCGTCGAGCACATCAGTGAGCGCAGAGACCCACCCAAGCCAGCCCCCAAAAAGGGTCTGCAATGTGCGCAGCGCTTTCCGCAAATGCGACCAAAGATACGGCACAGCTGCATCCCGCGCCAAAATCGTTCCCGGTAGCCCTGGCGAAGAAAGAAACAAAAACACAGGAACGCGTTGGCCTTGCGCAGGGGCAGCAAGGCTTGTCGGGTATTTATAGTTCGGTTCTACTTGCTTTTTTCTTCCACACGTGGGCGCTACCGAACTGTTCCATGTGCACTACACTACATTGCGCTCGCTGGAGATATGCTGCCAAGCAACGATGCATCATCTTTTTGTTTTCGAAGGATATACAATACTTGTATCGAAGGAAGCTGCAGGACAGCTACGTATGACCAGGCGAACAAACAAAGCGACAGGCATCCCAAATACACAGAATACAGTCTGTTTGCTCGCCCACACAACAAATAGGGGGCTTTGTCTGCGCCCAGACTTCAAGCGGTGGACAAAGAAGGCAAGACATTACGAGAGAAAGATGGTGTCTGTTGAAACGCGTTTGTCTTTTAGAGAAGCTCTGCGATAAAGGCGTCCCCATATACATAAACGAAAACAATACATTGTGCTGAATCGGAACATGAGCAATCCGAAATAGCAGACATGTCTTCGAACTCATCATCACCACCGTCAGTAGCATCAGACCTGAATATCGCTTGTGCATGCACAGAATGCTCCACATTTCTCCGTCCAATCTTCCCTTCGGACTCACACTACCGGCAAGACTTCTCACAATTCATCTTTCCTGCCGGTACTACCTCTCGGGAGCCAGCGTCAGTATGGATCGACAAGCTATCGTTGGCAGCATACGACATGCAGACCACCACCCCACCATCAGGATCGCAAACCTCCGATAGCACCAGTCATCGCAAGCGAGTCAGCCTTGTTATACCCACGAACAGTCCAGAGACCAATATACGGACTGCTTTTCCGAAAACGCCGGGCATCTTGCGCTGCTCGAATATCCATTGCAGCACCCGTCTCCCAAGTAGCTCAGCGTTAGCTGCTACAACAAGGTTTCCCGCAGGTGCACTATGCGCCGAGCACGAGGAACAAGCTATTCAACGAGTATTGGATACCACTCCTCTCGAGAGCGTTCCCATGTTGGACCAAGTCTTCGGAAGCAATTACGGGAACGTAGTTAACCGGTCGGGCTTGGGTAGCAGGAGTAATAGTTCGGCTTCTTGGAACAGTCTAGCTTCTTGGGAAGGTGACGATGCGGAGTCTGAATGGAGTGCAAAGGCATTTGATTCGAAGCTTTGCTGGTGACGTGCAGTTATCATCGCTGTCGTCGTTGATCAATGGGAGGGTTTGGCATTGGTTGTGACGCTAGTGTTGCGGGAGTCGTCAGTGACTCGTCGTATATGAGTTGTTAATGAGCTATCGCAGCACTGTAAGATGACGATGGTACCGGAGTTTAAAACCACGCACACAGAATTCGCTTCGCCATTAAAGGATTATCGAGCTTTGCCTTGTTTTGAAGAGATTTTAAATGGCATTTTTTTTTCGGCAGTGAAATCGAATGAATAGCAATGAATAGCAAAGAAGATTAGTTTTGTTGGAAGATGTGTGCAAACCATGTGGCGTGAAAGGTGAAACTAACAAGTTGGATGGATGAATGGCTTCGCATTCTCCTAGCGAACTCTGGCATATAGCATGTGCTGAGGCTGCCCCAAGTAGTAAGTGTTTCGTCCGTAGAAGCCACACTGATGTCTTGAGCACCTGAAATTCGCGCTCATGCATTAAACGAGATAGTCGAACTCGTCGTATACATCGTATTGGGCCTCACCACCCATCTCATGCATCCACTGCATGTGACCGGCAACCATTTCGTCGAACAAATAATCCGGGAGTGAGTCTTCAAGCCATGCCTGCTGCATTGAGGCATCACAAAGGTACAGGTGCCGATATAGTTCCAGCTCATAGGCCTCGTCTTCATCCTCGTTGAGCGCCATGATCCAGCCATCGCCTACTCCGGTCGCAGCCAGCCCATCCCTCTCGTCAATTAGCGCTGTGATCCAGACATCTTCGCTCTCGCAATAGGATCTAGAGTTCTTGCCGTGGCCATAGCGGCGACCTGTCTGGGCGGCAGGGCGATAAGGCTGCCTGGCGTATTGTGGGGGAGCTGAGAGAGAGCATCCCAAACAGGCGTGGAAGGAGCGGTGTGCGGCTGTGCACCTGCGAGTCGCGGAAAAGCCTAGCTCATCAATTGCAATTCGTTCCCCTGGAAAATCTGGAACAAACGATAATGTGGAAATGGGACCCGAGGAGATCCCGAGACGCTGGATTGCTGAGTCAGTCTCGCTTATCCATAGATCGTATTCGTCGTCGTTGTGGTCAAACTCAATGTCAAAGAACTCAAATCGGCAGAGGGGGCATGTTCGTTTGTTTTGCATCGACTCCGCAATGCAAGCGTCACCAAAAACATGTCCACACGGTAGCTGAAGCGGGACCTCGGCATATTCATCTCTGGTAGACGTGTAGTAAGTGTCAAAACATATGCAACACCGCTGTGGCTCGTCTGGGCCCACTCTCACCGGTGCATACGCTTGACGTCTTTCTTTGTGTCTGTGGCTGGGCATGTCTGAGTAGGAAGCTGGGGTCCAACAAGGCTGGCTGATTCATGGGGTTTCCACTTGGCGTGAACGCGATCGTCTGGTACCAGCCTGAAGGTACCAGAGGAACAAAGGCGGGGGTGAAGCAAGACCCTAACGCTGGTCATTGTACATAGAGCTTCGCGTTCCATACCATACATTCTCTAGAGGAGGAGTACCATGGTGCACTGTGCGGAGCACAACGTGCCGCACCTTCCGATCGAACGTCTCTTAGTCAATTGCGAACAGTGCTCTTTCTTTCCTGGCATGTGCCATTGTAAGGCCATTGTTTGAGACCAGCCTCGCATCAGTGATCTCGGCAGTTACACGTGGACATTTGCTCGCTTCTGAACCTCCACAAAAGACTAGCATCACGCAAGTGACGCTGCTTAGTCGTGCATGCATGACAGCCAGCATCGGCTTCACCGTCGACTTCATCCTCGCTGTTTTGCTGTTGTGGAGTAGCTCCGCATCTCAGCTCGCCTCTAGGAAAAGCCATCGCGACAGGCTTTAGCGTCTAGTCGGACATTTTGCGTCGTGGGCGCGGCGTCTAGATCCGCGGAGTAAAGTGTGCCAAGTCTGTACAACACACGGCGTTGGGCGAGGACTTGTGTCGGATTTAATTTATGGTACCGAGGAAACGTCTTCAGGGTAATGGCATTGTTAGAACTCATGTGGGGTGGCTAATGTCTCCGACTGCAAGGTTGGCAGCTAAGGTCTGATGTTTCCATGGTCCTGAAAATCCGCGAGCCAGTTAGTTGGTTTAAGCGGAGCCGGCAGCAATTTGAAAACGCGGTATCGGTAACAGATCCTGTCGATGATACCAAACTGGCAGGTCAAATGACTAGGAAGATAGCGTTTGGCATGGAAAAGGGCTGTGAATTCTGTGCACTAACGGGGGTGAGCACCGTAGACCAATATTGACACCTCCACGCCAGCCTCGTGGCGTGGCAGGCGTGGGCTCACCGGCCGCTTTTGGGTTCGACGCCTTGCCAAAAACGCCGCAATTGGCGACCGTATACTGGGGCATTATCAGTGTGCCGAATATAGCTGCATCTTAGCGTAGTCAGCGAAGGTTTAGCAGACACTGTACTCCAATCGACGTTGCCTGAGTTTAGTGTTGCCGAACAACTCTCTGGAATGGTAGCGATGAGCGATTCATAGGAAGACAGAGCTGTCGTCATGTAAGGGTGTTGTTGAGGATTTCTCGAAACTGCAGAAGCCAGCGTGCTAGCGTTATCGAGAGTGGGGCCCGCTTGGCCGCTCTGGTCGAGCTAGCCAATCTTGCTGTTGGTGGTGCGGGAACGGTGCCTGAATGCCAACACGTTTGTGGAAATTGGCTTGACCTATCTCCCGTCTCATCCAGACTTCGCTAAAGGATATCAGCATGGCAACGCAACTGACAAGGGCCCCGCTCGTGCGTCAAGCTTTAGCCTCAGGCGCTCTCCCGTCACTATTTCGGGTTGTTTATGGACACCCGGCACTCTTCCTGGGCTCTTCGGTGGACGCGATCTATGCGGCGCTTCACGACACTTGTGGCTTGCGATCGTATCACTTCTCAATAACATCCCTTGCTGCACCCATGCTTACTGTGATACGGTGCTTTTCGGACACGACGAGGCAGCAAGCCACAAGACAGCGGCGTACGGCTGGAACTTGCATTGTGATACCAAAAGGTCCATTCTGATCCATCGAGGTAGACACGCTCGCGATTCTGGGCCCGATATGGTCAAGTTTTCGAGCTTCACCACAACGCGCCCAGCTGGATACGTTCCGCCAAGCGGCGTTAGCAACAACAGCGGCTTGCAACTAACAATACAGGTCTCGGCTAAACCATGCCCCATGTATTCCATGATGATGTCGTGGCGATGTATAAGTAAGACGTCTCTGCTCGTCAGTTGAAGATCCTCATCCACAGCAGCACTCAGTAAGCTTCACTGGCATCTCATCAGCACTATCCCTCTCGATCACCATCTCCTCCAACCAATCTTCAACATGCGTAACGTTCTTCTCGCCACCTCCGCCATCAGCGGCTTAGTTGCTGCCCTACCCCAGATGATCAACATCGAGGCTGCTTTGGCCGTCCCCACTCCCAGCGTTCTTGGACCTGCGGCCACGGAGACTGCTGAGCTTCCAGTGTCTTACAACCAAGCTGCTGCCACCGAGTCCGCTGCTGCGGCAGTTGCTACCGGTGGTGTCAATCTCAAGAAGCGTGATGCCTGCCAGCCCCAGCCTGCTGGGTAAGTTCTTGTGCCGAGCACATTCACTGCAAAGTGGCTGACAATTAAAATAGTGCCGGCGCCGAGTATGTGCCTGGACAGGGCTCCGTTCGTGAATACCTGGACACCGAAAACACTCTCAGGAAAGCTGCCCAAACCGCAGGCACTCCCACCGGTTACACCAAGGCCTTTACCGATCTTACCGGGTCCACCGAACAGATTGGCTACCTGACCTACAAGACTCTCGACACATACAGCACCGATGAGTGTGCCGCCTTCTGTAACAGCGAGAAGTTCTGCCTTGGCTTCAACCTCTTCTTCGAGCGTGACCCCAGTGTCGACCCCGGTGCCGAATGCAACGACCCCGCGCCCGTTACAAACATCAAGTGCTCAATCTACGGATACCCCGTGGCTGAGGCTTCGGCTACCAACCAGGGCCAATACCGTGGTGACTTCCACGTCGTTATCACTGGCAGCAACGGTAAGCTTTCTAACCCTGCTCATCGCCCTGAGTACTCCTCACTAACTTGTACTCAGGCTACTCCAAGGCCGGCAAAGGAGTCTGCAAGGGCGCCCCTACCGTCGAGGACTTCAACGCTCCCTCCAACCTCCCCGCTGCTATTAACGCTCCCTTGATCAAGAAGGACAACAAGGACTACGACACCTACAACGGAATGCGTCTCTTCAACTCCAACCCGTACGACCCCAGCTTGTGCGCCGCAGCTTGCGAATCGCAGACCCAGTTCGACAAGGAGCACATTGTTGACGCCAACGGCGAATACAAGCCTTGCAACTTCTTCACCTCTTACATCTTGACCAAGAATGGTGTCCCTCTCGGTACTTACTGCGCACTTTATACTCAGGAATGGGATTCCAGCTATGCCGTCAACACTGGCTACTACTACGGCGAGGATGAATACTCCGTCATCTGTGCTGCTTCTTACACCGCTTCCACACCTGACTCCGGAAAGATCTCCTCCGCGTAAGCTCCTGCGGCTTGTTCTTAGGTGGTAATGCAAGTGTTTCTTACGATCTTACGAGGGATATAATGTCTTGAGCTTGTTTCTTGTTAGCTTAGTGTTCTAATCTAATCGCTATGCCAACATATCTGCCTTCGTGCTTACTTCGGCTTCTGAACATTTTTTTTGGCACTGCTTTGACCAAGTCTATATGCTGATGTTTGATACGAAACAGCTTCGTGCAATTGAGCATGCTGTTTGACCCTCATATTCCTGTCTACTTCCAGCCGTCCCGAAGCAACTCAGTAGACACGCAAAACCACAGGGGATACTTGATGTTCCTTGCTTAATAATCCTGATCGTCCCTGTGGCGAAGATTGGTCGGGTTCTCAGGCCATTTCCACCCGGCACTAGTTTCTGACATTGTGCATGTCAGAACGTCAGAATGCACGACCACTCCGCAACTCTTTTCTGAACTCGCCAAGCGTTGATGTACAACTTTCTCCACATGTACGATGATGACAATTCATGAGATTGTAAGGCAGTTGCAACACCTGTATTGAATTCTGCCTATTGCGCGGTTTTTGGCAGCCATCCTCCTAAATGGCGGTCGGTCGCAAGATCAACGGCGACTCAGTTGCCGAAGGACCACTAGATTAGTGATGAACGGGTGGTACAGTGGAAGTACATAAAGAGGTGCGCCGCTGAAGATGAAGTATGTCAACCAGCCTTAGATCAACCTCGACTCTCAGCAACCACACGCACGCAGCACGAAAGCTTACAGCCACTCATCGATATCTAAATCCAACATCAATCTCTCTCCCACATCTTTCTGTCATTATAGCTTGAGAACATGTCCTCACAACCCAGCGTCGTCATTGTTCCAGGCAGTTTCTGCCCTAGCAGCATGTACGACCCTCTCGTAATGCCACTTCGTGCAAAAGGCTACGACATCCACGTTCTCGAACCGCCCTGCTATCCTGCTGGCTACAAAGCCAACTCCGGTACTCAACCAAGCATGTATGACGACGCGGCTTACGTCAACGAGTTTGTGAGAAATCTGGCAGATGGCGGAAAGGAAGTCATCTTACTTGCGCATAGCTATGGTGGTAAGTTCTAGACCTTCCAAGCATTTGCTGACCGATGAAGGAATGACTAATGTCAGTGTCATATAGGTTGCCCAGCCACCGAGGGTGTTAAAGACGTAACGAAGAAAGAGAGAGAGCATCAGGGCAGGACTGGTGGTGTGGTACGCCTTGCGTATCTCACAGCCGCCGTCCCACGTCTCGGCGAATCCTGTGGTCAGACTCTTGCACGTGAACAGAGTGCTCCAATCGACGTTGATGAAAATGGATGGGTAACGCAGTCCGATCCTGCAGCTACAGCGTCACTTTGCTTCAACAACCTCACGCTGGAAGACGGCATCTCGTACGTTGCCAAGTTTGGCAAGCATCACGGTGCTTGTTTCGGTGACGTACTTACCCACGCTGGCTACAGAGATGTTCCTGTGTCTTGGTTTCTCGCAGCAGAGGACTTCATTGTTGTACCAAAGGTACAGCAGACTGCCATCGATATTATCGAGGGAAGTTGGGTCGGTACAGAGAGGGATGGAATGAAGGTGGATATTACTGAGGCCGCCTGCGACCACTTTCCCCTTGTTCTCGATGAGAAGAGAGAGCAAGTGAGTGTTTGGGTTGAAGGTCTCGTTGAGAAAGGTGGCCGCGAATAGTCATCCGTGGTGAGCCTTTACTGCAGTGTAAAAGGAAAAGTTCCAATGCTTGGGCAACTGGCTTCTGGACATGCCAATCAGATGTGCTTGTATGGTGCACATATAGCGTAGTATACTATCTCTAAGGACAGATTTTGTTGCATCTTCATCTCTTTCGATGGCCTCTTTTGAATGCCACAGACGGGCATAACGATGTGCTCAGACGGTGCCTCAAACGTCTGGTCCCAATCTCCGTGGTCTTTGACCTGTAAGCATACTCAACTTGCCACAATTACCGTGCGAAAGATACCACCACCTTCTCTTCCTGGCGATGTATGCACAGGCTCTCCTACAGACGAAGCAGCTAGACTGAGTGGCTGTGTGACGGAGTTATGAGAAGCTGAAACGGGCTCACGGAAATCTGCCTCGATGCGGTATGGGGGTGAGGTAGCATTAGTATGGTGTTGAGTACACCTAACACGCGGGATATCTTGTCGCACACATATCTATGCAAAAATTAAGCAGATAACTGTAAGCCCACGACGGTTCCGAAGATTTGGGGCGCTTCGTAGACACTCCCCAGGAAATATTCATTTACGCAGACCGTACGGACTGAACACGCAAATTCAGGATATGCGCGCACCTGACCTCTAGTCGGCTTTCATTGCTGCCAGCTTTGTCACCAGTACGCACTGTCGCAGAGCGGTTTGCAGGTAGAGCTGAGACGTAGGTGCCTGCTTGATGGGGATGCCTTCAAAGAGTGTAATGTTCCGAGGCAACAAGGCGGAGACGTGTGTTTGATCTGAGAACCAACAAGGCATGAACGCATATAACTGAAACAGAGAGTCGATGCCTTGGGATGGATATGCAGCAAAACATGGTGCTGAGCGTATTGAAGATGCGCAAACAAGATCTGGAAATTTGCGGCGTATTCTGGAAGGCCGACTTAATGCGTTTCTATCGTGCTGGGTGTAACAAGAAACACCCTGCTACCCTCCATTGGTAAAGACGTTGACTTCGCAACGTGAAGATGATTTGCGCGACAATACGAGTCGCCATGCCCGACCTCAGTGTATAGCTATCGCAACATGCTCGTTCGAGGTGGACGAAGAACCACGCATTTCCGCTATCCGCGCCACACTAAGCAAACGATTCCGAGTTCCGTCTCGTCCCTGTTTTCGCGAAGTCGTAGCAAGCGGGATGTCGGTATCTGGGTGTCGTTTCAACACCAACTTGTAACCGATGGTGCGGCAGAAATGCGAAACAAGCCCGCATGAACACCATCGCCTTGGGCCACCCACCTAATTAATACACGGTCAACGCTGTCGACTTCATATAAGGAACTGGTGTAGTTAGCACGCTTGAAGTTGCATGACTATCGCATTGCTCAATCAATTCGAATCCAATCAACGAAAAACCAATCATTCACATTCTTTCTGCTTGTCAAAGGCCCCACGATCGTTACCGCCCATCCCTCCCCTTATTCTAAACATGCGCGTCACTATTGCAATTGTCGGTGCTGTGGTAGCGACCGTTGCTGTTGCGTCACCCATCACATCGTCTTCGCCTCTTTCGCGGAGACAGGGTCCTCCGGGGCCTAAGGGACCCATGGGAGGACCTATGGGACCGGGTGCTGGTGTCGCTGGAGCAGGACCTTGCCCGGTATGTCGCACACTCACCATCATATGCTATGGAGAGAATATGTGCTGATTGCGTGCGCAGATGAACTGTTGGAACGAAGCCGCAGTAGTAGCAGGCTGCGACCCCAACGCAGACGACAGCTGTCTGTGCGGACCTTTCTTCGATGCCGTAACGTCGTGTTCAGCGGCGACATGTAGTATGGGCGAGAACCTTGGTACGTTTCCCTCATTTTTGCCCGCACCTTTGGAAGCGAAAGTGCTAATATATGCAACAGCGGCGTTGAGCTTTTTGAACCCTGCTTGCGAGTAATGAGGAGGAACAGTTCGCCGCAGATGACGACGTGTATGATAATGAGCGTATCGTGGGCTCCGAATATATCCAACAGAAATGAACAGACTGTCGATTACGTGCGACACGGAGATTAGGTGTAGGCCGTACGCAAGAGAACGGAGAACTCAGAACAAGTCGCTTTCTCTCTTACAGTCCTCCAATGAACGATTTCATGACAGAACGAAGTGAAAACGCGAAGAGGTGAACGAAAAGAATGTTTCTACCCCAAGGTGCAGCGTTAATCAACAGGTGTTGTGGTTTCCGTCCAAGAATCCGTCCTGCTACTGAGAACCCCCAACCGGGTGTTCGGTCAGAGTGAACGAAAGGCGAAGGTACACAGGCCCACCCAAGCCGAGTCGCCTCGAAGATCTTCCTCTTTCTGCAGATCTCAACATTTTGTCCTGATGTCTGGCAAAGCGCCGATGAAGCAATCCGAGAGACCTGCATCAGAAACGCATGACGTGTCTATCAGCGCTCGGCAAATACTAAATTCGAGACAGTCAAGCCTTGCCGAGAACACGAGCTCAAACCACTTCACAAAAGTGTGGGATTGGAGATTGTCGTACTGCATCGTGAGTTTCGGAAAAACTTCGCAATCGTCTCCCAGGCATCCAGAAAGAGAAATCCTTCCTCATCTTTCTCCGATACGACTTGAGTCAGCGTCACTTTATCGTCTCCACATCTTCTGTATCGACTTCTCTTTTCAGCCACCGGAACTTCATTTTCGCGCAATACACATCGCTTGCGGCTCACATATATCTGGAGACGAGATCGCCGAGACAGATGCAGCGCCGTTGTCGACCCCACAGACCCTGAAAGTCCTACACGTGGGTGCCATTTGAGCCGCAAAGGAATACCTGACCCATGCTCAATCCTGGTCGGCTTGTCCGCACTACTGTTCTCGGTCAAGAGTGTCCCGGAAAGGATGAATTCAACGCGGTACATGTCGAGGAGGTATTTAACCCGCACAATGTTGGTGACGCTATACATAGCCCGAGGTACCGTCAGGTCCTTAGTTTTTCCGGCCACTCTCAAAAACAGAGAGAAGAAAAGCAAAATTCTTCCGTGTTTGGACCCGCGGTATCTCGGACCGGCATAATTACGCGTCTTAACTTGTCTGGGGAAGCCCCTTGCTTGAACGGCTGGAAAGCTAGAGAGGTTCGAGACCTCGATATTTGTGGCGTGGGGGTCATTTTCACATGTCGGCGGGCTGTAAGCTGCTGAAGATGATGTTGAGCTCCGAGATGGCCATGCCTATACTAGTGATGATGATCTGACGACATGCAGGTATCTCAACAATATGCCTGGCCTTATATCTACACCTCACAGTATCGGAGCAGTATATTGCATGTGCAGCGAGACACGCCGCTATCATGTCATGGTCGGACCATCTCGAACCACCGATGTGTCGTCCAGAGATACTTTGGTACATTGCCCCTCCTCAATTAATTTGAAGGAATAGTAGCTTGCGCGTTTGGAACATGCGTTGAGCAATCTATCCCAATGTACACCCATTCTCTCGGGTATCCGCGACATTGGTCGGGTAAATACGAATCTAGATTAAACGGTTGTATGTAGCGTTGCGCCTTGATGCGCCGCAGAAGTAGGTTATTGAGATAAGAACAGAACAGCGGTAAGAGCTAATCGCATGTATATGGTCCGGGATGCACATGCGCGGTCGCCTGGAGCAGCGTGCATGTGGTGGGCTTCCAATGGCAGGACTCCGGAGAACAGCTGTCAGACTGTTGCCTTGGTTGTTGACGGTATGTGAGGATCAGGCTGCGTCATCACGAAGTCAGACCAAGACTTGCGATCCTAGCATCTAGCGTGTTATGATAGTTGCGTAGTGTCCTTCTGTGCGGCTTGGTAGACGGTAGATACAGCTGTCACGGGACCACACATTTGCGATATGAAGTGTAGAAACCCTCCATCGCTATCCCGGAGATGTATCCTCAACTCGCATGTGAGGGCATTGGATGATTGGCGAACGAGCGGCCCAAGCTGCAAAGCATCTGTGCATCGCCCTTGCGCAGGGCACCGGAAGCAATATATATTACCGTCTAGATAGAACTGATCTGCGGAATAAAGTGTTTGCGTGGACCTGGTTGCGGTCGCTTAAGTACAGTACCAGCAGCCTGGTACGGCACAGTGTTGGATTTAGATGAGAGAGCGTTGTGCTAGATCCTGCATCTCGTATGCTGTGCAAGTGCGGCTGACCTCGACGAGCACTCTGGAAACCATATTTCAAACCTTTGAGGGTAATGTTGCCCCTGCATAGACGGAGGTTGAGTCAGAAAGGGTGATTCGATGCAGAAAACGTGCGACGAACTTTCTATACCTCGGCTGATGCGGAGCAAGGGCGAACGGAAGGACATTCGCGTGCGGATGATTTCGATAACGAGAATCGCGACTGAGCATATCTCACTTGGCTCAGTTCTGCTTGGCTTTGAGCCGCATCGGATCGGAGAGAATGCCGGTTGTGATGATGCTAGTGAAGGGATGCCTCCGACTGCATGAGACAGGAACACAATTGGCGGAAACCCAGCTATATTGGGAAGTATACGCGATGATCGAGATGTGGAGAAGGGGTCCTCTCGACAGTCCACGACACCTCGTTCTTCTCTCTGACTGGTGCATTTACTATCGGCAAAACTGCATTCCTCGACGCGAGTACGTTTTCAAAAGTGATCCACCCCCAAGTTACTATGTGTGTGACTCGCATGTCTCCAGCCTTATCCGCCGCGATTTCCTGCTCAGGCAGGTCCGCATTGCCAGTGTGGAGACCCCACAAGTAAGCGATTCTGGTACTTAGGATGGATTCGCGGCCTGGATGGGCGGCTCTAGAAGCTCGCTAGACGCCCTTTGCTATGCGGTCTCGAGTCAGCAAGCAAGGGGCGGGAAGGCTTAGTAGAGTGTGGTATTTGTCCCGCCGGCTGTGTTCTCTGGGGTGAATGGACGAGTACCCTCGGCGCCGGTTGCTGCTAACGTCGCGCGGCTGACTGAGACACTTTTGTGGGACAGAAGTTTGTCTTCCCCTTTGTCGTGCGTTATCTTTGCTTTTCTGGGCTGACAAGAAAGAGGGGCGGATCTAGCTGCCAAGTCAACATCGGGACAAGGCGTGCGAGCTAAGGGGCCACGATGTTCAGGTACGTGAGCAGATTGGCGTGCACTGCACGTCCGTAACGGGTAACCCACGGCGGAGCTACGTCGACAACTCGAAGCATGTGCCGGAGTCGCGTGGTAATGCTGAAGCTGCTTGCCAGCTCCATTCTTTTGTGAATGTCGCTGTCTCACTGTGGCGTGCTGGTCTGGTGCGTCTCGCTGCTCGAGATGCAAGTCTACTGTTGGTCGTGTTGATAAGTGTTGTATATAGAGACGTATGTATCTTCGTTTCGCGCCCGCCGGCCCGACATTGTTCAAACGCCGCAATATCTAGCGCTCAGCCAGCGGAGAAGATCCCGCCAGACCTGCCGATTCGCACACTCGAGACTGTCACGATCGTCATCGCTGTGGAGTAATGACGGCGCTGCTGCACTCTGCAGTCCGGGGTGCATGCCCAGGTGTACCAGAGATGATCGCCTCAATCAACCGGCGGGAAATAAATGTGACGAGTGAAGATAGGCTGTGGGAGTTTCGCACTTGCAAATCTGAGACATACAATCTGACGAGTCGCTTGGAAGCTGTCGAATCGCATAGTCTCACATGGAAACGCGGCGTCTGCCGATAGACAAGTTGCGATTCGTGCTGTGGTGAGGACAAGAGATAAGCCAGCACGATTCGATAGATCCCCGCAAGGATGTAACCCAGCCAAAGCATCTCGGAGATTGCCAACGTTGTTGATTTTGTCCATTGAGAACCAAGGCGCCTTCCGGTTTCGGACTGCGACAGTGAAGCATTGCAAGCGCCACTATTATTGCGTGTGCCACGTACTCCACAGTCTGACTCCTCCCCTGCAGCCATGTTCCGTCCTCTCCGCAAAAAAAAAAACTTTCAGGGCCCTCGTGTCATCGCTCTGCTAGCGCCAGTACCGCAAGGTGTGCCAGAGTCGTCATGGGTCGGAGCTTATCGCACAATGCGGAAAAGGACAAGAATAGCTATTAGCTGCTCACACAAGATGAGTGAGCAAATGAAACATGTCTGGATATGTTGGGTGGAAGAGTGACTAGCCTGCCTCTTTGCTCACCGCACATTTGCTCCGGAGTAAGACACCCTGCGTAGGAGAAGATCGTGTTCGGGACAGAGTGTGGTAGTACGAGACAGCGGAATGTGGGGAAATGCTCGTCTTGGTTGAGTGCTGTTGGTCCGACCCGTATCGTAAGATTGGTTTGTGGGTGTACCAGACAATCAACGAAACTTATCTGCGGGGAAACACTGGGCGTGGTGGTTGGGCAGTGTGGAGAGATTAGACAGATAGGCTGGAAAATTCCAGCATTCCGGGTTGTGCATGCAAGTATGCTTGGTTCCCTGCTGATGATTCTCGTTGCTTGCATCACCACGGTGCTAGATCACGTCACGCATAGCGACGTGCTTCACCCTAACATAACCATGTCGTAATTACATGCTCAAATGCGGACAGAGTGACTAAGTGTGGATTGGTATTTCAATTAAGCGCCAAGCTGGGGGATACTGTCTAATCATCTCGGCACTGCCAATAAGCAGCCTCTTCCCTCACTACAGCCAGGCCGATGAAACAAGGCTGAGTGGAACTTATACAAGATTGCGAATCGCCAGATGCGGCTTCGCGGGGTATTGGATCCAACAAAACAAAGAAGAAAGGTCTATCTGGGTGGTGGGGTCCGCAATGTAACAGAAATCGTGAAATGCTGCAAGCATTGCTCCTCATGAAAGTTTGTCCATGTCTAATCTCATCGCTTGCTAACGTGAATGACGGAATGCGAAAATGCTGATAGAGAACGCCGATGCCATGCTAGTGGAGTGGAGTGGAGTTGAAAGTTTTAGTTGCGATGCGACAGGTCCTCGCCGGCTAACGAAGCAGTCGCCGAGGAGTTGCCGGAGGAGAAGCCGCTATTGCTCGGGCCATTGAGGAGATCCTGGACCGCCACCTTGGGTACTTGTGGAACGGGCAGTTTTCGCTGGGCACCCTCTGGTTTTGAGATGATGTCGCCTATGCGCAACCCGGAAGATTGACTGGGCACGTAAGGTTGTTCCCGATCTGTAGACGGCTCCATTGGCGCCAAAGCTGGTACGAAGTTTTGGTTCAAACTCAGATGGCGTAGATGAGGAAGCTGGAGGTCATTGAAGCCGTGCGGACGTAGTCTGGGTGAGTGCGCAGGAGTTGCGAGTGGGGTGTGGTCAGGAGTGGGGCTGCAAGAATCGTGAGAGAAAGTCGGCGAAGGAGGGGCAGTTGACGTTGGCGAGCCTGGTCTCGACTTCTTTGTCATGCGATGCGAGTACGGGTCGTCATCCTCGTGTGAATGAGACCTTGACATTGGCTGCGACGAGTACGCGTACTGAGAGAGGCCAGGCAGACGACTAGCATAGGGATGGTAGCCGCTCGTAATGTGGTGTCTACTCGAGTGCGAGTAGTGACCAGGGCGCTGCTCTAGTCTTGAGGCTGCGTCTGCCAACAGATCCATGGGGCGAGACAAGCCGCTGGGGCTGCTGCTGTTACTGCTGTTGAAGCCGCCCTGGTGGTACGCTGCCAAATCGTTGCCCATGTTTGGCGAGTAGTTGGAGAATGAGTGAGGAGGTGACACATTTGGTGAGCCGAGCTGAGAACCTGGAGCACTGCGCGAGATGGGCTTGGATGGAGGGGGCATCATGTGCGCAAGGCCAGAGCCAGGCTCCATAAGGCCAGCTTGAACGGCGGCGACGGCGGCCTGGTGGGCAGCGGCGTGTTGCTGGCCCTTTCCCCGCCGTGAGTTGGGGTTATTGTGTATCCTCGAGTGTCTATGGAGAGTTAGCTGGGAGTTGGCAAGACGTGGTTGATGTGACATACCGAGTAAGTTCGTCGGAGCGAGAAAATCGCTTTGTGCAGCCGGGGAATGTGCAGGCATGGGGCTTCTCTCCAGTGTGAGTGCGAATGTGGCGGGTCTGATGTTCCAGACGGTGGAAAGCCTTATCGCAGAGGGGGCACTTGTAGGGCCTGGGGAGATCCTGACGGGGCTCGTCCGACTGTTGCGGGGCGTTTTGCAGCAGAGGAGCCATGAGGCTCACGGTAGCAGTAGCCATGGAGTTGGGTTGTTGAGTGGTAGTGGGTAGTTGGTGCTGTTGTTGGGAGGAAGTGTCGGGGTTCAGCAGGTTGGCGAAACCTGTCGAGGCAGAGTTGGATTGCATGTGACCGAGGGTGAAAGTTTGGGGAAGGGGGATGATGGGGGGCTCGGATATATGTATGGATCAACGAGGCGGGCGTGTGGGGGTCGACTGATGGCCGTCAGGGCTGTCTGTGCTGACGCGGGCGAGGATATGCCGGAGCAAGCGCAGAAAGAAACGCGGTGCGCCAGTGCGGCTTGGCTTCCTTCGGGGGGCGCTTGAGTCGTGGAGACGTATCAAGAAATGCGGGCCCTTGAACGCTTGCGTGATGACTTGCGGAGAGGAGCGTGCAGCGGGTGCAGGGAGCTGCTGGAGCGAGTGCTGAGTGCGTCCGAGGCCTTTTTGGGCGGGCGCGGGTGAGATGGGGATGGGATGCTATGGCGCAGTACCCAGCGGAACTTGCCTTGGGCCGACGCTGGTTTTGATGGCGCAGTCGCCGGTGGAGCAGCGACAGTTGGTTGAGCGCACGATGCAATTTGCAATCGTGAGAATTCTGCAGCCGAAATTTTGCAGCGGTGAGTGTCGGCGAGAGGTTGCAGAGGGCTACCTGAGGCTGTGGAGTGAGCCTACAGCCAGTGTGAGCAGCAGACCGGGGCCCCCAAACTCTCGTGATGAGGCCAGGACACCAAGTGGGCGTTACGTGGGCAGAGTGAGGCAGCAGGTCAGATGGTGCTACGTCGCTGCGGAGAGGTGGGTGGGCGCTGCGCTGCGAGTGATGGGCGCCGCGAAGCTGGGGCACAGAGATAAGGAGACGGCGGGCTTTGTCTGGGGTGCTCGAGACGTCACACATCTGGGGTTTGTTTGTGCTTCCGCATCTCATGGATGCGCCTTCCTCAGCCATAGGCGCTCCTTCACCTCATGGCCCTGACGCCTCCGTGCCTGCCTACACCGCAGCACAACACCACGGCTGAGCTGCGACACCACCGCCGCTGCCGACTCACCCACCCTCAGGGATCTGTCCATGCATCCCAGCTGCTGTTACTTGTGTTGAGCGCTTCCGCAATCACTTCCACCCATTGGCCCTGTCCGATGACCAATAACGCTCCCCAACACACGCAGCACATCTGATTTACCCACTGGCTTTGTTCGCGTTCCACCGCAGCCCGGGGGCTGATCCAAGACGCTTCCATGGCTGTGGGGGACCATTTCCTGGGGTACGGCAGGCCCAGCAAGCAACAGTGAGCCACCATCTCGCCCCGAGACCCCTCGTTGCAGTGCCTCGCACAGCATCGCAATATCTCTCGCATCATCTACATACCAGCACATGCGCAGCGGAGTAGCCCCGTGCTACCGAGCCGGCCACCTTGCCTTATACTACGGCCCGCCTTCTATGCGTCTTCCCGGCCTGTGCACTCACACAGTCACAGATGAAGATGCGAGTCGGTGAACCAACGCAGGGCGAGGGCGATCTCTGCCGAGACGTGCCCAAACCTGACGATGCATCGGCAAAAGCAGCATTAACATGGCTTCACTATCAGCTCATACTGCGCGACGAATTTTCCCTACTCCGTACTTATCGCAGCCCCTCGGTGACTAGTCGTCTCCGCCTCGGTCCCGCAGGCCATCTCCGCTGCTCGTTATCTCCAACGCACCCTGTCGTACCCCTGTGAGTGGCTTTGCAGCAGATCGTGGGGGGACTTTGCAACGGACCGGCTGTCCCGAACATTATGACGCCTACTTCCTTGGTATTGTTGCCTATGTGAGAACTGCTTCACGGCTCTAACTACGTCTCTTAAAGTCGCCGATACCGTGTCAGCACCGATGCAAATGCTACGCTGCAATTTCAATTTCGGGTCCGCTATTCTTATCTCTTGTTCGAGAAATTTTTGAGTACTGCTAGCCCTTCGATAGCTCGCCCCGCTTTGTGGCGCTTCCTCCGAGCGTACGCCTATGCCGAGCCGACAGAAATTTCTCACGCCAGCATCGCCAGGAGCTGTTTCTGTGGTAAACGTGGCATCGGAGATTCTCGGAACGCATGTCGCTGGAGTTGTGGCTCCGCTCAATTCCACCTCGGTGACGTCTTAGCTGCTTCTGGACCTCCGATATGCAAGGTACGCCTTTGTGGAAGCTTTTGTAGAAGCACTGTCCTTCCAGACGTCACAGTGCTAGACCCGAAACCAGCACAACTCCAGGTTAGTTATGCCGATGTTCATCCACCATGCGTTTCGCTCGTGAAGATAGCGAACGTCGGCCGAGGTACAGTTTCAAGCAACCTCTGTCCTAGTAGACACTGACAGCCATCTGCGACGTCGGTCGGACCAGTGCCCGTCGACTTTCCAACCCCGTGGGTGACAGCTGTTTGCGCAGTGGGACAAGCTCTGCCAGGGTTTTACCTTCTCGTCGCCCAGCGCGACCTGACACTCACCAACTGTTGCGGCGCTTAATGACTTCAGACTGGAATCCCCAGGGTTTCTCTGACCCATTATACTGACGTGTTTCGCATATCTGGAAGACCCCATTACGCGTCAAAGCCAGCAGTACCCGATAGTATCGGTTGATCTACGGGTCGGGCTCTGGGGCCCCGCACCGTTGACAGTGGCTTATGGACCGAGACGAGGCGACGGCGATCCAGGGGTTTTGTTTCGATGATACCGCCACCTCATCAGATCCGACCTTCTCTGCCTAGACTTACCGTAGTGGTCATGTCCTTCACTACTCGATGTCAGGCTGTCGTCTTCAAAGATGGTAACGAGACGTAACGACGAGACGACCCCAATACATCACGCCAAGCTTCGGTGGCAATCCCAGTGCACACAGATGGTGGGAACGGATTACGAATGTTGCATAGCTGGGGTTGACATGCACCGATGGCGGAGTCTGTAAATTTCTTTAATGCAGTCACCCAGCATGAACAAATCTCCAGTCACATGTCGATCCTACGTCAGACCGCGATCTCCACAAGTCTGCACAAAGATCGTCCTTGTCCGCAATCGCTGCGCTTGACAAACTCAATAGACCTTCTATCGCGACTATTGAGCGCGATTGGAACCTACCGCTTCTCCAGGCTCTAATGCACAACAGCAATTCATTAGCACCCCCTCGTGGATCTACGCAGCCCCGATCGTGATCTTGGGAACGATCAATCGGATGCAGTCCGCGGATGAAGGGAAACTGTCGATCTGCTTTTAGCCCCGGGGAAATTCGCGTTGTGCCAGGATGATCGCAACTTCTGAGGCCGGGATTAGAGTTACTTATACGAGGGCCGCTGCGAGACCCTTAGCTGTAAAGTGATGAGGATCAACATGTAAGATGGTAAATTACGGAAGTTCCTAGTCCTAGGTCGATCGGAAATGGCCTGCCAATTGATATAGTGAGCTTTCGTGCTAACGAGCACGATTAACAGACTTGGGATGTGCTTATCTGATGGCTTGTTCCCTCGCGACCTCATCCACTTCCTGCGCGTTAGGGCATCACAGAGACACACAGTACTGTTTCGGGTCTCCCTGATCTCTGTTTGAGTGTACGCCATTACATCAGCATGGTTTGTCGATGGCGAACGCGTCTCGCTTATCTGCCCGCGCAGCACTGGAGTTCATTTCATGCTTGAGCCGTTATATAAGTGAACGTAATGGTGTGAGCTGCGCTCAGTCTCAGTCCTGGAAAGTTATGGTGTCTTTGCGTTTCCGCTTACCGCGGGAAACAGCAACCAAGTCAGCAAAGACCTTTGTGCCTTACTTCGAGTCGACCTTTTGTCAGTGGGACAACTGAGCCGAAACGCCTGCCTGATAATGAATTGACTTCCCCTTATGAGTGCTTATCCGCTTGTGTTTAACATGCTCAGATTGGGAAGTGAAGTAATGTGCGCCAGGAGCATAGACCTACTCAACTTTGTTTCGGTAGCGACTCAGCTTCACACTAGTGATTATGTATGGTCATGCGCCATACATGCCCATCCGTTATATCTGTATAAACTAAAATAACAGCACTCTAGTGTTGAAGACAGCAGTTGGTAAGGTAAGTTATGCTATTCGAAATATGTGCTATTCCTGTGATGCAATACTCTCGTCGCTTCCAAGTACATTGATTAATATAGTCGTTTACAAAACTATGCTCCAAGAACCTTCGAGCAAGTAGGCTATAGAACGACGTAAAGCAGCCATATGCATCTAATCCAAGAGCATCTCTTACTTGTAGGCATGTTAATGTCTACAGGTAAAAGCAAATACACGGAAAAGGCAACACAGGCCGTAGTTCTATGTGTCATATAAGCAGGAGGTATCTATGCCAACGGCCTATACAGCGCGTAATTACTATTAGAAACGAATCGTTCGGGCAATATGGCAGCTACTACTCATTGCATTGACACCAGTCACTAGTATCTCCTTCGTAAAGTTGAAGCTTGTCATACCATCCCTCGTGCAGAACAACATGCGACGCCACTATCATCATCCTCCAGTCTGCACTACATTATCATCTCGGACACCATCACCCGGCATGTAATTCCGTTACGTACGCACAAATTCCTTCTTATGCACCTGCTCCTACGGGGTACACTCGAAGAGGCAGCAGCGTAGCAAAACTCCAAACACCAGAATCAGGATCAACACCACGATCCCCACATCAGGCGTCCAAGCGAAGCGAAGATCCTGCTTCACAGGCGGCTCGGCCCCGGGTACCGAGTGTCAGTCGCCCGCTAGGGCCGTGATTGCCGTCTCTTCACGCAGCCTCCGCCTCCATCAAGGCAAAGGATCAACGGTGACCAGCGGATGGTAGTGCGTTTGTGGAGAAGCGTGGGGAAGGAGTGACATTGCAAGGTTGATACTAAGGCAAGGACCTTCTGCATCTGGCGTTAAACAAAGCCCCTGCTGTTGGTGGAGCCGATGATATGCGTTGAAGCTGTTTCTGCTTGGGTCAGGGCTGGCATGACAGATGCTGATTGCTGTAGAAAGAGGAGATCACCATTTCTTGTGCAGTTTGTGTGGCTGACTGGCGGTGAGCAAGTAAGTCTAGATTTCGTTCACGTATGCGCCCTTGGCGACAGGACAGTGACATGAACTTTCGCTTGCTACGGAGTCCACATTGAAAGCAGGTGCTTCTCCGGCAGGATTGTGTAGTTCGTTGTGCTCCCCGTGGGGTAATCAAATGCGATTGTATCAATGGCTTGCTATAACACCGTCGCGAAAGTGAACCCTATCACATAGTCAGGTGGTCTGCCACGAGCAATCAGAACGTGAAACAAGCAGATAGGTGGCAGCCCCCACGCCCAGGCGACACACAAACCCCGCTGACCCCGGACTCGCGAAGCCTCAAGCCATCATCATCCAAAAGAAGCACGACTTTTGCCGGTGAGGAACCCAGGGCTTTGGGTTTGCGGGCGCTTCCCCGATCCCTGTGCGCACCGGAGTTCCGGGGTGACGCATGCACGTGTAAAGGCTGATGAGGCTTGTGTTGTGCATTTGCTTTTTGTTGCTTTTCGTGGATACCGCTAGCCTGGGGACGACACCCATAGGCTTTGTGTCCAGACTTGTACAAGTGGAGGACGGACGCGAAGCAAATCTACCGCCGGAAGAATACGTAAATGCCTGAGCTGGATTACGCGGAAACGAGAGCATTGGACCGTAGCGCGGAGACGCATCTCTGTGCTGATGTCAGAGCGCTTCGAATGCGGGCGTGCATGCGGGTTGGTGCGGAGACAAGGTGTGGGTGTTCATTCCGGGGTGCACTGTACGACCCCACACGGCTGAATAGCGAGACCCATCCCCGCGGGCCGTAAGACCTGTATCATCGGTGGGAATGCGAGATCTACATTCTGACTGGGAGATTTGTAAGTTTCTAGACCTTGCATATGAAGAGAAGGGAGATACATACGAGCTTACCCCAGATATAAGCAAAACATGTCTGACGAGCAACGCGCGTCGCGACAGAACAACAACTTGGCGGAACTTGACTGTGACAGAAGTGTAGGGTGAAATGATGCTCCCATAATCAAAGCGTAGATGTCCGTGTTACCTTCTTCTTATGGCCCTCTGCGACGACATCTAGACGAGGTCCCGCAGCGTCGTTCTCGTTGACGGGTGCTTCATCCACCAACAACCCCTCAGTGGCGACTTCGTCGTCTTCTATCCAGCCATAGAGCTCATCGGAATTAGGTTCTCGAGCCACGTCCTCGTCGATCTCGGCGAAAGATCTTTTAGGCGGTCTGGCTTCTGTTGGGACGAACAGAGGGGTTGCAATATCGTCGGCTGCTACGTTCATGTCGCAAAGTCCGTGCTGTATAGCGTCAGCGGGAGCTCATCGGCGTAGGATGTTGGAACGCATCGTGGTAGATGAACGCTCTGCAGGTAGTATATCGACGTACATGGTCAATGGTGAAAGATACCACGTTGCCCACACCGCCTTCTTCTGCGAGAGCTACGCCATTCGCCTTGACTAAGCCAGCAAATCGGGCTTTCTGCAAGCTGTCGGCTTGTACCCTACTCTTGGCCTTGCCGTGTCGGGGCCAGTCTCTGAAGAGAACCAGACGAGTAGAAACGCCATTCTCCCATTCAACCCCTGATATTGCCGGTACCAACAATGCGCGTGAAGCGCCACGGATGCGTGTAATGGTCTGGCTTGTCACTAGTAGGGCGATGTCGTGCAGTGCAGCGAAGCGTGTAAGGGTGGCTATCAGCTCGTTGATGACGGTATATCGACGGCCTGCAGCCCATCGCGCCTGGTCTGTCTTGTTTTTGGGCAGGCGGTCGTCCACATTGCGGGGGTATGCGTTGTCGACGAGGGTTGCAAGAGAGTCTACGACGACCAGGCTTGTGCCGTACGGAGGAAAGGCAGCGGGCGCATGCATGAAAAGTGACAGGAAATGAGCAAGCGTTGGCATGGCCAAGTAGTGGAAATGAGCACGCAGTTCATCTCGAGAGACATGGGGCGCATCGGGTTGCGAAGTGAGCATGTCGTCGACGCGATGCTTGACCAAAGGCGAACAGGCAGCATCTGCAAGCAATCAATTAGCCCTGGTCCGCAACCATTCACGATGCCGGCCTCGCAATCGTTGACCACATATACATACCGACCCATACCACTCTCTGGCCCTCGCGCAGGGCAGAGACTGCAGCCTGTATCCTTGAACCCTTCAGTCGCCGTCTCTCTTGAAGCTGTGACGCAGGCACAATTACCCAAATGCTGTCTTGCCGACTCCAGACGGGCCGAAGATCTCAGTCACCTTCCCGCGTATGTATCCGCCCGAGACATGGTGGCCCGGTAGGCTCGGCGGCGAGAGGACCTGGTCGAGCTGTGCAAGACCCGTCGATACAGTGCGGGCTCCGCGCGCATGGAGGCTTTGGAGGGCTTGGGATGCCGAGACGGTGGGCAGCCTGTCTGTTGTAGTGTCAGTTATCTATGCGATCTGTGAGAGAAGAGCAATTGCCTACGCGACGAGGGTGACAGCTGGGGTGCTTCTCCACTAGCCATGGTGTGTCGTGACTTGCGGTCGGGCCTCAGCGGATTGAGATTGTGGTGCAGTAGTCTCGTGATCTCGCGTTGACGCGCATGACGTTTCGCGTTATCCTACGTGTCCTGTGCGCGATGGGATCGAGAAAGCCTTCGTGTGGGTAGAAGGTGTGTCTGGTGGGTGTTCGGGATACTTTGTCGAGAGCACATGTGGGCCGCGGTTCATCATGACTCGCACGCTCTCCTCACTTCGTCATGCCTTGCCTCCTTCTCGCGACAAACATACTGCGTCAAGAGGAACGCGATTTTGGATGATCTGGTCTTTCACACATTCAAACACACCTGCCTTCTGTGTCCTAGCGCCGTCGATATTGCTCGGGCTTATACCTTGGCATGTTTTCACGATAAGAGTCGCATCTTCAAGCTTCTAGATTTCTCCTTTGACCACACGCCACATTCCTTTCCCTAACACGGCGTGAATCTCTACACCAGCATGGCGGAAAATGTCGAAAACTTCGTACTTGCTGCCAATGGTATTCTCAAAGAAGCTGGCATCAACATAACGCTCCAGGCAGTCCTCCTCACGACAGCGTCTTGTATCGCTCCTCTGGTCTTTTTGCTTGTTCTCGCTGCCTTCAAAACACCAAAGCCACTACCTCCGCCAGCCGGCTGCAGGAAAATCGGACTCCAAGGACGCAGTAATCTGGAAGATCAGTATTCTAAGAGATATGCCAAGGGCGGTGACCCCACTCCAGAGAAGCCATGGACGGTCAAGGCACTCTTCGTCTACCCCCTGAAGTCAGGTGCACCCGTCGAGTTAAGCAAGAGCGAAATCGATCGTACAGGGCTGAAATATGATCGCCAGTTCACCCTCGCCCAGCAAGTCACGAGCTTGCCCACGCTAGACGGCAAGGTGACCAGTGAATGGCACTTTATGACGCAAAGGAAATTCCCTCGTCTTGCCAATGTCGAGACTGAGATTTGGGTTCCGGATCCTTCGGCAAGAGGCTACAAAGAAGACGGAGAATGGGTCAAAAGTGAAGGATGTCTGGTCATTCGTTTCCCCTTTTCTCCCGACACCGACTTCACTATCGAGGGTCTGATCAACTACGGCAAAATCATGTTGGCAAGATTGAGCCGAAAGTCGGAGCCAATGCTGGAGTTCAGAGTTCCTTTCAAACCTGCGCCAGAGAGGATCAAGAGTCAGGGCTATCGGAACGAAGTTCTGCGCATTTGGAAAGACAACCCGGTTGCACTCAATGTTAGCCCAGAAGTCGATCGCGAGGTGTTTGAGAAGCTGAGATATACCCTTGGTGCAGCGAATCCAATTGCACTCTTCAGAATCGATACAAATGCGTTTCGGGAGGTACACAAATGCGCGCCCAAAAAGGAGGATGTCGGATTTGAGACGGTCATTGGAATGCACGATTCGGTACGTGTGGACTTTCCCAGCCACGTCTTGCGATTGTTTGGTCTCAGTTGTTACCGTTTCAGGCGCCAGATCTTGGAGATTGTGTCCTGACGTTCTGCGACATTGTGACTAATAGTACTGCAGTACCCGATTCATATTTTGAACCTCGCCTCGGTCCACGACGTAGCATCCAAGCTCCCCAATCCCTCGTCCGAACTTCCAGGTATCTGGCAAAGGCATCTTACCCTGCTCGACGCTCTGCGATTCCGCGCAAACATCTACATCACTGGACCTCCTGCCTTTGCCGAAGACGACTGGAAGAAGGCGCAAATTACTTCATCTGATTCCACATCCTCTATGAACCTGCACATCTCGTGTCGGACGACCAGGTGCAAGTTGCCTAACGTCGACCCGAAAACTGCTGTAGCCGATAAGAACGAGCCACTGACTACCTTGAGGAGTTACAGGATCATCGACGAGGGGTCTAAGAATGCGTGTCTGGGTATGCAAGTCACACCGTTGGATATGGGAGCTGTCGCGGTGGGCGATAAGATTGACGTGTTGGAAATTGGGAAGCATCGATTCGAAGGAGGGGAAGGAAAGAAGGTTGATGGCTGAGCGACGTCGCAAGCTCAAACGATGTAAACTGCGTAGACGTTTCCAATTATCTACTGCGGCGGAAGGAATACTGCCCCTGTAAAATAAATACGAGATCTTCTTGGTCTCAGAGGTCTATTGGCTGTGTAACAACGCATTTTCTCATCAGTAACCGAGACCCTTACATCATTAACCACCCCCATTTCATTTCCCACTCCCTCTCCATCTTCCAGGCCCTTGGATTCCAGGACTCGTAGCCCACCTCAATAGTAAAACTCGGCATAGTAAAGAAGTCCTTGCACAGCTCCTCCTCGTCCACCACACCTATCAACCGTATTAGACTATCCCTCATTCGCGGAAACGGGAGCCGATCAATCCACCGCGGATGTACAATCATCATTTGTAGCTCTGTTGGATGCAGGGGTAATGGAATATGCGGTTTCGGCATGGGTGTTCGTGAGGAGTAGGTAGTAGCGCAGGAAATGCCTTGAATCTCGCCGTTTGCATAGAGTGCAGCAAAGACGGTGAAGGGGGTGATAGTCTGGGCTAGTGGGGAAGGTATGGAGCAAGTTTGGGGGTAGGGGTTGCACGTTAGATCAAGCTCTAGTGTGCTAGAAGGTGCTTCTACGTTCTTGAAATGTGGGCAGGGTGATCTTGATGTACTAAGACGCGCGATAGCGTTTGGACTGGACCCAAATGCAATCTCAGAAGATGCAACGTTCGCGGAGGATTCTGGGCGTTGGGTTTGAGGCAAGCGAGACGTTGATATGCTGGTTTCGAGTTGAGCGTGTCGTAGTCGCTGTCCTACATTACATGAGTATAAAATGATGCATGCGCAATGGTCCACACATACGGCGTGCACGTTGTGCCAAGCGGTCCTGTATCTGCTTCCTCTTTTTCGCATCTTGAACATTTTTCCACTCATCATCCCTGGGATCCGTTCTTCGTGCCATCATTTATTGACTACTAGCTTTTGAAGGCACTGATAGGAGTTTCTCGCATTTATGGGATCGAGCAGAAACTCGCAAGAATACCTAGGTATACTTCTATAAGGCGTCCACAATGCTTACAAATACAAGAGCACTGATAAAAGAAGGCTGCACTAATGGGCATGGGTCTCGGAAGAGCGCTCATGACACTCAAAATTGAAAACTCCAGTCGACGAAGTGTAGCTCAAGCAGAGTTGACTTTCAAGTCCTCATTGACGTTCTGCTGCCGCGTTAGATTTTGCGATGTCTCCAACTGTCTCTGCAATACGCCAACCTCGCATCCCCCATTTCATTGTATCGCGCTCTAGGAATTGCATTCTTGCGATGATTTTTGAGCATCAGAAGCTGATGAATAAAGAGGGTAGAGAATATTCAGAATGGAGAGAGAAGCTGGAGGCAGCCATGATGGGGCCCTCAACCAGGATTGGCTAGCGCACGGGTGAGTCACCACGGGGCCCTCCAACTCTTGCTGCTTGCTTTTCAGAGTCGGTTCTGCTTCAATACAACGAACATTTCGCGATTACTGTGTATCTTTCCGTACATCAATTCGTATCATGGTTCCAGGCGTCTGTATCATGTGCTCAGACACCGTCAGCCTTCAAGAATCTCATCGATCAGCTACAAATGCTGCACGGCCTGAAGAGAGCCAAGATGGCTTCTAGGTCATGAGGTTTTATCACTCTCGTCGAGGTCTCTGTTCATGTATCTGGCAAAATCAAATGCAGCGTCGAAAGGAACGAAGTCATATCAACGCGCTGTCGCAAGCTTCTCAGCGCGCCCGTCAAACAGGGCGGATCCTGAATGGGGTCCCGGCAACATCCATACCGTCAATCCTGCCGACGCATCTTGTCAATTATCCGCAAATTGGACATCTAAATGAATACGTACGCCTTATTCATCGATCAGAAGAATCTAGGATGTCACCAACGTCGATTCATGGAGGATGAGCGAAGAGAATCTGTCGTCTGAGGGCTGCGGTAAAACACTGCTTGCATGCGCAGAAGTCGAAGCGATGTTACCAAAGAAGGCACGTATGTGTCGTATCTCACTGTATGTTACATGTCTAGCCCTTCTGTAAGCATGTCACACACTAAGTCTGGACGCAGGCTGGCCGACTCGCAATGAAAACGTAATCTCTAGCGTACGTTAAGACCTCAGCGGCCATCAATAGACAAGACCTCTTCCGGATCTTTCAAATATTGCGGAGGCTGCTCTGTTCACTGTTGCATAGCTCAAGACGATTGGTACAAGAACAGCGTTGTCAAGGACAACACACGTTAGAGACTACGGCCTAGACCGATATTGGAACTGCTTTGTTGACCTGTCGAGGATCTGGCCTGGCCATACCCACGCAAATCTCCCGCCTACCCCAACTGGTATCAAGTTGTTGGAAGTGCAGACTACGGAGATCATGGACCCGTCGAACATGTTCATTCACACAACCTGGCCTGACAAATCGGCCGTCTAACTGGGGTCCGTAACCGCGCACACGAAGGGCGTAGACTTGCCTATGCTGTACCGGCTAAAGCTGATTGAACAAGGCGGACATGTACCCAGTAGAGGGCATTACCCCGTGCTTAGGATTTTTCCAGTCCTCGCTGCGTTAGCGCCAGATCCTTCGCGACGCACTCCGCCTAAAAAAACGCGACAACAAATTCAACACCGACCACATGCAAGGCCACAATGCAGGCACAGAGCCGTGCCCGTAGGTAGAAGACTAGCTTCTTGATGCATGCTTCGACCGGCAAATCATTTCTTGGCTGCCTGGCTAGGACCTGCGTACGAAGTAAATATCGCGTACGCAACCGAGTAGCGTCAAAGTCAAAGAGGGACGTCGGGAGTGGATAAGACCTGTGGACCTCCGCCACGGGCGTAAACTTGTGATCCTTCGCGATGGTCGCGCGGAGGACGGACCACTACGTGGAAGTCTGCCTTACTAGCACCATCTCTTCGTTTGGGAATAGATGTAATGGCTTAAGCATGTGGGTTAATATCTGAAGTCGTGCATATAAAGCCACCATGAGGCCTTATGATTTCAACATCAGCTTTCTAGCCCTCGCTTCACCTCATCAAACACCACTCAAACACACAAACGGCTCGAACTACCACCAAACTCACCATGTACACTCAGAGTCTCATCCTTGCGGTTCTGCCTCTTATGGCTCATGCTGTCGACATTATCCAGTTCGCCATCTGGGAAGACAGCGTTCCTAACACGGAGTGCAACCTCGACCTTGACGGCGCCTACTGTAAGCAATATCCCCCGTGCTAGCCAAATGTGAGTCATTTACTAATATTGTACATCGATGTTTAGTTATGTGCAGCAACATCCCTGCTGAAACTTGCTGTGCGAACTTCTGGAAGACCACAAGCTCTATTCTAGGTCGCGGCCTCAACAACACCCAGGTCGATGGCCGCGATCCAGACTCATTCGCCGTGTTCAACGGCGAAGACGGCGACCCATGCGCCGTGACTACGGAAAGCTACTGCGGCGGCGGCGGAGGTTTCGAAGACTTCTGCTGGGCTACCGATGGTGGTCAAGAAGGATGTGGTGCAAAGGAGACTGGAGGCTCACTCTGGCACAGCGGGGATGAACATCTGAAGGGGAGATTTGCCAAGAGGAATGTTGATGCCGTTAAGCCCAATGTAGCTGGGATTTGGGATGCGGTTGAACGCAAGCACCGTCACTTTAGGATTGGAGGCGACGTTCCTGCTGATGTTACTACCATTCTTGTCGAAGCTGTCAAAGCGAATGCAGGATACGGGTACCTTGATGAGTCGGTGAAGGCTCTTGAGATTACGGAATAAGTTTGGTTGGGATGGCATCGAGGTCTTGGACTGATGTGCATGTTAAGAAGAGGAACAGTGTTGGATTGTGTGCTTACGTGTCGACGAACCTATCCTACTTCTAGTGCGACAGTCACTCTTTTCGGGATTTCAATGAGAATTTGTTCTTGAGACTGAATATAACCATTCAGACCGCAGCTCCAATATCTATTGCTGTTCATATGTGAAGATGCTCGCCCACTCTTGAACGTGTCTATCATGTCTTGGCAAGTCTTTCTGCCTGGTTTCTTCGCTAGTATAAGATCGTGACTCCATCACCTCCTAATCCGAGAAGTTTTTAGCAGAGATTTTGGAGCTGGAGGTACAATTCGGCTTGCGTACGTATTACGGCATGCCCAGATGGGCCTCATTGCGGGGCTAACAGCACTAGCGGGGTAGCACATTGACATTGAACCGCACGTTGAATCTACAAAAGCCTATAACTCTCAGCGCTTTCTTTTTATCATCCTTTCTCTCTGGTGCAGAGAAGATGCGGAAGTTCGAACATCAGCCCGACAAGGGGGGCCCGAAAGGAAGTGCAAGGGCTATGGTGCAGCTACCGATAGCGCAACCAGCCGCTAAGCCAGCATCAAATGGGCCTTCGGACTCGCACAACATCACCTCATCGAGCGCCGACCCTTATCAAGCAGCTCGCGAAGCTCTCGACCATGATGGCTTTGTGGTTCTATCGGCTTCGCTCTTCCCATCTTTTGATCTCGACGCCCTTCGGGCTGCTGCCTCCCGCATGACAGAAGCAGCACGTTCTGGGAAGTGGCCATATATACGTACATTACCGAAGCAGTTCCCACCATGGCCGCAAGATCCTTCGAAAGGCATCTGGGGCGTGCAGCATCTGCTTCACCCGTCAAATCCCGATCATCTCACATTCGCGAAATCGTACTTTGACAGCGAGCTTCTGAAGTATGTCGCAGCACTGATTGGGTGTGGGGAGGATGACTTGACCATGGAGCTGTACAATATGCTGGTTCGCCCAGACGAGAACTTCAGTCTGCGTTGGCATAGAGATGATGTCGCAGCTACCGCAACGCCTGAAGAAGAGCTCGACCGATTGAAGAAGCCAGGACATCACGCGCAGTGGAATCTTGCGTTGTATGACGACAGCAGTCTTGTACTTGTGCCTGGTTCGCACAAACGCGCACGCACTGAGACGGAACGAAATGCGGACCCGTACGAAGCACACATGCCCGATCAGATTACTGTGCAGCTCAAGGCAGGAGAGGTAGCCTTTTACAACAATAACATCTTACATCGCGGTGTGTACGACAGTTCGAAAGAAAGGATGACCTTGCATGGAAGTATAGGGACGATACATGCGGGGAGTGAGCGTGCGAGGAATGTGCTGCAGCATGGTGTCGGTGATTGGTAAGTGTCTCGGTAAGGACTGCAGGTGTGACATACACTGACTTACCCCACCTACGGTTAGGGCCAAGGAATACGATTTCGAGGGATTTGAACCTGGCATGGCAGAAAGGGCGAAGAAGATGAGGGAGAGGCTCGTGGAGATGGGGCAGCGAAGCGGAGATGTTGGCTTCTTCTCGAAGGATGAGTGAGCTTGCGTGAGCAACGTCGAGCTAGGAACGGTTCTGAATGATTGAGAGAGCCAATGTAAGGGCGAATGGGTTGAAATCTTCTACGCAGACTCCTTGTGCTAAGCGTATGGGTCTCTCTGCGTAATCGAGGAAGATATCGAATGGCATCAGAAGAGCACTATAGGTACAGTACTGAAACTTGAGGGTTGCTGTAAGACCAGAATCTGATGATCGATGTTGTCACCTTGCCAGAACAATCACCCAGTACCTTTCGAAGGATGGTACACATAGTCTCTGTCACAGCGAGGCATCCGAATTAGAGGAAGGCTCCACGGTGCCGCTCTATCCCGTCGTAGTTGCTCGAGTGTAGATTTTACGATTGCTTAAAATCTGTCTCCGAACCTGACCTCGGGAACGCACTCAAGCATTCGTGTCTACTGCCGAGCCCTGGAGTCAAGTCAAGACGTCTAAGAATTTGCAACGCTACTATCGATAGAGGGGTAGCTCAGTGGTACAAGTCCGTGGCGTTCCAGACCCACAGCCCAGTCAAATCCTTCACTACCCCTGAACAACCCCGAATCAACTCAAGATGCTCCAATCCTCACGTCTAATCCCCCCAATGCGCCCCCTTCGCGTAAGTTTGCTGGGAATATATTGACTCAATTTGATAATTCCTTCATCAACAATACCTCCAATCTGCATCGGTGGTTTAGTGGTAAAATTAGCCGTTGCCATGCCTCACAGCACAGTTTCGGCTAGCCCCGGGTTCGATTCCCGGCCGATGCATTCCTTTTGCCATCCTGCACGCCGTTGTGATGGTGATGGTGAGGTGGAAAGACATGGTTTTTTGCAGACCTGCGCGGGGTCACGTGTCAGTGGGGTGCCGCCAACACCGGGTGTTCTAAGCGCCACCTAACAGCGGGGTACAATGCAGGAAGTCGTCACAAGGATTCCGCATTTTTGCTCCTTGGTCTGGCTTGGAGCTAGCACGGCGTGGACGGACAGTTCCGAATGTAGTTATATAGGGCAGATTTCGCGACAGTCTTCTATACTTCCTAAAGAGGAGCCTTGGCGCAATGGTAGCGCGTTGGTTTTCGGCTGAAAACATCAATCACCAAAGGTATGGGTCTCCACGCCTCCAGACATCCAGCAGACTCTAACAGATGACAGGTTGTGGGTTCGATCCCCATGGGCTTCGCTTAATTTTTGCTTTTTCCATTGGCTTGAGACGGTCTTCAAACATGCCGATGCTCTGTCTGGAGTTGCATGTTTTGTTGTGGTCGTTCTTTTTGCAATCTCCACCATCTCTACGCCTAGTTTCTTTGTCGCTTCGGGTACTGAACACGATCCACGGTAACTAGTCAGACGTTCAACAAGCGGTTGGTATAATGCCAAACAGGCTGTTGATATCTCCATCCTCCCGGTGGCAGAATGCGGGATGACATACGTGCAGCCATCGATCTTCACGTTTCAGATGCATCGACCGAACCCAGCGACCAGGTCGCGTTGCTGTCAAGGCAATTGAGACCAGCAACTTGACGCACATAAACAAACCTGCCGGGTCTACAGCGGAAGATCCTTGCGTCATCTTGGGTAAATCAGGGTTCGGGAAATTATGATACCCGTTCTTGTCGATCAGATAACCTTGAATCTGAAACGCGGTGACCAAAGAGTGGATACGACTCAACGGTGCATGTGGGTTGGCTCCTCAACGACACGGAGGCTGACGTGTCTTTGCAATGATGTCAGATGAAAGATCAGCGGAGAATATGAGATTCGACGCTGACGGGTTTGGGATCAGCGCGGAGTTTTGGATCCTGCGCTTTGTAAGGGCTGTGGAGTATACAGCCTTTGACAGAGTAGATAGATGGTCAGCAGAAGGGTATTCCCACCATCGTGCCAAGTTCCCTAGCAATCAGTTATCTCTCCACTGGACAAGCATTGATCTTCCAGCCACACGTAGGTCAAGATGTAATGCATCCCTGAGACCCGACAGAAAAACCATGCGAGAAACGTCCCAGACCCAATTCAAGCTGTCTGAAGCGGTCAGAATGCAGCAATTTCAGCACTACCTCCCGTCCTTGGCGGTTGACCAGCAAATCCACACAACCGCGAACGTTACTATATGACAGCGCTACTATATGATGGTTTTCGTGCTCAGCTGTTTTCGCGTGGGTTGTTTGCAAAGGATGGAACACGCCTGCGTGCTGGTGGTGTGTGTTATCATCCCAGGAGGTCGTGTGCATAGAGCTACACAGCTTCTACACCGACAACAGGACAGCACATCCAGTTCCATGGCGCACTGTTGCATGAGCATTGGAGATCCCGCAGACAGCGGGTCGACGGCAATCGACGATCGGAACGAATATCCAAGCGAGACGTTCTAACATCAAGCGCGTTCCAATTGGCTGTAGTGGTCACAAATGCGCAGGCTACATTGTTAGTAAAAGGCTATACCCTGTGTGACGTTGACCAGAGCAGCCACAAAAGCTTCCTCGTGCGTGCTTGGCCGGTCTAGACAGCGATTGGACGCATGTGGGGTGCCAGACGGGTAGATGAGCCAAAATGCTTGATTGGTGGGTGGTAAGAAGTTCTCTCCAGATACTCGTTGAGAATGCTCTAGGTCGATGGACGCGTGGAGGCTAAACACGACGGCTACAGTCGCTGGGTGGTATTGAAGTCTGAGAGTGTGTTTGCGCAGCTGCCGCGGACACGGAGAAGCGTCAAGATTGACATCGTGGCGATTGAGATCTGGAATTCGATACTGGCGGATGGACTAGGTATAATAATACCCCAGAGATGCAGTGGATCAGTCGAGAGCATGGGCAACCAACCAAGCCTTGGTGCTGTCGGGTCGAGAAGTCAGACATGGTGATGTGTTGACACGCACAACGATCGGTTGCAATTGCCTTCCTTGCAGTGTCCAAGATACAGCAGGTAGCTTTTGATCGGCGAGCTGGATTTGCGTCTCGGCATAGGCATAGGAATAGGAATAGAGCCTTCATCGAGAAGGGTGGTTCCTTGCGACTACGATGAAGTACCGCCAATTTGGATACCTGGCTAGCTCCGCGAGAGTCAATTCTATATGCGTTGTGCTAAAGGCTAGCGCGAATGCTCCGCCTGGACGAGTCTCGGGATTTTCTTACTGCCGAAGAAGGCGAAAGAAAATGATGCACAAGAGGACCGTGAAGACGTGTGGGTGAGGGCTGGTAGTGACCGTGGATGATTCCCGAAAGAGCAGGAGGTTTTCTTCCATCTCTCCACACGGGTCGTTGATTGGCCGACCTGCTCAAAATAGAAGCCGCACTGATCGCGTCTTTCTGATGATCGCGTCACCCTGGCGAGAAAAGCGGGGCACAAAAAGACATGGTGGAAACAGGCAAACCCACCCTCGAACGCCATGAGCTGCGACGACGCGCACCACTGGCATTTCTGCACAGTAGCAGAGATGGGACTGCTAGGCGCGTCTCGAGTGCGGTTGCGCAATTACAGGAAATGATGTTGTGCCCCGACAATGCACATCAAACAGCTCTCATCTCGCTGAGCCGAACATCCTCGTCCCGTTCCCCACGGCTTGGGGAACATCGCAATCCGCAAATTTCATCACGGGGATGCGATGCTGCACGAGTCTCGCGGAAGGCCCGACGTGGTGCCGGGACCCTCTGGAATGGTGCCATGCATGCAGTGCCGGAAGCAGGAGAGGTGGGGAGTGGTGGTAGAGCCGTGGCATCAAGTAGGCACAGTAGGCACGGAGTAGCAAAGGGACGGGAGACTGGCGCGCAATGAGCGGGGTACAGACATGTCGGTGAAGCATCAACATGGCGAACGAGGGCTTTGGAGCGTCGTTATCGCAGCCCGCCAGCGACCTAACGAGCCCACCGCTACTCAGCAACTGCTGCAAACGGCTGAGCCGCAGGTGCGGTGGGTCGCGCGACGCCGGGCTCGCGCTGCGGATTGGCCGTCGAGGTCCCTCGCAGAGGCGAATTCGTAAGTGTTTACCAGATCGCGTCGTATTTGCTCGGCCTAAGCGCAACGCGTCGACGCACCAGCCGCGACAGGAGGGTTTGCAGGCAGTGTCCCGTTGCCATGCAGCGAGAAGCTTCCGAACGGCAGGGAGGGGATGTGGCAGGATCAACATGTGGTTAGAGGTGCAAATGGGCCGCCGCGATATTGTTGCTTAGATCGGCTGCGCCCGAGCACTATATGACGGGGGAGCGACCAGGGTCAAAGTGAAGCTGGCGAGGTGAGGTGATGGACGTTGTCTTCACAACGTCGGGGCGGATGAAGCTCAGCGGGCCATCGGCTATGAAGATTTGCGTGAATACGGTGGGCGGCAGCGGCCCTGGACAGGCACGAGCCGTGAGGCCATGGAGCCAGAGACACAGTACATGTTCAGCAACATGAAGTGTACACGGCCTGCGACAGGTTGGCCGCACAGGCAGGCTGGCATAAAGACGCTGCTGCACCTGGCGAGGCAGGGCAACGTGCTCGTTGTCTGGCGTGAGGAAGTTATTGAATCTCCTAGACCTAGCCGCGCCCGTCCGTGCGTGCTCCAGAGACTAGTGCGGCCCCTTTGCCTGACAACCTCAACTCTTCACCGCGACGGCCAACCTCACCCTCCCTCTATTATTTCCTTTTCTGCTTGCTTGTTGAATCGCACGTCGTTGTCAGCAGCAGAAGACCGACTCTCCACGACCGACCAATGCAGGCTTGAACAACTGCTCGGGAGGCTTGGTACACGCTGCCATCTCCGTCGATTCACGACAGCCTTCCCAGCGCTTGACGACGTTACATTCTATTCTCTGTTTTAATACTTTGTCCGTTTTGTTTCATAGCAGGTACACTTCCCCCAGCTGCCCGTCGCCGCCCCAGGAGCCCCAACACAGGCCTGCCTGCCCCCCCAATGCCCCGTCCCTAAAGGCCACGCTCTGGTCGCCTGCCTCCCGTCCGCGACCGCGGCCACAATGCCCCATCGCTCCACCACCCGCAGCCTCCGCCCTCACAGAACCCCCTGCTAATGCGCCCGCTCTCTATAGATCTTCCCTTGCCTGTCTCCGTCGCCGCTGCCTGCCACCGACGAGTCCTCGCCCACCCCCGTCGAGCTCCTGATAGCGCTACCTCGCAGGCCTCCGATGGCTCAGGTACTGACATCAGTCATCCAGACGACAGGACCCATTACAATGCCCTACTCGCCGTCCGATGCCTACAAAAACACGCCCAACCACCCCAACCAGCAACAACAGCGGGCCTCGCAGATGCCGCGCAACCAGCAGAATGGGAACTCGGGAGGCACTGGATACAGAGGGACCGCCGCACCCATAGCCCCGTATGCCTTCAACAGCACGCCCCAGCTACGTCAGGACAACAGGTCTGCCTCGACACCAGCCCCCCAAACCCTGCAGCAGCCCCCCAGCCACGCCAACCAGACACGACTCGGCCACCCCTCTCATCCCTCCTCATCCTCCGATTCCACAGTCTCAACCTCTGGCTCGTCCAACCGCTCGTCGGCTGGGCCACCCGCAGCTGCCAGAGATGACCGCGACACCAAGAAACCTTACGACTCCGCTGCGCCCTCCATCACATTATCCACCTCCATACCCGATCTCTCGCTTTCAATAGGCGATACACCTGCCAAGCCCTCTCCGGGACGATACAGGCGAGGCGCTGGACGGACAGACTCGTCCAACAGCATTCCGACCGGTGCCTCTACCCCGACGCAACGCTCCACATCAGGAGGAAACTCCCAGATGGGCTCATCGCAGCCCACGCAGAGTGACGGCCCACCGCCGTTCAGGCCAGGGCACAACCGAGCAAACAGTGCAGATGATACGCAAGTTATTCGCTCAGGCGGTATAGACCCCGCTAAGCGATATAGAAGACGCAGTTTCAACGGACTGGAAGGAGACAACAACGTTACCTCCGCCATGGCATCATTACAGGTTAGCTCAGGAGCTGGTTCAAGCACGACGCCGAGCGTGACCACCACCGCGCCCTCCAATTCGAATCGTGCAGGAAGCCGCCCCGATTCGAGTCACAGTCATGAAAGGCAAGGCAGTGCAGGCAGTGCTTCCTCTAACAACTCTTCGAGGTCTCAGGTAAGTACAGTGATTTCACCAGACTTTCGCAAGCTGACAAGGTTTTCAGTCTCGCCCAGTAGTAAACACACAGCGCAGCTATGCCTCCGTAGCAGCCGGCGGCCCTTCCAAAGCACCTGAACCTAACAGGCGGCAAGCTCCATCTCCACTGTCGCACCCGGTCTCCCCATCAGAGCCTGCAAGCCCTGCGAAGGGACCTGCATTACCTAGCACAGCGATGCAACACCTCAACGCTGTCAACGACAAGGACAAGGGAATGAAGTCGCGGCTACGCAGAGCCTTCTCTTTTGGAAGCGCAGCTGAGCTTCGCAAAGCTTCTGCTGAGAATAACATCTCGGCAGAGCGTGCAAGATTGAGGAAAGACAAGTACCAGAACGACGAGGATGCCGAACAAGCAGCGATTATCGCAAAGCAAGAGGCGGCAGGTATTGGCGCTGGCATCTACTCAGGACAGGGTGGCATAGGCTCTACTGACAATCTCTCGATACAGTCAGCCGCGTCGTCTGCGTCAGTCATGCTCCGCAAGATGGGTCATGGCATGAAGAAGGGCACAAAATCCATCAAGGGCCTCTTTAGGCCAAAGTCTGTCATTGGAGTCCCTGCTGCCGATGGACCCATTACTAGACCCAGCGTGGGTCAGGTGTCTCTTGTGACCGTCGAGGCCGAGAGACAAAAAGTCAATGTCAACGCAAACCCCCACGAGCAGATCGGAGGTGGCACTGGCTATCCTAGATTGGAGCGCAATTCGATTGACGCCGGACGGTCTGCAGAGATTGTAAACCCCTCCGCGTTGGGTAGCGAAGCTATGTCAAGGAAGAGCATCGTTGGGTCCGATCGCGATCGTGCGGAGGTTCTTTCCTCGATGAAGAAAGGCATCCTGAAACGTACGTGTGCTACAAACTCCTCAAATGCAGCTTCTGACGAAACCTCAGGCACCGGTACAAATTCAGATTCAGGATCACCTGTTCTGAAGCCCGTCGATGCCATCCCCAACGTGGGCTCATCAAGATCTAGCTCCCCTGCTACGCCAAAAACAGAGGTCGGGCAAGCTCGCAACGATGACTACTTCGGTAAACCACCGCGTATTCCCAACGGCAGCACGAGAAGTCTTCCTACTACACCTCACGGAGGTCTTCGAAACATCAGTTTTAGCCCACGCATCCAATTCCACGATGCATGGTCACCACAGGACTACGATCGTAGAGGCGACATCGCAACGTGTAATAGGCTTACACCGATGCTTGCGCAACAGATCAAGGAGGAACTGAACTCCTTTAAGATGGTATGTACCGCAGCTAGAGCACGATTACTGGAGCGACGCTGACCACTTGAACAGGAGATGGAAGTTCACGAGCTCTCGAAACCACACACCCATTTCTTCTAATGATTATGCATCCATCATTTGGACATGGCGTCTTGGCGAATACCTCTCATCGTTGCACTTGCGGATTGGAGCCATCAGCATTTACCAGTTGTCAGCTCTGTTCCATGTTCTGGTTACTACGGACTGTTCTTCCATCTTAGCGAGCATTTGCAATCACGTAGAGGAAGAACGCTTGCTCGCGTGTGGGCTCAGCAGGCGAAGTAATTGTTGGCATCGGATTGCAAAAAAGACGGAGGGAGATCTTTCTAGTTGAAGCCAACCTTTTCCTTGCCTTCATCGTCTCTATTCGTGGTCCAGTCGTATGTTGACGTCCATTTCCTTTACCGTCAGACGTGTGTTTGTCTCTCATTACTTTCCTTGTGTCAGTATCAGTCATGGTTGAGGGGTATCTGCGTTGTCTACATCGGAGAGATACAGTGTGTGAAAAGGCGAGCTGGACGCACTTGGCTGGCGCAAGAGTCCTTGGTAGTGACTTGTGCTGATTAGCTTGTAATTGGAAAACAATCTTCGGCGCATCTCTGCTCTATGGTGCACCTTGACATCGAACGGGATTCCCCATTTGCACTTCGTCTGCGTGCTGGCGCAGGGCTTCGCATCCGTGTGGAACATGTATTGATCTACACTGCACTTTACTAATGCGTGATCACGCCCAACCAACCGCGTGCTAAATTTGGTGCACACATCTCTCCGAACCTCGTATGCTCGTGCCCTGCAGCGTTGCATTGATGGTCAGACCCCCGCGTATCCATGTCACGTTTGGTAGTTTTCGACGACAATCTCCGAAGTTCACACACAGACATTGTTCTCTTTCATCCGCCAACGACAGCTTGATAGTCGTCAAGACTATTTTATGGCCTTGCCGCCGTTCACCAAACCACACCTTCCTGTTCAAGCACGTCATCATGATCACGTCGGATTGGTTGCATACATTGGCGGTTTAGGCGCTAATCTTCCAATTCATTGAAAGCATCGTTTGGGAAGCATGTCCGCAATCTAAGGGAACGCGTGATCATCCCTCATAATGTGCGACATATGACTCCTGGCAACGGTCTAGGAGCGCTAAGGAGATCGAAATCGTAGGTATGTGTGCGGCACCCGAGTGGGCACTGTTGGCATGGAATCTCTGGAGAACAACGCCCAGATGCTGCACGTGTCTACGATTTGTATTTTCGTAGCTAACCTGAAACCTAAACTCATGCGAACTAGCGCATACATTTGAATAGCATGGAAGAATTGCGTCACACATTCCTTGGACTTTACCTCGAGTAGGTCGCAGAGTTGAGTGGTTGATCACGTGGGAAGGTAGCTCGCTTGGTTAGCGCGCCAAGGAAGCGCACCTTCTCCGCTCCCGAGCAAGTCGAAATTGACCTGAGTTCGACCGTCTCTCCTCAGCAACCACACAACAACCGACAAAATGGTACGTCTAATGCGCGGTAGAGATACCCAAAATGAAGATAGTTGGGGCTGACCGTTATACAGGCACCTGCAGCAACTGGAGGCAAGAAGCAGAAGAAGAAGTGGTCCAAGGGCAAGGGTACGTGATCCAGCACTGCACACCATCAGCATATCTATACACCTCGCGAACACGTCGGAAACGCTCGAAACCCTCATCCATACTCCCGCATTACTGTTCCACCATCGCGCACTTCCACATGACTCCAGAGTCGATTTGCCACTAACACCTAAGCAGTCAAGGACAAGGCCCAGCACGCTGTCGTTCTCGACAAGCAGACCAACGACAAGCTCCAGAAGGATGTCCAGTCCTACCGCCTCATCACCGTTGCCACTCTCGTCGATCGCTTGAAGATCAACGGTTCGCTCGCGCGTCAAGCCCTCAACGACCTCGAGGCCAACGGTCAGATCAAGAAGGTTGTCGGACACTCTAAGCTCAGCATCTACAGTATGTCACCACAATAGCACTTCCAAAGTTTCACGTGTTACGAAACCTTGGAATTCTTGGAGATCGGTATGAGCGTTCACTAACATACTACAGCACGAGCTGTCGGCGCCGCCGAGTAAGCCTTACGCAACCGACAATCAAACGAACGTAAATGCGAATCTCGGATACCTCTTTCAGCTTTCTAACGGCATTCCTCTTTCCATTACCAATCGGCGTCTTCACGAAATGAACGGGTCATACTACATTGGGATGCATGCTTCATAGCGGACATGAAATGAGAGGAACGGGCTCGGGTACAGCACCTAGAGTCCATTGGAGGTGTCGGTCATGTACTGAATGAAAAGACTTCCGAAACACCACCACTCAACTTGACTCTGTTATTAGTGAAATTGTTCGTGTACTAATGCTTAGTCTACGCTATAGAGTGTCCATTCGTACAACCGTGCTTGTCATGATTTTGTCATTACTCGTGCCATCTCCCCTTGTTGCGGCTTTTGCAAGTATACTAGCGCTGATGTCTGGCGTCATGTCAATCGCAAATTCCGCTCTTACTGTCTTGCTCAAAGTTGCCATAATACTCTGCTCTCTCCTTTGGAGACGTACCGCCGACAGGTTTCTGTCTTCCTTACACCCCTCGTCCTCATTATGACTGCTCACGAGGACCTGTCCGGCCAGAGCGCGAGCACATATTGATCAACTTGCGGACATGTACCATCTGAAGAAAGATTGAATTCATGCCTCTGCTCTCTGATTTAGGTCCGCATACTGCCTGGGGCGAGATTTTCTCCTACTACACATACCTCGCATTTCATCTCGGTCTTAGACAATAGTAAGAGTACACGGAGGCGGAGGAACAGGCTCTTGGTCTGGACTGGTTGGAAAACTACAACTTCATCTCATCCAGTCTCAGGCGTGGCACGTCCGTCCCTTATACGCTGGTGGAAGTCAAAATCTCTGGTATATTATAGCCATCCCTTCCTCCTTCGCTCTCTGTTCTGAATCACATCATCTCGTTTGTAGTGTGGAAACGTTCGTTTTTTCAGGTTGCAAGAAGTCACGCGACAGTGTTCCCTTAAGGTGCACACTGGTTTTTTGTTGTAACGGATTAGCCATGTGGACCTATCAAATGCCTCACAATTTGCCTCGATCTAAGAAGACATACTTCATTGTAGCGCAGCCAAACTCAATTTGCGCGCAAGTTGAAGGAGGAGATTCGGGGTATGGGAATAGTCATTGGACATGTTCTACAATAGGAAGGCTGGGGATGCGGGAGTCAAATTTGTGCGTATATACACAACGGATCTACACCTCAAAGGCTAGGATAGTATGCAGACGCAATCTTAACCTATTATTCATACTTCCGGACCGGCCTACCCTTTTCGGCCTGTTCGCACAAGCCCCTCTTAGGCATCTTGTCCTGCCATCCAGGTTCCCTCTTAACATAGCCTACCCGCCTATACGGCTTACCCTTGTCTCCACGGAACAACATGTGCCAGCCCTCCAGTCCAGCAACCATCTGTTTCCTGGCGCTCTTGAGTTCCTGTGCACGCCTGTTCTTCAATTCACCTTTGCTCAACGGTTTCCTCTTCCGCGCCTTTTCAATCTCCACCTCTCTTTCTTCTGGTGTCAGACCGACTTTCTCTTCAGGGTCAACGGGTATGAACATTTCCTCTACGCCGCGTAGGTCGGGCACAGTGTCTTCGGCGAAACAACCCGTAAGGAAGGCGCGCGCTGCGTCTTTGCCCGCGAAAAAGTGGTATGAGCCGCCGGGTCCGTAGGTCGTAGGCGAAATGGAAACATCGTAGATTGTGCCGTTTAGAGCGAGGTAGATTGGTTTCGAAGGGTCGCTGCCGTCATACAGAGCCAATTCAGCATCGGTCAGGGTGAGTTCTCCTTGCTACGTGTCATATTAGCTACGAGTGCTTGTTTTAGAATGTGGAGGAGAGACATACCATAAGGCTCTTCCACTCTCGAGCTCTAGTCCACCATGCATTGTATCCCCATGTCATGCTCTCTCCGCTTGTACTCAGATAGCTCAGCCCGCAACTTAATAGGAGGACGCCACCTAGTATGCGCAGTATGTCCAGCACGGATAAGCCATTTGATGTCGCAACGGCTTGCTCCTTGACGGCTTTCTTAAGCTCTGCTTTCTCTTGAGCGCCCGAGGAGGTTGGAGGAATGGAGGATGTAGTTGCGTCTGTGGGCTCCTCTTTCGCAGAACGGCGGTATCGCTGTGATGAGGACATTATGACGGTGGTAGTGATGGAGATATGTCCGGATGCACTGCCTTATTCACGTTGTCAGTCTACATATAGTAAGAGTTGCTCAAAGACCTCCATACCTGTTCGTCCAACACTTACGCAGCTCAAAGTGTGGTACTCCCACGTCAACGTCACCCAGATACCGAGGCACAACCCTAATTAGCTACCGAAGAGAGTATTCGGAGACGTGTCCGCAAGCCAGGAACCGTCGGATGCGCGATGCGGAGAATAGATTGCTTTCGCCTGCGCGTTCCGAGGCGCTGCTGTCGGGAAGTACCACAATCTCGGTTCCGATGATTGGCCACTTTGAGATTGATGTCATTGGCGATCCTGGCCAAGACGCTACTACTGAACTATCACTATTGGACAACTTGCAATGGATGAGATCGGCATGAAAGACTTGGAATCGCATAACTCGCAGAGTCGATACGCATTATTTCTGTAACTAGGCTACTGTACGATATCGCATGTGTCATGCGAACATATCACTTGTGTAGTGATGCAACCCTTCTTTCGTGTGTATGTACAACGTCCATGTTCCATCTTATTTCCACTGGTTGTGTGGTGTGCATGATGAAGGGATCGTGGCGTTTCCTGCCTCTTAGAGTACACAATTGTTCAGTGGTCTCTCCTGATTCAACGAGAATCACCCCGATCACTCATTCAACGCCGTCGTGAATATCGCGGATCTCGACTTGCGCTTCTCTGTCGCTCTTGGGGAAGACTTTTTTGAGTCCTGCTTGGAAGACGCCAACGTTGTAGTCGATGATGGCTTTCTTTTCCGCTGGATTGTCCTGGCCCATGATGCATACTAGAGCGAGATATCTGTATCCATTGTTAGTACACTCATGATTCCATAACCACGCAGGTAGTCGGCTTACTTATTAATCTCCCGCAAGTAAAGATACCTGCTGTTCTTCTTCTCCATGGTGATCAGACTCTCGGCATCGTTGTTGCCAGTCTCACTCTCGTCCTCGCCCTCATCGGGTCGATCCCAGCCATAGATCTCGCTAACATCGATGACCACATCAATGTAGTCGGAGCATATTTCATAGCTGCCAATATCGGTCGGGCTTGTATCTGTTGCGATGTAGATCTTGCTCATGATATCGAAGAGGTAGGCTTTCTCGATGTTACAGGCACCACACAAGTTGTTAAGCAGCGCTTCGAGGGTGGGAAGCTGTGGGATGAGCTTTTGGATCACCTTGCTAAAGGCTTCAAAGATGGAGTGGTCATAGATGGAAGTTTGGTAGAAAGATATGGGCGCCTGCTCATAGCCGTGATCCGAAAGTTCGTCTTGCACGCGTTGAATGATGTCGCGGAAAGTGTCGCCGCGGAAGTCATCTGAAAGACCGTCGACCTTGTGCACGAAGACCTCCACATTGATGTTCGGGTATGACTGCTGGAGATTGAGGATGGTCATGTTTAGTCGCGCAATTGCATCGAGATATTCATCTTGGGCATCGATAACCCATATCAGAGCTCCGATCTCCTCGAAGATGTTGTCGGTATCGAAGGCTGGATCAAAGTAGTCCAGATGGCCTGGCAGATCCCATACTTGAAAGTCCATGAACGAGCTAGCGTTGTTAGTCAGCCATGTATGCGTACACTTGATGGTTAACGTACTGCATGGACTCTTTCTTTATCCTGTACGTCGTTTCGAGGTACAGCGTCTCGCTTGGCGGCAGCTTGTGAAAGACGACACTTGATATCGAAGACTTGCCGCTCCTGCAGATAGATGGTTAGCGAGCTCAACACGCTGACCTCGACGGATCTCACCTCCTCTGGCCCATGAGCAGCAATCGTGGCTTGCCATCTCCCGCCTTGCTATTGGGGACGCGACCAGTGTGATACTGCGGCGCAAAGTCAACAGGTGGTTGCTCTGCGTTTGATAGATCCTGCAGAAAACGGTCCATGGTCAATTGAGCACTTGGTCTGAGTAAAGATGAACTAGCGGATGTCCGCCTCTCCTCGGCGCCATCGTCTCGAACAATGTCGCGAGCAGCATCGAAGGTTGCTGAAGGGCGGTGTGAAAGAAAGCGGCTCTCCATGGTGGTGCTTAGTGGTACAGGGTATATCGCTAAGAGCAGAAGTCGCAAAACTAAGAGAAAATTGGGTATCGTGGGTGAAGAAAGCGCCGCGCCGAGGAAAGACAGAAAACAGAAAGCCGGCCCTTCCTATCTCCCTTCAGCTGGCAGGCATCTGCGCAGTGAAGCGTGCTACTCTCGTGGGGGAGTGACAGGCACGCTGCGACAACGTGTGGTACGAGACCAGCAGGGACAGGCCACGAGGGCGGGCGGTACATGCAAAGGAGAGCTGGCAGAGAAGCGACGAGTCAATCAGGAGCCCCCGTGATGTTCTACAACAACAGTCGGTGATACGCGCAAGGCAATCGACACCGAGCGGAAGGCACCCAGGGAGCTCAGGCCATGGTGCAGACGTACATAGGGCTGAGGAAGTCGCGACACAACCTCCGGGGCTTTGCCGGTGACCTAGCTAGATAGGGAAGACGACGATACACGTGGGGAAAGCAAAGGAGTAAAAGAAGGAATCTGGGCTTACCTCCATGGTTGTTCAGTGGTAGTGTAGCGTCTTTGCGTTGTGCACGGTGGTGATAGTCTTTAGGCCCGAGCCTGCCACTGCCCCAGAACCGCTGTCCTTGCTGATGAGCCGACGCCCAACCCGAATCGCGCCTTCAGCCAAACACTCGGGAATACTATAACTCTTCCAGGAATGCGTGGATTGCCCTCTGACAGGATGCCCGCCCTGCAATTTCACTTTTTGCAACCACTCTCTGTTGGCAGCCAGCAGCCGAAGAAGCCGGGTCGGCAAGGATGGCTCTCCGCGCGCGCCCAGTCGTCGGGCACCAGAGCGTCACTGCAACACGCTTCGAGGCCGGGTCGGAGACAAGTCAGTGCTGCTGATAAATAGCCGCAATAGTACGACGCTGAAGCATCTGGAAACGTCGTAGAAGACGGAGAGTGTCATTGTGAGGAGGCGGTTGGTCGCGTGCAGGCCATGTTCGCTTACGGTAACAAGGGAAGATCTTCAGGCACCATTCTGTCCTCGTCCCAGCTCTCCAACACCAGCCCAACTTCGATGAAGAGCAAACGCCCTTGTATACTGTGGCTTGGGACAGTTACCCGATTAGTCTTGTGCCGAACTCTACCTCCGTCAGCCCAACCTTACCTGAGTCAAGCTGACGATATCACCGCCGCATGGCGGACAAGGATTTGCTCTCGCGGATAGCTATCCGCGGCAGCAAGGTTACACTGCATGGCAGAAACTATTTCTGAACGTCATCGATACAGTGCTGTGTGCCCCTTTACTGTCAGATGGACGTCGGACACGTGTATGAGTCCAGTCAGTAAGACATGTCAACATGCGCGTTATCGTCACTTTGCTCGTCAACTTGATGACTTCGCGCATGCTTTACGTTTTATCCCTACAAACACTGTATTCCAAAAAGCAATATCAAAACGACCCGACGCTCCGGCCCACCCGGGGTATCCGAAATCAAAAGCCAAAGCCGCTATTCCCATCCCTCCTTGTTCCCGTACACCAAAGGCCCTGTACGCCTACCCTAAACAGCTCATAAATTGCGTACTCTTCAGGTTGCCAGATGAGAACATGATTCCCGATCGTTACTCGGGCGATCTGAAGTACAGTACAGTACCCTCAACTGCTTCAGTCTCGCGGTCCCGTCACCTCGGCACCCAGCGTACCCGCAGCTAATTGACCCAGTCCACCGAAGAAGACAAGAAACATGGCTAGCGCAGTCGACTCTCCCGCGTGAACTAGATCGCCCTCAGGCGCGGAGCCGTCTGACTCCATTCCCTGTATAGCGCGTTTGGTCTGCTCGGATGGTTGGTATGTAGCATCAGGGTCACCAAAAAATGAGCCTACGTTAGAATCCACATCTGAAGTGCGCGCTTTCCCTCGCGTGCTGCGTCTGAGAGACGCACCCGTGGCTGCGGAATTGGATGTACCATTTACATCAGCCTTCTTTGCCAGGCGCCCAGGCTTCCTCGGCGTAACGGGCTCTAGCGGCGACGAGAACTCGCTCGCATGCTCCATCACTCTCGCCAGGTCTTGCTTGAATGTGACGTGTTTCTCGTGAGTGGGAACGAGGAAAGAAAGTATGCTGCTTTCTAGGATCGCATGCACATCTAGATCGCGCGTGAAAGTCCACGTCAGCAAGCTGATGGCAGCAAAGAGGACGTCGAGGCTGGTGACACTGATAGCCGGGTGCATGCTGATGTGCTTGAGAGCTTGGCCCGCGTTGCTGATACTTGCGAGAAGCCTGTTTGCATTCGCCGAATCGCTCTTGGCAATAGAATTCGCGAAGAGATCCCAAACGTGGGAGCGCTGGGTAGGTCTGTTGACGTACACCAGAGTAGTCCACACACGCCAGTATACGAGGATAGAGGCGATTGACAGCGCGTGGAAGACTTTGACGTATGATCTATGAGCCGCTGCTTTGGACGTATGCTGATGACCCAGTGCGTAGGGAACTAGCTGTGGCGCAAATGCAAATGCAAGTGGCATGGCCAGGTATCCGAGTCGCATCATGCTCTTGTCGCCAAACTCGGAGACTAGTTGTGGAAAGAGATTCAGAGTAATGAGCGACGCAACGATACCAGTGTCGTATACGAAAGCATATGGTGTGAACAGCGCGTCATGTAGCGGGGTGTCATCGTGGTGTATGGTCAAAGGCGTATACAAGATGGTGATGAAGAACAAACTCAAAGAGTATCCTAAGCTTCCAATGGAGCTCAGCAGTACGAACGACGCAATCGTTGTGTTGGAAAGATTGCGCCTGCGGCCTAAAGATGACCAGTCAGTGAGGGACTTGGACAACCTGCCTCAATGGCGTTGCACATACCTTCAGCGCCCATGAATATGGAGCTTGCGATCAGTCCAACGAAATACTGGCTAGTGTACAGAAACCCCTCCGGTTTCATTATTCCAACTTTATCAAACTCGCGCACGAGATCTATGTCCGCGATCCAGTCGGCTAGATACCATCTCCCTTCCTCGCCGGTACCGTACCAGCCACTCCAGAGGCTACCTGGAATGTCATGTGTATTCTCTCCAGCCCACCGCACGTAGGAGATAGCGCGCCAGAGAAAGGCAAAGCTGCCGACAGAGAGTAGTGAGAGAAGCGCAATGACGGAGAAGGTAATGGCATGGCGGCGGCGAGCGGGGTCTTGCGAGCGCGTGCGCGTTGATGGTGGTTGAGATTTGGCGGCGCGTCGAGTAGTGAGAAGTACACGAGCTGTGAGCAGTGTAACGAGGAGCACTTGGCCGCCGAAGAGGGCGATGGGGAGTGAGTTGCTGCGCGTAGATGCGACGGTATCGACTGGCGCCATGATGTCGGCTCGGTGATGCGATCAGTGATAGAGTCAAACGCGCATTACGCGACAGCAACGGTGAAGTTTAAGAGACAGAAGCAAGCCAGCCCAGCTCAAGGCATGTCTCGCTTGTTTTGATCTGGAACGCGCCTGCCTCCCCGCCCACGTCACTGACGTATGAACATCCAGATGTCTGGAGCTCGCCCTGGCGCCAGGCTAGACCCCATTGGTCTTGGCCGTCGATCTGGCGCATCTTCGTTTTGGCTTGCGCGACGCGATCCCAAGCCTCCGACTCAACACATACTTTACCATGCCACACACTTATGGCGACGAAGACCTCGAGAACGTCGACGAGAAGTACCATGAGTCGTCCGATGAGGACTTCAATCCTGAAGCCGCTCCTCCCGAAGAGGCATCCAGCTCCGAAGACGAAGACCATGTCACGATAGAACCCACACAGCGCAAGGGCAAGCGGAAAGCGCCTGCCGATGAAGACCTTGATTCTGGAGACGAAGTGACAATACAAGCTGCGCGGAAGAAGCGCGCAAAGAAGAAGAGGAAGAAAGGTGGCAACAATGATGGAGACGAGCTGATCATATCAGATGATGAAGGCGGGGAGGGCGGGCTCATCAAAACGCGGGCGCAACGGAGGATTGAGGGAAAGGAACGGAGACCGCTTGCAAGGACCGAGGGCGCAACTGTGGATGTCGATGCGCTATGGGCTCAAATGACAGCAGCGCCTCTGAAGCCTTTGGATCCCACAGCATCACACGAACTAGCTGCACAACAGAATCACGTACCCGTACCCAACATCCCAGTATCAGCGGAAGAGGAAGAACAGCTCACGATCAAGAAAGTCTTCACCTTCGCCGGGCAGGACACGACCGAGGAGAAGCAAGTCCCACGCTCGCAGCTCGACAAATACTTCAAAGAAGGGTGGAAGACACTCGATGCGTCCGCAGCAACAATACCCATGACAGATTCCCCCAAAGATACATCCGAGTCTAGTGGACCCAAGATCCGTCGTCCCCTCCGCCGTCCATCACGATTCGACCCCAACCCTACAGGCTACGTCCGCGCCCTCGCACCCGAACACCAACTTTTCTGGCCCCGTACCGCTGCTACCGATCTACAACGCGAGCAGGAAATTCCACCAGAAACAAACATCTCAGTCACGAAGAAGGTCGAGAAGACGCAGAAGCTCAATGTCGTGGACAAATCGCGCATGGACTGGACAGGCTTCGTGGACAAAGAGGGCATCGCAGAGGAACTGGATACACATGGAAAGACCAAGGAAGCCTATCTGGGTCGTATGGAGTTCTTGGCCGGTGTGGAGGCGCGGAGAGAAGAAGAGAGGAGGAATCTGAAGATCAAGGCTGCCGCTGCTGCACCTACGGTGGGGTGAACCGTATGCCAAAGATATACCGGAGATCGGTAGATGTTTTAAAGATACCCAATTATTGCTTAAAGGCGACAAGCGTACTGGTTGATGCGCGTGCACTTCTGCATGTTCATCATGTATAGATCTATACCATTCAGGACTGTACATATAACAATCGAGTAGAAGGGTATAAAAAGCACCGAATTAAGAGCAAGAAGCGAAGTCACAACGAACTAGCCTGAAGCTACGACCATCGAAAGAGAGACAAATAAGTGACATTGAGCAAACCCCCACCTACACCTCCACTTCCATCTTCTAAACCCCTCTATACATCTCTTCTGACTCTCAATTAAAATGTCTTCGTCTTCCTTTTTTCCTCCTCCTCCTCCTCCTCCTCCTCCTCCTCCTCCTCCTCCTCCTCCTCCTCCTCCTCCTACTACTACTACTACTACTACTACTACTACTACTACTACTACTACTACGTTTGTGCCACTATCTAGAAAGATGTGGCTATGAATGGCCCAGTGAGACTCCCGGACTGACTTCAGAGACGTTGATTTGAACATGGTATTACAACGTGCCATCATGGGTGGCGCAGTGATGTTTCGAGTACCTAGTGCTTGAATACAGTGGATAGAACACTGAATGAAAGACCAGGTACGTGTATCATATAGGATTGCAGATTGGTGAGGCCCATGTACCAAGATGGTATGAAGACAAAAGCCTAAATTTGCTGATGGGAAGATCGAGACCCTGTGGGAATGATTGTATAAGCGCCCCTGAATGCCCGAAATACTGCAGTGATCCTGCGCGAATGATGTATGTATGATGCCAAAGTGGAGGCGGCCGATACGTGAAGGCGTCGTAAGATGAACACCATTTCCGTACGACCTGGAAACAACTACAAGTTGAGCTCCTCGAGCGCAGTCTGCAAGTCGTCTTCGTCTTCGTCTTCGTACTGAACTAGTGCCTTGATGGGTTTTGGCTTCATGTTCACGCGTATAGACGATACTATAGCCCTGGATTTCTCTGAGCTGTTGGCCTTGAGACTCGCAAGCTCTCGTCCAGCCATCTTTAGAACGAAACTGGACTTCTCTGGCTTCTTGAATTGTGCATATAATGCTGATGCCTTGATGGTGTCCCACATGCATGAACCAGGCGTAAGGTAATCATCAAGCAGAGGCCGGATATCGGTGTCGCCAGGGTTTTCGGGCTGTATAGCCTGGAACTTTTGGTAGCAGCTGTTGACAACGGTATTAAGCCGCTCCGTCGTGCTCACATCACCATGCCAGCCGGTATTCCAAGCACGATTGACGTCGTCCAGCTTTCTTGTCAGAGAGAGGATCTCCTGCTTGATAGTCTCCGATCCCTTCTTGGCGAGGTGATCGATTGGATACAAAAGCGCGTCGTCTAGCTCAGTAGCATCCGAGAGAACAGACCTGACTTGACTCATTGTCTCGATATTGTGTGCCCTTACAATGTCGAAGTAGAGGTAATCGATGACATGGTTGGATCGGATTCGCCGATCTGCTTTGCGGAGTTCCTCAACAGCTGCTGAGTCCCCCTTGCTGGCGCATTTCTTCATCTCTTCCTTATAACGCGGCTGTCTTGGTTTCCAGTGGGCTACGTACTGGTCGAATTTGGTCTGCGTAAATACGTAACCCTGTTTGGACGCATCAACTAGCAAATCATGCATATCGTACAGCTGTTCAAGTATCCGGGAATGAATGCGGTTTTCGGTGTATGCTTGTTTTTCTGCGAAAGTGGTGACTAGACCAAGCAGCGATGAGTTGTTACGAAACTCGAAAGCTTTACTGAGGAAGTTGTCCACCTCTTCAGGTTCGCTGGTATCCATGATATCTTCGAGCTTCTCGGTTCTTGTCTCTATGCCGTATTTTGCAGGCTTGGGGGTAATCATTGGCGCTGGAGCATTCAAGAAAGGGTGCACAAGTTTGGGTTCCCAACATACCCAGAACATATCACCATCGTAATCGCCTCCTTGCAGCTTCCCGGCTAGTGGGAACCGGCCTTTGCAAGGAAAAACCACTACGTCGACCAGATGCGACAGTTCAGGGCGTATGACCGTGCGGACTTTTTGAATATCCGAGCGGCGACAAGCAGGCTGACGAGTGACAAGAGCTTCCATGTCCCTAAGGCAAAGGTACTTTTCATCCGTATCCTCGTCGACAAATGAGGATGAGAACTGCACTTGAATCTCTCCTGGTTCCAAGACTCCAAAAGGATCTGCTATTCCATAAAAGTACGCGGACTTTGCGAGAGGCACACGTAGCTTGGATTCCTGGAATACATGCTTTGTCTGGATAAAGCGCTCGAGACTTCTGGCAAGGTAGGGGAACTTGGTAGGCAAGAAGCCTGCCTCGAGCAAGAACTTCAACTTTTCCTCCAAGGATACCGGCAGTGCAGCTTGCCAGTCAGGTTCGGCCTGAGTCTTCGCACCGTTCTGATGAACCCATTCGTAGACCTTGACTGGATCTGGTAGTAAAGTTAGCAGCTTATCGCGTTCGGTTTCGAGGCGCTCCTCCATGAGACTAGCAATAACTTCTCTCTTTACGCCTCGATCGACCAGAATGGGTATGTACAATATATGTAATTCCGACTGCGAAGGCGGAGAACTAAAGTTGGACACTTCAAAGGTTCGATGATGATGCATTGATTCGTCGGCGGGTGGATGAAACTTCCACTGACTCCTGTTGATTTTGATCCAGTGTTTGAGATGCTCCGGATCTTTGGTGTAGGATTCCGCGCTAATCATCCAAAGTCCCTTGGCGCCGCCAATACGTCCCTGGAATGTACTTGGCAAAGGTCCCTTCACCCCGGTCGTTTTCTTGAATAGCTGCCATATGGCTAATGCAGCGCCAACGGAGATAATTGAGCATCCATCGTTCATGACCGAGCCATCCGGAATCGCCTGCCACTCTAATTCCGAGTCATTGTACAGAGTGTCCTCCGGATCATTTGTGGCCAATTCGTCATCCACATGGATGATTTGTGAGGTCTCAAAGCACAATGTAGGGGTGGTCCGAGAAAGCCCCAGCTCAATACGAGCAAAGGCTTTGCAAAAGCCTTGGTGTCTGTTGATGTGGAATGGTAGGAATCGATCAAGCATTTTGCCCACTGAACAGGGTTGCTCAATGCCACATCCCTCCGTGGCGAACAGCACGATTCTTTTGTCATAGACCATGTCCTTGGGTCGAGCCATCTTGTGCCTCTTCACATCTTCCACATGGAAAACTCTCCATTTGCGGTTCAAGAAGTCGTGCTCGGCGAGAAGCCATGCTTGGAATTGACTGCGAATTTGTTTAACCCGCTCACCCTTGAAACGATTTGTTTCGGAGAAGTCGAAGACTGGCGTGTTTAAGTAGAGAAAGCGGTCTGAGCCAAACATTCGCTCCAGTCGACATGACCGATCCGATTGCACCGGTAACAATGTAAGGTTTAGAATCGGACCAGTGCGTTTGGGGCTGAGATTTATGTGTCCTCTGAACGTGAACCCATCAAAGTCGCGTTTCGCAGCTTGCCAGAGGCGGCTTGACTCCCGCAGCTTCACACGCGGTATTTTCCGATGCTTTTCAATGGAAGACCAAAACGCTTCTGCATCGGAAGAAACAGTAGAGATATCCATACCGCTTACCAAGTCCAGGATTGAGATTGAGTGGTCTATCGCTAGACGTTCGCAGATGAACAAGATATGGTACGGGATCTGTTCTAGTCCTGGTGGGAGCGCGTCAACGAAGAGATTTTGGTCAGGTAGATCTCGTATTTCGTGTGGTATCTTCGAGGGAGGTTGCACATCAGCAGGCGATCTCTCTAGGCCGTTTTGATCTCCGTTAGATGAGAATCGTGGCGTCGCTAATGCAAGGGATTGCCCATGGCGATTGTCAACAACGGCGGGTGGTCTGCAATTTTCCATCTTGCCATGTGGAATTACTCGCGGGTCAGTCTCCTCCTCTTCAGCCTCGAAAGATGCTTCAAGAAGACCAGTCTCATCAATAGAGCCATAAGTAGACCTATTCTGGCCGCTACTCCCTTGAGAGAAGTGTTCGTTCAGGTCTTGCTGTATATCTTTCTCACACACTTCGCTCTCGGGATGTATCATAGCTTGATAGAGCTCCACATCATCCAGAGAATCCGTTGTAGTCGAACTCGTCCTTTTCAATTGGGGCCTAGAAAACCTGTCCTCCCGTAACTCGATGACGCCATCGTACGAGGTGAATGAAGTGTTTGTCGTATTTGCTGTCTCCTGGGAGGAAAATGTAGTGTTGTTGAAGGAGGTGTTGACCGAAGATGAAACGGAATTCACGGCCTGAAAAGAGCGAGCCATATCGAGCGTTGGCTTCTTGAAGTCCTCAAATTGCGGTGGTGGAATGGGCGAAGACTTGAAGGATTTGACAGCCTGTTTCCCTTTTGAGGTTTTGGTAAGCTTCTGCGAGTTCTCGGAATGATTGGAGCTTTCAGATGGCCTTTTCTTAGAGACATGTAGAGAGGCATGGTTACTTGCCTGAAAGAGCGTCTTTCCTGGCCTAGTGGATGGCGAGGGAGATGATGACGGCGACCGTGACGGTGATCGCGGTGTTTTGTATCTTTGATCCGTCTCATCGTCGGTGTCAACGTCTGTGGGGGATCCTGGATCAGCAGTAGCATAAGACTCATGTTCGTCGTGCTGAACGTCATACGAGCTAGTTGTTGCCTGTGAGGTAGGGTTGACTCCTGTCCTTGTATTAGCTACCAATATGCATTCGTCGATATGCACTAAGACTGGCAGCTGACATGATGAAATAACTCCATGCTGACAGTCCGACCCACAAAGCAGTTACAATCCGAAAAGGGCATAGCGTGGATTACCTCTATCACAGAGTCTGCAAGACACATGGGGCCCCTATCAAGCACGGATATAGTCTATGGGCATTGAACAAATGTACGCGCTAACTCTAAAAGAAACTCAAAAAGCAAGTGCGCACTTACCACTAAAGAGTGTCGCCCGCACTTTAGGCGACTCATTCCTCGGCGTCCTGCCCTTCGACTCCAATTCACCCTTTTTTACACGGGAGAGGATCTCACGAAGCCTTTGCAAGCGCCCCTCACGTATCAGACCAGGGGCCTCCCCCTTAAATTGTTCAATCGCCTCATCGAGCGCCGTCGGTGCGCTGTAGAAGAGGAACTGGACAAGCGCATAGATCTTATCGGCAGTGTCATCCGCATTTGATCTTTCTGGTGACCACTCAGCGCCACGGATCTTGAGACCAAGTCTCCATTCTTCTTCCAATGATCGAATCTGGTCGTCGATGGCCGCTCCAGGGCGGAGATGATGCGGAGTTGCCGGTAGCGAAACGGCGGGACCACCGTTACCCGTCATGACGCGGGGCAACAGCGTTTCTTCGCACCTCGTGCTTCATGCGATGGAAGATTAAGCAGGAACACGGCGAGAAGAAAGGAGAGTAAAAAGGTTCAGGAGGTAACGATATAGTGGGGTGAGTCGCGGAAGGCTGAGGAATGCTGAATGTGTGCCTGAGGCTGCTGTTGCTAGGTGATGAAACCTATGGTCTGTGCACGCACGCGGTATCGCGTGGTCACGCGATGAGATGTTTCACCAAGCTGAGTTAGGCGGCACCTCAAGTGCCAGCCCTGGATATGGTCCGATACTGATTCTAACATCGCCGCAAGGAGGCTTGCTGGATACTCAACATTTCAGCATGTTTAGTCGTCTCCATCAAGCCCCATCACAGCTGTTAGCGTTATCGCGGACAATGGCAGGTTGTAACATGGGTAGAGAATAATATGCTGTATCATGTACGGCTCCTCAAGATCGTCTAGATTTGTGCCATTCCGCTTTTCGCACTATGGCGGATATTTCCCAAACATGCAATAGGTAATCGTGAATTCAATGAACCGTGAACCAAGCCCAATCTTTCCCATAGCCAAGCCCTCTTGGACTTAGACCTTCATCTCCTCGAGACCGTGCTTCCAGACGGTAACGTAGGGTGTGACACCGTCCTCGCGGTAGTTGAGGAGAACGATCATGCCGTCGGGGTTCATGGACTCGCCAGTGTAGAACTCGTAGTCCTTGAAGTTGCCGATGATCTTCTTGGCGAAACCGGAGGCCTTGGACTCAAAGTCCTTGATCGTAGCCTCGTCAGCGCCCTTGGTCTTGAGTGCCTCCTTAACTGCCTTCATGTAGCCTGCCTATCGTTAGTCCTGCGTTTGGATGACGTTGCCCTAGCTTTCTTACCCTTGAGGTATGTGAGGTAGCCCTTCTTGTCGAAGCCGGTCTCGTTCAGGCGGAAAGAGTAGACGACGTCGATCTTGGTCTCCTTCTGGTCATCGGCTCCCTCCTCTTGCTCCTCAGCGGACGCATTGGCACCAGTGTCTACACGTCGTTAGTCTACCAGGTCTCCATCTCGACTGGCAGTACCCACCGAATGATTCTCCTCCGACAGTGATCTTGGTGCAGTCGGCCTCGTAGGCGACGCCGTCGATCTCCTTGAGGTTGTAGGAGTCGGAGATGATCTCGTCACCGGTGATGATGTCCTGGAAGCAGTCAGTACCGCGCGTCTAATGGAGAAGACAAGTTGCTCTTTGCATGCGCGAAGCAGCATCAAGTGCGGCAGGGAAGGTGGGGTAAGGCGCAGGTAAGAGCCGCCCAGCGCAGGCACAACGCACCTTGAAAATGATCATGTTGGCGGTAGGGGGAAGTAGAGTCTGGTGGTGTGTAGAAAGAGTGTAGGTTGGTCGGGGCGGGCAGGCGAGGGGTTGAAGACTGGAGCGGAAAAGAAGCGCTGGCCTGTAGGCGTGAAGGAGAAATTGGTGGGGTAGAAAATTGGGTGTGAAAAGCGCGCTAACCGCAACGAGTGAAAGTGGTTGAGCGACTAGGCCCGTCCGGTTCCAAGGTTGCCGGGCGGCGAAATGCCATGATGCGCGCGTATATCGTAAACCCCCGTCATGCCTTGCTGCTGTCACAGGCACGCTGCTGCACCACTCTCACACGACTTTCACCCAACCCTCGCTCCGCTCACCTCAGCCTCTCCTTTCTGAGCTCGACTGGTTCAATTGTACGCCGTCCGCCCACCAACACGAATACCGACATCACTCGTCCGTCGCATCGCGCCTTCTCCCTAATTTCCTTGGTCCGCGGCTTCCGGCTCCGTCTTTGTCACCCCATAGCTGGCCCAGCACCGCGATCCCGTCTTGAGCACGCTGCATCTTCGACCTCTTCGCCGGCTGCGCTGCGCAACTCCTCCTCTGTGTCGCATACATACATCTGTAATCGATAATCCGCTCTCCTAGCGCACCGCTGCCGCACCATGGCGAGCGCAAACATCACGTCCTACGACCTCCCGCCGCTCCCCGAATACACCCTCGAGCCCCTTCAGCCTCTCACATCGTGGGTCTCCGATGCATTTATACAGGCCGCACTGCCTGTCGTCGGATACTGGGTCGTCTCCCTGGTTTTCCACGTCATTGACGTGTACGACTTCTTCCCACAGTATCGGCTGCACACGCCAGCAGAGGTTCTGAAGCGCAACCATGTTTCACGCTACGAAGTGCTGCGCGACGTCATACTCCAGCAAGTCATTCAGATACTCGCATCCTTCAGCCTCTCTTTAATCGACGAGGCGCCGACAACCGGCAAAGCCGAGTACGATGTGGCTTGGTACGCGCAGAAGCTCAGACTTGCCCAGCGCGCGGTTCCCTACGTCTTGTCCACAGTAGGCGTCGACCCGATCGCGCTGGCTTCCAAGGTTGCTACTTCGCAACCGATACTTTCTTCCGTTGTCATCGGAGGCAAATACCCCGCGCTGCTGCAGACAGCGACAGTTGCGGGCGAGCAGACTTTCGTCTCCGCCTTTGCTTCTTGGGAGATGGCCGTGGCTAGCTTTGCGTACTGGTATGCCATACCCGCCATCCAATTCAGTGCTGCCATAGTCATCATGGACGCGTGGGAGTACATGCTGCACCGTGCCATGCACCTGAACAGATGGTTATATGGTAAGTTCCAAACCGTCTCGTGTTTTTCGACTTTTGTTAACACTTGCAGTAACGTTCCATTCGCGCCATCACCGTCTCTATGTGCCATATGCCTATGGCGCTCTGTACAACCACCCAATTGAAGGATTCGCGCTCGATACCCTGGGTGCTGGCTTGAGCTACCTGCTCACCGGCATGACAATGCGACAGTCCATGTGGTTCTTCACTGGCTCTACCATCAAGACGGTGCTTGATCACGGCGGTTACGCATTCCCTTACGACCCTATCCACTGGATCTTCCCCAACAATGCCGCTTACCACGACATTCACCACCAGAGCTGGGGTATCAAGACCAACTTCTCGCAACCGTTCTTCGTATACCTCGACCGACTTGGCGGGACAATGTACAAAGGCGATGTGACTGCGAAATACGAGCGTGCCCGTCTTACAGCACAGCAGAAGGTCGACCAGGAAAAGGAGAACGAAGCTACCGCAGTACCCATACCGAATACGGCAGCCTCGGGCCCGACACAGGATGACAGTGTAGTGCCACAAGGCGCATCAACACCTCGCATCTCGCGCAAGAAGGCTAGCAGCATTTCATCAACGGCTGGCACAAATTTTAAAGACCTGACGAATAAGGTCAATCAAAACCTGCATGGCAGGAGAGCCAATGTTCTGGGATTGGAAAGCTCACATTGATTTGTACTTTTTTTCTTATGTGTAAACAAACATCATGCTGTTGCAGCAGGTAATGTATAGTCTCAGGTGTAACTTCCGGATGGTTCTAACGCATCCGCTGCATTGCATCACTGGTGCATCTTTTCCTGCCATTTCTGAGATACGGCCTGTATTCTGTCGTCATTCATTCACGGACTGTACGATTCTGGGAGGCGTTTGCTGGAGGGCTGAATTACATTGCAATCGAGTTTCCCATTCGAAATACTAAAACCTTCGCTCGTTAGCGACGGCTTTCCGTTTTGCGCGGTTTCCATTATTGGTGCCAATTAACCTTAACTGCTTTACTGATATGTGTCTCATCGATATATTGTCTTTCACTTCAACACAACACATGAGCAGGTATATCTACTTATACTTTATTGAGTTCAAGTTGTTTCTCGCTCTTTCGCTCGTCCTATGATATATGCACACTGACAACTTTCACAGACTATACAGACGCGTCCTATCACTCGCAATATACGCTGCGTCATGAAATCACCATGTCTCATTGCAAACGCCTCGTGCGTATTCTTAACCTCTCCACACTCCTCCATGTTTGCAACAGACTAAAACACAACTATTGTCACAAGGCAACCACAATGCATCACAGCCACAAAGACATCTCACAACATTTCACGATGCCTTCATTCCTACACAGGATGGAGACTCGCCGGCTCCACAACAGCGACATGAAGAGACTTGTCCGTATTTTTCGGCACGTCCCCACTCCCCGTGAGCTGGGTGATGAGTGCAAGGAAGCGCTCTATCGTAAACATACCAAGGAAGCTATCCAAGGTCTTCCCAGGTGGTTACGCGCTTCACGGCTCTCTTTTGGCTCCACAAACCTGTGCACGACACACAAGGGCCTGAATCAGAACCTTGTCAATGACATATCCAGATGGATTCGTCACGAGTTCGACGGTGCCATCGGCAAGTTTCTCTACCCACTTGTAATGACCCATGGCCTTCTAACGCCTGATCAGAAGTTCAAAGTTCGTCAACTGGAGCCCGTGCTACAAATGTGGCAACCCAACTTTAGTCTGGGAGCCTCCGCTCCGCCTGGTCATGAGCCGGTTCAATGCGGAACGAAGTGGCACTATCAGACAGATCAATGCCCGGCTTGTATGATGGCGCGGATGGGATCAGATGTGGATGTTCTTTTTGCTTTGTTCGCCGGTATGGTAGGTCGCTTCAACAGCAAGGCGTTCACGACAATGGATGCGATCCGTAACGTTGCTGGCTGGGATAGCGCTAAGAGCAAACGTCTTCGCTTCGTGCGTTACTGGGTCAGGAAGACGAGTGGGGAAAGCCCATTGTTAAGAGCATGCGATCTGGGCATGGATCTCAAACGTCTTCGGGCCCAGTGGAAGCATGAGCAACGCCGCCACGTTCGTGCACATAGCCGTACGAGAATGCAGGAAACACCCGTCAGTCCGATGCCCCGTCGGAGTTTAGGTTCATCTACCGTCCCTGCTCACCAGCGTACTCTTAGCCGTTCCGCCTCGACCAGAACTGTAAGACCGCGGCGAAATCAGAAACTAACCGCTCCAAGCCTGTTCGACCCCAAATTGGATCCTAATCCCCGGCCTCCAGACACTAAGCTTATGTCGCAGGCCGAGGATCTTGGTTTTGAGATGCCCGGTATGCGTAAGCGGGCGTACACAATTCCTCACAACCAAGAAGATATCCATCCGGCTTTGCGAAACCAGCCTAGACTCATACCTTCTCGCTCATCAACACACGCGTCAAGGCATTATAACCAGTCAACGGCTTCGCATAACTCAGAAAGGACTATCAAGCCTGATGATACCATGAGCCTTCCTACCGTTCGCCTTCCCCAGCGCCAAACTTCGGACAAGCGTTCAGCGCCCTTCCAAATCAGACGCCGTCCTGTACCACAACCCACAGTTGCGGGTTCTACCAGAGGTGAGAACTTCTTCCTCAACCCTCCTGCTTCAACGATTTCCCGCCAATCTTTCGCAACAACAGCCCACACAATTGCGTCTTACACTGGCGGCCCATCCTCTCGCGCGGGATACATAGATCCTCTCGACAATCCGATCTACGACCACATCGAGACGCAAGAAGAGCGCGTGGAGAAGTACAGACGGCTTCTGTCTAGTCATCCTGACCCTGATCCCTTCGCTGAATATGAGGATGACAACGCTTCTGTTTTCCCGAAGCCGCAGCGCCAGTCTATGTACTCTGCCTTCGGGGACGTGGGATTCGATTCTGCGCGTTTCGACGTGATCGATGAAGAACTTGCAGAAGATGAGATTGAGGACTGGGAGCGGGGTGAGCCTGAAGACGACGAGGCGGTTCAGGGATGTGAAGTGAATGTGGGTATGATATTGGGTAAGGGAAGATATCGGAGGGACAGCGACGCCAGTGTGCGTTCTAATGATTTTTATTAGTGTTTCCTGTATTTGGATTCATCTCATGTATACTCCCTTATACGAGTTCTACTCTTTCCTTTTCTAGTCTTCGGGAGTGGATTGTCCTAACATCATTCATGTGAAGAGCACCCGTCCTTTCATCCGTGACATCATTCTTTCCTTCTAGGATCAAAAGGAATCTCCTCCTTGATGTTGTCCTCTGAAGACATTGAGACTTCCTTGCAGGATGCTTGTACCTATAGAATGGTCGTTCTCATATGTGGGCACCACTGATGAAAGTGTCGCGCATGATCCGTAGTGGATTCTATACGAAGTATCATCATTGTGAAAGACCAATGGGGTGGAAGTAACTTCTGAAGAAGTCGGTCGATCAACCAGGTACATCCAAATGCTACATACAGTATGAGTGCACATAACATTAAGTCATCACACACTCATCACACCTGATAATCCAGGATAAAGCTGTTGATTTGATAGCTATCATCTTGTTCAGCCGACAATGTCTCCGCCAAACCCGATCGGTCGTCGGACTGGGCCTTGCTTCTTATAGGGCACAATAGCCATAGCTTTGTAGGTTTTACCCATGCCGTTTGGCCCTCTATCGACAAGTCGCTTCCAGCCTGTTTCCAGGCGTCTTCGCGTATCTTCATCCTTAGCAGCCTTAAGCAAGCGATCGGCGCGCTCCTTAATGCCCATTGTCGATAGGAAGAAAGACTGTTCAACGGGTCCGTGAACTTCAACACCCGGAGAAGCATCTAAAGCTGCATCTGCGAGAGCGAGAAAGTCCACATCAGCCGAGAGATCTACCAGACCGGGTGATACAAAAGGCGAGACAGTGGTATGTGAGCGAATGCCCCGTAGAGTGTTCGCTGGGATGGTATCCAAAGGTCCATAATCCAAGATCAAAGCTGCACCAGACGGCTGCGCTTTTACAAAGCTGTCCTCATCAGGAGCACCTCTGCTAGGGGGAGTATGGGATGCTGAGGCTTTGTTAGGCTTAGGAGCGCTGCCGCCTATCCGTACAGCGAAGTCAGATACGTAAGCAAAAGATTCAGGTGAGATCTCAATGATGGCGTCTGGGGTATTCTCTAGCTTCTTGTAGCGATCAGACAACTTCGGCAGGTACAGAGAGTGCGGCGTCGGTGTCTTCGAGACGGTCAATTCGAAGTCCAATTTCTCTTCCACTTTCTTTGGCAAAGAGCTGCTTGCGCCCATATCGGGGTACGGTGAAGTGGGCGACACCACCAGCTCATGCCACGTATTCTTGGGGGTTGTCACGCCGTGCTTGGGCTTGATAGGACCGGTTGGGGTGATGATGGTCGACGAGGCAGGCACCGAAGATTGAGCGACATTCTGGAAGACGTGGATTGGAAGTGCATCAAAGAACTCGTGGGCAAGTATGAAAGGCGCTGCCGTATGCTCTGTGTATGTTGTCAGTACGCTGTTGATAAAGGGAGTAGAGTCGAGCGCGTACCTTTTGGCACCAGCCTTATGTCTTCGCACCACTCAATCCTGCAGGAAGGCATGTACTTGCATTGTGCGGTTAGACCAACGTCGCTCTTCTTCAGATCGTCGGTGCCAGACAGCAACTTTGCTTGCTGTTTCTGCAGGTAAGGTGATGCTTCGATGAGATAAATAGCCTCGATGCTATTTGTGAAAGCCTTGAAACTAGATACGGTCTGCCATCCTGTAAGTATGCTTCATGTTCTCTACTATTGGGAGAGCACCATACCCTCAGAACATCGTCCATTAGCGTTCCTCGTCCAGGCCCAACCTCTATTATCTGCACCTTGTCCTTCCTTCCTTGGGCAAGCCACTCTGCGTATAGCCATATACCAATAAGCTCGCCAAACACCTGACTAATCTCTGGTGATGTCACAAAGTCACCCTTCGTGCCGAATTGATCCTGTCCGGTTGATGTTTGTCTTGTGTAGTAACCGCCTTCAGGATGAGTGAGGCATTGTCGCATATACGCCGCTACCGAGATTGGACCTGTCGTCTAAAGCCACTATTAGAACTGCTTTCATAGTGGGAAAGGGACTCATACCGTGATAGCTTCAGCCAGCGTCTTCGCCAGCGGCGTCGACCATTGTCGTTCCGAATCGGAAGATGTAGAGGCAGAAGTCGAAGACCACCGGGAGGTACATTTCGTTGTTCGAATCGACGTTTGTCGTGGTACTGATCGACTACACTGTGTCGCTGTCCGCAGTAGGTTCAGAGGTTTGGTCCTCATGTCGGCCTTGTTTATCGAAGCTCCATGACGTTGGGGCGTTCGGAACTACAGAAAGTTTAGATCGGAACGCCAATGTGAACGAAGCTATGACCACCATTCAACGATTCACACGTGCTATCGGTCCAACCAGCGCCATCTACACGAAAACACACCAACCAGTTCCTTCTGTGAAGACCAAGCCAAATAAACTTCCATACACGCCTTTGCACCTAGATAATAGTAGAAGCCGGTCTCTCGACCATAGAAGAAAGAGAAAGAGCTATGGCATCACGGTGGGCAAATGATGAAGCAGACAAAGCCGAGGAAGCGCGTCGGAAGAAAGAGAAAGAAGAGAAGAAACGCCTGAAGCTTCAAAAACAGCAAGAGGCGGAAGCAGCCTTACGAGTAACGCAAGAGGCGGAATCGAGACCTGCAAAGCGCAGGAGATTATCAACAGGCGACGATGACGAGGGAGCCGCAAAGCCCAAAGAAGAGAATGAAAGAAAGCTCCTACGATTTGAAGGCGGAAGTTGGAACCCTTGTCGACATACGTCCAACTTCGAGACCCTCAATCAGATCGAGGAAGGCTCATACGGCTGGGTCTCACGAGCGCGCGATATCACTACAGGCTCTGTAGTCGCCCACAAAAAGGTCAAAATGGACTACAACCAAGACGGTTTTCCTATCACCGCACTGCGAGAAATTTCTATCCTGCAACGTTGTCGACATACCAACATCGTCGATCTACTGGAGGTCTTATCTGGTGAAGACCCGCAAGAATGTATTTTGGTCATGGACTTCCTCGAACATGACCTAAAGACACTACAGGAAGACATGAGTGAGCCGTTCATGGCAAGTGAAGTCAAGACATTGCTACGACAGCTGGTCTCTGGCGTCGGTTATCTGCATGAGAACTTCATCATGCACCGCGATCTGAAGACATCAAACATCCTACTCAACAACCGTGGCCAGCTCAAGCTTGCAGACTTCGGTATGGCACGATATATTCCGCCTGCAAATGCCCCTCTCACACAACTGGTCGTCACACTATGGTATCGCGCACCTGAACTCCTACTAGGGACTCGAGATTACGGAACGGAAGTCGACATGTGGAGCGTAGGCTGCATATTCGGCGAACTACTTGCAAAAGAGCCGTTACTACAAGGAAAGAACGAAGTCGACGAGCTCTCACTCGTCTTCTCCCTTTGCGGTCTCCCATCAGAGAAGTCTTGGCCACAATTCTACCGCCTGCCCAACTCCAAATCACTAAAGCTACCGCGCGACCACCGCAACGCCCCAGGCTTTAACCGTGCGAAATTTCCCTTCTTGACAGCTTCTGGCATCGAACTCCTCTCTTCGTTGCTATCCCTGAATCCAGACCATAGGCCTACAGCGAAAGAAGTACTGGAGCATCCTTACTTCAGAGAGCAACCCAAGCCGAAACCGACCGAGATGTTTCCTACGTTTCCAAGCAAGGCAGGGCAGGAGAGGAGAAGGAAGAAGAGTCCGAATGCGCCAAAGAGAGGAGAGGCGCCCGGAATGCAGGGGAATGTGGACTTTAGTAGTATTTTCAAGGGAAGAGAGGAAGAAGAGAAGGGAGCAGGATTTCAGTTGAAGATGACCTGATCGATTGCGAAGACGCGTGGGCATGTAGAAAACTTTCTTCAAGGAGCAAGATGAACTCTGCCCAACTGGGGCCGACGACCGACTTCAATTAGTGTGTACCATTGGTCTGGCCAACCGAATAGTCCAATCGAGCTCCTACTTGACTGTGCAGGTGCCTCTAGGCATTTCCAGCCGACAATAAAGACAATCTTGCGTCTCTCATCTGCGGTCTCTGCTTCGACTCCGGTCGCTGCCATAGGAGCTATAGCTTGGACTCCTCCTTCCGCCGCCTGCACCCGCGCGACCTCCCCTCCTTGGTGGACTGTCCCGCCTGCCATAGCTTGCTCCTCCACTTCGTCTTGGTGGTGTTCTAGATGGCGAGCGACTGTAAGAAGAGCGCGATAGGCTTCGTCGTGGTGACCGGCTGCGAGATCGTGTGTACGACCGTGGCCGTCCTCCGTAGCCCCCTCGTCCACCACGGCCACCTCCACCTCTGCCCCGACCCCAGTGTCCTCGATCGGGCGACATTCGACGTGGTGGAGAGCGATAACGTCCATCCATTGGGGGTGGCCTGTACGCGCCAGGTGGGCCTCCGCCCCTCGATCCCCGTCCACCGCGCCCATAGCCTCCGTCGTAGTCGTCGCGTGGTGGCGGGCCTCTACGCGCGGGCGGAGGTGTCTGTGAGAAACGACGGCGGGGAAGGACAATCGAAACTTGGATCTTCGCCCCATCTAATTGTGCGTCGTGCATCTTCGCGATTGCGCGTTCGGCATCGTCGAGCTCCTCGTAGAGAATATAGGCTATGCCACGATTGATGTTGACTGTTCAATAGTCAGTCCTGCTCTGTGAGGAGGTAGGGCGAAACATACAGGTGGGGTTCATGGGTATGGTGAGTTCCTTGATGACACCGTACTTTCCAAATATCTCCCGCACATGGTCTTCTTTGACGTTCCTGGTCAAGGCTTCCACTACGATCTGTTGGATGGTTAGCGTGCTGGTGCAGTAAGGCTGAGGCAAGCCAGCTACGAAAGTTGCTTCTAGCACAGGGAGTATGCTTACCTTTGCGCTTCTAGGTGCTGGCGACCGATCTCTTGGAGTCAAACTCCGGGAATAACTCCTTCCTCTCGAACGCGATCTGCTGTCTGGTGTGTAGCTTCGTCGCCCATTGCGCCTTGGAGACGGTGATGTCGGCGAGCGCGATCGAGTAATTGAACGAGACCGTGTAGGCGAACGAGGGGTTACAGAGCGCCGCGGCGAGCCTGATTGCGCCGACCGAGGGCAGCTGGGTGATCTTGTATGCGACGGGTCGCGGGAAGGGCTGCGCGTGCGCGAGCGTGCGGGAGATGGAGAACGAGATGGCATGTCTTGGCTGTCGCGCAAATGCAGTCGTGGTAGTGTCTTAGTATGTGCTCTTCAATGTATACTCGGTGGTTCGGCTTGTTGTTACTGTGTTGGTCATGTCCAACGCGAGGTAACTTTTGGATGGTAGCTCCAAGCTCCAAGCTTGTCTTAGCGCTGACACGTGACTAGCGGAACGTGGGCCCTGGAGCGATGACATAGTCAAGAGGGCCACGGCAAGGGATATATCGGCATTTGTAGGAATAGATCTGAATAGCCAGCTCGTATGGCTTGGAGAAGGTGCATGATAAAAAGCCAGACGTTCCCCGAACCCCAGCTAATACGTTTTCATCTCTGCCGCGGAGCTCAATTGTAATGTCTACAATCTCAACGTTTGCCTCCAAACAGGCCAGAGACGGGTTAAGTAGCGAACGTGTGAAGAACCTGGACTTGGACGGTTCCAGTGTCAGCTATTGCGTGACTGTTGGATCGACTGCTAAATTGCCAGCACTCTGACCCGCTATCCGTCCTCGACCCCAGAGAGCGGCGGATACTAGGCGGGTATCGCGGTGGACATAGCTAAATGCGGCGCGCTCACTGCCCTCGCGTTAGGCATCGAGGGTAGGGTCGACCCCCACCAAGTAAGCAGCTGCATGATAGCGCAAATGGGACGTGTGACGAGCAGTCAGATTAGAAGCTCAGAGGTTTGCGTGCTGGAATTGGAGAAGTGAATTGCGTCCGTTAGATTTCATCGCGAGAGGCGGGGTCAAAACAGCCCCACTATCAAATCGCAACTTTAGCCCAACAACGCAGCCTTGAACACCCTCACCGCATTTACCCTCTTGCTCTGCTTAGTCAAAAGTACCTGCATCTACTTCGCCGCATCCCTCTTCATCTTCCCATCACTACAAGCTTCCGCAGCACGCACATCAACCCTCCGTAACCATGTCCTGGCAAGGTAAGCAGCTCGAGGCGTCGACTTCAGAAGGTCCTGGCTAATTTTGGGCGCAGAATACGTTGACACCAGGTACATCAAGCCTCCCAATCTATCACCTGTCCATGGCTAACGCTATCACAGCCTCGTCGGCACCGGTAACATCGACAAGGCCCTCATCTGCGACATCGAGGGCTCGACTGCCTGGGCCGCATCCGCCGACTTCTCGGTAAGTCGTCCGATACAATACGCGCCGGACACAGAGAGCGCCTCAGAACCGAACCTCTGGTGGCGCATATACAATAGATTGGTGCTGACCAATTATAGCTGTCCGCTGAGGAAAGGGCTGCCATTGCCAAATCCTTCAACGACAAGTCAGAGCCCAAGAAGGTCATTGCGGAAGGTGTCAAGGTCAACGGTGTCAAGTACATGACCATCGAGGCAAGCGACGACTCGCTCAAGGCGAAGAAGGTAGGTGCCAGATATTGTCCACCACATAGTACTCAAGTACTGACAACAACCTAGGGAAAAGAGGGCGTCGTCGCTTTCAAGACTACCCAAGCCGTCATCATCGCTCACCACCCCGACACCATCCAGACCCCCAACGCCTTCAACTCCGTAGTCGAGCTCGGCGAGTACCTGAAGAAGCACGGAATGTAAAGCGCCTTCGATTTGAGCCTGTTTGTACTTTAGGGATATTTGCATAACCGAGTTGCGGAGTGATGGATGGCATTATGGGCGACTGCTCGTGGACATAGATATGATTGACGATGGATGAAATAGCGGCATTGGAGGATCCTCTTCGATACAATGACAACCCTCAACCCCTAAAACCAGAACGTTCTTTGTTGCAGGTCCCAAAGAGCACTGTGCATCTCGCCGCCGAATATGCCAGTCTAGCTTCACATGTTGACTACAATAACGAGAAGAGACAAGCATACCGGAGCATATCTAAGATTAAGCGCAGTCACACCATTTCATGCTGCGGCATAGACGTACCAAGCATGGGCCAAATGTTTTCCTGATGTCCAAGTGATAGACGAAAGGGAAAAGACCTAAAGGCCCTTCATACACGCCAGCTTCTTCACAACCTTATCCCCGAATGCCTTCTGTAACTGCGCAGCAACAACCTCTCTCTTCTCATCCGCATCCTCATCGAGATCAAACGCGGTAGGGCCCTGCAAACAAGCCCTAATCACACCCTCCACCGTGTTACCCAGATGACTCTTCACGCCCCGTAGATGTTGTGGTTCCATCTGTAGCAACCTCTTCTCCACAGCCCACGTATGCTTAGGCCGCGCCTTTTCAAGATTGATAGACAGAATCTGGTCAATAGTTTTCCAGCAAGCGATTTCCAATAGTACGATACCGAGCGAGTAGAGGTCGAACGACTTCTTGTAAGACTCACGACCGCCGGCATCTTCGCGATTGCCTCTATGCTGTACGGAGGGGTGACGATAGATGTCTGCAGCGGGGTTGTCGAGTGGACGTTCAGTCATATCATCGCTGGTTGCCGGACGAGAATAGTCGAAACCACTGATCAGAGGATCCGCGTAGTTGACCTCGCCGTCCATGACCTGGCCATTTTCAACTCTTCCTCCCTTCTTCGGAAAGAGGAGTATGTTGGCCGAGCGCAGGCCCTTGTGTAGCCAATCCACCGCGTGGAGACGTTCAACTGTCTCGGCAAGTAGGCGCATGAGTTTAATACGATCAGTAAGCGAGGGTACGTCATTCTGAGGATTTGCGATGAGTGCGTGTAGAGACGTTGGTTCAGTATCCGCCGAGACAGACGCGGGCTTTTCGAAGACTAGGCCGAAACGCCCTTCGTCATCATCGATAAAATAGCCTCGGCAGAAGGGTGCTCTAAAGCGGACTGTTCTGTTGTGTTTACTGAGTAAAGCGGCCAGTTTCTTGACGCGAGCGTGGATCTTGGCGTCCACAGCACCATCCTGCTGCATGGGACCCGTGGTATCAGGTGTTTTCCATTCTATCCACACAGGTGTGTTCTTGTAGTATGCCTCCGTACGTACACCCTCATCAATCTCCTGGGGAAACTGACTGCCCTGCTTAGGACGTATGTCCGAGTACTGGAGCTCAGTATCACGGATGTCCTTTGGTAGATCTGGCATATTGATCTCTTGTGCATAGCTTGTGGTGAGATCTTCGTGAGAGTCTTCGATAGCAAGGTGAATGAAGTTTTGCTGGGCCAAAGCAGCAAGAGGCTGCCGGGCGGCACCACGAGCTGCGACGGCACCACTGTCGATCATACCATCATACTCAGAGTCGTCCATCTCCAGCAGTGAGTAGGCCCTTCGAAAGCCAATCTGTTCTGGTTGCTGGGATTGGTAGATTTGAACCATATGCGACATCGTCCTATTCAGTAAAACTATTTGGTCATTGGTACGCGTCTGCATATCGATGAGGAGGTCCACTTGAGCTTTGTCGAGCGCTTCGTGCATCTTGTCGTTGAAGTCGGCCAATTTTACGATTAGCTTCTCCATCTTTTGGTGATCAAACACAGCCCATTTAAGCCTCTTTGGTACATCCTTGAACTGTTGCACGAATTTAAGGGACATCTTGACCAGCTCGTCAGTGGGCGGGAACCTGACAGACCTTGCATTCCCTTCACCAGAGCCATTGGTACCGTCTTCGATCAGTCGATCAGAATTCTGCAGGACGAAAGCTTCAGCTTCTTCCTCTAGGAGAGGCTCTGTGAGTCTCTCATACTTCTTATCTAATCGGCCGAATGAGAAGAGAAGCTTCTGTTGTTGCTCCATGATGTTAATGATGAGGCCTTTCGACATGTGATTCAGGACCAGTTTGTCATCTCGATAGTCGAGCTGTACAAGCTTAGCCCAGTTGAGTAGTCGATGTTCTTCCACTTTGAAGTTGACTAGAAGAGCCTGACAGTCTTTGCGAAGATGACAAGCATCTGCGATCAGTTCGTAACCTAATCAAAACTGTTAACGCATCTTCGGGCGTAGTTGAACGGGTTATGCCAACCTTGGATACATCCTGCAAATACCTGGAAGAAGAAAGATACACCCCCAATCGCTAACTCTGCCATCTCTATGGTTGTTCGGAGTAACCTTTGAAAGTGACAGCTGGACGGTCTCACCAAGAGAGGAAAGCAATGAGATGAACGCAGACTTGGAGAATTACTCAAGGGTAAGCAGCGAGAAGGCTGATATTTCTACCACACCTTCAAGGCGACATGAGAACATAGTACGCCGCAATGCAGGCGCGCAACCTGATCTGTAACTAACACTGCCCCGTGGCCTCGAGCTGAAGACCGTCTTCATATCCTAGACCAATCCAAGAGGCTGGAATAGTGGATTCCGGTAAGGATAACAGCGCGATGGCGTTTTGCGATACATGACGAAGGCTGCAATCGTGGCTGAGGAGCGTTCTGTTGAACTCGTCTGCTGCAGCAGAAACATGACTTGGAGGTGATAGGCGGTCGGGTGTGTGCCTCGAGGAAAGCCGCGGTCCGCACAGCCACGCTGAGAAGCCACGCGAACATGGACCCTGGTCAACGCGTCGCGAGCTGTCACCCATTTGCTCACCACCAAATCGGTGACAGCTCGCGAACCGGTCACCAGAGCTACGACGGGCATCTGGCTCCCCAGAAATGCTTCTCGAGCATCTCAATCCTTGGTATCGCCCCGCATCAGAATTCGAGCCAACCCCCTTTATCGCCCTCTTCTTCCGAGCTCCTGTCAAGCTACTCCTCTGCCATGCATACCACCTTCTCATATGTCTGCGCTCAACCCCGAAGCCTCTACAACATCCATCCATTCGAGTCGTTTGCATCTCTGATACGCACAATTTGATACCGGAAGATGTACCGGAAGGCGATCTGCTCATCCACGCTGGGGACATGACCAATGACGGAAGTGTGGCAGAAATACAGAAACAAATAGACTGGCTGAGCTCGCTCCCGCATAGAGAGATTGTAGTGATCAGTGGGAACCATGATACTTTTCTGGATCCAAGGACACGGCCTTCGCTGTCCGAACAGCACAGGACTGGAAGGCTCAATTGGAAGAGGGTACACTACCTGCAGCACCGACGGTTGAGCCTAACGATCAAGGTTGAGCCTAGAGATGGCGATCAGATGGAAGTTACCACACCCTTGCTTGCAGCGGAGCCAGGTCAGAGGAGGATACGAATCTACGGCGCACCGCATATACCAGCGTGTGGAGACATGAACGTGCATGCCTTCCAGTATGAGAGGGGTCGAGACGCCTGGTCAGAAACTGTGCCTGAAGACATCGATATATTGGTCACACACACACCGCCGAAATACCATTTGGATCTATCATTACCGACAGGGATCGGCTGCGAGCACCTCCTTGCTGAGGTCAGGCGCGTGAAGCCCACACTACACGTCTTCGGCCATGTGCATTGGGGCGCAGGGCAAACCGTAGTATGGTGGGACAAAGCTCACGATGCATATGTGCGAGGGCTTTCAATCAAGTCCAAGTGGACGCGGGGTATTCTGAATTCAAAGCTTTGGTGGAATGTGGTCAGGGTCGCCTACCGTGGCACAAGAGAGCTGCTCTGGGATCGCGTGTGGGGTGGGCAGAGTCCAAACACTATCATGGTCAATGCAGCTCAGACGCGTGGAAATACAGGCAAGTTGGGCAATTCTATCCAAGTCGTCGACATTTGATATCGTCCATCACATAATACCCAAAGCAGTCGTAATCGTAATGTGTAAACCTCATAATCAACACAGCAGTAAGCACTTGATTGTCGGGAACTCTTTTCGAACTAAAAAGGGTTCTGTTGATTTAGCTTGACTACCTCGCAGGAGAAGCCAAGTACAACAAGGAGACCAGGCGATTCGCCGTTCCCCGCGACTTTATTTGATTGTGGTCATGAAACCATAAATCGTGCATACCATGCCATGCCATATTCCACCACTGAGCCAATGATTTGCGCACATGCTCAGAGACGACGACCACGGCGACCACCCTTCCTCCTGGTGGAGTCGGATGGGGTGGGAGTAACGTCCTCGATACGTCCGATGCGCATACCAGCACGGGCAAGCGCGCGGAGGGCGGACTGAGCACCGGGGCCGGGGGTCTTGGTGCCGTTACCACCGGTGGCACGGATCTTGACGTGGAGAGCGGTGATACCGAGTTCTGCATATGTTAGTTCCTATTCCCGTTGCAGATTATCAATTCCAGTCATCTTACCCTTGCAGCGGGCAGCAACGTCCTGAGCTGCCAACATGGCGGCGTAGGGAGAGCTCTCGTCACGGTCGGCCTTGACCTTCATGCCCTTTTGTACTGGTCAGCGTATGTCGCATGCAGTCGGTATGTCTGCACTTACACCGGTGACACGGGAGATGGTTTCGCGGCCAGAAAGATCGGTGATGTGGACGAAGGTGTCGTTGAAAGAAGCGAAGATACGGGCGACACCGAAGACAAGCTCACCCTGCGCTGCTGTCAGTCCATGTCGTCGCGATTTCCAATATCTGCTGGTCACGCACCTCGCGAACCTGGGGTCCGAGTTGGATGTTCTCCTGGGGAGCGCGGGCAACCTTCTGCTTGGGAGGCATGTTGGCGGTATTATGGGATTCTTGACGTGACTGGCGGTTCGTAACACTGTCGGCGATCGAGTCGAACTTTCGGTGGTGGGAGGTGGAATTTCGCTTGTTCGCGGGTGTCGGAGGAACTGAAACGCCGCGGTTAGCGCGCCAAGCCGACTACTCAAGTTTTCTTTGGCTGCCGCAAGCGACCTGCAGTTCCTCCATCGCTTTGCAATGGGCTGACTTCCTCGACCTCACTCACGCACAGGAGCGTGCGGCACAACAGCAGCCATGGACGACCGCAAGAGCGTCGGTATTATCGGCATGGGCGACATGGGCAAGATGTACGCCCGCCGGCTGAGCACAGCTGGCTGGAAGTGAGTGCACTCGCGCGACTGATAGCTTCGGAGCTCCAGTGTCTTCTGCAAATGGTAAGTTCCTCATCCTCACACCCTCTCCTCCCCCGTTATGATGACCGTGAGTGCATTTGGCTCGAGTACGACGCATGTCCACACTGCTGCCGTCTTGGTTTGCAGTAATTGGGCATGTTGCCGTCCATGATGTGAATTCTCGCTACCTTATTTTATACACCTCTGAACTACAACCAACTACACCGAATTGTTCATTACTGTGGCGCGAACTTTGCTAACCAGTGGCTCACAGATCGAATCCTTTCCGTCGAACACGCTGACATGCTCTCGTTGAAGGGTTCACGCCTGCGATCTTCCAGACAAATTTGATACATTAGTGGCAGAGTTTCGGGACTTTGTAGGATAGCGCTTTTATATATTAATGAACGAACGCATGCTGAGACTGCGCCAGCCCAGAGTTGAGATCATGCAAAGTGGTCATCTTGTGTCTCGCTGCAGCGACTTCATCATATACAGTGTTGAGGCGAAGAACATCGATGCGGTCGTCAAGACTTTCGGTCCCTGTATGCCGTCTCCTGCCGCTGATGCTTGCTGTTACTGACTTGAGCCTACGTTCAGCTACAAAGGTCGGCGCTATAGTTGGTGGTCAGACCTCATGCAAGGCTCCCGAGATGGAGGCTTTTGACAAGCACCTTCCTAAAGACGTCAGCATCGTCTCGGTGCACTCCCTCCATGGACCAGGCATAGACCCGAAAGGGCAGCCACTGGTGTTGATCAAGTACCGCGCCTCGGATGCCGACTTTGCGTTCGTGGAGAATGTCATGTCTTGCCTCGGGTCCAAGCACGTCTATCTTTCTGCCGAGCAGCATGATCGCATCACAGCGGACACGCAAGCTGTTACCCATGCCGCTTTCCTCAGTATGGGCGGTGCATGGTTCGCGAACAACCAGTTCCCATGGGACAGTTCACGCTACGTCGGCGGTATTGAGAACGTCAAGATGAACATTACCCTCCGTATCTACTCCAACAAGTGGCACGTCTATGCAGGCCTTGCAATCCTCAACCCAGACGCGAAGAAGCAGATCAAGCAGTATGCTGAATCGGTGACTGAGCTATTTAAGCTCATGCTCGCAGGGCAGCGGGACGAGCTCCGTGATCGTGTGCACACTGCTCGCAAGGCTGTGTTTGGCGATAATGAGGATGGCAAGAAGCTGCTCCTGCGAGATGATTTGCTTGACCGCTTCGCTTTGGGCACGATCCCAGAGAAGAAACTCAAAAACAACCATCTCAGTCTACTCGCCATGGTAGACTGCTGGTGGAAGCTAGGCATAGTACCCTACGACCACATGATCTGCTCGACGCCTGTAGGTCCCGGATTCTCTTTCCTCTTCGCATTGCTCCTTCAAATCCTTGTCCACTAACACGTATTCAGCCCTCGCGCATGTGGCTCGGCATCACGGAGTACCTCTTCTGCAACCCCACACTCCTCGAGGAGGCCATCGACACGGCTATCGACGATAACACATTCCGCGCCGACGACCTGGAGTTCACCTTTGCCGCCAGAGACTGGAGCTCGCGCGTCAGTCTGGGTAACTTTGATGGCTACCGGGAGAAGTTTGAGGAGATCCAGAGATACTTTGAACCGAGGTTTCCAGATGCGACCAAGTTGGGGAATGAGATGATCAAGGTCATCTTGCAGAAAACCCAGGAAACCTGAGGCTCTAAGCAGAACACATTGAAAATGTAGTGATTTTGGAGGATACTCCCTGCGATGATCATACGCACGAAAGTGGACACGGATCATGATATACAGAAGTAGAATGCACGTCGTGGAGTCAAAATATATACATTGCGTGCCTGCTCACATACCCAGCTGAACCAAAGCCTTGTGTTTCCAACTACGCACTTGGGTATCTCACAACTCGATCGCGTCGACCGCTTTCACATTTACTTCCTTGTAGCTTGTCCGGACTCGAACTCAGTACTCTCCCCGATGTCGCAAACCCCAAAGCCTTCTTTGCCCGCCTTAATGCCCTTCCATTCACAAGCCTCTTGCAACTCCTTCGGCGGTGCCATGACCTCCTCCTCAGTCAACACCCACGTACCCCAATGCATACCTAGCGCTCTCTTGCATTTTGTATCCGCGAAGATATTGACAGCGTCTTTGGGGCTAGCATGCACGTTACTGAACATCCAACGAGGTTCGTAGGCACCAATGGGAATTAGACCGAGATCGAAGGGGCCGCGATGTTGGCCAATCTGGGAGAAGGCCGGGCAGGTGGGTAAGTGCGAATACGCAGCCGAGTAGTCGTCTTCGGTGGCTGGAATGCTAGACGGGACCGTGCGATAACCTGTATCACTGGGTAGAGTAAGCATAGGAAATCAATCTTGAGCGTGGGACAAAGCAGACGTACCCAGCAAAGTAGACCTTCGCGCCGCCAGATTCCACACTCCAGCTTGCCCAGAGGGTCTTGGCCTTGTCGAACGGCGTCCTTGCACTAATGTGCTGACAAGGCAGCGCACCAATTGTCGCTGTAATACCACTATTCTTGCCCGCGTCCACCGAACTCACAGAGACAGAGCCAACCCTGCCCCCCTTTTGCGACAATTCCTCCAACTTGACATCTCTACTCTCCCACCAATCTAATTCTGTGACTTTTGTAACCCCGCTCTTCTCAAACCACTCCTTGTTTCCCAGGGGCGCAAAGAAGTGCGCCTCGGGGAATTTCTTTTTCAAGCGCTGGATTGTTGGGTAACTTAAGTGATCGTAGTGGTTGTGGCTTATGACTACTGCGTCGACAATTGGTAAGTCTTCGATCTCACATGGAGGGGGCGTGTAGCGTTTTAGGCTCTTGATAGTGAAGGGTGCGCAGCAATCTTCAAAGACGGGGTCGAAGAGGACGCGAAAGCCGCTCGGGAACTCAACATGGTAACATGCATGCCCAAGCCATGTTGCACGAAGTCTTGGCGTCTCCCGGGATGGAAGGAAAGTCGGTTTGTGGACTGGGATCTGAAGATTGGTGTACCAAGTCAGTGTTCGTCTCACGTACAGTTCGTACAGTGATATTACTGACTGTCGGTGGCGAGGTGTCTGGACTGTTGGCTTGACCGGTAATTTTGCGCCTACGCCAGAAGTGTTAATTCGCAGCTTGCCAATTCGCCATGGGATTTCCGTGAGCTGGACTTACCAAAGCATGCCCTTGATGAGCAACTCCCAAGGACTTGATTCAACATAGCTATCCCACGGGTTCGTAAACCCCTTCCCGTTTTTCAGGTGATGTCTCTTTTCATCTGCTTCCTCGGGTTTCGCAGCGATCTGTACTGGATTGCTTACCACAGCGTAAAGACCTACGCCAATACTTGCACCACCTATTGAGCTCATCTTGAGAGTCCTAGCAAAGTGTGGCGTTTGCCAACGAGGCTGAAGTTTCCCCAAAATATGGTAGTTTCGCGATTCACTGAATAGCTTTCGTATGATGCGAGACAAAAGCGGCAGGCGAGACATTGGATATGTACACGCGTCTGGACCAACTCAAGCGGCCTAAACATGAGCTATATTGTATTCGCGAAAGAGGAAAATCATGCGCGCCCGCCCTCGGTTGCGACAGCCACCATTCATGTACATAGTCGGCGAAATGTTGGTCCATACGGAGATAGCCACCGTCGACGTAAAGGCCGTAGATGCTTCCAGCTCGTCATGCAACTCGCTCGCTACTGGCCGGGCCCACCAAGCAACAACAGCATCGGAAGAGCGGCTTGTCTCCTCGTCCGACTCTTTCGCCGTGCGCCCACGCCCACGTTCACATGGGCAGACAGTCTTCAGCCTTTCGCATAGCTTGCGCGATCGCAGCGCGCGATATCTCGCGGTCGAATCGGCGGAACGCGGTGTCGTCCGCATGACGCATGTCGCACGCCGAACATCCTCCGCCACATGCAGTAATCGGAACTTGTACTAAACTCTGCACACTTACGATATTATTCGCCTGACGGAGAGAGTAGAGGTAATTCATTCATAGTGCTAGTGAAACAATGGATCAAGCTGGATGCTACAACAAAGCTGACTAGATATCGACAGTGCTGATAACTCGGGATTTGGCGATCGCACCACCTCATACTCGTACTCCTGATGGATGACTGGAGGTGATGCCTGAGCAGATCACACCACGCAGTAGGAGAGTATGAATACAGTGTACATACCCGTGTAACTGACGAAACATTGCCTCGGCTTACTAGCAGTGCATACCCTAATGTCGCCCTATAGCGATATCTTTGAAACGAAACTCCCTTATGCGCTTCGGTATCTTCAAGTCATAGTGGTAGCATCTACTGCCATGGTCGCTCTTCAATTGGCACTTCTCCCGTTGCTTCGCATTATCTTATTGCATCTTGGTAGGCTTTCCGATGAGTCTTTCGTCGATCCTCCATTGACGGACGGTCGGGGTTATTATAGTCGTACTTCTTTTCGATGTTGCGGAACTCTGCATCTGTTGGAAAGATATTATCACCCGGAGCAAGCCGAATATAGTATACTCGCAAGTCCTTGTCGACACGCTTATCCTTGCTCCAGCGCATTAGGGCGTCTAGATCTTGACATTGACGATTGTAGGTGAGCTCGGGTTCTGCCGCGGGCTCCTCCATCGACCCATCTGTGATTGAGAACATCGTACTGGACGTAGCACGCCATATGATCTACCAAAGCGTGGAGACAGTGCTCGGTATGTTCCATGGATAGCTATAGGTGGTAGCTACTTTGCTGCCCTGATAGTGTGGACTGCAAGCCTCGACCCGGGCACCATCTGGGTCTACTACGATTCAAGTGCATCATTTCAATGTGTTTCTGACTATTGGGCATACTTCCTTCCTGTACATGAAGCTGGATCGAAGAACTGTACTGGAGACATATCTCTTGTTATCGACCACATGGATAATACCGTCACCACTGGCTCTCGGGACAAGCAACACACACTCAAGGCTAAATTCAGCACGCAAGAGGTCGCTCATAACGACAACTTTATGAACGCCCTGACACGTCGTCACTATCTCTGGCTAGGTAATCAGTTCACCTATAAGACGGGCTTCTTTACCTTCTGTAACTACATCGAGAAGGCCGCGAACGCCACCGCCACCGACCTCCCGTCCGAAGCTGGTGTCGGCGTCGAAGAAGCGCTCGAAGGATACGCGAAATGGTAGAAAGAGGTTAGACTTTCCGGTTACTGCGCTGGGAACCTCTATCCTGAATCCAACACCACAGAAAATTTTGACTGCTTGACACCTGCAACGCGAGCTCTCCACTCTTTACCGATACGACGCCGAGCAACGCCATGAATCGGCAATGGTTCTGGATGGGCTGCAACGATCCGTTCGGGAACTGGAAAATTGGTGCTCCCTCAGGGCAACCATCACTCATTTCCCACCTCATAACAACCGACTACTGGGTTCGTCATTGCCGGATGTATTTCCCCCCTGGACCGAATGGAGAAACATACGGCCTCGCAGCAGGAAAGACAGAAGAGTAGTTAAACACGTACTTCAGAGGCTGGAGTATTATGAACACAAGCCGACTCATCCTCGCCAACGGCGAGTTCGACCCGTAGAGAAACATCAGCGTTCCGGCAAAGGGAAGACCCGGAGGTCCGTTGCAGAGCACAAAGCAGATGCCTATCGAGATCGTGCCTGACAGCGTTCACACCAGTGATTTGAATACCAAGAACGGAAAGGTCAATGCCGGGGTAAAAGAGGTGCAGGAGCGAGTGTTGAAGCAGTTGGCCGAGTGGGTCAAAGAATAGCCTAAGGAAGACAAGTGATTAAAGTTATAAAAGTTAGCTGGTACGCAAGTACCTATATCATCCGTGCTGCAGAGAGCCATTCCAGGCTACCTTGGAACGTTTACACGAACTGGTATTTCGTAACAAACTTTATCGTCGATCATGAAAGGAAGCGTAAAGTCGATCTCGTTGCATTCTTCTATTGCTACAAACTCATGATACAGAAGCACACTGCAAGATCACGCACGCCCACTTAAGCACAGCTGATCCATCAGCACACGACCTCTTGTCGCATGAAGATAAACGCGTGTTTCAGCCATTCTTCAGAGTTACTAAAGGCCTGAACATACTCTAAGACGAAGATTCATAGCCAAGATGAATCTTGATCAGTGGTCCTTGTTAAGCCAGCCAAGACCAAAGAAACAAATTTAGAAGGACGGCTTTGAGAATCTTAATTAGGCTACATCGATCCTGCCGCATCTTGACACTGTGTGATTTTCTCGGACCTACCGGAGCACGTGTCGGAAGACGAGCATCGATTGAGTGAAGCTTAGCTTTGGTTGGCGCATACATACCGCGCATACAGACAAACCTTGATTACTTTTCAGTCGAAAGTCAACTCGGCCGCGGCCATGTATTTCGACCTAATCCGCAAGGCTTGCACACACACGGCTGGAGCAAATCCAAAACGATCGCGCGTAATGCGTTCTTGCGGAAGAACACGGGATCGAGTGCTCCAACGTCGTCTGTTAGAACGGGTTCAACGGGATGACGGGAACGCTTGATAGTGGTGCCGGGTGGCGTTGAGACCGAGGACAACGACCCAGGCTATGTTAAGCCCAGAATGAAATGACCGAAACATCATCCTTGCTTGAATTGCACAAGCCGGTCGGGATTGCTTCCGTGACGACTATGTTACTGCGGGATTAGCACCGTGGCTATTCATTCAAACGAAGGATGTGTGACTGACTCACATTTCAAGACCTGTCACATAATCGAACATACAATGAGAACCACGGATGCCAGAAGAAGTAGAGTTGAATTTGGCGTTTCCTGTGCGACTGTGCCGCTTTTCTAGGATGTTTTTTTTTTCGCATTCTGATGTTATTCCCATGTAAGGATATCTCGTTGTATGACAGTTATACACTAAGCAAATCTTTCCTCCCGATTCCCAAAGCAATGCCCAAACAGAACCGTATAAAGCAAGAGGTATTTTTTCCACCACTCCGAAAGAAATAAAGCGAATTCCATCGCAGATCTTGTGCCATTAATTACAACCCGACTACAGCGGAAGGCGAGGATCGAGGAAAGAAGTCGTGAACGTAACAAGCGACCCTCCGGTGGTGGCATGATGCTGGTCGCTACCGAAGGCTTGGTCGCATGGAGAGGCTCGGTGTGCCGAGTGCAAAAGCCGACTCCAGAGAAGAGAAATCCGTAAACCGAGATAGGCAGCCCCGTAAGCATTCTTGAGGCAGCGCTAGAGAAATGAACAATCGTAAAGGTGCGAGATGACACCCAGGTAAAATCAGGAACGCCGTAACCCACAATTTCGCTGACATGCTCCTATTAGACCATGGACAAACCAAAGTCTAAAACGTGATACCGGTGATACAAGGAAAGAGTGAAGGGAAACGAATGAAAAAGAACCAGTGAAATCTATCATGCAAGATGATCGCAAGCCTTGTGCGTTTTCGTGAAATCCGGAGGCGCACCAATATGCTTGCAGATAGCAGAAGGAATAAGGCAATGTCACCTTAAGAGTGTCCGGTAGTCTAGGCTTGAGGGAATCGAAGTAGCCAGATGTATCCAGTGATCAGGATTGGGTGGGCCGGTAAGCCATGGTACTTCGCGAAACTGAAAGTAACTTTTTGAACATAGGAAGTGCTAAAATGGGCTGCCGAACATGTATCCAGGAAAGTGTGGCAAGGCGATGTCGCTTTGACATGCGGCCGGCAGGTGGCGGGCGATTAGACGGCAACAGCCTGGGGGCCATAACCAGGTGCCATGTAGTAAGGCGGGTGCCTCTGCACGCAGTAGGCACATCCGCAGCTGAGACCATGCTGATTCCATGCAGACGGTGTGTACTGAGTGGAGTAGGCGGGTGGGCCATAATTGGACGGCTGCTGAAGCGCTTGCGCAGGGGCGGGCTGAGACAAGGGTGGGAAACCGAACATGGTGCGACGCGAGTATCCCTCAGCTGGAGCCCAAGTACCCGTTGTGCCATAGTACTCTGGGGTGGTAGGGCCCGTGGTAGGTGCTGACGCAGGAGAGTGTTCGCTAGCGGACCGCCATGGGTCGTACTGCGAGTAGGTCGGAGGGTTGTATGCAGAGTGTGCCGACTTGGGCGCATAGTCGTACGGTGGAGTGTAGGCCTGGTGCATCGGCAGAGGAGGAAGCGGCTTGTTAGGGTTGAGTGAGCGTCGTTGTACCGATGTGTCGATAGGGCTGAGCTTGTTGCTACGACCAGAGCGGGCGGCAGCACTGTTCTGATAATCCTTCCAGTGCTCTGACCATGATGTCCAACCATGTTGCTCGGATGGATCGCGATGAAGCTTGAACTTGATGGCTACGAGCCACTCCAGCTCCAGCTCATTCAGCTCATGAACCTGAATACCGCTAACTTCTGACCACGAACGGTTGATGAAGGTGTTGTCGTCCAAGAATTTGCTGCCCAGCACAAGCGCGATGGTGAGGAGACGGAACAGATGAGTGTCGGTCTTGGGCTCGTGAGCTAGCATAGGCATCCTGCTGGACAGGTAATACATGCTAAGCAGGATGGTTGCCGAGGGCAGCCGTGTGGCGCAAAGCACCTGGTGTACCCATTTGCGGAACGACGAGGGCATCATGCGGCCGGGCGTGATGAGTCGTAGGGCTGTCTCGCACACGAAATCGGTCATGACGTCCATGTCATAATCCAGCTTTGCAGACACACCGCCGACAGGCTTCTCTTCCTTGGCGGGCTGACTCATTCGCTGGTTGTACTCGTGCACGCGCTGCTGCTGCATAGCCGCCTCTGCCAACGCGTGGCCGGACTGTGCGCGCATGGGTGGAAGGGTGGTTGCGCCCATGGGATCGTAAAAGGAGCTCGCAGGTGGAAGGCTGGGAGGCGCACTGCTGAGGTAGGTGCCGGCCTGCGGGTACATGGGAGGCATGGCGATGGCCAGTTGGCCGTAGCGGTCTGCGAAGTCGTAACCATCATCTTGCTGCCGGATCGTGGGGCCAGCGTACGCGGGCTGCTGCGGTGGGTATGACGCGCCACAGGCAGAGTGGTAGCTAGGGACGAACTCCTGGGGAGATAGCCGTGGCATGTTATGCCGGGGGTAGAAGGAGGGCATGATGGTGGGGGACTGCCGCAGAGAGAAGACTGGCGAGGCTCCTGGAGTCGTGTTAGTGAGTGCTGGCGTGACGGGCGTGGCCCGCGGCTTGTGACGTACAGTCTTCTCGTTCGCGCCGCCTCTAGAGTTGCCTACGGACCCTCAGAAAGATGTGCTCATTCAAGGAGATGCGACGTCCGGGGGGTGTTTGTGGGGGATGGAAATGGGTCGCGCTGGTGGTTGCGCGGAGGCGGTGGGTGGCCGGAGAAGTGCCTGGAAGGGAGGCAGAGGGTGCGGCGACAGGTGAAGGGCAGCTCGAGGGTGATGGAGCGCAGGCAGGCCGGGGCTAAGTCAATAGATCCGGCGATGCGAGGTCGTGGTTGGAGATGTCGCGGAGAGTCGAGGTCGCTGGGGATGGGCGGCAAAAGAAAACGGGTTGAAACCAAGGCGAATTACACAGTACAAGCCCAAACCAAAGCCTAAGAAAGCACTCGCAGCGTGTGGACAGGCGGCGGAGGGGACGAGGCGTTGGGTGTCGGAGCCAGACGGACACGTCTACCCGTGAGTGCAGGTGTGCTCGTTTGCAAGCCAGCGAGACAGAGCAAGCGTCGGGTGGTGCTGGTGAGCGGGCTGGGGATGCCGGACAGCCGAGATTGAGAGCGCACGTCCGTTGGGGCTTGGGGACTGTGTCGCGACGAGCAACGCCTGCGACGACGACAGGACGAGGGAGATGGGGAGACGGGGCACGGGGGAGAGGTGAGGCAGAGGAAGGGGAGGCAGAGGGCGGTGATGTGGATGTATTCGACACACACCGTTAGCGAAGGCCTAGTAGCAGCAGCAGCAGCAGCAGCAGCAGCGAAGGGGCTCTCTGCTAGCAACCTGCGTCGCCCGCCAGACCGTCGCCATCCGAAGGCCGCACCTGCAATAATGGTTCATTGCCTGCCCGCTCCTCCACTCATGTGCTATGAAAACTCTGCCTCTTGCAGTTAGTGGGTCGCAGAGTCGACTCCAGCCCGCGTTTTGCGGTGACTGCCACTCATGACTCTCGCCGTAGGAGCGCTGCAGTCCTGGTGCAGTGGTGCACAACTCCACCGCTCCAGGCCAATGAACGCTGCCAGGGACCACCCTCTGCACCCGCGACAAAAGCCAGCCACGTATCGCCCGCCGCCGCTGCTGCAACCCGGCCTGCCCTCTTCTTTTGGCGCGCCTGCAGTAGCGGCCTCACTGGTCCGCTGCGCCTTGGTGAGCACCTGTCATCTGAACTCCTTGGGTTGGGAACAGTGCTCCGGTGTCTTAATTATGAAGACAGGAGTCACTTTGCACTGGGCAACGCGCAGCCCCTGTGCGAGTCTGCGTTTTGTTTTGATAGCTGCCACTGCTGCTGCTGCTGCTTCTCGTGTCGTGGCCATGGCAATACGCCGGACCCAAGAATAGCACTGCCATCGCGCACTTCACCATCGACTCGGACCCGTTCGCAGTGCAAAATTGTGCCGCGGCCGTTGAGCGCTCCTGCGACGTCTGGCCCCAAAGAGTCAGGCCTGCTTGTCCGTCGGGCGGGGCCACGTCCTACCATGAGCAAGACGGAGGGTGTCGCGATCAGCGCGACTTATGCAAATCGATCCCGAATCTGAACCCCATGGTAGCGTGGCAGTGACAACGTCGGCGGCGAAACCGGACTGCCTGGTGCCTGTAGGCGAGCGTCATCAACCTCCTCGTCGCCAAATTGCTGCTCGTGCAATCGTCACTGGCAACCCAAGCGCTCGGCGCCCCCCTCTGGGCTCGGTGCAATATCGTAAGCAGGTGCCCACTGTATGCACCTGGGATGCATGTGAGGATGTTCGAGCCTTCGAGGCCGGCACCTGCTCCACTCACACCGTCCAACATCTTTCTTGACCACTTCCCTGGTCGCGGATTGGCTCCTCGACCTCGTCAATACCCATAGTGACGCTTGCAGCCCTTACCGCGATTTTCCATCAGGCACCAGAAATATCGTGTTGGTCATGCAGCTGACTTCACCATCCCACGTAGGAGGCAATATTAGTCTCGTGTGGAGTCGAATGCTACGTCGTCGACAACGACATTCGCGGCACTTCATTTCACGTCAGGGATGCGGTGAGGGCGAACACTATGGATTGGAAAATGAATAAACATGTGCCGGCAAGGAGATGCAGGCGGTACCGGATTGGCAAGCGATGTTGCTAAGATGACTTCGGATCAAAGTGGCTTAGCCTAGGAGTGACACGTGACCGAGTGTGAGGATAGCCAGGTATCGTGACATGGCTGAGGCGGCAGCGAGATATTTTCTCTTTACCCAGTCTAAGCGTTTGAGCCTGTGGTACCTTCCAGACCGGCCATCAGAAGCAATTACTGCGAATATCCTGCGCATTCCATAGATACCCAAGGCTCCTGCTTGGAAGATTGGTCGCACGCGCGTTTTCGGCTCACACAGTGCCCAACGCGTTCGTGGTGCGCTGGCAATACATGCCGCTAATCCGCATCGCATGACACGGGCAAGTACACGACGAGCGCAATGTCCTTGTCGAAGGAGCACGAGATTCTGATGGCCAAGTTGTATGAGGCGACAACAGCGCAACATTTTAAATTCATTCAGATTGCATGCGTTTCGCACGTAGACTCGTCAAATGACCGTGATACTTGTAGGTCTGAGGTCCCAAACGCCGATGTAAATGCTCACTCCTGTGGTATATCCCAAAGCTTTTCACGCCCAAACCAGAGACGAAACCCAAAAAATCTCGACCTCGCGTGGTCTAATTCATCTGCCTGATCAATTCATTGATCTTGTCTTCCCGGTTGCCCAAGTCACCACCTTCGATGAAGTGCTTGAACTTCCTCTTGCGGAAGCCACCAGTAGGGTTGTTAAGCTTGAACGGCCAGAGGAAGTTTGAAGCAGCTTTAAAGTTCGGCCCAACGGTGCAGATCTCATGGATAAGGTCTTCCATACAGATCATGCCATATTTGCCAAGGTTCTCTTCGATAATCTCGTTGTCGGTCAGAGGAAGGCGTTGCTTGTCGACCTTGCCATAGCCACGCTCTGTATCCCAGTTAGTCTCTGGCAGTAAATTTGGATCCGTACCGGACTTACTGTATATAAGCTCACGAACCGACTTCTGGTTCGGGTAGCCATAAGCAACGAAGGGCTCAACAATCTTCAGCATCTCCATCGTCGCCTTGGTAAGCTTGACGAAGACACCATTGTTGATCTGAAGTAACCGCAGCAGCTGCAGTGTCTTGCGCTTCTTAGGGTCAATCTTGTTGATACCCTTTATCCGGACGACGAAGGCGAGTTTTGGCTCAGCGGGGACGTAGAGGCTGTCGCTCTTCTTGGCCTCACGCGACAAGCGCACGCGCTCCCGCTCGGCATCGCGGTACTCCTTCACATACTTCTCGGCTCTCGTGAAGATGACCTCGCGCTTCTTCTTGCTCTTGTCTATCTCATGTCAGCGCTGTCTGCAACAGTGTGACATGCCATGAACTCCAGTGAGGGCGATTGCATCATTCCCGAAAGATGGTTAACAATTCGACAACATTGACCGTAGTCTAGCCGATAGTGTGGTAGTTATAATCATCGTAATCGCCCTCATGGATCGTCGATAGCATGCTGGGGTTGGTCGTACCTCGCTTCTCGCGTGTTGCGATCGCGCGCTCCTCGCGAGCCTTCTCCTGAGACTTCCTCTTCTTGAGGAGGTTCTCAGGCACGAGAGTGATCTCACTCTGTGTGGGAACGGTTCTGTTGGGTAAGAGTTAGCTTTGGAGACTGCGCGTGGTGCAGGGACAACGTACGACTTCGACGACATGTTGAAGTGGTGGTCGAGAAATTCTTCGGAAGCTCAATTTTTGCCAGACCCTTAGCGTTAGCGCTAGCCGCTATCCCGCAAGCGCGGGCGCCATGATGCTGAGTCCCACAAAAACAGCTGCAAGCTGCGACCGAGGTTAAGGGAACATGAGCGCTCCAACAGCTTCGCATTACATCCGCTGCACACCTTGTTTACGTTCCTGAGCATGTGCTGTGGAGTCTGTACTTCATTGTATCCCATTTCATACCATACCTCTTGATAGTATGCATTTGCCACCATTTATAATAGAGTCACATGTTGCTGCTGCTGCTTTTCTTCCCTGTCATCGCTTTTATGGTCAACTCACATTCATTTTACGGTCAACGAGAGCAATTCCGATGACAGCTACGCTCCGAGAATCCCTTTCCGCCATTGGTCTTCTAATCAATCTCGATGAAGCTCCGGCAAAGGATAGCCTTGCTCACCAGCAGCAAACTTCATTCAGTTCTCTGCGGGGTAAGTTGCAGTCTCATAGCCATCTCGTGTTTTTGATAATAAACGCTTGATGTCAGCCTGGTTTACTACTATTTTTCCACGCCACAAACTTCCACATCAGCTTCGCCCTCGCGGGAAACGACATTTGTGTTGTAATCACTGTAGTCATGACTGAACCTATTTCGATACAAAAAGATCCCTATGCCTTAGCATACCGGTACCGTGAGTATATGAAAGAGAAGCCCTGGAGTCCAATGGAGCGCTGTAACCCATACTACGAGAGGATGCTCGCGAATTTACCTGACCCTGACATCAGTGCTACGGATAACCGCTCACGCGCCATTCGGTACGCAAAAAAAAAAACATTATGAATGCTATCATGAGATCAGGAATATTGGGCGCATCATGCAATGGCTGCCACCAACCGACGAGGGAGATTCTAGCTAGGCGGTAGTAGATGAGTCTATGGGAGCTGGCAACAACGACTTTGATGGATTCTCTTGTTTCGTATTGCTCTATTCCCGGAGTTGGTTTCGAAGTCAGATCTTGTAGGTTATGCTACTACCACATCACAAAGTTTGCTCGTTGTTATTGGATCTAGAATACATCCCCAAATGCTCACCGCTTTTCATCCAAGTTCTCAATCAAGTATACCGGCATATGATGCGTCTAAGAAAATGAAGCATCTGCTTGTACAAGGACCGCGCGAACATAGTAAGCTGCTTTGATCACGTTCTCATAGCTATGAGAACATAGCTATGTAGAGACAAATGCGCAAAACTCTACTGCACTAATCGACACCACTGATCCTCTCTGTTCGACGCACATCAGTGATGGCTTTCCCAATACAAAGCCCTTTACTAACACCCATCGTCCACAGAAATTGCACTCTTTTGCCAACTCCCAACTTGCCGCCTTACATGCCTCATACAAGTCATCCCCGTCGCACCTTCCTGATCAGTCCCTTGGTTGTCGTTTAATATCCATACCACGGCACAAGAGACCCGCGAACCTGGTCTAGACTTACTCTGAACCCTCAGATGGTTCGTTTCACAAATGACGAGATTCGCTTTGCGCCACAGAAAGCGCTGTGCCGTTTCGTTTCACTACCCCCGGGTCCCACTTGTTTCATACAGTACCATGTTCTGCTGGCCTTAACCGTAACGCTATACTGTATTGCACTTTGAAAAACCTGCTGATGTATACTATTGCACGCCTTCTTTTCGTGGTGTCGGAGAAGAAGGCCCGATCGTGTTTCTGGCATGCTATAGTTGGGCGCAATTAAGAAATTGAGCGGTGCACCATGATGCGCTCAGTCAGGTGGCAAATACGATGACGAGTGTCTTTTGTGGAAATGCTATCGTCGAATAAAGAATACTTGTACATTCAGAGGGATATCGTTAACGCATGATAAGACTCCTGGAACGCCATGCTGATGAAACGCCGATTATGAGGCATGAAAACGCCACGCCATAAGGGTGGATAGCAATGATGACGAAGTTTGAAGAACCCGTGTAGGTGAAAGTCGTGATGATAATGTCATGGGCAAGTACCAAGGTTCGCCATGCAGTCATACCCCAGTGATCCGAGTTCACTGTCTTTAAGTCCACCTTCTCTATGGTAGGAAATGTGAATAGTGACCTGGAACCCGCTGTCTGCATTTCTCGCAGTCTTCCCGGTAACCCATACTGAAACGTCCCATACCGGTCAAAGCACCGCTTCGTTTCCTTCCGCGAGGCGTCGAAGGTGGGGCCAAGGCGGAGGATGACTCGGTATCCATCTGATCGGCCGTACTGGTGTGCGAAAAACTAAGTCGCGATAGTTGTGATTGGGTGAAAGCAGTCGGCGTATCTGGAATGTCATCGTCCTCGGATATGGGTGAAGGCATGCGTCTAGTCCGATCGTCGTCTACATCCTGCCTCTGTCCCTTCCAGGCTGGTGGAGGTGCCTGCATGGAGGGTACATTCGAGTTGTTCATAGCTATGCCACCGGCTGACCCGCTCATCGGGTATCCCAATCCGCTCATCCCTCCTCTCTTAAAAGTCGGGTGTATGGGTGTGGGTATCCGACTATTGTTCTTGACGGCATCTGAGTTGAATAGCGATGGTTGGAGCATGGGCGGTCGCATGAAGTGGTTGCCAAACGAGTTGAAGGCGGGCGACTCTGGCGGCTGACTCCGAACATCCATGTCATCGTCGTCCATGTCCATATCCATGTCCATCCCACTTGATTCTCTTGATATACAGACAGGTCCACCATATATCGAATCCGGCGAATTCGCTCCTCCATGTTCTGAATGTGCCGGTGTCATAGACCGGATGTCTGTAAAGAGTCTTGGTGGGGTCGACAGCGATTGGTGTTGGAACTGGTCATGGTTGGTCGGCTCGTTGCTGCCCGGTCTGGATTTCTACACTGCCATTAGCCAAAGCCGGGCACGCGATATTGTCGACATACCTTGAGGTACCTTTCCTCATCGAAATCCGAGTCTGAATCGTCATCGCGACCTCGCTTCCGGGCCATGAAGTGAAATGCAGACATGGTGATGTCTACTAGACTAAACGAGTGGTCCGTCTTTATGTCAGCGCAACGCGATCAACGCGTCGGTGGAATGGTAACGAGATGATTCTGGTGGTGCAATGAGGGCTCGAGAGGGGTGCGGCAGAGGAAGCGGGACTGCGATCGAGAGACCTGGTCGGTATGTTTTGACGCAAGCCGGGCGGGGGGTTGATATGACTATCAGGGGCGCTGTTTCAGGTCGCATGAAAAGAACCAAGGCTTGGATGGTGGAGTCGCGCGCCTCAAGCGACTGTGGGGGGAACTTGTGACTTGGTTGTCGGGAGTGGGAGGCCCGTCCAGAACCAGCCAGAGGTGTCGCTTGTCGGCGGTGCGTGCGAGCCCTGGAGTGGTAGTCGCGATGATGTCGACGATGGTGTGGCTTAGCGTGGCGGAGTGGTGATTGGCAACTGAAGCCAAACCTTGAACTCGCCGAAACCGAGGGGGGTGGCAGGCACGGCATCACGTGGGCTGTGTATCTGCATGTCTAAGGAGAAGGGGAGCATACGTTCACTTGTCGTGGCGGGTGGTGGCAGGAGGCGTGTGTATGTAGCCACCTGGACATGTCGCAAGCTGTTGGAAGGGATACGGGCTGAGTGAGCCGTTGCTGCAGCTTTGGTCAGACAGTGCCGCCAACGCTTTCATCCAGCCTTCCACCTCATACAAGAGATGACTGAACAGGTCTGCAGACTACGTTAAGATGAAAACATGCAAAGTAGGTGACCTAACGTCAATGTAGGCTCTAGGGTGTTCAGTTTTTGCCTAGTTTGACGTGCTTTCCACCCAAAGGGTCATGTTCACGCCATCGTCGAGCTCCAGCAGCAACATACATGGACCAACAGGAAGAGGGACATTCCCAATTCCAGGGTAACAAGCTTGGCGTACATGCAGCTGCAAAGCTCCGTCGACGGTGTATCGATAGTCTGCGGGACCAGAACCAACCATCAGCCCCACCCCGACCTAAAGTTTCCCAAATAATTTGATGGCATATGACTGTATTTGCAACGCCCTCACTGTATCCTCTACCTGCCATTCTCGCCGACCTCGGACCTGCGCCTGCACACACCATCTGCACGCTTGATTTTCTGACTCGAGACACTCAACGCCCCTCCTTGCACTCTACTGCACGCCCTGTACGACCTCGCTGCTGTACATCCGCACACGTCTGTGCCACAGTCCAAGTAAGACTGACCGCAAATTGACAGTCGCTTAGATACCCGCCGTACGTCCAAGCAACACAATCCTCTCAGTCCCAGCTAGAGTGCGCATACTAATATACATAAAGATAGTCTACTCACTGTACAATGGCTCCCGCTGCAACAGAAACACCCGACATGTCTATCAACCCGAGCGACGATGTGCGCGTACTTGGCTACGACCCGCTGATCCCACCCCAACTTCTCGCGTCCGAGATTCCCATCCCCCCACATGCTGAAAAGACCGTCATTCAAGGTCGCAAGGAAGCCGCCAGCATCATTACCCAGAAAGATGACCGTCTCCTGGTCATGGTCGGACCCTGCTCGCTCCACGACCCAGAGCTGGCACTCGAGTACTGCCAACGCCTCAAGGCCCTTGCCGACAAGCTTCAAGACAACCTGTGCATCATCATGCGCGCCTACCTCGAGAAACCACGCACAACGGTCGGCTGGAAGGGATTGATCAACGACCCAGACATTGACGAGAGCTACAAGATCAACAAGGGTCTGAGAGTCTCGCGCAAGTTGTTTGTAGACCTCACATCTGCGGGTATGCCCATTGCCTCCGAGATGCTCGACACCATCTCTCCACAGTTCCTCGCCGACCTCATCTCTCTTGGTGCTATTGGTGCGCGAACAACCGAGTCACAATTGCACCGTGAGCTAGCCTCTGGTCTCTCTTTCCCTATTGGATTCAAGAACGGTACCGATGGAGGCTTGACCGTGGCGGTAGATGCAATTGGTGCTGCGGCTGCTAAGCACCACTTCATGGGTGTAACGAAGCAGGGTCTGGCTGCTATCACCAGGACGGCAGGTAACGAGCACTGCTTCGTTATTCTCCGTGGTGGATCCAAGGGTACCAACTACGACAAGGACAGCATCAAGGCTGCCAGAGAGGCCTTGAAGAAGAAGAACCTGCCTGAGGTTATGATGGTCGACTGCTCACACGGTTCGTTCCTATATGCAAGAATGCTAAAGCAGCATACACTAACGTCTAATAGGCAACTCCAACAAGAACCACCGCAATCAGCCCCTCGTAGCCAAGGACATCGCCGACCAGATCCGCAACGGTGAGACCGGCATTGTTGGTGTCATGATCGAATCCAACATCAACGAAGGCAACCAGAAGGTCCCACCTGAGGGACCTAGCGGTCTGAAGAAGGGTGTCTCCATCACAGACGCTTGTATCGACTGGGACAGCACCGTCGACACTCTTGAGAGCCTTGCGGCTGCTGTCGCCGAGAGGCGGGTAAACCAGAGCAAGTCCAACGGTGCACACTAAACGCTTTCATCGAGTGCAGTGTTTGGGTTAGGTCGTGTATACAGTATGGGATGTTTGGCGTTGGCAAAAGTCTAGAGAGTTTGGGATATGATGAGACGATAGGGACTGACTTATGATCGATGAACGAGATACATGATGGAACCAATCAAAACTCTTGGCTTCAACTCCAAAATCATAAAACTTCCGACGCCTGATTGCCCACGGGTATCTTGATTCCGACGTTCCTGGCTCGTATTTCATGCCCTCACTCATCTACTTCATCTTCCACATCCTGCTGCTGCGTGCTGCGCCGATTACCACCGGTACTCGCCCTTCCCCCGGTCCAAGCCGCTCTCTCCCCCACAAACACGTCTCCTGTACATATGGTTTGACACTTTGGACATTTCCTACGATCTCCGCTTCTGCCCTGATAGTAGCTATTAGCACACGCATCGTGCCACCTAACCCCACACTCTCGTTTATTGCACCGTATGCCAAACGTGACAATCTCCTTACATCCCTCACAATCCCGGATCCTAATGACTTCCCGACCTTCCTCATTATCGTCGGCAGACTCATTGTACGTTTCCTTGAGGTAGGCGCGGAGCTCCATGAGCGCGCGCGGAGCCAGGGAATAGTATCCCGCCTTGGACTTTTGGAAGAAGGCTTGCGAGACAAGTGTTTCCAGGACCTGATCTGCCTCTGTTATTGATATCCCTGTATCAGCGCTGGCCTGGGTGTCTTCTGCATCGCCGTTGATCTGGCTCTGTCTACTGTTTGCCTGACTCTGTCTGTTCCTACGCGCGGTGCGAGCGAGCTGTGAAGCTTCGGTATGTTTCACCGCCATGACCTCGCGGATGTTGGTGTTGTTCGTCTCAAACATTTGGTCGAGGACGCGTCTTATGTATGCGATTTCGTTTGCGGAGAAGGTGGTAGCGAATTGGGTGACGGTGTCGCTTGCATTGTTAACGAGGGCGTATATGATTTCTTTGGTTTGCTGGTCGCGTGTTGATCGGATCTCGTAGTCGAAGGCTTCGATTTTGGCGTTTATGGTTTGTATGGTGGACGTGATGTTTGGTTGGGTCACGTCGCCTGCTGTCCATGGTCGTTCGGGGTCTGTCGGTGTTGTCAGCTTGTGCGATAGCAATGGCGTAGAAGAAGACAAACTGTGTGCAGTCATCACATGGGCGAGTATAGACTTCATTTGGTTTACTGTGAGGACACTGTGCGTATGGAACGCTTGAAGAAACGCGCGATGAATTGAGTTATAGCCCTCGTCCTCAGCTGGAGCGCGCACGAAAGGCGATTCTTCGCGAGACATATTGGCGCGAGAAGAATGTTGAGTAATTTCGAATGAGATGTGAGGAGACGTTATTCGACTGCGCGACCGCAGTTTGGTAAGGTGCGGCGACGGTCACTTACGCGATCGCGGGGAACTTGAAAACGCGTCAACGCGAAACCACGTGAAGGTATCCCATGCCACGTGCGACTGGAAGCATTTCTCACGCCACCCTCAGACAACAGCATTTGAATGGGATGAGCCCTGCTTGTAATATCTGCGGTCACTATACAAGAGCTGTAATAGATCCACTGTCTTCACGTACGGAGATGTTCTTGGGATCATGCACCGAGCACCTAGTGGTTCGTAAAAAATACAGAGACAAGCGCTTTGTGAGCCATCTAGTCACTGTGCTTGCCATCCTTCTATTCATGCTGCATTCAAAGTCATGTAGCTAGCAAATCCCCACCGCTACTTGTGCAACTCCGTATAATACAATATCCTAACATTCCCATCCATAGCTCGTCGAAGTCGTAGCTCTGATGTTGTCCCTCCCATCTCAAACAGGCAGATCAGCATTCCGCCTCGCACCGCTTATCGTTTCCAGTGCCTTGGCAATATATGGCCCAATCACCGGTACATTGCTGACGAAGCCCGCAATGGTCATGAGAAAGTCCCCAAACAGCACAAGTATGCCGTACAGTTCGATTATGAAACCGATGAAAGCCCAGCGCATCAGGATAAGTGATATGCCAGCGACGAATGCAACTGTGCCTTTCCATTTCTGCTTGCGCGCGAAGAAGGCGACGGTTTTCGTTGTTCCGATGATGAGTGTGAGGCCGATCAGAAAGAGTATCTATTAGGGGTATTAGGGAGGGTTCGATAGCGGAGGACTTGGTTCGAGGAGGACGAAGACGTACGTTTCCCATTGCCAGCCTGTTCGCATGTCAGTAAAGGCTGCAAGTATATGCAGAGTTGAGACGTACATTGCACGATCAAAAAACATCATGACGCCTCCCATCAGAAAGAGTCCGCCTGTTCATGCTGTCAATCTTCTGCTGAGTAGTAGGTGCATTCGTGGTGGTGGGCGCGCGCGTACCTACCCCCTGAACAGAAGGCGACCCCAATCTCTGTCCTTGCTGTTAGCTCATGTTCTATGCGGTGACTGAGGCTGCATGTTTGCGTAACTCACTCTGGGTGTCTGAAAGCCACATTGTCGGCATCTTGGTATTTTGAGGTATTGTAGTGCGCAGCGTGCGGAATTGTGCAATGAAGTGATGGGAGACGACGTAAGAGAGGAGAAGTAGTAGAGTGGTGCCTAATCTCGATGTATACCTGGTATGAAGGTGCTACCTTTCGTCTTCCTGTCTCGTGTCCCCTTGCGAGGGAAGACGCGGCGCGCTCAATCGACGGTCGGCCCGAAGCTCACCCCTGCTAGCGCTGCAGTTCCCGCGGGTAATCGCATAAAATTCTGGTGGCATGCTCCTCAACCTCTACAACCCTCGTGTCCATCTAATGAGAGAACAGCTGGACAAAATTCTGGTGTTCAACAGCAAAGAGCAATTGATTCATTGTTCGCTTGTAGTTACAAGACACTCGAATTATCATTACAACATAGATCCCGCCCTGACAACAGCATGCTTCAAGCTGCTGTAACTAGGAATCCTCCCTCGAGGCCCTGGTATCCTGTCTTATGGGCGCAGAAGAATACTGGATCACGGTTAAGCCGGAGCACCTCCTTGAGCCACAAGCCGAGAGGCATGTGGTGGGTGGAGAGTAGTTTGACTTTGATGATCATACATAAACCTTGAGTAATACCCTATCTCAGCAGTGTTCCTCGCCATGCTCAGAGGCATGTTGTTAGCTTACTTGATTTCGCGCATATCAACGAGTGGACGAGTGGTCGTGTATTTGATGATTGAGCGATGCGCCACCCGTGCAAGACACATGCCGATCTGTCGACTTTGGAGCAGCAATAGCTACGCCAGCACCGAGACAATGCTCACTTCAGGATTGTGTGTGCACCTCTGGCGGCGAGATAGCCCTCGGATACATTCTGCGGCATGGTCCGGATGCCTCCAAAGACCTCCTTGTTGTGATAGCGTAGACGCGTCTTGGGGTCGGTGTATGGCGCAGGAAGACCGGTGATGTCGCAGTACTTCTTTTGACTGCTCGGGTGGAAGCTCGGGGCTGACTCGATGTTGGTATATGTAGGCGCCGGCCCAGCAGCAGCCCTGCCGTTCTTCTCCAGCACCAGCGTGCTCAGGCTCTGGGCTGCTTGGGCGATGTTGGGTTGGCGGCCCGCGTTGCCTTCAGTCGCTACGGCAGGTGTCGAGTTGCCACTGTTGTTCTGCGTGGCCATTACTGAAGCTTCTTTACGCGATGCCTCACCGAGGATTTGCTTGAGGTTCTTGTTGCGGCGTTGTGGAGGCTTCCAGTTGGGGTTGCGGAAAGGCTTGGGTACCGCGTAGATGTCTAGCTTGTCCAGGAGCGCTTGATGCGTCTTGTCGTCAGAGGCCGCTGTTAGGGGCGCCATATTGTAGGATGTCAACAAGGCAGCAAGTCGCAGTCGGTAGGCTTGGGCGTGTTTTGAGGTCGCTTAGTTGTAGTCTTGTCGCGTTGTTCGCCTGCCGATGTCCAAGTTTTGATAGTGTGCGAAGAAGGTTCCGATGAGATGTTTTGCTCGGGTATGCGTTGTGGCAAGAACGTATGGGGGCGTAGAAGAGTCTCGGTGCTTGTATCGCGATGGAGCTTGCGGAGGTGGAGCTCTTCCAAGGTCCCGTCTCGGGACCTGCATGTGCATCCTTTGCACTAACTGCTTTCATCCTCCCCACCAAACAGCTCCGACGCGTACTATCTACTGCAACACTATCGAGTCGCAAACATGGTAGGACGGCATGAGAAATCTATCGTAAGCGGCGCGTAGATCTGACCGCGTTTCCAGGAAAGCCCTCACGAGCACCAACAGAGCCAGTTGCTCTCTCGCATCATTGTGAATGTCGTGAGTCAATCCAACATGTCGATGCACAACGAAAACAATGCTGACTGCCGGAAAGGAGAAGCTAAACGAGGCCATCATGATGCTGAACAAGAATCTGCAAGAGATTAACATCCAAAACATGGATACCGAGCTTGTGGCTCAGATGTTCAAGAACTACCAGTCTAACGTTCTTTTCCACCTGGAAGGTATGTACATAGTCATGCTGAGACTCGGTTGTAATCGCACTAACGAACCATAGCAACAAACGGTCTGAAGGATCCTGCTTAAGCATGCACGATGAAGTGTACTTGGTGTGAAGGGGACAGTTCCCAAGGCAAGGCCAAGTCTAGTGAGAAATTCGAACACAAGACGTGAGGACAGCAAACAGGCCAATAGATACCAGTAATGAGATATGATCGTGTTAGCATTATGTGCAGGACTGCAATCGAGACCGTCGGTATGTGAAGTAGCGTACCTAACATACGGAGACGGGCTCGGACCACCGAGCATTGCAAGAGCCTCACCACATCGCAGTCGCCATGCCGCGCATCCTCAGCATCAATCGCGCTAACCAGGCACACACGCCACATCTCCGCCCGCGATATGAGATAACGCCCTGATCTTGGACCCGTCGCATCCCCATTCCCATCACCATCTCCCTCTTCACCACCACCATGGCTCCCTCGGCCATCGATGAGGCGCCGCAACTTGCAGGGCGCAATCCACCCAAACCTCCACCCAAGCTCTGGAGCGTGTCGGAGCCGCCTTTTGAGGGCTTCAGGCCCATCGACAAGGAAGGCTGGTCGCGTAGCAACAGCGAAACCGCCATAATCATCGACAATGGTATGTCCAGACTGCGCATGCGCCAAAGCTGCCATGCCGACTAACACACCACAGGCTCGTCAGCAGTCCGCGCCGGGTGGTCCTTCGATTCCAAACCCCGGTTGTCAGTACTACCCAACATGGCTAGGTATCGCGACCGCAAGCTCAACCGCACCTTTACCTTTGTGGGGTCAGATGTCTACGCCGACGGCACCGCGCGAGGACAATCCAAGCCTGTCTATGAGCCTGGCAGCAACATCGTGAACAATTGGGATGTCATGGAGGGCGTGCTCGACTACTGCTTCGTCAAGATGGGCGTAGACGGCCGGTCTGGGCGCATCGACAGGCCCATCGTTATGACAGAGCCCGTTGCCAACCTGGGCTATTCACGAAAGAGTACGTGCGCTTATATTAGATGAAATCGTCTTGGTAACTAACATTCATCCCATAGCCATGTCTGAAATCCTCTTCGAGTGCTACGGCGCACCATCCGTCGCATACGGTATCGATTCGCTCTTCTCCTACTCCTACAACGGCGGTCGCAACGGTCTGGTCATGGACTCTTCATACACTTCTACACATGTTATTCCCGTGGTAAACTCCAAGCCGCTCCTATCGCAAACTACTCGTCTGAACTGGGGACGCTTCCAGTCCGCGCAATACTTGCTGAAGTTACTGAGGCTGAAGTACCCTACATTTCCCGGAAAGATCAGTGACAACCAGGCCGAAGATCTCGTCCGTGAGCACTGCTACGTATCACAAGACTATGAGAACGACCTCAGCCGCTATCTGGATTGGACGGGCCTCGAAGACCGAGATCATACTATTCAGTTCCCCTACACCGAGCAGATTGTAGTACAGAAGACTGAGGAAGAGCTGGCTGCCGCGGCAGAAAAGCGGAAGGAGAGTGGTAGAAGATTGCAGGCTCAGGCTGCAAAGATGCGGCTTGACAAGCTGAAGAAGAAGGAAGAAGAGTTGGAGTGGTGCATACAGCTGCAGGCGCAACTGGAGGAGATTACGACCAAGAAGGAAAAAGCACGCGTGTTAGAGTCGAACGACTTTGACGACGAGAATCAGCTCAACAAGCGGGTCAAGGAACTGGAAGCTGCCATCAAGAAGGCTCGCAACAAGGACCTTGGCGACGTCGAAGAAGAACAAGTCGAAGTACCTACATTCCCCCTGCTCGAAGTTCCGGATGACCAGCTCGACGAGGAGGGCATTAAGCAAAAGCGACAGCAGCGGTTGATGAAGTCCAACTACGATGCACGCCAGCGTGCCAAGATCGAAAAGGAGAAGGAGAAGGCGCGTCAGGCAGAAGAGCAACGACTCGACGATCAACGGCGAGAGACAGACCCTCAAGGCTGGATAGAAGAGCGCCGGATAGCCCGTCAAGCCATTATTCAGAAGATGAAGGACCGCGAGCGCCTCAAGGCTGAACTTGGAAACCGAAAGTCGCTCGCTAACCAAATGCGCATGAAGTCGATTGCCAATCTCGCGTCAGACGCACCCACTAAGAAACGGAGAAGAGGCGGCGGCGACGATGACACATTCGGTGCCGACGATGCAGACTGGGGCGTCTACCGCACCATCGCCACAGGCGAAGGCTCCGACGATGAAGAAGAGGAAGACCTCTCCAAGAACCTCAAGGAGATCGAGTCCCAGCTCCTCCAACATGACCCAAACTTTACCGAAGAATCGACTCGCGAAGCACAAACCGACTGGACAAAATCCATCCTTCACTCTTTCCTCCACGGACCTTACCCTTACGACACCGAAAGCCAAAAGGAAACGAACCAGATCCATCTCAACGTCGAACGCATCCGCGTACCAGAAGTAGTCTTCCAGCCCACCATCGCGGGTCTCGACCAAGCCGGCATCGTGGAGATCGCATCCAACATCCTCACAGAACGCCTGGCAGACTCACCTCATCGCGACAACGTCTTGAAGGACATCTTCCTTACCGGCGGCAACACCATGTTCCAAGGCTTCGAGGAACGTCTGCGCTCTGAACTTCGCGCTGTGCTGCCCGCTGAGCAAGCAATCAATGTGAGGAAAGCAGGGGATTGCGTGCTGGATGCTTGGCGTGGAGCGGCGCAATGGGCGGGTAGAAAGGAGTCGAAGCAACATTTTATTACTAGGCAGGAGTTCTTGGAAAAGGGCGCTGAGTACATCAAGGAGCATGATCAGGGGAATGCTGCGTATTAGGTTGCCTGTCTTGCGTGCAGGTATGGCAATGTGTGCAATTTGCTGAGTTTGTTTGTTCCCTTTCTGTTCTGGTAATGGGGATTTGTAGTACAGCTAGCCCCAGGACGTTGTTGTTTCATGGGTCAAGACTATCATATAATATCGTCGTGACGAGAACTCGCTGGCGCGCATACAGTGTGATCATTCTAGACATTTGTTACTGAAGTACCATTTCCTTTCATGTCGAGATCCATCCTGTCACTGTCATTTCCCAGTCACGCCATTTTTCAGCAGTCCTATCACAGTGAAAGAGTGATAAAAAGGCTAGATGCAATAGGATACAATTCTCAAGTTATCTAAGCAAAGTCAAAAACACTGTCCCAACCCCCCCTAATGCGCCGAAATGACTAGGACACCCATCCCAATGCATACCCATGTATATGCTCTAAGCCAAGCAATGCCGCATGCGTGCAGAACGCCTCCCAATGAGCCCCAGTCTTACACCAATCAAGATGCATACGCCGCCTGTGCCCCGATTTCCCATGGTCGTTAACAAATTCGTGTTTCTCATTTCCATATTATGATTGCGGGAACAAAGGTGTTTCCGTCGCAGGAAGATATCACCTGAGTCGCCGCGTTCTACGCAGACTTGGGATGCTGCTCCACAAGCCATTCCATTACGCTCTCATAGCATAGTACAAACTGTCGCAGACTCTGTACCATGCTCAGACGCTGCAGTCTGAAGTCTTCCACCGTCTTTGCAATGAGATCAATGTCCTCATTGTTCACCCAGCTGTCATCTTCACGCTCGTTCTTCGCGAGCTTATCGTTGGAGTCGGCATCCATTGGCGTGTTCTGCCTGGCGTTGCGAGCTTGTCGTTGCCGCTTGAGCATGTCCAAGACAGAGTCGACTGTGCAGAAAGTACCCGTACGGCCACATCCAGCGGAGCAGTGGACAATGATCGGACGGCTGTTGGGAGGATCAGGCTGCGAAGGCGAGCCACCGTTGACGGAACGGACGACGGCGTCTGTTTGCTCAATGAGACCGAGCAAGTGGGTAGGATGAGCCGGTGCTCCGAAGTCAGGCCAGTGGGAGTACTGCAACTGTGTGATCTCACGCATACGTGCGAATGGTTCGTCGTCGTTGGAAAGAGTGAACTTGCGAACGGTGACATAGGGCTGCTCTTGGCTGGGAGAGCCGGTAGTGGCCTCCTTGGTAAAGTTGGCAAGCTTTGGTGGGTTCGTTGACCTGCGCTGGCCCATCGTTGGCCTTGATTGTTCCCTGTGACGGTAGATCTTCGATGGCTCCAAGGATGCCCTGCGTTCGCCAAGTGGGTTGAGGTGTAGAGGACCGTATCGCTTATCCGACCAGTAGTTGTGAGCCTTGACTTGTCCACCTTCTTGCTCGGCAGTCAGCATGACGATAACACGAACGTCTTGTTGCCACACAACGTTCCAGAAGTCCTATCAAAGAGTTAGTGAATGACATGGTGAGGGTTAGGAGGGAGCCTACCTTGAAAGTAGCTGGTATAGGTCCCTGCGTTGCAATGTAACGCTTGTTAGAATAGGCAGCTTGGACGTGGTTGGCATTGACATAATCGCAGCTTCCTTCAGCAACCCCCTCGAGCTTGACACGTGTGTGTTCATATGGCCAGATGTTGTTGTAGCGATTCTTTGAGCCCTTTTCGATACCTGCAATCTGAATGTGTTTTCCTGGGCCTCCTGATGACGACGGAGCGTTATAGACGACCTCGCCGGACAAGGCCTTTTGCATACGCTTCTGTTCGCGTTTCTCGATTTGCAAGAACCGCTCTGCGACTGTCTTGCCCTTGTCCTGTTCTTCGGAAGCAGCCTGAAGCCATTGGGGAAGGTCGTCCTCTACCGACTGCGTCATGCCGGAGGGCTGCTTCACGGGCATTTGGCCAACTCCACCAATAAGGTCCATGTTTTGACGAATATTACCAAAGAAGGGGTTCGCAGCGTTTTGGGTTGCGGGCATAGGACAGCCACCAATGACGGGCGCAACAGCAGGTAGGTCAGAGTTGAGGTTGAGAGCAGCTGTACCAGAGGTTGGACTTCCGGAGCTTTGGTGTGTAATCCAGGCAGGGAACCTCTCAGCGAATTCTGAGAAACCACCACGGATAATAAACGTGCCACCTGACCAACCCTCGTTGGTGAACTTCTTAAGAGTATTAATGCAGGTTGTGGCGTCCTTCATTTGCGACGAGTTGGCGTCATATACTATGATGTGTTTGCTGCTCCTCCATCGCTCGAACTTGTCCCTTTGTTCATTGTCTTTGAAGGTCTCGGCTAGCTTCTGGACGTTAAAGGATGCGCGTTTGAGCAATGTCGTAGGAATGCAGAGACTCAAGGCGCCCGTTATGCGAGCCTTTGCGTACTGTGTTGATACGCGCAGATCGAGCAGAAGAACCTCGTCAACGGAAGACTGTAGGATGTTGATGATATGCTGAGCAGTGACCATGCTGGGGCCGCTGGTATTGCCTTCTTCTTCAAAATGAGCGGGTAGTGTCTCGGCGCGGTGAGTAGATATTGAGATATGCGAAGGATGTGTCTTTTTCGAAGGTAGCGATGGCCTTGGGATGCGGGGTTCGGCGAACTGGGCCACGGCATCTGAACGGCCTGGCCCGTCAAAGCTGGCAGGAGAATTGCGTCGTGGTCTGTCAGGGAACATGGAGGACTCAGTCGACAGCATGCGCTTGGGGGAGCGTGGCTTAGGGGCGAACTCTTGCTCGTCGCTTGTATCGCTCTTGTTGCCTGGGTGGTCGGGTGGTGGCATTGAGTATGACTGGGAGTACGAGGGCTGCGCAGACTCGATGTTGTTGAAGAAGGGGCTCTTGGAGGAAGCTTTTAGGCCGGGCGAGGCAAAATCGAAGCTGCCCAGGGCAAATGCTCGGTTGTTCTCCGACTGTTTCCTAAACTGCTCGAATTCGGGGTTCTGCTCAACGGGTATTATGCGAGGAGAGGCAGCGGCTGTAGAGCGCACATTGGAGGTGGGTGGGCTCCAATTGCCGCGAATGTGCTGAGCTGCACTAGAGGAGAAGTGGTCGGCATTGCTGTTGACGGCCAGACCAAAGTAGTTAGGTGAGGGGGTCGAGGGTTCTTTCATCTTCTGTGAAGCGACATGGCTCGGAGTTTTGGCTACCCCATTCATGCGGGGCGTGAGGGCGGGTAGCGCAGTCGGGTGCAGTGAGGCACTTGGCCTCGTCATGGGCGTCGATCCTGAGCCTCGTGGGCGAGAAGATGTGTGCGAAGAACCTCTGGGCCTAGGCGATAGGGCGGGTGTAGACATGGTGCGAATGCCTTCACACGCGGCGGAAGGGTGAAGCGTCGAAGGGGCGGGAGGGGCAGATTAGGTTGTTGTAAGAGATGGGTGCATGGATATGGGGGACTTGATGGCGTGCAGAGGGCGTGTGTGCAGGCAATGCAGGAGTGGTTGGTGCGGTGCAGGTGCGTGAAGGGTCTAGGGCTTGGTTTGGTGGGGATTGCCGCTGTGCTGAGCAATGACGTAGGTGCTGTGAGGCAATCTCCCTTTCAGCGAGGGCACGAGCGATGATGTGCAGGCACAGCCCAGAGTGCTGCCGAATGCGCGCACAAAGTCGCCCAGAAGCGCCGAATTGATTCAGAGTCAGATGCGATGCCACACGCTACGGCTGTGTCGATAGTAGGGCGAGGCGGCGCAAACCAGTGCGTAGGCGTGATGTCGTCAGGGCAGGAAAAGCTGGCTAGAGGCCGCAGCTGCAGGGTCTGGGAGTACCAGCAAAGGGGTGCCTGAACACAAAACGGTCCCGTGACTCTAGCCGGTAGGGCTGACAAGAGGAGCGGAAACGGACGACAGGCCCAGCGGAGAGGCGAACGAGACGGGGCGGAGAGCGGAAAGATCGAGGAGACAGAAGCTGCTGTATCGGCGATCGAGCAACTTAAGAGGAATCGACGAAAAAGCCATTTCCAAGGCACGGCTACGACGACTAGCTGGCCTGCTCTGGGCCCGACAATCGCATGCTAAAACCGCCTTGTCAGCTGTATGGGCTATCGTCGACCGGCCCCTGGTCTATTGCGACATTTGCGAATCTAGCGTCACCGGCCAGGCCAACGGCTGCGAGACGCCGCAACGACTGTCTGACTTCTCTCATCACGTCCGCGCGCGCCAGCTCTGCAGTGCACCTGATCGAGGGCAAGACACCGAGATACTGCCTCAAGTCGTCGCAGAAACCTGCTGTGTGCATCCGCGCGCGCCGGTAGCCAGCATGCAATCCTGAAACCTCTCGACAGGCCCCACCGCAAGACGCTCGGGGACCCTTACATTGATGATCAGCACCCGAGAACCGTGCAGAGGAGAAGGCTACGTCTGCATCCTGCAAACTTACTGTCGCTCTTTGCCGAAAGGGTAGGTGGAGATGCTAGATAGCACGCGCGAGGCGATTCAGCTGCTTCACATCTTCTAGAGCGACTGATGTACAACTTCTGCCACCAAACCCAGACCGCCACTTTGTTGCGCCAACAACATCAGCCGCCAATGGTGACCAAGCAGGCATCGTGCTCTGGCTAGATCCTGGCTGTGCATGCTGTTCGGGCTGCAGATCCCGTAGTTCGTACTGCCACATGGTTCGGACACTACGAGTACTGCCCAACTCGCTCGAGACGTGTCTGAAACCCGCAAACATTGCATCTCTGCACAGGATCAAGGAATACATCATCTGCAGCTGAGTGGATATCACAGTCACAATGGCGTGTTTCCGCATACCGCGTATGACGCGACCACTCCAGCGCTCGGTACGACACGCCGAGCGCTCGTGACATGTTCGACATGTTAGAATAACACCGTCCGGCCAAAGACTAGAGTCGTTGAGCGATATTTAAATTTCGGCACGAATAGCCACCAATGCCTCACAAGGGGCTTCTCTAGTCCAACGTGTCAAACAAAAGCTTGTCTGCATACACTAGGCTTCGAGAATGAGCGGTCCGCAGTGCTACCGAAGAGAACCTACCGAACATGCATTCCCGCTATCTCCGCATCACCGTCACCAATCGCCAAAAATAGACGGCACATCGTGATGTATGGTTTGTATTCAAAAGATATTGCACGAGTTCGCTATGCATGTAAATGCTTAAGCCAAAAGCCATGCGCCTGGATATAATGCCTTCCTTTACGCCTCCCTCTACGCCTAAAACCATGAAGTCAAGATAACATTGCCTCGTCATTCCTACCTTACGTCTCTACATTTCCATTCTCTCCGTCACAGGAGATTCTGAGCTCGTCTTTCTGTGTTTCTTCGACTTGTCATAGCATATGAGCCCAAAGAAGCCTTCGGATGTGCACGATGTGCTGGTCGGGGTAGCTGTGGGAGTTGGCTTGGGTGTGTGGTGTGTCTTTGCAGGCGGCTCGTCACCGTCGAGGCATCCACCAAACCAGCCTGGGTACTTGCACGATGAGGTAGAAGTGGGTGTCGACGAAGTTGTTGTCACAGAAGGTACCGGAGCAGGTGTGGTAGTAATCGTCATGGTTGTAGATGTCATCTCCTCATCTTTGCAGCCAAACCAACCGGGTGTCTTGCACGTCGAGGTCGATGATGTCGTCGTAATCGTAGTCTTGCTATGTGATTTGGTTGTGGACTCATCCAGACAGCCCCACCACCCGGGCGTTTTGCAAGTTTCAGTTCTCGTGCGGCTGGACCTGGTTGATGTTGATGTGGCCGTCGGCTTTGAGCTCCTGGTAGTGGTAGTCTCAGTGCCGTTGCTCTCAAAGTACTCCCAGGTATAGCAGTCGGTACAATCGACGTAAGCCTCACACTTAGGAGGCGCATCGTACTTGAGTATAACGTCTCGGATGACTTCAACAATTTTATGGGTGCCGATGCCCATGCGCCAGCCAAAGTCCTTGACTGTATCATATACACACTTCTGCCCGGTATGACAGACACTCTGCAAGGCATATCCGCCAATGGTGCAGGCGCTGGTGGCCTGGTTACACGCTCCCATGTATATGGGGTCTGCGGTATGTCCAAAGTGAAAACCGCCGGTGAACTTGCGCTGCTGTAGTGAACCGATTTGGTGGCCAGGGGGCACGGGTAGCCCGAGACGCGAGGCTGGCATGGCTTCGGGCACAGCTTCGAAGGTGACGGCCGGATGTCCAAATGTAAGGGAAAGGAAGGACGAAACAGCACCACCGAGAGAATGGCCAGCCATCCAGATCTCGGCATCCGGATATAACGCTGTAACATTGTGGTAGAGATCCTGTGCAGCGTAGTAGTAGCGGTTCTTTTCTCGCAGCGCAGTGACCAGACAGGTAGAGTTGCAGGTGTAGGCCGACGTTTGGCAGTCACAGACCTGTCGCCACAAGTACTGCCCACCCTGACCGCAGCAGCAGCTGAAGAACAGGTTGTCGTTGATCTTGTCGTTCGTAGTCGTTTCTGAACCATCGAACATGGCAGGCGACGTGCCCTTCAGGCCTATGACGACGGTCGAGTTCTCGGTGTCGGCGAAGATGTGGCCGCGCAGACCATCGGATTCCCAGCCAAAGTCTTCTGTGTAGTTGAAGCCGCCGCCAACGGGCTCCCACTCTCCTGTGCCGGGCTCGAGTATGTAGGCGTCCGAGGCCATGCGTGCGAAGCTCAGGACGGTCTCGCGGTCCGTCACGTTGGGCCCTGCTATCTCGTCGATAGTCCAGTCTTCTTCAGGAAGCTGCACGCCTCTTCCCGTGACTCGCCCCCATTCTAGTATGCCGGTGATGGTTTCCTTGCTCCTATCAGCCAGGCGCTGTATGCTCATGGCCTCGGACTTGACGCGCAGCCGCGGCACAGGCTCGCGACTGGCCGCGTCGTCGTCGTGGATGGTCCATACTGCGGCATGCTCTGGTACGTCGAGTCGCCTGTGCAGGTCGGGATATTTGTAGGTGCCGTGGTGGAAGATGTGTCGCAGCGTAAAGTCCTTGTCGGCGTGGGGAGTGCTGTGCGGGAGAGGCGGCGGCGGCAACACGGGCATGTCGGCTGCGCTCGCGACGCTTGCGGCAACGAACGACAGCAGGAAGGAAGCAGCCACGCGCGAGGCAGAGGGACAGGGTCTTGGGCATCGCATGTTGGGTCTATGGCTGCAAGAGAAGGAGGTGCAACGAGCAACCTGCGGCGAGGAGGCGTCGGCAAGCGCCAGCAGAGATGGCTGCCTCCGTCGGACATCGATGACGATCGATGGTTCACTTGACCCCAGGCCCAGCTCCTTTTCACGTGCGCGCCGTGCGGGGAGCTCCCCATGGCTCCCTCACCACCCAGACGGCGCCTCTTCGCTCTGTCCCCGCTGCCGCCGCCCGCTGGTAAGCACAATTCGTTCAACACATTGCACCAGGTGCAGCCTGCTCTCCAGTGCTCACCCGCGACTTTCGGTTCCCTCGGAAGTGCCGTGCTGCCGCATGACGTGAACGCATGCGCTTCGTCCACGCACGGTTTCACAGCAGCCTCCTTCCAATGCAGGCACACGACACTTTTAGATTTCCATTAGACCTTCTGCATCGATAACACCATGGCCGACCGGCCTAGAAACCTGCATCCCTCACGCTCCTTCACGCGCCTCGACTCTGCCCCAAAGAGCCCCCTCTCGCGCAGTCGAGCGAGTACGCTGCAAGGACCGAATGCGTCAGATATGCTCGATCCGCTCAAGGCTGCCATGGTGCCCGAGGAAGACGAGAACCCCGACGGCGACGTGTTTGCGAAGAAGGAAGACAAGGACGAGGCCCAAGACAGCGAAGAGCCCAAGGTGCCGGACACTTTCGAGGAGCTGCCCATCGAGATTCGTAGCTTGACCGAGAGGTACCTTCCGCTGTCCATAGCATGCATCGTTCTCTGATAGTAACACCCTTAGATTCCTCGAGTCCCTCACAGCCAAAGTACATCCTACACCTCTGTCCGCCGAAGCTCTCGCCGACCTCTTCCAAGACTTCTACGGACGCGCCTCCGCCAAAATAAGCACACACATAGCCACCCTCTCTGCTCGTCTAACGAGTGACAACTATGTCGCGAATGCGAAGAAAGCGTCGGCTTCATCGAGCAAACCATCGTCGATACGAAAAGGAAGCGACCCGTCAGGGGAACAACAAATGCTCAGTGCCACTGAAATGGCCGACCGCAAGAAAGCGCGCAGAACGCTCGAGCTTAAGCGGTTTGCACTGGAAGAGGCCGTGGAGCGCGCTGTATGCGAGAAGGTCTACCAGAGGATATGGCGGCACAGGAGTACTGATGACGAGGAAAGGGATCATAAACTCAGATCACGCACAGCTGCTCTCTCCCTCGTCGGTATCGGCCTAAAAGAGCTCTTGATGACTGGCGAAGAGTTGACCGAGGAAGAGCGCCAGAAAGCCAAGGAGAAGGAGCCCGAGATTCGCGAGTACCTGTCTGCAGCACGCGAAGACATCCTGAAGATGAACGAGGAGAAGTACCCGCTGGGCAAGGTCCAACATTTGACTGCTGCACACAAGTCCATTGTCGAAGCTCTGTCCAAGATATTCCCTTCGACCTCGTCTGCTGATGAGATCCTGCCAACGCTCATTTACGCCCTTATTACTATGCCACCTGTCAACTTGAACGTAATTAGCGATCTAAACTTCATCCATCGTTTCCGCGGTTCAACTCGCATGGATGGTGAGACTGCATATTGCTTGGTTAATCTCGAGGCAGCCATTTCATTCCTGGAAACCGTCGATCTTTCTTCTTTGCGCGCCGACGAAGTCACTCACGCAAAACCAGACTCCAGACCTTCAACTCCCAAATCCGAGATCACTCCAATGTCTCTGGGCCTTTCGGATGCGCCAGATCTCATCCAGACCCCAGCCACGCCCACCTCCAAGACAATCCCCAAAGAACCTTCCAGTCCAACGACGACCAAAGCTCAGCGTCGCTTGAGTAACCTCATTCAAACACAAACCAACAAGATCGAGGCTGCCTCTGATGCCGTTCGGGATTCGATTCTTGACTCTGCTGACCAGGCACTTGGGAGAATCAACAACACGTTGGACACTAGCTTCAAATTCTTCTTTGGTGGTCTAAAAGAGAAGAATCCCGATGGCCCTGTGCAAGAACAACCAGTGCTTCCCAAGACACTGGAAGACGCAAGGAAGCTCGTGAGCTCCCCAACTCGTGCAGAGCGTGATGAAGACAACTTGAGTGTCAGTGCAGCAAGTTCAGTGCAGGGTGATGAACCAACAGAGGCCCCAATCAGCAGAGGACTAGACGCGAAGATGGCTGATCTCTTCGCTGGTAGGAGGCAAATTAGAGATCGCAGCGTCGATTCTACCAAGTCCGGCGGTAGCAACAGTGGGCGACGCGTTGCGTTCGCCCCAGGCCAGAGCGTAGAGGAGAAGACACCCTCACCAGCTCCGATCAAGGCAGATCCTCCAACGCCGAGCAACACGTCCGCGGTAGATTCTCTGCGGAACATGGGCAACAACTTTAACCCTTTAAACCGGTTTCCCAGCATGAATGTACTGCCTCGCTTTGCGCGCGCTGTAAGTAGTAACAGCACACCTGTTCTCCCCTCACCGAGCCAGGAACAGGTGAAAGCATCGCCTTCTCCAGAACCACTCAGTCGTACAGCCACGAACGAGTTACCACCAGTAGATGAAAAGGGTGCGAGAGCAATTGCTGCTTTGGAGCAACTGAAGAAGACCACGCCACCAGCAAAGCGCTTTCTAGAAGCCAAAGATGCTCAGGAATTGAAGCTGAAGGAGGTTGACGAGCTTTTGAAAGAGTATCAAAGATTGGCTGGTGCATTACGGGGAGCAATTAACTATTGAAACATATGACATATTTGATAGCGAAGATTTGCATAAACGTTACAAAACAGAAAGCTTCGGTCACACATTTGGTTTGTGTGGATTTCAGTAGTATAATGCAGCATCCTGTTGTTTCGCGATGACGGTATTTGCACAGCGCCGTAGATGATTGGCGTTCGGCCAAAACGGGGGATACCGGATGGGGAAGGGGCAACCAGTATGCACGGACTGTAAACAAGCAACCACAACACACAATTGCGCGATCCGCATCGACACTCCGGCGAACACTAGACACCGCATTTCCCGAATCGCAAACATGGCGGAACCAATGTCGAATCTTTCGCTGGAGAAGCTCAATACCTACTCTGACAACATTATCGTCGACGATATTGATATGGCGTACAACGATCCGCCCTCGTCGCCTTTCGTCGAACACATCGGAGTCCAAGACCAGGAGAACATTGCCCCTGGTGCAGCAGCCACACCGGTGAAGCCGCTAATAGACTTTGAGGACAGCGTGCCCCAATCCGCATTCAAAGTGTCTCCTGAGAAGAAATTTGGACTGAAGGAGCGCACAAGCCCAATGAAGACACTGCCGACGAAGAATTTGATGGACGAGTTTGAAGACCCGGCACTCAAAACTGGCAGCGCAGATCGACAGACTCCCCAGAAGAACATTTCACCCATCGAAGAGACTGCTCCCGAGCGACGCGGGTCCGCAATGAGTAGCCACTCCCACAAAAACCAATCGCCCTCGAAATCATCCCGCGTACCTTCGCCCGAAACGATCCAGCGCAAACCAACCCATATACACCAGCGGCAAACATCGGTTACACCGTCAAAGCGACCGGCCTCTTCTCACCAAGAGCCTCCGCTGCGCGACAATGAGGGCTTGACCACCGCGATGAAGTTCATGGAGGAGAGCAACTTTAAAACTCGCGAGACACCAAGGAAACGAACATCCCGGGGCCACGAATTTGAGATTGATCTGAGCATGGACAATACAGACTTCAACCCAGACGGTCCAGACCCAACATCCTTGGACATCGATGATACCTGCTTCAGCAACTTCTCAGAAATGCCTGGGATAGATATGACGAAATTCGCATCCCTAAAACAGAGCCCTACGAAGAGCGACATGCTAGATGTAAGTTTATGTGCTGTTGATCTTCACGTAGCATACTAACAATGTAGAAGGCTACACCTCGCGCTCGCCCTCAAATGACACCCACGACGGTCCGCCGCTCCGAACGTACTCCTAGTCCTACGCCACGGCGCGCATATAACGATAACGATACCACCAATTTACTCTTGGACTTCACCGCCCAGATTGAATCCTTCTCTTCATCTCGCCGTGCGTCACCCGGACGCGGGCGCAACTCGCCTAGCAAGTCTATCACAGAGCCAAATCTCCGCTCCTATTACCGGGACCAGCGATCGCCGGCCAAGGGTGGGTCGCAAGTACCTGCAACACCAAGCCAGAGAAGCCAAATGTTGAATCTGTTGGATTTTGAGCTGCCTCCGCCGCCTACACCACGATCGCTACCTACTGTCACGATTCGAGAGCTGGAGTCCGTAAAGTCCCAGTTTCAGTCTCAGGTGTCGTCTCTCACAGCTAGCTTATCTGGAAAAGAGGCTGAGATAGACGCTCTTTCCAAAGCTATTGCTGATGCTGAACGCCGAGTTGGCGAAGCCCAAGAGACTGTCCGCGACGAACGCTCAGCACGCGAATATGCAGAGACACAAATGGTTGACTGGAAATCGAAAGGCGAAGAGGTTCAGAAACTGCTGCAGGACGTCCAGGCCGAGATGGCACGCAACGACGCTGAGCGCGAAGACCTCCTAGCAAGGTTGGCCGATGCAGAGAAGCGTGCCGACGATGCAGAGAGCCGCTCGTCTGAGCTTGAAACCAAGGTCATCGAGGCTGAAAGCAAGAACGTCGACATGACGACTTTTATCAACAACGATGAAGGCGATGAGAACAAAAAGGTTTACTCCGAACTCGAATGCCAATCTGCTATTGCCGAGAAGGTCAATGAGATTGCACGCGACCTGCACACAGCCTACAAGGCTAAACACGAGAAGAAGATCAAAGCCCTCAAGGATAATTACCAGAAGAAGGCCGACGAAAAGTGCAAAGAGCTTCGGGCGCAGATTGCCAGTCTCGAAGGGCAGGTAGAAGACGCAGAGAAGAAGCGTGACAACACTTTTAGTAGGATCAATCCGGGCCAGCATGATTCCAGGAACGAGAGCCAAGGAGCGTCCCCCTCAAAGTCCACACGAAACGCCGAAGACGCTCAGATGCTAGAAGCGCAGAGAGCTGAAATCGAGAACCTCAAGGCTAGACTCGCCGGTCTTCAGTCAGAACTCCAGTCTCTTCGCAAATCCCACGATACCCTTGTTGAGGACCTTGAGGCTGAGCGCATCGAGAAGGGCGAGCTCGTAGCGGCCGCCGAACAGATGCTGTCCATGTGCGGGGAAAAGATGGAAGAGATGCAACAAGAAGACCTTCGCCGCTCACAAGTGGGCTCCGCACCACCTGCAGCTCCCCAACAACAAGCGCCGCCTCAGCAAGCAATGCGCAACACAGGCTTTCTCGCCGGTGGCTCCAGTGCCTCACGCCCCGGATCCGCACTGGGCGGTGGACGTCCCGGCAGTGCGATGGGTGACCATCTAGGTGCGATGAACGAGCGAACCGGCAGTGGAGTTGCTAAACCATCTGGACTTCGCGCACCGGGTGGCCTTAAGTTCCAAGGCGCTCCCGGTTTGAACCGGAGTCAAAGTGGTGGGAAGAGCAGGTTACTGTCAAACATTGAGCGTATGGGTGGAGGAAAGACACAGGAATAGAACACCTGGCCTCCTATTGTACGTGCCATGAAGGGTTTTGGTTACGAGGCACCGGTCGCGAGGTTGTGATCAGACTTGGGTATATGGAGATCCCAATGAAAATATGGGCCAAGATGGTGCATTTCCGGCGGTATATATTGGAGTCACTTGGTTACGATGATGACTTGGACGCTGGCGTTGTTTGGAGTTCATCAGTCAAGCTCTTTCGTGTCTAATGTTGCCCGCTATCCATGTTGAAGTGTCTTTATTGTATATCGCAAATATGTGAGCGCGTATTCGTGTTTACTTCACACCATGTGTGTGTAATCGTATCTTCTTACCAGTTTGCGCTCTCACCAGCCATGCTCATGTGTTTTATCCGCTCTCCAGTTCCCATACACCGATGCATTCCCATCGAGAAAGTGCATTGGCTTGTTTTCCTAGTAGTATCACCCTACTTAGACAACACTAACCATTGCGCGACACGTTTTCGCGCTGTCACATGATGCCGCAAGAATGGCCTAGCGCGTATCTCACGAGTCGTTCAGGGCCATCATCCTAACCTTATGACACTTACATCTTCATCGTACAGTAATGCCTGCATCTATCTGCGTGTCTACACTCCATCCAAGGAAAGGCGTCCACCATGGTTCGATAATCGATCATTAATGCGACCGCACTTGAGACGCATCCGTGCTAGCGACTAACGAAATGGTCACGTCATGTCGTCAGCCTCTCCACTACGACATTGAGTACCGCGAGAGGCTTTTTCTTGTGTCATTCACTACCGTCATGACATATTTGAAGTTATAGGCCGCGTTGTACGCAACTGTGTGGATGCGGGTAAATTGCATGTGGCTGCATGTCATAAGGTCCGGCCGGGCTACGTGTTATGGGATTACGTTTCTTACTAGCCGTCGAACAAAAATGCGGTTTCATCATAGTAATATGCGAATTGTTGTGACGGAGCACTGACGACAGATATACGATCCTGGCCTGGAGACCTTAGCATATAAGGTGCTCAGTCGATCGGCTACTGTTGGGCACAACAGCATCTTTCTAATTCGAGACAACCATCGACCTTCTCACACATAACTACCCGTCTCAACCAACCCCCACAAACCAAGCAATGTCTGGCAACGACAACCCCGGCAACTTTGCGAACCGTCCCAAGGAAGAGGTTAAGGCCGCAGCACAGAAAGGCGGAGAGCACTCCCACAGCGGCGGTTTCGCATCCATGGATGCCGACAAGCGTGAGTGTGCTTTCAAATACTAGACGGTCAAGACTAACATGGCCACAGAACACGACATCGCCTCTATGGGTGGGAAGGCCTCTTCCGGCAGCTTTGAGCCCGGCAGCGAGAAGGCCAAGGAGGCCGGCAGGAAGGGTGGACAGTCGTCTTAGATGCTCATCTGTTCTAAATCTGGCAAGAGTTTTGCAACGATATCCCGATTTGCGCCCAACAAGGTGACTGTGGAACCTTGAGTAGTTACCTATGAAGCAACTGTAATAAGTATCAGTGCACGTGTTCATACAATGTGGAGTCTGTTTGAGTGCGAAAGTGATCAATTGTTTGCAGTGTTGCCAGTGCTCTACAATGTGTCCCTTCAGGGTTTGACGAACCCCAACCGTCATAAGTTATGTGCGTAAACGTCGTGAAGCCTCCCAAATGCGACGAAAATGCCAATCCATCCCGAATCTAGTGTGTAAAAGTTTGGAAGCGTGGGGTGACCACCACTGTGCTTCAAGAAGAGTAAAAAGGTATCCCAGCGTTCAGGAACATGATGAACGAATGTGAAGAAGTGAAGGATAAGGTATAAAGGAAAATGTACCTAAACCGGCACACCTAACCGTACATGTCGCAGGTCATCATCTTGATCTCATACTCGCTCTGGCCCTCAACGACACCGCAGTTAACGTCCCAGCCTAGCTCGAAAGTATCGCTCTCCGGCATGCGGCCCTTGGCACCGGGTGCGCAGTTGGCATCGGGAGTATAGTACGAGACCTCCATGGCAGGGGCAGAGTTCCAGTCACAAGCATCAACACGCTTGTAGAAAGTGCGGCGATGCATGCGCAGAGCCTTGCGTTCAATGGCCTTGTTGGTAGAATCGCAGGCGCAACGGGCCGCGAGAGTAAGCTCGTCACGGCGGCACTCACAGCTCGAACCGTCTACTGCGTAGCGGCGAGTGTTCGCCTTGACCTCTTTGTGAGGACGGTTCCACCAGTGCCCACGGTCAGAGCTGTCGCTCTGCTCGACTGTGGGTGTCTCTGCAGCCTGATATTGCTCGTAGATGGTGGTCGCTACAACGGTGGTAACAACAACAGCCGGGGGGCCGTTCTCAACAGGAGTAGGGGCCGGTGGCTGCTCGTGTCGCTCGCCATCCTCGTCTTCCTCAGCAGGCGCCTCAGGCTGTGCGTAAGTTGGCTCGGGGGTCTCTTCGGGCTCAGTCTCGGAGTAAGCGGGTTGTTCGGGCTGAGTTGGAGACTGAGACGGTTCACTGGGCTCACTGGTATCGCCGGAGCCAGAGCCGGAGCCGGATCCACCGATGTGAACCTTAGCACAGTTCTCGAAGGATTCGTGCTCGCGGTTGAGCCAAACCCAGATGAAGATGGCATCGCCTTCTGGCATGTTAGTGGGAACTTTGAAGTCGAAGGTCTGGGCCTCGGGGGATCCATCCTCGGTGGCATGCGGGCAAGCGCCGTGGTATGAGGCGGCCATCTTCCATGTCTTGCCCTTGTCGGTTGAAAAACCAACCTGGCAAGAGCCTCCGTAGTGGGTACCTCCAGGTGCCTCGGGGTCGTAGTCGTAGTCGGTGAGTTGAAAGTAGGCGTCTTGACCAGGCTGCCAGGTAACAGTAGCATCCTCGGTGTCGAATTTGTCGAGATGGCCACGGCAAAGGCCAGGAGAGGGCTTGCTGTCACCGCCATCGGGGCCGCAGCAGCCAAGCGGGTAGTTGAACTGTGGGTCCAGCTCCGTAGATTGTGGGTTGATGGAAGGAGCGCCCCCTAGAGGAGCCGGATAGTACATGGACATATGGGCCTGAGCAGCGCCAGCCAGGGCGAGCACAGAAAATACGTTTGTGTACATGGTTGTGTTTGTTGGTGGATTTGTGAAGACCGTGTACGTAAAGAGTGACTTTTGGGAGTATCAAATGAAGAACTTCTAGACTTCAAATGCTGGTGGCTCCACAACGGTGGTCTGTTGACAATGTTCCACTGTGAATACAGGAAGTGTGTAGAAGTAATTCCTATTTAGCAACAAAGAAGTCAGGTGAATAAGAAGAAGACGGCCCAGCGTTTTCGAATGCAAAAGAGTGAAGTGTAGAATGAATGACGACGAAGGCTAGCTTGTCAGGAGGGACTGTGTGTCACTGGGAGTGATGGCGTCTTCCATATCGGGCGGCTTTCATCCTTTATATCATCTGCTGACGACTGACCAAGACTACCGTCGGGCTCGTCTACGTTCCCGTTCAGCACGGTCACTCTGAAGCGCCTCGAGGCCGTTGCGGGACCAGCATGTTAGTCGAATTTGCTTAGCAGTGGCATCTCCTGACCAGGCCGCGGCCAATGTGCGTAAGGCCAGCTCGCGTACGTGCGGATACGAAGTTGGCCTTACTGTTTCGAAACAGCGAAGCGCGGGAGTCTGTGGAGTCTCGGACCAGCTCCGTTCAGCACCGCAAAGGTGTTTTGTCTGTTCCTGGCTGACGAGCTTCGGACTTCGTTTCACGCCTTGCTTTTTCGGGCGTAGCAACGGCGCTTGTTCCTGCCAAGGTCGTTAGGGCGGGGAATCACATACGAGATTTTGCCTGCTGTTTAAACTCCATCTTGTGATGATTAGCAAGGAACCCGAGGGCCCTTGTTTCACCATCTGAGATCTTCAGAATTCTTCGGTTCTCGGGCTGACGTGCAGGGAGTGCATCGGCGCAACATCAAAGTTGTATCTATAAGATCGCTCGCTTCATCTAACCACGTGCGCGTGATCATCCTTACCGATATTTGCTTTCACTACTCGTGTCCTTCCCATCTTGTAATTGTTCTCCGTTACGGGCTCCGACTGCTGTATACGTGGTTGTCAGCAAATGCAGCGTTGCGCAACACTGGTTGCCACAAGAAGCTGTCGAAGCGGGCCATGGCTGCCGTTATGCGACGCATGCCGCCTTCCGCAATTGTTATACCTGCGTCTAGCTTTGTCCCATTTCAACTGGACGACTGTCATCGTGTATCCACAGCAGGCTGCCGGGGAGCTTAGTGATGCGCTTCCAAGCATTCGCCCGCACCAGAACTGGTCATACAGCCTCGGGAATATCGGCACTGGGCATCGAAGGCGGCATCTAGGCACGACTTCCAAATTCAGTCTTGTTGGATGTAGCGTAATACGAGGAGGGTCTCCTGAATAATGTCAAGACTCCGGCAGGTTCCACGAGGACAATCATGAGGACGCCGCCTGCTTGGCCGCTACCATGGCATCGGCTCTCCTCGCCATGGCCTCAAACTGGGCGTCATCGCCAGCTGTGACAGAAAAGACGTGCCTGGATGGCATCGTCATGTTGTATGTTTGACAGCACCCTGGCTCCATTTTCACTGGAAACATCCATGGCCCGAGAAAACCGTTTGTAGCATCCCAGCTCCCAAATTACCTAACCCCGTCAATCTCAGTCAGGCTTCTTCTGTTATTACGGATTCCCGCGCCATTTTCGACCAGCCATTCGATGGCCTAGGCTGACAAACACAGACTTACCTTGAAGCGCCTGGTGGGACAGCTAACGAGATCCACCAACCCGAGCCGCCCGATTGTTTCACCCCAACACCACCCAAGTTATCGATTGGAGAGTGATGTCTGCACGGATACCTATCGCGGGCCGCCAGTGTGAGTGACAGACGAGGAACTCCTTGTCTCGCTTCCCCGGGTCCCCCGGAGTGCCTCTTCACTAGGACCCACTATTCAACACTCGACTTTCTACCGGGGCGTTTGTGCGATGCCCTGGAATCTGGTGTGAGCCAATGACATACTGTCAGGCCGTTGAGGTAAAGAAGCAAATCTTACAACTGACTGTGATGCGCCCCGCAGCTATGACGCCCACGAAATTGGTCACACTATGATCCTGCCCACAGACTCAGGGACCTGCTCTGCCCAGTACTTCAACATCTCGAGAGATGAGATGTACTCTTGTGTGAGAAGCAAATCACACCAGATGTATAAGATTGGCTGTGTCGGTTTCACTATCTCGAAGACCCTGGCGTCGCTTTCCCCTCTATCTACAGACTTCTGTCAAAAGCAGAGCAACACCTCGCCCCCGTCGGTATCCAGTACCCCTGCCCGCTGAAAAAAATACACACGACCGTTAGTAGCACATCTTTCGAATCAGAAAAAGCCATCGTGTTCTAAGCACTGCAACTTCTCAGGTCTCGTGTGCATGCTTTGTCGTAGCACTCTGTTGCAGATTCCTAAGGCCTGTTCCAAGCATGCTACCCAGCCCACTAGGTAGCCGTGTGTCCGAGATCACCACCCATCACAATACCAACGTAGAGTACTAGTGAACCACAAAAACTATACAAGAAGATTATCGCGAAGAAATATATGTCTGATTGCGTCTTGGCTCAGGTAATCTACTTCAGTTCCCTCGGCAGACCATGAAATCCACAAGCACTGAACTTCCACCACTCAGCTTTCCGCCCGCCCACCCACCATCTCATGGTCGTACTCTCCCGTCCCGGGCAATGAGGCAGAACTTGCAGTCTATTCTCTGAGGTGGCATCATGGTTCGTCCAGAAACCGGCAACTGAGTCGTTTTGTCTAGACTAATAAAGCCTTTGCCGTATACACCGTTATGAGGATTATGTAAAAGCATGAAGAGAGCTGACATGAACCCGTCCATCATCCCCCTGCATACCTCAGAGCTGAAGTTGTTGCGCTTTGCTGCACAAGATCGAAGCCAGATTCCCCACCCTGCACACTTCTTTTCAGCGAAGGCTGTGCCCAGCTGTGCATCGAGACACCGATATGTCGCCAGACTGTTTTGTACTAATTTTGCGTACTAGGTCATCGGGATATGGGGCGCTTGAATGTATATACTGTTCAGTGCGCTGATGAGACAAGTATACACCGTGATGATCTGACTCTCCTCTTGTGGATCTCGAGTTGTAGCTGTGCCCTCGAATACAGGAACAGGCATAAGCTCAATCGGTCCAGTTTCCCACGTTTAGGGCTTCCGCATGTAAGTTGGGCCAAAGTACGGCATCTTGAGTACAGGTGGAGTTCCCAGTTACTTTCGCACATCCACCTTCTTAGCATCTCACGCGTCAACACACCGAAGGCTTGAGAGGTGATGTGTATCGCATCCGTACTTTCTCAATACTGCTGCTTGGAAAGACCAATTTCGGCGAATCCATAAAGCAACACTGGTGTATGGACACCTTTGCTCGACGTTAGCTTACTTCAATGGGCCCCGCAGCTTCACAATGTTGATTTGCCAGCTAATGAACGTCGACTTATCCTCTGATACCCTGTAACGTCGCTAACAACGTAATCGGTAATCCCTTGTTATATGCCGACAACGACATGTCTTCCACAGACAACGACCTCGTCGTCCTAATGCACATCAATGAGCTCTGTGGTAAATACTGCGCGGGGATATGACATTCTTCAGGCAAAACATTGGCAAAGGTATCCAAGTCGCGAAGGGAGCCCCTCCAGCATATGATCCGCAAAATACCACTGCTTCTGATATTTTCACACATACTAGACCTTGGGCGTGACCTGACAGGTATAACAGGAGTGATACAAAAGAGTTCAATACTTTAAGAACAACTTCGAATTGAAGCGAGATGTGTTCCCTCTCCGTGTTGCTGATTGAATGCGTATGCACTGATTTATTATCCACGCTTAACGCTTAGGGAGGTATGTTCTTCCCTATCAATCTACTTCTAGAGAAGTTTCTCTAGCTCCGCAGCGATCGCATCACCGACTTCGCTCGTACTTGACTTTCCGCCGATATCGTGTGTTCGGACGCCGCTGTCAATGGCGATCTTGGTGGCCTCATCGATCTTTAGCGCAAGCTCTGGTAGACATAAAGAGTACTTGAACATCATGCTGATGGACAAGATCATTGCGATAGGATTGACGACGCCTTTTCCGGCGATATCGGGCGCGGATCCTATTAGTTGTAAGCAAGCGTAGATGCAGTGGCGCGCCAAAAGACTTACCGTGAATAGGCTCGTAGATTCCGTTAAGCTTGGTCTTGCCGTCTGGGATGCCACCTAAGCTGGCACTTGGCAGCAGACCAAGACTTCCAGGGATAACACTGGCTTCATCGCTGATGATGTCGCCGAACAAGTTGCTCGTCACCACGACGCCGTTCAGTGCCCTTGGGTTCTTGATCATAAGCATAGCCGCCGAGTCGATGAGGTGGGTGCCGGACTCGAGTTGCGGGTACTCTTCCTTCATGATGCGCTCAAAAGTTTTCCGCCATAATCTCGATGTCGCCAGAACGTTTGCCTTGTCCAGACTCCACACCGGAACGGGCGGGTCCTCGACAGACGCGAGACTACCCGCTAACCGTACGACGCGCTCAATCTCCTCGACGCTGTACGGCTCTGTGTCCATGGCCTTGCCATCACCCTCATCCTCCTTTCGCTCGCCAAAGTATATACCGCCAGTCAACTCACGAATGATGTTGAACTTTACGCCACGAACGTTGTCGGCTTTGAGGGGTGAGCCGTCGATGAGCGAGTCGGAGGCGAAGAAACACGGCCGCAGGTTTCCGAAGGTACCAAGTTCTTTGCGTAGTTTCAAGATCCCCTGCTCGGGGCGGACCTTGCCGGTTCCCCATTTCTGTACAAGTTGTCAGATGGCGTCAAGTGAGTGTGGAGTTGTAGGGTCGTACCGGCCCGCCGACAGCACCAAGGATGATGGCGTCGGCCGACTTTGCAGCTTCGAGGGCTTCATCCGTGAGAGGATTGTTGTGTGCATCTATCGAACACTAGAAACTATTAAGACAAGTCCCCTACGTCATAGCTTGAAACTTACTCCTCCAAATAGGTGCTCTTTGAAGTTGAAAGTGTTGTCGGTATGTTTTTGGATGACTTTGAGGATCTTCATCGCCTCGGCGACGACCTGGATATGTGCGTCAGTAGGCGCATTGGGGAAGTGCGAAGGCTGCTGCTACCTCTGGGCCGACACCGTCACCTGTATGGAATTAACACACAACTTTGCGGAATTCGAAATGTGGCTTACCGGCAAGGACAACAATATTGTGGGCAGTCATGATGGGTTGATTATGCTTGAAATCCAACTAAGGGTGTTGCGCGCTTTCGAGGATTTGCCAAAGATTCGTGAAGCTACCCCACGACGTAGTATTCCGTGCCCCGCTATCGCAACTCCTCCGACGTCGGCCGCCTTGTGCCGAGCATCGCTCTACGACCGCCTATCATTCACAACGCCCTGACGCTTCACAAACATGGACAGTGAATGCTCATTTCAGCCCGTTTGCGAGTACTCCGATGTCGCAAGCGGTTTCGGTGATTGAGAAGTCACTCTGTAGTCATGGCTTTCCATGTGTAATACGAACAGCGCATGTACAGAACATCAACGTAGAAGAGGGGGGAAGGGCATAGTCTCGATGCTTGTGACGATTCAAGCGAGTGTGTATATAACAACTATCGCGTCTTAATTCATCAAGAGTGCCAAGAGCCATTGATATGCAGTGCGCTTGCCCCTATAGTTCTCCAGTTACAACAGCGCAAGGAAGCATATGATAGGGGTCAACACTTGCCATCACACCACTCCTTGTCACCAAGAAGCACCAACGTCAGGCTTGGGGAACCGCGTGTGACAACCAGCAGCCGATCACGACGTGCCATGCAATCTTGGGAGAGGTTACTTTTGGACGCTGCAGGACTGGGAGATTAGAAGTTGATTGTTTGGGTAAGCGACACGTTGAATTGGGATAGTAAGGTTTAAGCCATCATCCCATACCAGTTAGAACCAAAGACTCCGTGGGGTAAAGGGTGATGGACGAGGCCGCAGGCCGAACTGTGTCGTGGAGGCTCTGTGATGAACGCGGGATGGCGCACCGTTCTAACCTTTCGTGCGCCAGCCTCCGCAGATCTCTCTCCCACACGCAAGCTCCAAGCCCCGATTTGGCTCCTCGTTACACGCATCCTCACCTGTAGATCACAGCCAAGAGTCTTGGATATGAAGATCCCTCTCTTGCGCCTCACATTCAGTGCGCGGTCCTCTACATAAGTCGTCGTAGCCCGCCGCTTTTTCGCGACAAGCCTCCGCGTTTCTGGGCGCCGCGCAGCGACGTTGCGTAGCGGGATGCGCCAAGGTAAGCGCACTATTGTGATGCAATCTCTGGCCGCTGGTTGTGCAATTTGTACTCGATCTGCAGCTTTGTGGTTGGGTGTTAGGTCAAAGTGTTGGAGATGCGTTTTGGACTGGCCGCGCTGGGCATGGGGCTTGGAACATCTCACTGCCCGCGTATCGCGGTTGGCGCAATTACACCATACCAACCTGGGAACCCCGTGGGCGTCCCATGATGCCCCCAGGCTTACCTGTTTCCGTTCCACTGCTTGTCGGCTCATATAATCCACACGAATCCCCCTTCGCATGTGTTGGCTGCATCGTGTGGTCCATGGTCCTCACAAAGCCGGTACCGCTTACCGATTTGCGCGATTAAATCACCACTTTTTTTTTTCAACAAACGTAGCGAACTACGGTTCGCGCTGCAAACACTGTGCAGCACAATCTCACCCGCATAAAACTACTTATCTGTCCCTCCTTCATGCCTTTGCAACTTCGCACTCCTGTATACCTCACGTACAATCACGACCTCGAGCTCGTCCGGTAACGTACACCCAAGCCGTCCGCGGCGAGCGTTCCAGCCACCACTTCGAGACCCACTTCAAAGCCACTACACACTTCACCATGTTGTCCGTCCGCTCCAGTGTCGACAGCATCTACAGTCGGCTCAGCGGCGAGAAGCCCCTTCCCAAGCCGGCCTACCACTGCAACATGAACCCGCAAGAGCAGTCCCTCTGGGCCATTATCGTAAGTATCCCTCTATTGTCTGTCTCTATAACGTCATACTTACGGTTGTACAGGGTGAAGAAAAGTACGAATACACATGCGACAAGAAGGGCAGGGTACACAGGCGTCGTCTTACCTACGTCCAACGCGCACAGAAGCAACGTCAGTTCTTTGAGTCCCGCGTGGGTCATGCCATTGTCGGCGACGAGTGGATGAGGATGAAGCTTCCTTCCCGAAAGTGCTAGACAAGTGCAAGTGGCTGGCCGCTGCCAACATCTCATGGTCTACCACGTCGCAGAGGCAGTTGGGCCATGACTTCGGTTACTGGGTCTCTGTGGCTGGAGTGCATTCTCCAAGCTACTATCTCTTTTGTAATGGGTTTGGGGTTTGGGGTTTGGGGTTTGGGGGGCGTCAGAACAGTTGCCATTTCGCATAGGATACCCGGCATATGCATTCAGCGTGGAGTTGTTACGTTGCTCAGATCAACACTTCTTTTGATTACAAGATTGCCTTAATGATGCTTGATATTGTGATTGTATCTGACCTCGTGGGATGTAGGTCACGTGTTCCAAGGCTTCGGCGACGACATAGTAGAATAGTCTGCTTAGAGACTCTAGCGAAGCAGCGGCAGTGCAAATGACGATGGATCATGGTGTTCTGCTTGCGGTGTGAAGTGGTGTAGAGACCGCCTAGCTGTCGGCCCAACGCTACTGGGCGTAGCTGGCTAGCCTCCGCTCATTGGCTGGTTCAGCAACGGCCGACGCTCAGCCTTCAGCTGCGGGCGGGCTGTGACCTCACTCTCCCCAATTTGTTTCTCATCCAACACACGGAAAGCGAATTGCCATCCCATCGAGTCATAATGTTCTGGCCCTACCCATGAGGAAATACGCCTTGAGAATTCACAGTACCAATCCCAAACCATGTCGGACGACGAGGATGCGTTAGTCATCGCGGCGGATGGCGACCTCATCCTCGATGTCGCCCAGGATGAGGGCGGACAGCACTTCTCGTATCGCGTAGACTCCAAGACTTTGCAGCAGAACTCGCGGTACTTTGAGAATCTGCTGAGTGACCGCTTCAACGAAGGGCAGCGGCTGACAGCCGCTTTGGAAGCACTTGCCTTGGGTAATTATGCCAAGATTGCAGATGCGCCTGCCCATGTGCTTCCTCGCATAGCCATCGTCAACGTCGGTCGTGTAGCCGTTGCCAAAGCCTCTTCGATCCGAAATCTCGTTGCAGACTTCCTCCGCGCCATCCACGGCCTCGATCTTGCCGTCACGAACCCGCCCATAGCCAACCTCGCCAACCTCGCCGTTGTAGCCGACCGATTCGATGCTGTTGCGGGCTTGTCGAAGCACATACAGAGGAAAAAATACCTGCAGCTCATCGATGCCAAGTCGAGAGGCAAGCCAGCCCCAACGCAAACGGAAGAAAGGATACGACAGAAGCTGTTAGTTGGTCTCCTCTTGGATCATCCATCGTGGGTAACGCGGTATTCGAAGCATCTGATCATGCGCGACTCGGTCCAGTGGCGACCGGGGACAGAGGAGGATCACACAAAAGCTTTGTGGTGGGATATACCAAACGGTGTCGAGGACGAGATGATACAGCGACGAGAGTACATACTGGAAACGATCAACTCTCTACAGGCCCATTTCCTCAAGCTGTACACGTCTGGCGAACGCCAATGCAAGCTCTGGTACGATACATCGCTACAGTGCGACTCGTTTCAACTAGGAGAGATGGTTCGCTTCTTCTCCAAGATCGATACTATACGGCTGCAAGGCAAAATCTACGATAATACAGAGCCGACATATTACCTTGGAGACATCGATCGGCTCCTCTCATCACTCCGCCAGTGTTCCAACTACCAGGTCGATAGTAATCACGGACATTGCGGACTGCGCGGACGCATACTCCCACTTCTTGACCTCATACAAAATTCGCTCAGTCTTGATACAGGGAGTCTAGATATTGGAATCTGCGCGGAATGTTGGGACAACCACCGTAATGAGTATGCTTGGCAGCTAGCAAAGCGACCCGTCATGTGGGCTCACCCAAAGTCTTTAACGGGTAATCGGGCGCTTACCAATGCCGTCGCGCGTAAGAGTCATCAGAGGACACCAAGTAGTTGTCTCAGCAGGCATGTGGCGGTCAGGGACCTTTTCATGGCTGTGGAGCGCGACTGGACGGCGAGGGACGTGTATTAAGGAGATAGTACATCATCAAGGCAGCTTTTGAGGCCTTTGAGGCTCATACAGATACGGCCTCAAAACGCCTCGATCAAGTGTTCGACGCTAGGACAGAATCTTTGCCCAATATCCTGTGCCGTAGCCATGTGATATGGTAGGCCCCGCATGGAATCCAGGTATCGCAAAGTTAGAGAAATATGAGGTTTTGTGTCTGCCTTGGAACTTTAGTAACACACAGGATTTAGGGAGGAAGGAAGGTTACTCGGGTTTGAGGCGCTGGGTGAGGAAAGCCTGTCCCGCATAGTTCACCCGGTGCCTGCACCCTCGTGATGCATGTTCTTTGGACTAAGTACAATGGTTCATGCACCGTTTAACTCTCAAGTATTCTGCTCGTGGTTCGTTCTTTGAACGGCAAATGCTTGCGAGCCGACTCGTGAAAGGCTGGCTCGGCTATGCAAAAATCGCGTCGTGGTGTGATTGGGTCTACCCATGGAACTGTGGTGGCTGAGCAATCAGCCTGAGCTTCTGCACAGCACAGCTCCTGGTTGCGGCTACCCGAGATGTTCCTTCCATTCCTAATCCATCGATGGCCAAGGCCGATAGTAAGGCACACACAAGGCGCATATATACTTTGAGCATCGTGTTCGTTGTGAATAGTATATAGATTCACCTGAACCATGGAACATCACTTCTCTTCCATCAGGACACCGGTAACTTTCTCAAACCAGCTTTCACCTGTCCTTACGGTTTGTTCTGACCCACCTTAACGTTAGTCACTGCTTCAATGTCTGTCTCACCTTCCGCCGTTCAGTATTCCGACAACGCCAACTCTCTGTCCTACGCTGCCACTCCCTGTATCCAACACTACTCATTATCCCCAAAGCCTGGAAGTATGTTCGGCAAATTGAAGAAGACCTTTTCGACCCGCAAGTCTTCCAAGTCGACCAATAGCTATAGCCCACGGGACACAGAAGGCGCTGGACACATGCTTGGTAATGCGCCTTCAGGTGCACCGGTCAACAAGAAGAACTTTGCATCCCACGACAGTGGCCTCTCACCGTTCTCATACCCTCACCCGTTTGACTCAGCGTCACCTGCTACACGAAGGCCCAGTAAGCACTACCCCACATAACATATACACTTCACGACTGCTCTTCCTGAAGCTGACTTGTTTCCAGACAGCTCAAACATGAATCCCTTTAGTTCTAACCGCGATGCCCCGCCAGCGTATACACCAGGCCCGGCTCAGAACACCCCCGCAGTAACTTCAGCCCCAACTACCGATATCGAAGAGGACGATCCGTATGACTTCCTTCGAAGCTTCGATACAGTCTTTCTAATCGATGATTCTGGATCCATGGCCGGCCGCTCTTGGAGGGAGACTGGCAAGGCTCTTGAAGTGATTGCACCGATCTGCACCAAGCGTGATGCAGACGGAATCGACATCTACTTCCTCAACCACCCCGACTCTAGCATTTACAAGAACGTTACTTCAGCGGGTACCGTCATCGAAATCTTCCAGACCGTGCGTCCCAGGGGTGCCACACCGACCGGTCAGCGCTTGAACAAGATTCTCGAGTCCTATCTCCAGCGATTCATGCTCGACAAAACTATCAAGCCCATGAACATCATTGTCATCACCGATGGTGTGCCATCCGACGATCTTGAAACTCACATCATTTCAGCCGCCAGGAAGCTCGACGAGGAGAAAGCAATAGCACACCAAATTGGCATCCAGTTCTTCCAGGTTGGCAAGGAGCCTGGTGCAAGGGAGCATCTCATGCAGCTTGATGATGGCCTTGTTCACCTAGCGCGCATGGACGGCAGGGGAATTCCGCGGGACATTGTTGACACGGTGCCTTTCACTGGTGACGGGAATGCTGAGCTCACCGGCACAGGAATACTCAAGGCCACTATGGGAGCTATCAATCGCCGATGGGACTATGCTTCTAAGGGAATACATCGAAAATAGTTAGGCGTGGCTTGTTTCTGCAAGGTCACAGTGTCATTCACGGATGGACCTGTTGGTGGGGTTGTCTTAATCCATCAATTTGATACGTTCAACGATACGGCTTTTGGCGTTGATTGGGTGGTTCAACTTGCTTGCTTAGGGAGGTGGTGTCATTATGGGCGTTGGTGGTTCGACGCCCCTACTTTGTGGGCTCTCTCTGCATACGGTTCTCAAAGATCCGCCATAGACATCCTGGGTTGATCATAGCTAGTCATTTCTTGTCCACTTTTCACTCTTCTCCATACGTTTATGACTGGTAAAGATAGTACTTTCACCCATTAGTTCTATGGAGCAATTACCTAGTAATTCTACAACAGGGCAAATTTCCTGAGTACCCTCTTTGTGAACGTCGTCCCACAAAGGAGGGGTAGGCTTCGTGCATGGGTGCCTGAAGGCCTGAGGCTTGCCTGAGGATGCCTTGCAAGGCAGACTCGCCTATCACTACCGGTTGCAGCGGAGAAATCGCACAAGCAAACACGAACACCGGCCTTGCATATAAACGTGGATAGATACGCCTGGTATTCGAAAGTACGACGCATGCAGTTCTATGCAACAACCTCCAAACATCATGGAATACGCCACTCCGGTCAAGTGGTTTGCTGTGTTATTCGTCCACGAATCGCCTCTTTTGCGGACTGGAGTACTCATGGTATGCGCTTTACTATCGTTGTTCATGCAAGGGATTACTGGTAGTCTAAAGGATGTCAATCCAATAGTTCACCATATCTCACTACCCGTATTACAGTTGAAGACGACCTCTTGCGGTGAGAACCCGTGTGAGTCGATCGTTGACCTTGGATCGCACAGTTCAACCATGTCAGTGAAGGGGTTGATATTGAAATTCATACGCATACAGATTGGTATACTTAGTTCGACAGTAGAGACAGGCGTTCGCCAGGCTATACTGGCAGAAACTACACGTCTCCCGGCCTAGCGTGCGTACTCGCTAACACACCAATGGATGTATTGCTCTTCCAGGCTCTGGCCCAGTAATCATCTATACCATTTTTCACGTTCAAGGAGTGCGGAGCTGCACCATGACATACGGCGTCGCATGCGCAGAGATCTTGTTTGATGGTGCGTGGTGCAAGATTGAGCGATGTGGTGCAGGGATGGCGTAGGCGGGGATGCACGCGACGATGACGTTTTGGCTTCCGGTAGCTTGGCCAACCCCCATTTACAACTTTGCTGGGCATGTCGACCCAGAAAGAGGGGACGAGCACCGAAGCTGCCATCCCTTACTTCACCAACCTCTCCTGGTCCATCTACCGCATCAAAATCGCCCTGCTGACCTCGGGCACGTCGTCGGACATGGCCAAATCAAAGGCGCTGCAGAGCAACCTGGACGTCGACTACGTGATCAGCTATCGCTTTGCAAAGACGGGTATGTCTGCGCCATGTGGCGGGGTCCCCAATTGGTAGACTAATCGGCGCGCAGACAAGACAAAGGCCATCGCGCAGTTCGAGAAGCTTTGTGAGGCGCTCGCAAACGTCGGGCTGCAGACAGAGGTCCGCAATGGCGAGTCGCACTCAATCCTCCTCTTCGTGAGGGTCGCTTCCGACGAGCACCTGTTCGGAGAGGTATACAGGTCCAGGTATGCAAGCCTCTACTGCGCTCGGGAAGGACAATGGCTAACCCCAAATAGAGTCCGCGACTGGATCCACGGTGTCCGAACGGCTGCCCCCGAAAAGGTTACCCGCGAATCGCTCGAAGCAGAGCCCCTCTACGAGGCCGAGAGACTGCGTATAATATACCAGCTCATTACAAACCCTCCGTCTGAAGGCGGCGCCGGCATCACGCCCAAGGAGGGAGAGTGGGAGAATGTCGAGTCCGTCTTTGCGCTGCACGACCATGCCTACAACAAGGACTGGATCAAGAAGTGGACCTCGCAGTATTTTCTGACTACCGAAGACTTGGATGACATCAGGAACCGCCTGGGAGAGAAGGCAAGTTTCCACGACATCGCCTCGCAAGGCTATGAGCTAACATAGCCAGATTGCCTTCTATTTCGCCTTTACACAGTCCTACTTTACCTTCCTCATCCCCGCCGCCGGCTTCGGCTTCTTTTCCTGGCTCTTCTTCGGCTCCTTTTCGCCCATCTACGGTCTCGCGAGCGCCCTGTGGTGCACCGTCTTCACCGAATACTGGAAACAACAAGAGGTGGACCTGAGCGTTCGCTGGGGCGTCAAGGGCGTCTCCAAGATCGATGTCAGGAAGAAGGACTTTGCACCTGAAAAGACCATCACCGACCCAGTCACTGGTGAGCAGGTTGGCTTCTTCCCGGCATCGAAGCGCTTCCAGAGACAGTTGTTGCAGATTCCGTTCGCTATCATTGCGGCTTGTTCCCTTGGAGCAGTCATTGCGACCTGCTTTGGCATTGAGGTCTTCATCTCGGAGGTCTACAATGGGCCACTCAAGAGCGTTCTCGTGAGTATTACTCCAGACCTACATCACAGAATTCAACTAATTTCCGCCAGGTATTCATTCCAACTGGCATCCTCACAACCGTCAACCCTATCCTGAACACTCTCCTAACGCAAGCCGCTACACGCCTCACCCAGTTCGAGAATTACGAGACCGCGGGTGCGTACGAAAAAGCATTGACTCAGAAGATCTTTGTCATGAACTTCATCATGTCTTACTTGGGAATCTTCCTGACTGCCTTCGTCTACGTACCCTTTGGGAAGGTCATCGTACCCTATCTTGACATTTTCAATGTTGCTGTACGACCCTTCGCCGAAGATGAGAAGCAGCTACACCTTAATTCGACAAGCTCCAGCTGGAGTATTAATCCCGACCGCCTTCGCAAGCAAGTCATATACTTCACAGTCACCGCCCAGGTTGTCAACCTTGGCATGGAGCTTATCGTTCCTTATCTTAAGCGTCGTGGTCTTGCTAAGTACAAGGAAATGCAGTCCGACAGGGCTGCAAAGAACGGAGGTTCCACCCCAGCCGCCACCGAAAATGACCCAGCTGAGGACGCTGCCTTCCTTGATCGTGTCCGTAAGGAGGCTGAACTCGATGTCTACGATGTTACCGCCGACCTTCGTGAGATGGTCGTGCAATTTGGTTACCTTTCTCTCTTCTCCGTAGTTTGGCCACTTACCGCTGTTTCCTTCCTCATCAACGACTGGATCGAGCTTCGCGCCGATGCTATGAAGATCTGTGTTGAGATGCGACGTCCAACCCCGTGGCGTGCTGATACCATTGGCCCCTGGCTGGACTCCCTCTCCTTCCTCACCTGGATGGGCAGTCTCACTACATCCGCTCTCGTCTACATGTTCTGGAACGACCGCACTGGACCCAGCGGTAGTCCTTCCAACATTCAGCTATGGGCCCTCCTCCTAACTGTCTTCTTCTCGGAGCACCTCTTCATCCTCTTCCGCTGGGGCGTGCGCGAGGTATTGTCCAGACTCGATTCTCCTGGCCTACAGAAGGAACGCCGTGAACGCTTCCTGGTACGCAAGCAATACTTTGAGGAGAACCTCAGCCAGCTGCAGAACATGCCCAGGTTGAGTGAGAAGGGTGGCGAGATTACTAGGAAGAGTCTTGAAGAAGAAGCTAGGCAGGGCAGTCTCAGAGACAGCACTGCCGAGATTAGATTCTGGCAGCGCCAGAGGAGCTGGAGGGAGAGCGCGGTAGTTGCAAAGGACCTCATCAGCAGGGCGCAGAACGAGACCATTGTGGAGACGAAGAAGGAGTTGTAGAGCATGGTTGCAGATGCAGTCATGTCGTAGGCTGTGATGAGCGTCTGATGGGATCGGAGACTGTGGGGTTCCTCCAAGGTTTGTATCAAATGTGACAACTTCAGCATCATTAGCCTGGCGCTATTTGGCGTACTTCTGCTTTAAAACGCTTCTGCTTTGATAGCCTATAAGCCTTATTGGCAATGATATTGATTCTGTTGTAATCCGCTATCCAGTCTCTCGTAATCCTACTCATGTTTAAACAATCCACCTCCAATCGAGTGAAACGCTCATTAGGGCCTGTTAAAGCTAATATGTGATACTGCTTTTGCTCGAATAGGCCAGTCTTTCTTCCTCGAGCGCATGCATAAAGCCTGCTACTCAATGAGAAAAGACGTCCCGTTGCTGGCGACATTTCTGAAGAGGGGACTGACGTAGAAAGCCGCAGTGCGGCGTCCTTGCATCAGACCGGGCTTCGGACTCGGCCTCGCAATAGCAGGGCTAGGTGCTGGATGTGACTGTACGCATTGAGCGTATCGTTAGTATCATCTAGGTGCCCCTATGAGCGAGCAGAAGAAAAGCGAAAAAGAAAAAGAACGGATTTATCATGGGACATCTACAATACTAAGAAACAGAAATTTAGAAAACGTATAGAGATTAGACATCTCGTGTCGCTCCCGATCAATTAAAACCGGACAGAAGACAACATCGGTGGCGGGGAGGACTCGTGTCGCCGCGTCGAGGTCTGGTGGGATCAACATGGTGGTGCGAGGCCTGTTCCGGTCGATGAGGCATCTATCCGGGTGTGGTACGTCTATAGCTGTCAAACGCCTATAGCGCCGTGGATTGCTCTGGGTATCGCGCAATGGTGGAAACAATCATGCCGCCCTAATCTGTCCGCGTGATGAGTGGACCTGCCTCAGCGTTCGTACTCGCCTGGCCACAACACCGCCTCATACCACACCTGTCTGGCATTTGAAACTGTTGTAGGCCCGTCAGACTGCAATCGTCGTTCCATTCTGCTGCGCCAGAATCATTTTCTTCGTGGCTTTTGCCCAGCCGTCGTTTCATGTTTGGGCCTCACCATCTTCTCATCAATGATTGTCCTGGGCCGATTCTGGCTGCAGAGGAGGTAAGTTCAGTGCAAAAGGAATGATGAAATTCCAAAGAAGCTAGTGGATAGGACAAAGCCTTCGTCCAAGCTTCGCACAGAAAGGTCTCCGGTACCCAAATGAATCCAGTGTAGCGCAACTCACTTGAGGCTTCTCATGTGGGCTCGCTGCTTGGTGTATGTCTCGTAGTTGCCACCGAAGACGCATTCGAGAATACTGGGTCCGATATTTTGTCCCGAGCGAGCGGCCTGCATACGGTCACTGAGGGTAAAGTACGCTTCTTTGAAGGCATCAAAGGCAACCTGAACTTTGTGGGATCCACCGGAAATGTTGTTCTCTGGGCGATTAGGATCTTGGATGGAGAGGCCGTCATATTTTTCTGGGCGGCCATCGATACCATAGTTCGTCTGCTTTTGTTAGCTACGCAAACGAAAGTGGGAGAAGCAGCCGGAAGCCTCCGCTCATTCTACAGCGATATGGGAAGACTTACCTTTTCAATGATCGCAGGAGGATGCATCTGGATGCGTTTACGGGATAGATCAAAGTCACCGTAGTACTTGAGGAACCCTAGGAAACATTCTCCGAGGTTGTCCGGTTTGGGGGAATGCTGAATGTAGCTGACGATCAAGCAAATGATACTATACCCTCCAATCCCGCCAGTGTGGACTTCATTCAAGCCATGCATGACGAGGAACTGCTTCATGAGTGCCACCATGTATATCATGTCGGGGTACTGCTGCTTCCACTGTGCAAATGTGGCTTGTGCTTGCACTCCGCTCAGATTTTCGAAGGAGATGTCAACTTGAAGCTTGGTGAGCTCATCTTCGAACTTGATAATGGGAACGCGCGCAGGGATGACCAGTGCATTGTTGTTGGCCGCCAACCTTGTGTCTTTGAGCCTTCTGGCTGCCTTGTAGAGCAGACTCTTGTTGGCCCCCCTCGCAGACATGTCAACAACGGGTTCCCCACCATTGTAGTGCCTATCCGAGACATATACCAGATCCATGTCAGCCGTGGGCAAGTAGAGACCTGCGGGAAAGGAGCCGAAACACAAGATGCGTCCGTTTTCTTGAGGGAATCTGCGTTGTCCCATAGCGCTGTTAACGCGGTTGACTAGCCGATTACGCTGTTCGTGCTCGAAGGGCTTTGGCGCGACAAAGTCATAGAAGTCGAGTATCTCATTATGAAGCCTATTACGGTGTTAGTCCAATGATCGCATCGCAAGGTCAGAAGAACGTTGTGCGATGTTGCAGAGTACACTGGCTGTTGCAGAACTCTGCCACGGATGCTGTTGCGGGAATGTAGGGAACTTACCATTTCTCAGGTTCGCTAGCGAGATGCGCATACGGGTCGCGTGAAGGAAGCCACGGCGTTGGATTGATGTTAGGAACGGGTAGCCATTCGTCCACGACACCACTCAGATTGGCCTTGCGCTTGTTGTTGTTTCTCGCAGGACGAGGTGCCCGATGTTCAGCGACAGCAGCCTGTTGCCTATCAACAATGCTGTCAATGTGTGCAAACTCGCTCAAGGAGCCTTGAACGGCGTCGCGACCATCATCCTCGTCACCAAACGAGATGAAGTCGTCGTTGGCAACAACTGAGTTATGTCCGGCGGCCTTCTCGGCGTCCTGGTTCTTGGCCTTCCGGATCAGTTTGACAAAGTCGGTTCTCTTTCCCGTGGTCTCATCGGGAGGCGGCAAGGCGGTATACGGGTCGGGATTGGACCATTTGGGAACAGAGTCGCCATCAGCACGTTTAGTTTGTGTCCGGGCTGCCTTGGGCTCGCGAGCGTCACCGTCACCATCTTCATCGGCAGAATCTGCGCTCTCTACCTGCATATCTGCCTCTTCGTCGTCAGAAAGGTCATCTGGGTTGTGGAAACGGTTGGAGCCGTCTGCAACACCTAGAGCGCGTTCCGGACTACCACCGTCGCGATGGGTCAGGAGGGCGCGCTCGTGAGGGGCAGCTTTCTTGAAACCACCTCTCCGGTATCCGTTTGCGTTATTCCTGCCATCCGCGCGTGACGAGCCGCGCGAGGCCCCGCCACGGCCGCGCCTTCTCGATGATGCAGAACCGGAAGGACCCCGCGGCACATTGGAATCTCCAGCAGGCGGGAAGCGGGGAGCGGGGTGACTAGACTCGAAGGTAAACTGAGACTGATTGCCGTTGCGCGCGCCGCCTGGCCGATAGTTGTCGCGATCACCACCGAACGTCATGCGGTCTGCAAGTGGTGGCGGGCGGTCGCGCGCGGGCCGCGACGGACGGTATGAGTCTCCCATAGCGTGTCGCGTTTGCAATGTGAGGAGATTTTGTCGCGCGCAATTGATGAGTGGTTGTTGTGGGCGGGTGTTGATAGCGGTGTGTTGCGGAGGGATAAAGGTCTCAGGCGCGAAAGATTTGTCCAGCGACAATGCGAGTAAGCCAAGACCTTAGCGCGACCCAGTGAATTTGTGGGGTGCCCGCGACCGGGACCCCGTGTTCACTGCAACTTGAATTGGTCGGTGCATGACGCGAGTAGGACGAAAAACGTTAATATCATTGAAGTCTGACACCCTCCGCTTTTGCAATGTTGGATGAGATGTACATTCTGTCACGTCTGACACTTGCTCAAAGCTTGTGAAACTACACGTTAGACCGTATGCGCACGATGAACATATCCCACGCTTAGCTCAGGTAGGTTCTGGTCTCTAAGAGCTTTCTACTGTGGTAATTGCTGCTGCGAGGTGATGATCAAATTCAAAGCTTCCGTGGGGTATTCTTCGATTGATGGATATGGCATCGTTGCATGTGATAATACAGTATTGAAACACTTGTGAAGAAACGTAAGAACCAAGAGAGTGGAGAGAGACCGAAGCATGCTTATGCCCATCCATCCATCAACACTCTCGATGACGAAGCGCCATCGTTTACTGTACCCATAGAACATAGAAGGTTCAAACGCTATGCCCAACGCCCAAAATGCAACCGATTCTCCCTTCATCACTCCATGTAGCTCGTCAGGAACATAGTCCGGATTGTATGTCTCGCCCTCGATGTCGAGTAGCCGAGAGGAACCGTGGCCAAGATAGATTGATCCATTTAGAGCGACCTCAATCTTCTTTCGTAAACTTGGGCTTGACTAAATGTAGGTGTACCATGTCAGTATGTTTCTCACATGCAGTCCGTGCATGGATACTTACACCCTTCTCTTAATTCCTTTTCGCGCTCCGCCACCCGTTGATGTCCCTGCACCTCTCTCTCTATCCTTTCTCGTGCCCTTAATATTTTGCTTTGCAGATAGAAACTTCCGCCCTTCTTCGGATCGTTCAGATCGAACAGCCTTTTGAATCGCTCCGTGACAGCCTCTAGTTCGATATTTCCCATCTTTCCGGGACCCACGTTCAGGATCTGGCAGGCTTCGTCCATGGTGATGTTCGAAGACGAGAAGGCGCCACCGCTGCCTCCTCCACCTTGGCTGGCAGCTGCATATTTCTGCGACGCGGCGGCTTGACGATACGATTCGGAGACAGCGCGGCCTATTATTCGAGCGCCGGAGAAGACGACTTGCGTTATTATGCGGTGGGCCTGTACGTGTTAGTTGAAGATGGTATGACAGCGAACAGGAACGTACCATTGTAAGAGAAAAGGAGGGGAAGAGGGGAAGAGAGTGTGTAATCTGCTATTCCAGTCGGATCCTATGCGAGAGTCACGCCTGTCTGTTATGGGTGGATGGGTGCTGTTGGCAATGAGGGCATCTCCAAAAATTCTGGGTCGCCTTCCGCGCTCTCGGCCTGCCTCCGCACCTGGCACGTGATCTCGGCCAATCACATCACGATCGCAAACTGCGATCTTCGCAAGCATCTCTGCGCGCCTGACGATGGCTATAGTTGTGCACTTCGGTCAGACATGGAAGTGACAGTGATGCATCCCTTGTACGCCCTTCAGTCAGAGTGCTCCTGGACATTGGCGCCGAGAGAGGTACCATGAGGCTTCCGCAAGTCGCCCTCGGACTAAGACGTTCACATGCTCAAAGATCCCCGCATCACTCCCGGCGACAACGTCATGTGCAACTTTGCCTGACAGTTTCCGACATCTCTCGAGCTTCAGTTGTGCATTGCTGCAGGCTTCCTTTCTGTACAATCACTGAGCGTGGCTTGACAAGAGCGCGGCACTCAGCCTCCACTGCTCAGCCAGGCGATGACGCACAACCCCATGCATGGCAGCACTAGGTTGGTAACTTCCAAACTTGCAACCACATTCGAGTAAAACCGAGTTGCGCAAACAACATGCTTATGTCCACATAGACACACCCTGGATACAGCACATGTCCATCCCTTCAAGGTCCAGCAACGATGCGTCGTCCCCGCCGCCAACCGGTGATTCAAATTCCAACCCGACGTACGCCAGCTTCTCTCCCGCCAACCTAGGCCAGACGACACCACAGACAAAACTGCGCTCGGCCATACTCGTGCACCAGAAATCGCCCCTGCTTGCGGCTACACCACCACAGATCACTCGCGTACTCGCATATTCGCACCCCTTCATACTACCTCTAAACAAGTTTGCTGGGCTGGTGACATGGACGACCGGAGACCCATGGGAGAGCTTTCTCCTAGTCGCAAGCTTCTGGGCTGTCGTCATGTACGGTGATGCCGTGACGAGATACGCAGGGCCCATTATAGTCGTGTCCGGGCTGATACTGGGCATGTACACGCGAAGATACTCTCCACTATCGTCGACCGGGTGGACAGGCGAGAAGGGACAGAAAGCGCACAAGCGCGTTGAGTCGGACACCAACATCAAGCATCACAAGAGCCTGGAAGAGATTGTGGATAGTCTGAAGCTCTTCACTTCGCGCTGCAACATCCTACTAGATCCCTTTTTACGCCTCACAGACTTCTTATCCACGCAGAGGACTGCGACCTCGGCTACTACACGTCCGGCGCTCACCGTATTGTTTATCCGAATCCTCTTCGTGTTGCCGCTATGGATAGCGCTCACGCTGCCGCCGTTCTATATCTTGACTACGAAGCGAGTGGTACTAGCGGTAGGCACAGTGATGCTGAGCTGGCATTCACGACCAGCCCGCGTGACCCGAACCCTCCTGTGGCGATCGAGAACAGTCCGGCGTACCTGCGCCTTCATAACTGGGCTGGACTTTGGCGAAATTGTGTCAGTAGATAGGAAGGGTGCGCCTCCTCTGCCGCCTCGAAAGAAGAGCACGCAGGAGGTTGCAGCTTCACTGGCGGCTAAGCGTCGGCCCGAGTCTACAGGGGTACGCTTCACCTTCTCCATCTATGAGAACCAGCGAAGATGGCTAGGTATCGGGTGGACATCCTCTATGCTTGCTTACGAGCGAGCGTCTTGGACGGATGAGCACTTGAATCCGGTTCCACCTAAAGAACAGTTCGAACTGCCTGAAGTTGAAGGAGGTCAGTCGAGATGGCGGTGGGTGCAAGGTAGTGAATGGAAGGTCGAAGGCACGGAGAAAGACAGCAAGGCCGACAAAGGCGCATCTAAGGAGGATTCGGCGTGGATATACTACGATAACAAAGTACGTAGAGTAACCTGGTACAATGTTCTGATACTGACTCCAATAGTGGAGGGACGGACGAAGAGGTCAAGATGGTTGGGGACGTTATACCCGCCGTCGGAAATGGTATCGCGACGCCGAGCTCGTCGAATCGACGTCGTCCACAGATACAACACCTATGCCCACGCCCAAACCTGGCCCAATCGATACTTCCGGGGACCTTGATCCTAATCAACTCACGAAGCTCTCCTCCAATCTCAGTGTAGCATCCAGTGCGGACCCAACTCTGGTCGATGGTGATGGACGCGAGTACGCGCCATCGATAGCGTCGGATACAGATGCAGCGAGTACCAAGAGCAAACGGAGTTGGTTCAAGAAGAGGCGGAGCAAGAGCACAAGCGGTAGTGTGAGTGGTGTGACAGTCGTCAGCGATGCCGGTACGAGTGGTACACGTCGAAGTGACGAGGACGACATGCAAAGTCCTCTCGATCGTATGGCCAAGGATGAGGAGTGGAGGCTTGGTGATGACATTCGTCAACATCTTGATATTTAAGTAGTTGAGCGCTTGATGATTACTTTGACTTGTTGTATGAACATTGTTTTTTACATTCCTCCCCGATGCGAACTTACTCAATTCCCGTAAAGTGATCTACCAGACGCCGACTAAAGCGATACATGTGCTGGCCAAGAGCATGACTGAGAACGTAGTCGACAGATTACTGCAGTGTTCCCCTTTCTTCGCGTAGCCTGCCTCTCGTCGGTTTTTGTAGTGCGTCAATATCAATGCTTCATTCGCAGTATTAAGTCACAGGATCAAGCAGATCCATTGACATGTTCACAGCACGTGGAGAGACATGATTTTCAAGTGAGTGTCCTTATTTCATGATCATATCTCATCTAATATTTCCCAGCAGTCATAACCCTTGGTATTGGCAGTTCACCCCGACTCCCAACAGTGTTTATTGTCCCATCTCCGAGTCGCTCGATGGAAGTGTTGTTGGAAGAGTTCCGAGGTTCAGGGTAGCTTGACGCTTAGTGCTATCCGGTTGTTAGTGCTATTCCAGCCCGAAAGGAAGACACCGCATCGGTATATCTCGACATGTACTTACGGAGCAGGATCCGCATCCGCAGCTGGAGCAGTCGCCAGCGCACTTGCAGGAGGAGCAGTTGCTGTTCGTTTGTTAGCCGGAGCCCCTCCATGTTCCCAGTAGAGTGTCCATCATGGTGCTGGCGCTAGCCCTGAAGCAGCAACACACCAGCGTCTGTCAAACACCAAAGTCGGTCGCAAGACGTACCAGGGAGCCATTTTGATTGGTTGATTGGGTTGTTGGATTGTTTGGTTGGTTGGTTTATGGAAGTGTTGGAGCGTGATGAGCCATCAAGGTGCTGAGGGCAGACACTTATATAGAGCACCTGGCCACCGGCTCGCGACTTGGTAACGACTCTTTACCCACGCTGCGGTGGAGACCCTGTCACTCGAAGTGGTCATGCGCGAGGCGGTGGGGTCCGATGGAGAGTGACATATCGACCTGCTAACCGTCCCATCAGAGCCACCGTCCTCCGAATTCCCGCGGTTAAGCGCACGCCACGCTCGTCTCCCACCATACACAACAGACAACATAGAGGGGAAGAACATCTGGTTGGTCGAGGAGCACCGGTGAATGGTTGGATGGCTCACCCGCTGGGTGTGCTAGGTGCTGAGACGTACCGCTCTAGGCTGCCTCTCGCATATTTGCCGCAGTTACCGGTATACTCAACCGGGCCGGTTGCAGAGGAGCTTTCGTCAGCCGTCAAGCTGATACGAGCATCTCTCAATGGTATTGGGTATGGGGTCACTTGCCGCTGTAACCGTATCAGTGCATCGGGCTCCACAGCACCTTCGCTCTGCTCGAAACTACAGCCTGACCACTGACAAAGAGTACGCCTCGGCCTTGACTTCCTCACCGTATTCTAGCGCTTGAGTTGACGCACTGCACGTGTAAGACATCATGCAGATCGCTTATACATAGGTACGACCCATGGCTCTGGAGCCTCGAAAGTCATGGGACGGCACGGGCACAGCACCACCAACGTGGGATGATGGTGGTGAACCCTAATCCGGTGCTTACGTCTCAAACGTCCAGTGGTTGCATCAGAATCAAGTGGTGGCACTGCATACGCATTCCCCGCTTCTGGGCACTATCTGATTGCGGACTTGGCAGTTCGTAGTATGTAGATGCGGATTCTTACTACGGTGCATACATTGCAAATAGTGATTTCCTAACTGTGTCTTGTTAGTAGAATCTTTGCTGCCTACTAGATGCATGTGAATATGCCTGGAAGGATCCGCGACCGACGTCAAGGCTCTAGATCTACACCAAGTTCAAGCGCGTGATCTGATGATGCATCGCTGGGTAGCGCTCAATGTAGTATGGCCGAGAAGCCAATCGCGACGGTCCGTCAGTGGAGCTATGATGCAGCTAGTGGGCAACACGTGGGGAGAAGCCTCGCATTTCACTTTACTTAGGTACCTAGGCAACCTTGGGACCCTGGAAAACGACAAGTGACATGGTACATCTGATGATGTATCTTTTGACTACACTCAACAGTGTCTAAGCATTTAGCCACTCCCCGAATATGACGCAGTTTTCACTCCGTTGGCCTGAGCTGATGGCGGCTGGCGCGGTACAAAGCAAGTTGTAGCTACCGAGTATGTCATCCCCCTAACACCGGTGGACTCCATACCAAACACCCACCCGGTCCCAACAACTCTTGGAAAGCGATAACATATCAACATAAGAGCGGCAGCCGCGGTTCGCTCAGACTTTGTTGCACACACCAGGTGACTAGGATCTTCTAGCAAACCTCCATAGCAGACGGCTCCACATGTCTTGTCACCAAGCCCATACAATGATATGGTAGTCTTGCCAGCGGTACATCGGCCGCGCACCTTGATACGCTCGGATGTGACATCCTCAAAGGACTGCAAAAGGAAGGTGATGCTTATGTTGAGTGCGAGACTTATGAAATTGACGGCGTAAGTGGGGTAAATCAGGCATGTGTTGTCTCTGGAGTGAGGCGAGGGCGTACGTAATGTCGAGCTGTAGTTGGAAATCTCAATAGTGCCTGAGCGAGTGAGTGGATGCTTGTAGGGATCTCGATGGAGATAATGGTCTCTGTCATTTGATATGACATCGCTGGAGAGAGCAGGTATCTTACGCGCATTAAACACACCGGTGGTAACTTGGCGGTGAAAGTATCGGAGCATATACTTTTATATCTTTGATAACCACATGCATCTAGGCAACTCATCCACCCTCTTGCGACATTTTAATCGATTTGCCTTCTAAATGCGACCTTCATCATACACAGGACCTCATTTCTCTCACATGAATTTAACTGCCTCAACCTGTTCACTCTCAGCAGCAAGCGGATTCTCTTTGTCTGCAAAAGTGGCCACATACGCTGTCCGGCTCATCCCACACGTAGCAGCACCGGCATCAAGACGTCTGGGCCCTAGCGCTTGAAGGCATTAGTCCATAAGCTTTTCAAGACCACCGCCCCATGCGGTTATCTCCGGCCTGCTATTGGGCTGTGGAGTACTTCTAAACATCTCCAACTGTTCTGCGGTATATAAAACGAGCTCATCGTCTCCATATTGACCAATGATTTGTAGTCCTACGGTATTGAAGAATGAATCCGGAACCGTCGAACTCCTCTGGCTCTTTTCCTTGTAGGGAGTAAATGTGGGAAGAGTGATTGCTGGCAGCCCAGCAAGACTAGCTGGTACGGTGAAGACATCGTTCATATATGAGTGTACTGGGTCTTGATCCTCGAGTTCAGCCAAATACGGTGCCGTTGATGGAGTTGTGGGACATATGATCACGTCCACTCCTTCTGTCTTTGCCGCGGTTTCTTCAGCATTGAGCAACGGGTTTGGACTGGCAAAGACCCTATTGAAATCTTGTTGTACGAGCCTCCTAATCTTTTGTGCTTGTATGAAGTAATTGTCGATAGCCTGGGCACTGAGCGAAAAGGCTCCAAGGAGTATACGCCGCTGAACCTCCGGACCGAAGCCTTGACCCCGGGTTCTAGCAAAGAGCACACTATCTGGTGTACCATCGATGCCCTTAGCTCTACTGCCGAACCGCACGCCATCGTACTTTGCGAGGTTGCTAGATGCCTCGGCTGGCGCAAGGACATAGTAGGCTGATAGTGCTTGTTGTGTTGTGGGTAACCGGATAGGATGCAAAGTATGACCAGCATTCCACAGATGTCTTAGTTGGTCAATCCATGCCTTTCGGACAGCGGGCTGCAATGTGTCGATGTTGTAATCAAGAGGGATGCCTATCTTCAACGAAGTTGGTCGTTTCCCTGTGCGGAATTTTGCTCGGGTTGTGTTACGAACGGACGTCGGATCCTGCGCATCGTGGATATTGACCTTGGCTGCACTCAGTCAGAGATATCAAGATGATAGTCTAGAGTCCCATAAACTCACAGAAAATGCTCTTCACGCTCGCCACGTTCTTGCCAAAAATCCCAACAGTATCCAGAGAGTTCGCATAGGCAATTACACCCCATCTCGACAGCAGTCCGTAGCTTGGCTTGAACCCAATGACTCCGGTGTATGCAGCAGGAAGCCGTACCGACCCCCCAGTATCGGTACCTAACGCACTGCTCGTCTCAGCACACACACTCCGTCCTCGTCGGCTGTCAAACACTTACGCCCAGCATTGCGACGACGCGACAGCAAGCGCGCTTCCACCTGAGCTTCCACCCGCACTTGCATCCTCTCCTTTATATCTCTGCATCTTCACTGGGCCGAAGTGTGAATGTGTCGAGTGCGATCCCATGCCGAATTCGTCCATGTTCGTCTTGCCTACCACCACGGCACCTTCATCTTGGAGCAGCCTCACCACCGTCGCGTCATATGGGCTGCTAAAGTCTTTGAGAATCTCGGAGGAAGCAGAAGTCTTTAGGTTCTTCGTGCAGATGTTGTCTTTTATTGCGATTGGCTTGTCGGTGACGCTGTCGGGTTGGCCGCCGAGGGTACGGGATTTGGTGGCATCGCTGCTTTGGAGGACGGACGCTTCGACGAGAGAATTAAACGCGTTGAAGTGTCTGTACTTCGACTGGTTCGCCAAGTACGTCTTCGCGTGCTTGTAGAGGGACATGGAGGTTGGGGCGCATCGCCGACGCGTTGTCGCGAGTGGGATGTCGGAACTCCACGAGCGGGACAAAAAGTGGTCGCGACGTCTTGTGATCGGCCTGACTCGCGCACTCTACTTAGGTACCCACGATCACAAGACACCAACTGACTGCCAATGCGTCCAGCTCACTCACGAGGCAGTCCATGGACTAGAACTTCGGAACATGTCAAGAGAGCTGCAAAAGACCTCTCTTCGAATTCTTGAATAACTTCGCCATCACCCCAAGTGGGGTTTCGTCATCTACCGCTGCAACTGTCGTTGCGACGATGCCTAGAATACACTCATCGACGACTGGACCGAGTGTGTCAAGAACAAGCTGCGCCACCGAAAATCGGGCCATCCTATTGAATCGCTCGCACCCACAGTCAAAGAAGACTCTACTACCCTAGGCGATGCGACTGTTGTACAGCAATTGTTCACCACATGGACGCAGTCCCAGGAAGCAATAGAAGAACAAAAAGCCATCTTGCGGAATGCTGTGAGAGGCTCTCCGAGATATCACCACTGCAAACTGGTTGATGCGCGGGCATTTGATGGGCGTCCAAGGTACGAGGGGCTGACAGGAGAGGAGCAGCTGCAGTTTTTCAAGGAGAAACGCGATCCGGCAATCGGAGAGGCGGTATACCTTGACCTTATCAAACAAATCTTCCCCGGAATTGGCACGAACGAGGGCAACGAAGGAGAAGGAGAAGGAAAAGAGGATGAAGATGAAGATAAGGAGGAACCTGTCGGAACCAAGCTGCACATGCCAATAGCTCTATCAGATGCGTACACGCATCTCCTCTTTCCAAACATCAATTCATCCAGCACATGGGCCAAAAATGTGAAAAGAGACGGTGTTTGCCGATACTGAAGTATTGCTGGTCTACAGTGCTTGGACGTAATTGTGATACTAGACGGCACGGCAGCGACAAGCAAAGGCCCCCGACCGTATCTGAGCTTGTATTTCTAGTACATCAGACTTTGAAGATCTCTTCAAGGTATAGTGAACTAAACATGCCTGATAGAAGAAACATCTGCGGGCTGAGTGGAACTTTCTTGAAGATTCTCCAGGCCGTCGCACAGAAAACACTGCTAAGACCTAGTTAGAATTAACTCAGGTCGCGGTTCGTACATAGTAGGGAGGCCTGCTAGCGCCACCAGTGCCAACGCTGCCAAGCCGCTGAACAAGATCTCGACCAGCTGAGGCTTGAATTCTAGGCGAATTACAGTTTGTCTTAGCCGACGATCCAATCTACGCGCTCATTACCTGGTGAATAACACCGAACTTCAAAGCCAGAAACCACCAGACTGCGCGTCCAAAGCTTGAGGATTGTGACAGCTTTGACGTACAGTAGCCTCTCGTTGGACAGGGTGTTGGAGAGATTGTAACGTAGAGTCGCACCATGGGACAGCAACCTACAACCACAACCCATCAAAGCTTTTCATCCCGTGTTACATGTCCAGTAAGCCCGCAAAGGGACCCTGCCAAGCTGAGCGGTATGTGAGTCGGAGGCTACGCTCTACCAAGGTACCACTCCCGCCACGGGTATGCATTCCATTGGAGTCGCCTATCGCAGCCTTACCCTTTACAGCATCGCCATCACTGTTTCATTAGACACGCAGCGCCTTCCAAGGGTTTCTCAAACGCCAGGTCTGGGCTACAGACTTTTATTGGCCGATGTGACCCAGAAGAGAGAGTTAAGAATAGGGGCACGCGACACGGTATAAGGTTGCTCGCGCGCCTAAAACTTGACCTTAAGGAGTTACGAAGCTCAATGTTTAGACCTTTCCTTCTCGCAATTGACGATACGTTTTGATGGCGGAGAAGATGCAAAGCACGGCAAATGTGTCGAATGACACGAATGGCGCGTCGACACGGCCGCCATTGAAGAAACAAGAAAGCGATAAAGACTTTGACGACTACTTCGCAAGTATTCCTTTATCAAGGCTCGTATAGTTACTAACATGGACCAGATTGGACCGCGCGACCTTGATCATCACTCCAAGTGGCCTGTTTTTCTTCGCGTTCACGGCAGTGTAACACCTGAAATGGTTCTGCCTTTGCTCTTCGTAGCCGGCTGGTCGAGCATGATCACATTGATATCGAAGTTTGTGCATGATCGTATGTCACATCCTTGTTCTGTTAGTATCCAACCTGTATTGACCACCTCCAGTCAGCGTCAATCAGCTGTTACTCACTGTCCTTGGTTTCGTCGTTGGTCTCGCATTGAGCTTCAGAAGTTCCACCGCCTACGAGCGCTACAACGATGGTCGCAAATACTGGGCACAACTCACTTTCGCGTCCCAAAATCTTGCTCGCCTTATCTGGATACACGTCGACGAACGTCACGAGAAGGACACCGCGCTCGGCAAACAAGACCTTCTTGCCAAGATCAACTGCCTAAACTTGATCACTGCATACGCAGTCGCACTCAAGCACAAGCTCCGATTTGAGCCTCACATGCATTACGACGACTTGAAGCACCTAGTCGGCCACCTAGACACGTTTGCGCGCGATGCCGATCAGCCAGACATGCACAAGAAGCCAAGTATCTTCAAGACGGCAGGACAGTTCCTTGGGCTGCCAATGGCTGAGTCGAACCCGCGCAAACTGCTGAAACGCTCTCGTGCCCCCCTTGGCAACCTTCCGCTGGAGATTCTCAACCATTTGAGCGTCTACATGAAGTCGATCTATGATAACGGGACCTTCAAGGTTTCCATCTACCAAACGCAATCCCTCAATGCACTCACCACCTTTAACGATGTGCTAGCGGGCACCGAGCGCATTCTTTCAACTCCGCTACCTCTCGCATACAGCATTGCTATTAGCCAGATTACCTGGGTTTATATCCTCCTCTTGCCATTCCAGCTATACAAGCTCTTGGGGTACATTACAATCCCAGCGAGCGTCTTTGCAGCCTACATAATCCTGGGCATTGCGCTTATTGGCCGCGAAATCGAAAACCCGTTCGGTAACGATGTGAACGACTTGCCGCTGGACGCATTCTGCCTGCAGATCAGAAAGGACATCGATATCATTATGAGCAAACCAGCTTCCAGTATCGAGGAAGTGGTGATGCACCCGGACAATCAGCTTCTCTACCCGTTGAGTACTCTGGGAGGTGCAGGGTGGGCGGCGAAAAGTGTAGACGAGATCAGGGATGCGTTGGCAACTAAGCCTGGTCTGCACTTCCCTCTGGTTGACCACCACGAACATCCAAAGCCAGGTCACTCAGTCAGTACTGGTGCTCGCCGTCGGATGACGAGTGAGGATCGAGCTGAGATGGGCGAAGCCGGACATGGTAGACATAATAGCAGTGCAGGCGATGGTGGAGACTGAATGCATATTGAATGTAGGCTATGTGGGGATGATAAGGTCTCCATGCAAATTCAATGACCCATGACATGCCCGTTCGAAAAGCTATGTGAGATTGTTCTCTTGTGAATTTGATCAGAGTATACAAGCGTCTGTCTAGTAAAAGTCCTTCATGTAGAACGGTGCCTAACATGCCTTTGCTGACCAAAGGTCTCGTATCTAAACCGAGTGTGGGAATCTATATGAAGGACAACATAAGCAAATATGACACGACAAGAGTCTTTTGACGCTCCGTGCCGTGATGACGGGTGGACCGTGAAGTAAAGTAGGTTGTACTTGTATCGCAATTTGGTAAAGATAGATGTAGTGTCCTTGTGAAGAAAGAACCAATAGATATGCGAAGACGTTACCGCAGTGGCTCGTATGGGCCATCATGACTGTACCCAATGACATATGTCAGTTTTGTCCACAAATCTTTCACATACGACCATAGGATCTTGAGAATTAGTTCACTCGTCCCACCCGTCAAAACTCGCGGTGCTGGGTTGAGGTCGATTAACTGTTGTTCTTTCCCGGTTACCTTTTTCAGTCGTCGCGACTCTGTTGTCGCGCCACCACTACCACAGCCCCAAACGACCATTAACAGTCATTTATCATCCTACAAACAGTTTTCCGGTTACGCCCACTGCAATCGAAGCGCGCTGTTTTAACATGGCTGCCTCTAGCTCAGGTACTCCTTGCCACCTATTCACTTTTGTATTTCCTCCCTTCTCTCGTCAACAAAGTTATCTTACAGCCCTTTCAAATTATCCTACTCACTAAGGCGCCCAAGAAGAGAAGCAAAGTTGATCTTTCGCACTTGCGCGCCCTAGTTCAGCTAGAAAAAGAACCAGCTCCGCTTACAAACGAGGATGTTAAGGCGTTGTTAATCCGCTCAAGTTACAAGTCATACGAGTACACTATGGCTCTTTGGTCAGAGTAAGTTAAGAGTTAACACATGTCTGAACGTATCACTAACAGATCAGGTTCACTGAATCTATCCTCAACGAACACGTGCATTCTACGTTCAGACAAGCACCAAGTGTGTATCGCATCCAGCTGTTTCTTCGCTGGCTCGCCGAAACTAGGACTGGTCAGCTAGAGGAGAACATCACGGATACTACTATTCGAAATTGCCTCTCGTCACTCAAACGAAAGATCAAGTTACTTACTGGTCGCCAGTATAACTCAGCGGAGAACAAGGACCTGGAGATTTTCATCACGAAAGACCTTGCGCAGAACGGAAAGATTGCAACAGGAGCTTATACTAAGCCGGTAGCACCTTTGCCAGTCGCTGAAGACTTGATTCGGTTCATGTGGGCATGTGACGAATATCAATTCACACATCCACGCGCACGCCTGCAGCTGGCATTCTCTGTCGTACTCATGACTCTTCTAGGCAGTCGTCCTAGAGAGTTCATTGAATCGGCAGCCTGGAAGCACAGCAACGAAGGACTTCTATACAGTGACATAGATCTTGTACGTTACTAGAATAGCACGTACGTGGGCTTCCTTCTTCATCTGCGGCTGCGGAATTGGAAGGGACACCGAAACAACAAGAAACACTCGTAAGTAAGAACTCACGCAAAGACAGAAACGAGAGTCCTAAGAGAAACAGACCTGTTATGCTTCTGTACGAGGAAGCTACTATGCTATCTATGTTCCTAGTTACACATTTTATGGCGTTAGCTCTGGCAGACGGGGTGTTCGAAGAATGCACTTCGTTCCAAGACATTGAAGCAAAGGAGCTGCCACTAGGCAGTTCGCTGTACAAATATCGCTACAAGTTAGAAGCGAAACAACGGCCTATCCTTCGAAGCATTCTCAGCGACGGCTCAGTTTCTGAAAACGGCATCCTCACCTACGAATGCTTTAACAACATGCTCAAGGGGATTGGTCAACAGGCTAGGTACGAAGACAGGTTAAGTGCATACTGCTTTCGTCGGGCTTATGCTAAAGCGGTTGAGAGTACGTCGCGTAGTATGCTCTGATACTCCGTCCTCCACTTACCATTGATAGAAACGGCAACTCCTGCACAGAGAAGATTGCTAATGGGGCATTCTAACGATGATACTATCATGTACTACATTTCTAGGATTGTTAGGGTCGACAGCTAATCAATGGTTTATGGGAGAGACTAAAGAACAGAACTTATTGAGGAAAACACGTCTATGATGTCGAAGAGAAACCTTCTTGCACTAATGCCTCCCGGCTCTTAGCTTACTAATCGTGGTAGCATAGCAAAAGCCATCGGACCCGATAATCCCGTCTTAGTGGTGACATTATCCTAGCACACCCTGAAGGAAGATTATGCATTACGACGGCAATCGCGAACAGTCGCGTATCGTAAGCAGCGCGAGGATTTCTTCGAAGGGAAGACCACGCCTCAACGTGCCGCAGTACCGGCATCGATTTCTGCACAAGCCACACCGAAACGCTTACGCTCCCCATCGCGATATCTGCAAGCCCTGTGGAAATTTGAACCAGAACGGAAAATTATTGCGAGATTAATGTACCCTGATTGCGACACGGGAGCCGAGAATTCTGAGGATACTGGTGTTGACAGTGCGACCGACAAGATCGAAATCCCACTTAAAGATATCCTTGAGCCAATGGTGAACCTATCCAACCCAGAGAAGAAGCGATACATATACGCGTCTGCCTCCCCCACCAAGGACAGGTGCTGCGGTGTGTGTGGGAAACAGTTTATCAAGAATGACAAGAAGTGCGTTCCCCGCTTTGCTATTAGATGCTGTACTGACTAAGACAGAACAAGGCCAGACCGCATGAATTAGCACTTGCTCCAATGTGCCCGCAAAGATTACATACAGGGAGCACGTGTAAGAGGCTACGGTGTATTAAGCAGACTGCTCTAGTCACATAACGTACGACTTAGCGCTAACTAAAGCAGTAAAGCATAAGGCCTACAAGAGGCGAGTTGTACGCGTAAGAAGAACCTTTCTTCTCTTATCTTTCTTCTTCTATATATAGGAGCAAATGTATACTTATTAGCAGGCCTCTTTCCGCCTATAATATTAGAAGAAAGATTAACCTTACCTTACTCTTCTTCTCGCACGTAGCGAGTTAGAATTAAGAGTAGCTACTTATTAAGTGTTACAGGTTAGCAAGACCCTACTTGTATAATAGAAGCATAGGTAGATAATAATATAATAAACTAGAAAGAGCTAAGTAGAAGCAGAATAGACTTTTCTCTAGAAAGAAACTATGCGCTTAAAGTAGAGGAGCTTTAAGATTACGTACAACAACTATAGAGTAATCTAAACTAAGTAACCTAGAAATAATAGTTATATAATATGCTAAGCTAGTAACTCTAGGCTCTAACTTAAATTATTAAGAATTAGAGAAGAATACTAAGTATACTAAGTCTAGGTAGAACTACTCTACCTAACGTAGATGCATAGCGAGTAGTTAGTACAAGTGTTATAGGTAACACAAAGAATTCTCTTCTTAACGTAGAGTAAAGAGGTTAAAGGCTAACTACAACTAAGTTAGAATACAACAATAATTGCGGGGCTTAGAGTTACGTAATTAGAATTAGTATTCTACTAAGACTAGGCCTCTAGAAAGCTAGTAGAGCTAAGAAAGCTATAGTTCTTTTAAACCTCTCTCTTAGATAGAAAACTAGAGAGAATAAGACCTAAAGTAATAGATATAAAAATATATTAGATTTTATTATTATACTTATTATAGTTAACTTAAATAGTTTATCTCTTATATAGATTATTAACTAGTTATTCTATTATTTATAGAATTAGATTATCTTTACTTATAGTTATTCTATAATAACTTTTTTCTATAGAATTACTAGATAAACCTTATAAACTACTACTTTAGTCTACCTTACCTTAGTATAGACTAAGCCTAGAGAAGTATAGCCTAACACTATATAACAACAAGCGAGTAGTTAGCTTTTACTAAGACTCTACTAAAACTATAACTATACACTACTATATAGCACTATTTAGAATAGTAATTAATATTTATAGTAAACTAAGTTAATCTAAAACTTCTACTATAGTCTCTTTATATATACGCAAATTATGTTCTACCTTACTATAGTGTCTATAGTGTCTTTAAGATAGTTTACCTACTTTAATATATACTCTCTTCTTAATCTTCTTTTTATTACTACGTGCTCTAAACTTCTTTAGAGTTATTAGTTAAAGTTTTTTACTAATTATAAAAGTCTTTTCTTTCTATATACGCTTTCTTTTATATAATTTATATTGCGTAGCTACTTTATTAGCTACTTTAAGTTTAGTGTTATACTTAGTTATTAATACTAGAGAGTGCGCTATTATCTCTACTCTCTTTATAAGCTTTTTAACAGCCTTAACTATTAAGGTTAGTAAGCTATCTATATACTACTAAATTCTCTTACAAATTAGCCTTAATTATAACCTAAATTTTAGAGTATTACTTAGAGTTTATAACTACTAAAGACTATCTTTAATAGTAGGTACTAGTAGAGTATATAGGCGGACGCTAAGTATTAATATTATAGCCTCTAGATTAAATAAAACTAAGCTAGCGCCTTAAAAGCTTTCTAGAATATTACTTTTTATAATTAAGATATTATAAGTAGTAATAAAGTATAGTAAGAACTCTATTTTTATAATATAAGTAATCTTATTATATATTAGCTTCTTAGCTTAGTACTTATACGCTTTTTTTAATAGCGCAAAACACCTAATATTAAGTAGCTATAGTAGGTATAAAGAGTGCGTAGGTATATAGAGAGTAATTATCTTCTTCTTTTTATAGAGCTAGTAGAAATTAATTAAGTTATAGCTCTTATAGCTATTAATAACTAGTAGATAATAGCTACTAATAACCTTTCTCTTTATATACTTATTAAAGTGCTCTAGCTACTTAATACTAAGCTTATTTATTATCTAGCTATTCTTAGAGACTATAATAACCTAATTCTATAGTAGGTTTTCTTCTTTATACTAGGCTAAGAGGTAGTACTTACTAGTAAAGATAATAAAGAGTAGAATTATCTACTCTATTGCGTTAATACCTTAGATAGCTATAACCTACTTATAGTTACTCTACTATACTATCTTTAGCTATTCTTAATAGTCTACTACTATAACTACTAACTTAGTTAATATTATATCTATTATAAAGCCTATCTTATTAAAGTTATAGATATCTTTATTCTAAATACTATACTTAGCTTTAGTATACTATACTAGATAGAACTAGTTTTCTATAACCTTAGAATTCTTATAAAGAGCTTAAATATAGTTATACTTTTAATTAAACTTAACTTTAAGCTCTAGACAGCGCTTTATAAAGTTTATAGCCTACCTCTTACTAACTAGGTTCTAGTTACAAACCTAGAGTAAATTATTAGCTATCTTTTTAATATTAGTAAGCTAAGGTAGGTATTCTTACTCTAAAAGCTTTAAAATATATTATATAATTACTACCTCTTCTAATTCTTAAAGAGCTATTAAGTTAGGTATACTATTACGTTAATAGAGCGTTCTAGCGCGTTATTATCTAAGCGTAGTTTCTAACGTGTTATAGTCTTTTATAGCGTAATATATAGTAAGTATTACGTCTTATTTAAGAGCTTAAATTATAAGCTATATCTAAGCTTTTTTTTAGTCTAATACTACGTTGCTACGTTAGGGCATAGCGAGAGAGATAGAGTTTTAGTAGAGTCTTAGCAAAAGCCAACCACTTGCTTGTACTAACTACTCGCTATGCATCTACGTTATATAGAAGTATAAAGTACTTACAAAGAGCGCTAGAGAGAATATACTAGCTTAAGATAAAGCTAACTAGTAGATTGCTTATAAAGAGCGTTAAGAAAAAGCGTAATTAGGCCTTAGCTAGCGCGCTTAAAGGCGCTGCACTAGTGTTACAGGTAACACAAAGGATTCTCTCCTTGACATAGGGTGAAGGGGTTGAAGGCCAACCACGACCAAGTCAGAACGCAACGATGATCGCGGGGCTCGGGGTCACGTGATCAGGATTGGCACCCCGCCAAGACCAGGCCTCCGGGAGGCCAGTGGGGCTAGGGAAGCCACGGTCCTCCCAAACCTCCCTCTGGGATAGGAGGCCAGGGAGGACAGGACCTAAGGCAATGGGTATAAGAATGTGTTGGATTTCATTATTACACTCATTGTGGTCAACTCAAATAGTTCATCTCTTACACAGATTGTTAACTAGTTATTCTATCGTTTATAGAATTGGATTGTCTTTACCTGCAGTTATTCCACGATAACTCTTTTCCACAGAATCGCCAGACAAACCTCACGGACTACCGCTTTAGTCTACCTCGCCTTAGTACGGACCGAGCCTAGAGAAGTATAGCCTAACCCCGTGTAACACTTTGACCACCATCGGATTCAGTGGACGTGAATAACAACCAGGTTGCCCGATTAAGGAAGATGTCAGCCCCAAGAGTCACTCAGAACAACGCGGCCCAGGGTCCGGGACCCTCGGCACCAGCACCAGCAAACAATGAGATGCTGGATGCATCCGACTCGGAGACAGAAGATACTCCCAGTGCCACGGAGCTCAGACACCTTAGGCAACAGGCCCAAGTTCAGTCTCGGCAGATGCTCGAGATGCAGAACATGATCAATCAGCTTGCAAGTCAGCTGATGGCCACCCCCAACGAACGATCATCTACTACGAAGAAACCCAAGATGGCGTCACCCGAGAAGTACGACGGAAGTCGAGAAGAACTGCGAACGTTCCTCACCAACATCGACTTGTACTGCGAGTTCAACGAAGTACCCAACGACCAGGAAAAGATCCTCATGGCAAGCACGTACCTGAAAGGAAAGGCTTCCAATTGGATGCAGCCATACGTGGACGACTACCTTACGGATATCACGCAACATGGAACTAAGGAAGAAACCCGAACCATGTTCGCGAGTTGGACGGAATTCAAACAAGAAATGGGACGCATCTTCGGAGAAGTAGACGCGAAGAATCAGGCTGAGAAACGGATTACTCAACTGAGGCAAACCAAGTCTGTATCAGCCTACACGGCGGAGTTCAAGCAACTACAGGCCAGGATCGATTGGGATGATGCGGCACTTCGAACGGTCTTCGAAGCAGGCCTCAAGGA